GTGTTATTAATATCTTCCATTGAAACAGCTTTTAGAGAGAAAACCAAGTGCACTTGTCGTTGTGTTTGAGAAAAACAAAAAAGGGGGTTATGGTGGTGACACATGGTGGGTTGGTTATGTAGTGTAAATGTCCAACTCGGTGACAAGAAAATGAATACGGGTAGAAAGACAACTTTATTAAGGAACAAATAGAAAGATTTATCTAACTACTTCGGGCTATTTCTGCACCTACGTTAATACTTCTAAGTTTACTGCGATGAACGATACAAGAAACACTGGTGGATAAAATCCACCATGTCATCTTCCACCCTTAAGATTAGTGTCAATAGCTTCCTCTTTTCCTCTTTGTCAAATGTGTAGATTCGGAGAGGATGACCTCATGTATCTTGCTCTGCTTAACTTGGTCTTCGCTCCATTTTTGCGCCAACATATTCACGATCCATAATTTCCTGGATTTGGCATACAAGATACTTTCGGCCAATACTCTTCTCTTCCCATAAAGCTACTCGCATATGGTGATGATCTTTTGGTTTCTCGCTCGCAGACCCAAGACATGTCCTGATTACAGCACCACCTCGCCACTTACGCCTCTGCTTCAAATGCACGTATCAATCTTCACAAGAGCCGTATTTTATCTGTCGGGTTGCCCTCGCAGTCTCTGAATGAACACAACTTACAGCTTGTAGATTGTTGACGAGCAAGATAGTCGCTCTTCTGGATCCCTTTGCTACCTTGCCTTCTTAGTCATTTCCTTTATCACTCAAGGCAGCTTCTTCTGATCTGGTGATGCTTTGTAAGATACACCTTTTTCATCATTATCTGTCTGATATCAACCCTCTTCTTCATTTCATTTTCCCAATTTTTGAAACAGTCGATTTCGTTCATACATCAATCTTTTCTTTAGCATCTTTGCCGCGAATAACCTCCATCCTTCTAGTTTTGACTTTATTGTGGTAAATCTGATGACTTTTATGGATAATCTTCTGGGTTTTGTATCTTTTACTCCATATGGTTTCCCTTGGTTTTACTTCCTTTTTGCGTGACCCCCCGGATTCGGGATGTCTACAAAATTGTCCAAAACTTGGATACTATTTCTAGACACTTATCTTCTTCCTCCTCCCGTTCACCACACCTTCTTTGCAGAATGTTTCAGAGTATATATGACTATTCACTCTTCTTTCAAACCTTCATAGCTCGTGTTTGGCTACCTCAAAGGATCTTGACTGCACAATTTGCTGACCTGATGATACGCAGTGGCTCTGAAGTTTATCTTTCTGCACTTTTGTCCTCCCTTATGCACCTTACAATATCTGGCTAAGGTAAATTCATCGCAAGGTTTCTTGATGCTCAGTTTTCTATGCTGTGTTTCTACTCCATTCCCACCTCCTACTTGGTCTTTCTTTGAAAATGAAGACTTTTTTTATATAAAACTATTTCTCTTTGTATATATCTTCGAGCTTCCCCACTGGCAGACATTCTAGCACACGAATTTTGGATTTTTCTCTCCAACCTCTGATGGATTTAATATACTGTACAAATTTACCTCCCCACCTCGCCTTGAACCCACTCTAGAGTCTGCTTTTATACTTGGCTAGGTTTTTTTTTTTTACTTCATGGAAACACCACTGAGATTTCGTATCTGATCGAACTCCTTTTTGTTGCCACGAATGTCATCATTAGATATAGTTTTCTGCTTCACTGTTTACACGCCAAAGAAAAACTCAATCAACACTCATTCCCAGTCTAGATATCTAGAGATTTAATATTTTATACTTTCCAAAAACATAAAAACCAAAAAAGCAAGTTTTGACATCTTTTAAATCTTTTGAGCAAGAGTCCCACCTACCAACCAACCAGAGCTTTGCTACATACAAGCAAAAAAAAAAAAAAACTCTGTTGATTTTTTTTGTTGACTAACAAGGAAAATTATATACCTCTGTTCTGGAGTAATTAAGGTCATCAACCTTGGAGATTATCTGCCCTTCAATACTTTGGTAGTGGGCTAGAGTAGGCTGTATTAAGTATTGTTAATCTTGAGTGTGATCAATTGTGACATTTAATTATTCTTGCTATTCCTGTTTGTAGGTCATCCACTACACAGTGATTGGGCTTTTGTTTTTATATGTTGATTAGCTAGTACCAAGCGTTATTTTTCTTAAAAAGAAAATAATTGAGTTTGCTGAATTTGTTTCAATTTTTGAAACAGCCATCTCCTTGTATGCTTCAGAAAGTACGTCAACTACATTAAGGGCGTGTTAATCTTATATAATCAGATGCAACAGCATTACATATTCAATATTATTATCAGTTGAGTGACTAATGTAGGTAGATTGAGTTTCTTATTTTCAATCTTCATACAAAGTCTTTTAAATGTGAATTAGATTAGACAACTATTACGCGTAATTATATTGCAATGTGTAAGATTAAAAGAGGGCCATTCAGTTCTAAAATCAGTCTACTTTGTGTAATGGCACAAATATTCAAAGAACGGGTGTTTTTAGGCGGTACTTATAATCAAGTTCTTTCTACATTTGACTTCTTGTAATTACCGTGTCAAACTTATTCATTACTCATTTTTCATTTTTCATCAACTTAAATGCACAATAAAAGACAGATGTTTTTTGGAGACATGGTTTTAAATAGTTTTTATTTGAAAAAAAAATTGATTTATTAACTTATTAACTTATTGCTACTATTACTATCTACTTTATTTTTCTATACATATAAAAAGGATACAAAGGGTTGTCAAGCTCTTAGTCCCCACACAAGGTGGCTCAATCTCCCCCAGGACGAAAACCTGGCTTGACGGCGAGGGAGGCGGACAGCAGAGTATTATCTCAGACTGAACTCATCACGCTTTTACAAGCGGCACAACTGCAGAGGGGGCCAAGGACTACACGGCATGAAGCACATGTAACACATCTTTACCCGCGCTTCACAGCAATGGCGTCCCGTCCATGACCCATGTCTGATGGCGCCACTTTGGGGCAAAGTACCGGCTGTCGTCACTGTTCTGTGGTCATCGGTTTTCATAGCTACATTCATAGCTAGAAATTCCTAATCGACAGCCGCATTGAAGAAAGAAAGAGAAAAAACGAAAACCAGAAAAAAGGAGTACTTTTATCTTTTTTTTCTTTGCCACTCAAAAGAAAAAAATAGATGGGGCTATCCCAAAAAAGAGACATTCCGTATGATTCCTAAAAGATTTTCATGCATAATCAGTCCATCAATCAATAGCCTAACATAACAACAGAAAGCCACCTTTGTAATTTGCAGAGAGTATCCTATCCGTCACTATATTATATACACTATACCGTCTGTAGCATAAAATACAAGAGGTTATGTTTGATGTTAATGCTGACAGTAATTTTGATAGCATTTCTGGGTGGAGTCATTTAGCAAAGAGAAAAAAAAAAGGTATAGTAAATAGTTTTATAAAGAAACACAATTCAAGCAGCTATCTAACTTTGGGGTATACTTTTCTATGAAATAGTTTTTCATTGAGAGAGATTAAAGCATACCAATATAATTTAACACAGAGACTTGAAAAAAGACAAACATTTGAAGACTATATAGAGAGTAGGCAAATGTCAAATACTTGACACATATAAAAAATATGCATATATGATTATAAACTCTTATAAGCTATAAGTAGTCAATAAAATTAAAAAAGATATCTTTTTCTGATTATGCTAACATATAAACACATAAATACATCTATAAAATAGTGTAAGTAAGTTAAGTCTAGTTGCTGAATGCCTATGACCAAGTAGACTTGTGCTATTATAGGTTATCAGAATAAGCTATAAGAAAAATATATAAAAGAAAGAGCAAAATAATAAAGAAATATAAAGTAGAAGGAGACAAAAAAGTAATGATATAGTAAATAGAGTGAGAGAGAAATAGAAATATATAAGAGCATCTCAAACAGTCAGCTAACTTTTATTTTTTGTAAAAACAAACATCTCTAAGTTAGTAAAGAAAAAAGCTACTTCACCTAACAGTTCAATTTTTTTTTTGGAAATAAATTTTGAGAACATTTTTAGTTAAAACTTTTAAATCCCTGTCAAATTTAGCAGAGAGATAAAATTTAAAGCATCTTCAGCAGTGAGATAACTTTTATTTATTTAAAGTTAAATACTGGTAGTTTATCTAAATAAAAGATCAATTTTTCCAGCAGTTCAATTTATTTTTTTCTTTAAATAAATTTTGAGAGCGTTTTCATTAATAAATTTTATCTTCCTATTAAATTTAATAGGAAGATAAAGAAAAAAAACTGTCTTTTATATTTAAAGTGTATTTAATCGAACTGCTGGGAGGACAAACTTTAGCTAAATCTTTAAATTTAATGTAAAAGTGGAGATAAAGTGCACTGCTGAAAATAATCTTAAAATCAACATAGAAGTTTAACTAGATTAATTAGAATTTTTTTTGCTCAATCAAAAAGGAAACAGTATTACCCATTTAAGATTCTGTATAAAGAAAGGACAATAAAAATAGAAAAAAAAGAAAAAAAAGATTATTTATAAGTAAAATCAACTAATTGATCTTGATGAAGAGGGAAAGGACATATTATTTCTGCTATTATTTGATATCTGATATGGAATACATAAAAGAGTTCAGGAACAGCTCACAATTTTTTTTAAGATTTTTTATGCAATATATACTGTAGATAAGATAACTTTCAATAAGGTAATTCGATTTAACTTATATTATTTTCAAACATAATATAATATTCTCAGTCTACTTATTGTTTCAATCTTTTGAAACACAAATATCACAGTTCTGCCTTGTCTTTAACATAAGAACACTAAGAAAAACTTGTATAATCAAACAAATTACCCATATTACTTCATATTAGACAACCAACATTCTTTGTCATGCATTTAGAGTGACTAATATTTTTGTCTTTTTCTAAATACTTGATAACATCTGATGTTTGTTATTTTATGATATTGTGGTCCTTCTTATTTTTAAACTCGACAATAACTTCTTTTTATTTTCTTCAAAAGTTCACTTATTTTCAAGATCTCTTTACAAAAACAAAACAAAAAGAATCTCATTTTTTACAGTCTTACTTTTTTACTCTTTCAGTTTTTTAATAACAGGAGTTTTCATATTTAATGGGCTTTATAAAATGTCTTTCTTACTAGAACCAATACTCTACATATTCAAAACATCAGAAGTAATAGAATCATTTTATGCAAACAAGATATTCTAACAGATCAAGTCATATTTGAACTTTGTTTATATATTGAAACTTGATATTATCTTTTATTATACAAATTGTCTGGTCAAGAACAAGTACTGTCTGCTTCAAAGTTTTTATAAAACAATAATTAAGACATTAATTTCATCCAATAAAGTATTGATTGTATTAAATCATTGTATTTCTGTAATCTAAAAACTTATCTTTAGTATCTCAATGTATTTGCCTACATTCTCAAAGCCCAAATCTAAAGAAATGTATTTTGTTTTGCTCAGAAGCCTGAGGATCACTTTTTATTTATCTAGTAGAGGTACCTTTGAAATTAACAAGGTTGCTTATAATATGCTTTTCATAATTCTCTTTACAGCTTAACTATCTATTGGAGAATCAAATCAATTCTGGAGCTTTGTTTTTGTAATCACTTGTCTATATATACACTGGAAAAACCGCCCTGATTAACAATGTGGCCAGGTTGGTAAACACATGTGTAGAAATAGTGATTTTTTTCAACTCAGTGTGTTTTTTGAAGTTCAGGTCAAAGATGTAGTTTTAGTTGGTTTCATTGGCTAACAGAATTTTAGAATATCAGTCTGGTACGGAAGGCTAAATTCACATACAGAGACCTATCATAATTCTCATTCTACCACCCCTTTTTTTTATTCCTACTATTTTCTGGATTTACTCTCGCAATAATCTATTTATAAACTCATAGTAGAAAAATATATGTCTTTTACACACAACAGGCATTCTTGAAAACATTTGAATAAAGACTATGAATTGATAATATCATAATTGTCATGTCTCTTTCTATATTTAATAATATAGAAAAGAACTTGTTAGAAGAATTTAATTAAACAACTATAAAATATAGTGCTTTTTTTTTTTATTATAAAGTCGGTGCAAATAAAGTATATTTTACGCTTGTTCCTCTTTTTATTTTCAATAAATCATATCAAACAAAACACATAAAATGCCTTCTATCCCCCACCGCCGTAATGTTGTCTGCCGTTGTGCTCAATGTAGCAGAAATTCACAGGGATACTCATTGGTGACAAGCAGAACCGCTGAGCGCCATATTAGAAAAGATGAGCTTGAGAGAATCGAGAGACTGGATATGGCTGAAAGATTGGCAAATAGTATGTTATATTCAGGGTTTATTTTTCGATTACTGAGTAATAACTTCTTTATTTTTTTAATTTTAATGAAACACAGCTGTGCAAGAAGAACAAATGATGGACGTTGATACCCAATGTAAGAAAAGAAAAGAAAAAAAAATATTTGAAAACCAGTAGAGACAATAAGCTAAACTAATCTATATTTGTATATATCCCGACCTGTCAATCTGAATCCATCGAAAAAATAGACGATCAGGCCGACTCACCTGATTCGAATGCCGCCACGATGGCTGACAATGTCTCGGTAGACGATGAGATCAGCGAGGTCAATGGCAATGACTCTGACATTGAAAGAGACATAAACTCTGACTCTGGCAGTGGTGAAGAAGAAGGTGTCGAGACAGACGTTGAAGAGTTTGTTAATGAAGGTCAGTCATAAATGATTTTGTTTTCTTAAAAACAGACCTAAAGAAAATTTGTTCTAATTTATTTTTGTTAATTTTAAATAGACCCATTTGATGCTCCTAACATGCCTGAAAACCCTGTCCATCGGTTCATTGCTACCTTTGCCGTTCTTTTTATCTCACGTTATGTTGTTAACAAAGGTGCCGCCGTATTGATTGAATTTATCAATCAGTTACTCAAGATCTACGGCGAAGATTTCCAATTACCAACAAGTCTTATTGGCCTGCAAAGAATGACTGGTTTTTCCAATTACGCCAATGGTATCAAGAAGTCTGTTGTATGTGAAGACTGCCACAAGGTTTACGAACAAGATGTGCCTCTCCCTACTCATTGCGACTTCAAAAAGCATGGTTCTCAATCAGCATGCAATTGTGAATTGATGAAGGTTTCATCTTCTGGTGCCATGGTAGCCAAGCGATCATACGTCTACAACTCTATCCAGAGATCATTACAAGTTTTCTTTCTTCGTTCTGGGTTCGAGCAAAAAATCAGACAATGGAACAAAGAGCTTAAGGTCGTAGATACACTATGCGACGTCTATGATGGTGCTATGTGGAAGGAGCTAAAGGACCAAAGTGGCGTATCGTTTGTGGATGAACCTCGTTCATTGATGCTAACAATGAACATCGACTGGTTCCAGCCATTTGATGGCGTTACATATTCAACTGGAGCTATCTACCTTGCGATAAATAACTTGCCTCGTGAGGAAAGATTTAAGCCTGAAAATGTCATCCTTGTTGGTTTGATGCCTGGTCCTAAGGAGCCAAAGACCGAAGAGATCAACCACTATTTAAAGCCAATAGTCGATGAATTGCTGCAGTTGTTTACGGGGATAACCATCCCGACCTTTGAGTGCCCAGCCGGTGTTAATGTACGTGCCGCGTTACATATGGTTGCCTGTGACATCCCCGCCGCCAGGAAGACCAGTGGATTCACCGCCCACAACAGTACTTGTGCATGCCCCAGATGTGTGAGGCAGTTTACCAGGTTACCAAGCACCAATCAGGTCGACTTCAGTGGGTTCGACTATTCGACGTGGAAAATCCGTAGCGGTCTGGAAAACAGGTTGCATGCTGAGGAGTGGAAGAGTGCCAGTACGCCCTCAGAAAGGCATCAGTTGGAAATCGAAAATGGTGTTCGATGGTCGCAGCTGCATCGCCTTGGATACTTTGATCTAGTACGTGGAACGATCATCGATCCCATGCATAATTTATTCCTGGGGACACCAAAGAGAATGATGGAGCGGTGGATAAAAGAAGGACTGATAGACGATAGAAAGCTAGCTACGATGCAAACAATGGCAGAGACAATGGTGGTGCCAATGGATTACGTGGTGTTGAAATCAAAGATCGGAAAGGGCTTTCCATACATGAAAGCTGATGAATGGAAGTCCTGGGTGCTAGTGTATTCGCCTATCTTGTTGAAGGCCGTCCTGCCAATTGAAATGTTCAGAAATTGGATCAGTTTTGTTGATGCCTGCCGCCAATTAGTAAAGCCAAGCATCACGTTCTCTGACATTGATGACGGCCATAAATTTCTTCAAGAATTCTGTACTGAGTGCCAGCGTATTTACACTCCAACTATTCTCACCTGTAACATGCATTTACATCTCCATCTTCGCGAGACCATCCGTGATTTTGGACCAGTATATGGATATTGGCTCTTCGGGTTTGAGCGATATAATGGTCTGCTAAAGAACGTGAATACGAACAGAAAAGATTCCTTTGAGGTTACATACATGAATAGTTTCGTCCAAGATACATTCAAAGGTGATTTCGTTCATGCTGCTCTCACATGCCCAAGCCAAGTACCGTTTCTTCCTCTTCTCGCCAAGCTTACTGCCACAGCTCAACCCTCCACTTCAAAAAATACAATAACTTTTCCCCAGCGCCCGTTCAGACTATCAGCCTTCATCCAAGCATACTCAAACCCTTCTCTTCCAGTCCTTGGCAATGAACCTCTTCCTCCATCCGCATTTCCTCTCCATATCGAACCCCCATCAGCAATGAGTGATGTCGACTATCCTCATTTGCTTGATTACTATAAAGTCGCATACTGCATGCCAAATCTTGAAGGTTACCAGCATCCCTCCTCTCCATTCTCCTTTGTCGACAACCAAATCATAAAGTTGAAATCAATCAATTTGCTTGGTCAGGTTTACAAAGGCTGCAAATATGCTTCTGGTCGCGGCTCATTTGTTCAATCTCTGTTCCTTGGAAGTCAAGGCAATAATTGGTTGGCATACACTGGCCAAATTCAGTATCTGTTCTTGCACTCTTTCACTCCACCAGCAGACAACACAGAGCTCCAAACACGTGTCGTTTATCAAGATAAACACGTGTTTGCGTTTGTTAAGTGGTTCCAGATTGAGCATGACCGTTCAAGAGAGTTGGAAAGTGTTGACATCTGCAGTGCAGATTTTATTGCGTGTGATTTTGAATGCATCTTGCCAGTACATCGAATATCATCAGTTGTTGCAACATGTGATTATAAAACCAGCACAAATAATAAGAAAATACTTGTCAACGCTTTACCACACAAACAATACAATTAATATTTAATACATTTCTTTTTTAATAAAAAATTTCAATACATAAGCTAATGTAGTCTTATTATATATGTTGCGAACAATACATATGTGTTAAGAAATTTTGAGAGTAAAAGAAAAAAAAACGACGAAAAATGAGTTTTATTTATGACCCATATTTAAGAGCCCATTGAGGTAGAGCAGGATCTAAATCAATTGGGACTGTTGATTCCACTGTTCTACCATAAACTCTCTTAAGCAGTTGGCGGGAATTTGCACCCAATTGCTTAACAACAAACGAGTCAACCTCCGTAATGAATTTGTTAAGCTAAGTAATAAACATATATTAACATTCAGCCTGGCATCATTCAAAAAAGAAAACTGTTAGGTTTTACCTCGTCACTTCTCCAACTTGGGCGAGCAACACGAATCTCATTTCTTGGCTGAGAGGGGGACATATCATCGTCTGATTCGCCTTCAGACATGACCGACTTTTGGATCAGTCCAGAGCAGTTTCGACCCATCTTGAGATCAATGTCAGCCTTGTAAGCATCATAAGCAAGGCGACGGCGAGTGTAGTTCTAAAGGAAAAAGACAATACAATTAATATTCTAATTGTTATTATTTAGCATAAATTGAAAATATAGTTTACATCAGTTTCACGGCCAGATCTTCTTGAATTAGTATTCAAGGCTCGTCTTGTTTCCGGAAGTTCCCTTTGCTGGCGACGTCTACTACAGAAGTTTGTATATATACACTTACGAAGGTCGCGTGTCCTCATATCAGTGCCAGCAAACTTCTTTTCCAAGTAATACAAGAGTTGTTTGACTAACTCTCTGTTTGGAGAGCGATCAAAACGAACATCAACTGCCCACTTTGGTTTTATGGCGTTCGCTTGGATTTCTGCCTGGTCTCTTGATTTTAGCTTTGGGTTCCACATATAACCATGAATGTATCCCTATTATATTTTAATTAGCAACAAGATTGGCAAGTGTCTTTTGTATCTTTATACTTACAAATACAGCGTTAGTATCACTTGATTCGGTGATGGGAAGGGCAGCAGAAGTGGATGCAACATTAGTGGGCACATGCGCAGATGCTGGGAGGGCAGACAAGGCATCAATGCCATTAATGGCGGTTGCGTTACCGGTGATCACTACACCGATTCTTGTATCCATCAATGTGATTTTATCCTTCATGGCCTTCATCTCTTCTTTCATCGCATTCAAAGCTTGTAGCAACTGGACATCAGTGCTAGCAAGAGAAGGAGCAAGTCTGCGGTTGGGGGTAGGCATTATCTGTAATACATTATAATATTTTCAATTGTTAATATTAGTTCTTTTTCTTTTTTATTCTCTTTTGTAAGAGACAATCCATCTATTTTGTTATGTAAATTACAATAAATTCGCAACGTAGATTTGTTGAGATGATATAATCAAGAGTGAGTGACATTGAATTGCAAGTAGAAATATTAAGTATTTATAGGCGGTAGTGATGCTTCAGGAACACTTCAAAGACAACTTCTTGAAACACTGAGATGCAAATCGGCCTTGATACATTTTTTGGCCTCAATTGATCACCTCTTTTCAGTTTTTTTTGCTATCATTTATTGGATAAGCTTTTCGGTATTTTGTTTCAAACGCGGAAAAAAAATTTACGTCTTTTTCTTTCTTCTTTTCTGCTCCTTTCCTCTTTTCCAACGTTTGTCATTATTATATTAGTGGCTTTTTTTTTGGTAACATACTTCTTTATTAAATACTTTTTTATAAACAATAAAAATTAATACATTCTTTTATTATCATAATAGATACTCGTTTGCTCTCATTTAAATGCATTCATTTCACAATCGCTGTCCAGATTAACAAAGGTCAATATTATATTTTGCGAAATTGACATCTATAAAAATCCTTCTGACTTGTTTTTTTTATTACAGACTTGATCATCAAGAATAACTGCTACAAATGAATTTGGTTAAAAACATCAAGGTAGTATATATATATATATTATTTTGACATGTATCTTACTAAAATGAAGTCTTATTATAGATGAACACTGTTGATCCCGTCTTTGATTTCCCTTACATTATACAGCTGGAAATGACATTACATGGTAAGGATCACTACTTTATTTTTTATTTTAGTTATATTAATATTATAATGTGTTAACATAAAATATTATTATTTTTCACTAGAGTTCTATCAAGTGTTTACAAAGACAATCTATCTCTGTTAATATATATTCTTGCTACTGGTATGTAAATTATTTATTATTTTATTCGATTCACAAAAATTAATGTTTTTCGTTGTTTTTATAGTGAAAGATATCATAAGGAACGCCATGGATTATCAATATCAACATCTATTTTTTGCTCGCTCTTTTCCAATATTTACAATGTAAGTATAAAAGTGTACACAAAATGTAAAAGCATACTACATTAAATGTAGTACCCAGCACACAGCTAATAATTTTTCTATGCTTCTTAAAGACTGTTGTATTTCAACAAACAGTCTGTTTTTTTTTTATATTTTCAGGTATTTCTTTTCTGTAGATAATTATTCTATTCAAACAGTATCAAGCAGACCAGTAGAAGCAATAACGGATATCCAATAAATCAATACTATAAGATTGTTATAGTTCTAGAAACATTCTGTTCTTTCCAAATAAATACTATTATAAACTTTTACCAATAAAACAATTTCTGAAATTAAAATAAAAACGATTGAACTATACTATGGTTCAGAATCCAAAGAATTGCTCAAGTATTGAATTTAATTGGATATAAAAGATAACGAAGAGGTGTAATGTTGAACTATACTACTGTGTCAAGATCGAAAATAAATATATTATCCACCTTTAAAGCTCCATATAAAACATATAAAAATAAAACCTTGGTTTCAAAAAACTCTTTTCAATATCCCAAGTCAGATCAACACACCGAAAGTGCTAAAGAACTATATCCCCGTCATTTTTATTTGACCCCACACATGTGTATAGCTGGTCATGGCACATGGTGCTAAGACGAACTTGTTACATGGTGATATGTATCTGGACTCAATGTTAAACCTCGTCTTGACACCTGAGTAACTACGCCTTTACACATACGTATGTCAGGTCATTTTTCCAGTGATAAGCAGAAATAATATTGAGCTTTAAAAGAGTCAAGCTAAGTTTCACTTTCATTCTATTATAAGTTGTATAGCTTACATCATTTTTAAGCTTTTCTTTTGTAAGCTACAAGCTTAGCATTTCTTTTTTTTAAAAAAAAATATTGTTTACTATACAGCTAAATAGTATAACAGCTTTGTGTTTTTTGAGAACACAACATCAAATATATTTATTGATTGAGAGCATTTGTCTATTAGAAAAAAGAATATTTGATTGCCTGTTTCCTAAAACAACTTTCTTAAATTGTTTAAAAAAACATATAGGAGTCTGTTTGCTTAGTGATAATTCAAGAAAATACAATTGAAAAGAACATAAGACTCTTCTCTTCAAGGCTATATACAATTGTCATTCAAATAATAGGCATCCATAAGCTATTGGTCAAGTATGTTGTATCTATGACTATATTTTCAGAGAGATAATAGACTATTTCCAGAATTTTCAATAGGTTAAAAAGAATTTTTCCAAAACGTTTGCTCAAATTTACTCTATAACAAACTTGATAACTCTTTAGTTTATTATCTTGAAAATCAAAAGCCGAAAAACTAGCAAACAAATTCTTTATATTGTTAATATTACTAATGACATGCATGTGTTGTCAAAATTTCAGCTGGTCCAAGCATATTTTATCTTTCAAAATCTTTATTATATTAATTATGTAAACAGGTTCATCATGTCATAAGCTTGAAAACAAGATGATTGTTACAGCTGATATAGTAATCAATTGAAAATCATAAGACTTTTAACAATGCGTCTCATCATTCTTTAGAGAGTCTCTAACAGTCACTTTTATCTCAACTTTTATGTCAAATTTAAAACTCTAGTTAAAAGTAGTAAGCTCAACAGCTCAATTTATATTATTTTACAAAAAAATTATGGCTCTAAATTTTATCTCTCTGCTAAATTTGACAGGGATTTAAAAGTTTTAACTAAAAATGTTCTCAAAATTTATTTCCAAAAAAAAAATTGAACTGTTAGGTGAAGTAGCTTTTTTCTTTACTAACTTAGAGATGTTTGTTTTTACAAAAAATAAAAGTTAGCTGACTGTTTGAGATGCTCTTATATATTTCTATTTCTCTCTCACTCTATTTACTATATCATTACTTTTTTGTCTCCTTCTACTTTATATTTCTTTATTATTTTGCTCTTTCTTTTATATATTTTTCTTATAGCTTATTCTGATAACCTATAATAGCACAAGTCTACTTGGTCATAGGCATTCAGCAACTAGACTTAACTTACTTACACTATTTTATAGATGTATTTATGTGTTTATATGTTAGCATAATCAGAAAAAGATATCTTTTTTAATTTTATTGACTACTTATAGCTTATAAGAGTTTATAATCATATATGCATATTTTTTATATGTGTCAAGTATTTGACATTTGCCTACTCTCTATATAGTCTTCAAATGTTTGTCTTTTTTCAAGTCTCTGTGTTAAATTATATTGGTATGCTTTAATCTCTCTCAATGAAAAACTATTTCATAGAAAAGTATACCCCAAAGTTAGATAGCTGCTTGAATTGTGTTTCTTTATAAAACTATTTACTATACCTTTTTTTTTTCTCTTTGCTAAATGACTCCACCCAGAAATGCTATCAAAATTACTGTCAGCATTAACATCAAACATAACCTCTTGTATTTTATGCTACAGACGGTATAGTGTATATAATATAGTGACGGATAGGATACTCTCTGCAAATTACAAAGGTGGCTTTCTGTTGTTATGTTAGGCTATTGATTGATGGACTGATTATGCATGAAAATCTTTTAGGAATCATACGGAATGTCTCTTTTTTGGGATAGCCCCATCTATTTTTTTCTTTTGAGTGGCAAAGAAAAAAAAGATAAAAGTACTCCTTTTTTCTGGTTTTCGTTTTTTCTCTTTCTTTCTTCAATGCGGCTGTCGATTAGGAATTTCTAGCTATGAATGTAGCTATGAAAACCGATGACCACAGAACAGTGACGACAGCCGGTACTTTGCCCCAAAGTGGCGCCATCAGACATGGGTCATGGACGGGACGCCATTGCTGTGAAGCGCGGGTAAAGATGTGTTACATGTGCTTCATGCCGTGTAGTCCTTGGCCCCCTCTGCAGTTGTGCCGCTTGTAAAAGCGTGATGAGTTCAGTCTGAGATAATACTCTGCTGTCCGCCTCCCTCGCCGTCAAGCCAGGTTTTCGTCCTGGGGGAGATTGAGCCACCTTGTGTGGGGACTAAGAGCTTGACAACCCTTTGTATCCTTTTTATATGTATAGAAAAATAAAGTAGATAGTAATAGTAGCAATAAGTTAATAAGTTAATAAATCAATTTTTTTTTCAAATAAAAACTATTTAAAACCATGTCTCCAAAAAACATCTGTCTTTTATTGTGCATTTAAGTTGATGAAAAATGAAAAATGAGTAATGAATAAGTTTGACACGGTAATTACAAGAAGTCAAATGTAGAAAGAACTTGATTATAAGTACCGCCTAAAAACACCCGTTCTTTGAATATTTGTGCCATTACACAAAGTAGACTGATTTTAGAACTGAATGGCCCTCTTTTAATCTTACACATTGCAATATAATTACGCGTAATAGTTGTCTAATCTAATTCACATTTAAAAGACTTTGTATGAAGATTGAAAATAAGAAACTCAATCTACCTACATTAGTCACTCAACTGATAATAATATTGAATATGTAATGCTGTTGCATCTGATTATATAAGATTAACACGCCCTTAATGTAGTTGACGTACTTTCTGAAGCATACAAGGAGATGGCTGTTTCAAAAATTGAAACAAATTCAGCAAACTCAATTATTTTCTTTTTAAGAAAAATAACGCTTGGTACTAGCTAATCAACATATAAAAACAAAAGCCCAATCACTGTGTAGTGGATGACCTACAAACAGAAATAGCAAGAATAATTAAATGTCACAATTGATCACACTCAAGATTAACAATACTTAATACAGCCTACTCTAGCCCACTACCAAAGTATTGAAGGGCAGATAATCTCCAAGGTTGATGACCTTAATTACTCCAGAACAGAGGTATATAATTTTCCTTGTTAGTCAACAAAAAAAATCAACAGAGTTTTTTTTTTTTTTTGCTTGTATGTAGCAAAGCTCTGGTTGGTTGGTAGGTGGGACTCTTGCTCAAAAGATTTAAAAGGTGTCAAAACTTGCTTTTTTGGTTTTTATGTTTTTGGAAAGTATAAAATATTAAATCTCTAGATATCTAGACTGGGAATGAGTGTTGATTGAGTTTTTCTTTGGCGTGTAAACAGTGAAGCAGAAAACTATATCTAATGATGACATTCGTGGCAACAAAAAGGAGTTCGATCAGATACGAAATCTCAGTGGTGTTTCCATGAAGTAAAAAAAAAACCTAGCCAAGTATAAAAGCAGACTCTAGAGTGGGTTCAAGGCGAGGTGGGGAGGTAAATTTGTACAGTATATTAAATCCATCAGAGGTTGGAGAGAAAAATCCAAAATTCGTGTGCTAGAATGTCTGCCAGTGGGGAAGCTCGAAGATATATACAAAGAGAAATAGTTTTATATAAAAAAGTCTTCATTTTCAAAGAAAGACCAAGTAGGAGGTGGGAATGGAGTAGAAACACAGCATAGAAAACTGAGCATCAAGAAACCTTGCGATGAATTTACCTTAGCCAGATATTGTAAGGTGCATAAGGGAGGACAAAAGTGCAGAAAGATAAACTTCAGAGCCACTGCGTATCATCAGGTCAGCAAATTGTGCAGTCAAGATCCTTTGAGGTAGCCAAACACGAGCTATGAAGGTTTGAAAGAAGAGTGAATAGTCATATATACTCTGAAACATTCTGCAAAGAATGTGTGGTGAACGGGAGGAGGAAGAAGATAAGTGTCTAGAAATAGTATCCAAGTTTTGGACAATTTTGTAGACATCCCGAATCCGGGGGGTCACGCAAAAAGGAAGTAAAACCAAGGGAAACCATATGGAGTAAAAGATACAAAACCCAGAAGATTATCCATAAAAGTCATCAGATTTACCACAATAAAGTCAAAACTAGAAGGATGGAGGTTATTCGCGGCAAAGATGCTAAAGAAAAGATTGATGTATGAACGAAATCGACTGTTTCAAAAATTGGGAAAATGAAATGAAGAAGAGGGTTGATATCAGACAGATAATGATGAAAAAGGTGTATCTTACAAAGCATCACCAGATCAGAAGAAGCTGCCTTGAGTGATAAAGGAAATGACTAAGAAGGCAAGGTAGCAAAGGGATCCAGAAGAGCGACTATCTTGCTCGTCAACAATCTACAAGCTGTAAGTTGTGTTCATTCAGAGACTGCGAGGGCAACCCGACAGATAAAATACGGCTCTTGTGAAGATTGATACGTGCATTTGAAGCAGAGGCGTAAGTGGCGAGGTGGTGCTGTAATCAGGACATGTCTTGGGTCTGCGAGCGAGAAACCAAAAGATCATCACCATATGTGAGTAGCTTTATGGGAAGAGAAGAGTATTGGCCGAAAGTATCTTGTATGCCAAATCCAGGAAATTATGGATCGTGAATATGTTGGCGCAAAAATGGAGCGAAGACCAAGTTAAGCAGAGCAAGATACATGAGGTCATCCTCTCCGAATCCACACATTTGACAAAGAGGAAAAGAGGAAGCTATTGACGTTAATCTTAAGGTTGTAAGAAAAGGAAAAACTTGAAGCGCAGATTATAATGGAAGAAGGGAAACTGCATCGGGCTAGAATTTGTTTGAGATAGTCAGAATTAACCTGATCATAAGCTTTCTCCTGATACAAGAGAAGACCGATTCCGGAATGACCAGTGGAATTGACATGGCTCATAACTAGCTTTGTGAGTATACCATTATCAGTAAGAAAATATATCGCAAAAGAGTTTGGTTTGGTACGGGGATACAATTGATCTAACATCTCTGGCCACGCGGCCGTTAAGAAGACTAGTGAAAATCTTGGTATCAGCGTTGATCTGGGCAATTGGTCTCCAAATCTTCAAAGAGGAAATACAATCTTTCTTTGGTAGTAGGGATACAAATGGTTTGCAAGGATGATAGTAATTCACCACCAGTGAGAGCTTCGTTATACATTTGGGTTAGTAGTTGGGTGCAGGAAGGATAAGTAAATACAAGCTGAAGAGTATCATAAGGGAGTTTATATAATCTTTGGGCGCTTTTTCTTGGATACCGAGGCACTCCTAATATGTTGTCACCGGAAGATATGACTCTCAGTGAGAAACCTCTGGTATTTGAGAGGCAAATATCTTTGGGTAGGTTATGAAATAAATCGTGTATAGGTATCTGGTTTATTTGTTTAGGCGTATACGGGGCTTTACATAATGCGATGGCCGCCTCGGTCATCCCATCAGACTCAGTGTACAAGTGGTCTATAGGGTAATAGTAAATATGATTAGTATTCTTTCAAGACTGTCGTTCAGAAACTGTATATTTGAGGTAATCTGCCGAAATCTCTCCATTCTCCTGTCAGTGTTTCTCAGCACGAAGGGCAAGGGTTTGTACTCTCTCCAACTGGAATTGCAGTAAATATCTTTCAATGATAGTGAAATAAAAAAAAATAGGCTAGTTGATGTACAAACTTGTGGATCAGCGTGTTGCGTTTAATTTGAAGTCTATCCTTTAATGTGGCGAGTATCTGAATTCTGCACCTAGTAAAGGACATGGTGAAAGTAGTTAGTTTGTACTTAAGTTTATCATACCTGTCTTGTGGGAGACATATATGGAGAGAGAAGAAAGACAATAGCATAAATGTAATCTTGGAGTTTATTACAGAAGATGTTATTGCGAGCAAGTTGAGGGTTGGTGCGCCACAGCCCCTTTCCTGTTTCGTGGGTGGGTATGAGTTTAAAAGTATCCGCTACCAGAAAATTATCAAATAAAGTCGGATTTATATAGAGGACAGACAAGACATTGCGGCATAGAACGAGGTCAGGATATGTAAATACAGATTGTACTGATGAGAAAGTTGTCAATGAAAGGTTGGGACAGCTTGTGTCAGTGCTGTGAAGTACGGAGTGGGCTAACTGTTTGTTGTAATTAAGGTAAGTGAGGTGCTTCTATGGCCTTATATAAGATCTTCTATGTGAAGAGCGGTGTGTTTATATAAAAGAGGAGATCATGTCTTATTTTAATATGAATATTCTGTGTTAACATAGTTGTTGTGAGCTGTATTATACTGGGTTGAGCTACCTAATTTATTGTGTGTATAGAATTTTTATAATACAAAAAAATTTCTGAAAATATTATAAACCCACAACTTTTATAAAGCGGAAAATAAATGCATATATCTAGTGTTTTGGGACATTTATTTTAATCGACAAGTGCTTGCACCTCTGTCACATATTAAAATTGGAACGATACAGAGAAGATTAGCATGGCCCCTGCACAAGGATGACACTAAACTTCTGAGATGGAACGCTCTACGGAGCATATTTTTTTTGTTTTGTCACCACCTAATATTATTTTTATTTTATTTTTACATAGTCAAACTGGCTTTAATCAATATACTACAAACTGCCACACACAAAAATAACCATAGATGACCCTAACAAATGTAGTGTTTCCATGGCCACCACATTTACCCGACCAATTTGAATTCAAATTATTTCGCGTTTATTACTAATTCAAAAAATAAAATAAATAAAACTCTTTATAAAGCATCTTATAATGAGCACACCAGCCTTTTTGACCCCATTTGATGTTGAATGGTCGGCAGTAGAGATGGAGATAGGAGGTTATAGAGCTGCGTACATTGTTGTATGACTTTACTCCTACTAATGACTTCCTCAAACTCTTTTAAGGATGTCGCTAGGTTCAGTTTCCTAGACACGAATGCTGTTGAACTAATAACCAATTACATTGAAAAAACTTATAATTGTGAAGATTGTAATAATAAGCCAAAAAAAAAAAGAATACGCATATATGTGTACTTTGATAAAGATGCAAGGTCTGCCGAAGAGACGTGTTTATGGCTTCCCACTTATTGGACCTGATATAGAGCTGATCAAGGGTCTTCCTATCTAAAGTTCTGGTGTAGAACAAGACAAAAGCTGTAATGTATGCTTGAGATAAGTATGCGATTGATGAAAATATGGTTTTAATGGGTAGGCCTACGGTCTTTTCTTCTCTTGTGGTTATTTTTTAAACAAAAACTAAAGACCAACCATTTTCTGTTCTATTTTACTCTCTTTGTTTTACTCGTTTATTTATCTTATATATACAATGGAATACAGCACGATAGAGAATATTTAGGATTTATGCCAGTAATATATCGTTTGGTATATAAAAAAGAAATGAAATAAACGTCAATAGAAAGTTTACAGACAAGCAGAAACTATGCCATCAGCAAAATGATAATAATCTTATACAAATATCACCCGATAGTTTATGTACTCCTTTCACCACTTGTGCAGCCACATTAACCTACAAATGTCTCCCCACAACCCCTTTACTTTATTCCTTCAAAAGTTAAAAATAAAATGACGGATTTTCTCAGGGTTTTTCTTTTTCCCTTTTTTTTGTGGTTGCCTGAAATAGAAAAAATACGCTCAATCCAGTAGTAAAAAAAAATATGAGCAGCTGTAGAAATCAGTTAATAATGTGATTTGGCTGTATTCATAGGCTTAATTGTATGGATTATTTTGTTCCTTTACTTTCAGGATAATAATAATATATTTTCTAGTCTTTTTTTTCTTTTCTTTAAAGAGACATCCACAATAGTTCTTTTATTACTAGATAAACATCTGCAATAGTTTGTTAATAAGACTTAGTAATTACCTCTAAATCATAACCTTTTTGTTGTTGTTTTTGCTTCTGTTACTTATAGACGTTTCCTTCTTTAGGTTAAGACGAAAAAGAAATGATACTCATGTATAAAAAGAACTATAGAGAAATAAATAAAAACTCTTGGACATCTGAATAGGTTCGGAGTCCAACTCAAATATATACGAGTATTGGCTATAATACACAATGTGAACAAACTGTTATCGGCACGTTCACTTGCTTCCCTTTTTCTTTTCTTTTTATCAGATGCAAATTTCCTTTTTTGAAATGCGGACATTATCAGATCTATAATTTTCTTTCTATTTTTTATTTATTTATATATATATATATATTTGCCCTCCTCCTTATTTATTTATTGATGTTGCTGATACTGCCGGTGCTGCTGATCCTGTGTATATAGTTCGAAACTGATAAGTATGTGATCTAGATTAAAATCAAAGCATAAACAGAGTCATACGAAGTATATCCATTATAATTGAACTACAATTATATCAGTATCAGAATATCAATATATACGCAAGTGTATGTGTGTGTGCGTTCATTTCAATTGACATGTAATCAAAAAATAAAAAAAGACTGGTGTACAGAATATACACAAATATACACAAATTTTGTGAATTGTACCTTTACTAATATTACACCATAACCCTAATAAATTTTCCAATTTATATATATATATATATATATATATATATATAATATAAAGTAAAATAAAATCATCCAATAGTCTATATTCATTATATCACTAGTGCTGTCATTTGGCCAAGTGCTATATATTTGTATACTTTGTTTTATATAAAGAGAGTGGTTTGGTTCGATCGACAAGAGGATCCACGTGACAGAGTGAATCTGTATCAAGAACCACACCTTACGGTCATGTGCTGTGAGTAGTGTTTACTACGAAAAAAGAAAGATCAGATTAAAAATTATATAAATATAAATATATATATGTCCATAAAGGGATATTATTTCTGATAAATACAATACAATACAATAAAACAATATATATATATCAATTTTGTAATTTATAGAAATATTTTGATTATCTATCTATCTGCCTGTCTATCCGACCTTTTCTTCTTCTTCTTCTTCTTTTTATTTCTTTACGCGTTATTTTCTTTCTCTCTTTCTCTCTCTCTCTCTATACATATATATATTTATTTTCTGTATATAAAACCCAATCCAATCAAATCCAATCAAGCTTTACATATATAAAAAAAAGAAATGCCTGTGGATAGTAGTGAACAGGTCCCCCTTCTTCAAGAAGCAAAAGTCAAAAAGGGCTGTTGCTCTACAGATCCCAAGAAACAATGCTGTTCATCCAATAGACCCTTGACTATTTCCACCCAGGGCACACAAAATGATCAAGATGATCCTAATAACTATTGTCACTTGGCAAATCAACCATGGAAATACAAATGTTTAGCCTTGGCTTGTGTCCTCTTGCTGTCTGGTAAACATTTTTGTTTTGATTTCTTTTAAAATATTATTAAAATTTATATACATAAATATAGATAACTAGTTAGTTAGTTCTGCATACAGATACAGATACATAGACACTTCTTTAATATCATGATTTTGATTTTGATCTTGATTTTGATCTTGATTTTAATTTGACTTGATTTGACTTTTTTTTTTTTTAAAAAAAAAAAAGAAGTTCTCAACAATCTAATTGTGTGTTTATAAATATAATCCTTTTCTTTTTTTTTGTTATTGTTGCTGTTATGTGTATCAAGTGGGTAGTCACTTTTCTGCACACACATTGGGGGCCATGAAATCCATCATTAAAACGGTAATAAAAAACAATAAATAAATAAATAAATAAATAAATAGATAGATAGATAGATATGGATAAATGAAATCACCATTATTATTCTCACACGCACAAGCACACACAGTACACAGTACAAAATACAAACATAATAATTCTCATATTCTCATATATACTTTTGACAGGAATATGGAATATCAAATTCACAATATGGTGCCCTCCAATCAAGTGTCTCTATTGTCAACACAATCTTGCCTCTCATCGGAGGCATCTTTTTGGATGCATTTGGCACAAACACTGGATCGATATTAACCACGGTTCTGATTGCCTCTGGAAATATCTTGGTGGCTGCCTCTGCCTCATCCGCAAATCTTTCAATGATGATCACAGGCAGAATTCTTTATGGAATCGGCAGTGGTACAGTAGTCATTGTCCAGGAAACCATATTGAGTCAGTGGTTCAATGGTCAAAGTTACGCAATCGTTGTAGCCATTATGCTATCAGTCAGTAGAGCAGTAAGTAACTCAGTATTAACAATTTAATTCTATTCTCTAAATTCTTTTACTATCATCATCAGAGCTCATTTCTGGCACAATTCACTGTCATTCCTATTGCTGAATGGACAGGATGGTACGGCTATGGTCTATGGGTAAGTTGGCTGCCAAACAAAATAACAATAATAATCTCCTTGTTTATTTATTTCTTTAATGCCTCTTAGTTTGCCGCCGGTTTGTGCATCCTTTCTTTTGTTGTAAACCTAATGTACCTGGCCCTCCTAAGACAAGTATCCGATGTTTCGGCATCTCATTGTCGCACCCAAATTGCCGTCGTCAAGCGCCAAAGGTCATTCAAGTGGTCAAAGCTGCTTTATTTGCCACATTCCTATTGGCTCGTGTTTGCCATGGAATTCCTTTTGGGCGGTGCCTGGGGTTGTTTCCTTCACATCAACAGGTAATACAAGAAAAAAATAAAAATAAAATAAAAACAAACAAATATCAACTAACAAAAATGATCAATTTTATTTATTTTTATAAAAGTGAGCTTGTCAAGTTTCGATTTGACTATGATCCTAGACGGGCTGCCTCGGTTGGTAGTGTAGCTCAAGTGGCTCCTATCTTTGTGATGCCTGTCTTGGGTCTATTTATCCGCTGGTTTGGCAAACGTACCTGGCTTAGTAAGTAACCATATAATTTGCAAACAAAAAACTAAATGACTCTTACATACTATTTATCATTTAGTGATCGGAAGTGGCCTAACTTTCCTGTTCTCACTTATTTTGCTCGGATACACCTACGTAAACCCTGTGGTCGGCATGTTCCTCTTCAGTCTCAGTCTGGCCTTTGGACCAGTCAGCCTGGTGTCGTCTGTGCCTGTTATCTTGCCATTCTCACTCGTGGGCACAGGCATGGGACTCATCAAGTCAGGGACCAATATCGGTGCGTCCCTGTTTGACATCACGACCGGGTTCCTCCAGGATGCTGATCAACACAAGGGCTACACTGGAGTGATCATCTTCTTCATTGCCATCGGTATCCTCTCCACCCTCTGCGGCGTCGTACTGTTCATTCTCGATCGCACCCTGTACCACAACATCCTCGATCAGTCGGCCAGGACAGTCAAATCCAATGAGGACTGCGGGGAAACAGTACCCCAGCCTGTCGTACCAAAGATGACCACCAAGCTAAAGGCCAATTGGTTCTATGGTGGTGTCTATGTATTCTTGGCTATCATCAGCTGGATATTGTTTTTCCGATTTGTCTTGTTTCCCTAAAGACAAACCATATCATATCATATCATATCATATCATATCATATCACACATGAAATTACATGAAATAATACTCGTATACGTGTGTGTGTATATTTTGGATTCTACATTGACTGACTATACCTATTTTTTCTTATTCTTCTTATTTTATTTACTGCTACTTCTTTTATATATATTTATATACAGATACATGATATCCAAACAAGTAAAGACAATAATATTTGTATAGTTTTCATATGAAATAAACCAAAAAAGAAAGAAAAGCAGATAATGAAAGTATCAAATACACTATTTTGTTTTATTTTTATTTTTGACATTCAACAGAGCAATTGCTTATATTTCTTAGAACTTGTAAACGTTCTCGGAACCATAGCCAAGTCTACAACAGATAATAGATAAGAAACGTTAATTACATGTATTCCAGAAATCAATTGATTGATTAGTTAATTTCATCAACCCAAAACACTTGAAAACAAACTTACGCTTTCAATACACCAGAGACTTCACCCTGGCTCTTGTCTTTAGCCTTGGGACCAGCCAAGGCAGCAACCATGGGGTCGGGACCACAGACAAAGACAATGCTTGACTCAGTCTCGGGGGTAGGCAGGTGCTCCTTGATCAGCTCTGGGGTGACGAAACCCTTGACTCCCTCCCAGTTGGCCTGCTGTGGCTTGTCGAGAACGTAGACAACCTTGAAGCGGTTAGGGTATTGGGCAGCGTACTTGTCGAGCTCGTCCTTGAGCAAGATGTCGTCCTCGGTCTGGTTGGCAAATACCAGAGTAACCTTGGTCTTGTCATCAGTAGATTTGTCACTGAATACCTTGCGGATAATTTGGAGCTAATAGAATATATATATATATATATATATTAACACAAACACACAATAATTGTAAGAAATTAGGTGATTTCTTTTTTTTTTGGATTTTTGCTTGTAGATAGATAGATTATTAAAATAATTTTTATATTATATTATATATTTAGAGAGAAAAAGAGATGAAAGTTTTACCATGGGAGTAATACCAGTACCACCTTTATGTATTGTACGCATGTGAGTTGATTTTATTTTGTATTTTATTAGTCAAGTTGGGTCGAGTGAGTCGAGTTGGTGTAAATAGACGCACAGAGATTAAATGCATAATAAAAATTCATATAAATAAATAAATAAAATTAGCATTAGTTTTTTTTTGTTTTTTGTTTTGTTGTTACATTTTTATTAGGTTATCAGATTGAAACAAAAAACAAAATAAGGGGTCGGGGACTTACCGGCAATCATGCCAACGTTCTGGATAGTGCTGCCTTCCCAGTTGTACTTGGGAATAGGACCCTTGACGTCAAGAGTCTCACCAACCTTGAGGTTATGGATGTGCTTGCTCATCTTACCGTCAGGGTAAGACTTGACAATAAAGTCAACATAACCCCTGGCCTAAGTAGTAATAGTAGTAATAACAATGATCACAAAAAAATAGATTAGATTAATACATCAGATAAGTAAACCAAAATTCACACACACACTCTCTCTCTCTTTCTTCAATTCTTCTCCTTCTACCAGATAGATAATAAGAATATTAATAATCACTTACCTCTTCAGGAGAAGTGGGGGTGTAGGGGCGGATAACGTAACCAGTCGAGCCATCCTTCTTGGTGATTGGGTAACGGGTAATCACGCAAGAGGCGACAGGAAGACCGGCGTGCTGCTCAGCTTCGGGAAGAGCGAAACGGAAAAGGCTGGTGTTGTGGTTAATCTTTTCAATGTTCTCGAGCTAGAAAAAAAAAAGAAGAATAAAAAGTTAAGATTGTACATGAATATAGATATAGATATCTATATTACCTTGAGGGACAAGAAAGACTTGGAGTCAAAGGCAGGTTCAGCAACCTTCTCAACAACCTTTTCTACAGGGGCAACAGCGCTGGTCTTCAGGGTAGCCTTGTTCTGGTTGTAGTAGACACCGCCGAGAGCACCGAGACCTGCAAGAGTGAGCAGAACAAGTCCGTTACCACCCTTCTTAGGAGCCTGAGCACTATATGCTCTAACACTACCGAGAGTTTGTCTCTATTATACATGAACAATACAAAAAAAAAACAACAACAAATAGTGTGAATTATATATACAATTATTTTTCCAAGTATTAATTTATTTTTATTTACCTGTGCGAAACGAGCAGCAGGGGAGGCAGCGCTAGTAGCGCGGATGGCTGTAAAGGCAGAAGTAGCAAAACGCATAATTGTAGGTGGTGACAAGAATAATCAAAAAAGAAATGAAAAGAAAAGCAAACCAGAAAAAATAAAAGGACGCGTTTTGTGAAATCTATATAATTCAAACGAACTTGAATTTGTACCGGAGACTAGACACAACACACACACACATCAAGGAGATATAGATGAATAAGATGGAGAAATTATTTAAAAAAAAAAACAAGGCTGAGATTAGTGTGCCGCTGATGTAATATCCTTGTTTTTGGTTCCCAGAGAAAAATGTTTAATTTTAGGGTATAAATTTAATTACTACACTACATTACACTACATTACACACCATATACCATGGACTACATTGGTACAAACTACATCATATACACAAAATGAATATATATATCTTTCTTTTAAACTTTTTCCGGGTTTTCTATAAATAAAATACTTTAATTTCATTGGCGGACGCTAGCTAAAATATCTTATACTCAGCCAATAATTGGTCGAGGAACAAACGTTGGGAATAACCCAATTTCTAGATATAGATATAATTTATAAATGCACATACAAAAGATATGCTTTGATACATAAAGTACTCAAGATATGTTTAGAGATCTGTAAAAGAGAAAGGTTATTGTTATAATTAGGATGGTATGTTTTCTCGGTATAGGTCAAGCTAGTAGAAATGAAGAAAGGAAGAAAAGAGAAAGTACTGCTTTTGTAGTAAAATGTATAAAATCATTTGTATTTTATGTTTATATCTGTACTGTGGGAATGGTTGACATAATCAACATTCACATACAAGAATATTTTGTTACATGTACATATATGTACATACATACATACATACATACATTCATTCATTCATTCATGTACGTGTATATATATATATATGCAATTATATTATATTCTTCTTTTTCTTTTTTCTTCTCCTTCTTTATCTTCTTCAAGGTTCTGATGACACGACCCGACTGGTTGGATCGTATTTATATTATTATTATTATTATATATGGCATTTAATATCAAGGAATATGTATTTATATATATACATATATATGTGTGTGTCTTGAGTTTGATAGAACACTGCTTGTATTCCAATGTTAGTTGTGCAATGTGGTCAAGAATGTAGCCTAATATTGATGTACTCACAAATAAATAATAGTAATAATAGTAATAGAATCCAGGCCTTCATTTTCAATGATTTTTTTTTCTTATTTTTCTTATTCTTATATTTATTTGTTTATTTTTTTTTAAAAAAAAAAAACTCATTGGTCCGTGTAATTTACATATTTCATATAAGAAATAATCCACCGACCTTCTAGAAAATATATATATATGTGTATATATAGATCAATAAGTCAAATAACCATGGCCATGCACTACACGCACACACACATATATAATCCAATGGCGAGCCGTGTCGTCATTAATTCTAGTTATGCACAAGCAAATGCACATCAGCCTTCTTTCTTGTTTCTTTTCTTATTCTTTTTATATATAATATATATATATATGTCTATCTATCTTTCTATCTTTCTTTCTATCTATCTGCCTGCCTGCCTGCCTGCTTGCCTGCCAGTCTGCCTGCCTGCCTGCCTGCCTGCCTGTCTGCCTGCTTGCCTGTCTATCTATTTATCTATTTATTATATTGAATTATGAGCTACCTATTCTTCTGATTCTCTTTTGGGAACCAGAAGAAGAGATGGGACAGAGAAGAAAAATAAGATAAAAATAAGAGCAGGGGTGGGCTGGGGTGGGGTGCTTGAGGGCAAAGATTTATTATATTCAGTAGAGTAAAAAAAAAAATTAAATAAATAAATGAGTAAGACCTAGAAAGCTTGTCTTTATTTCAATTAGCTTCAAAAAAAAAACTACTACTCTATACAGAATACAGAATAATCTATATATAAAAGAATAGGTTGTTTGGTCTTTTTTAAACCTTTAATAAAACCTGCTTTCTTTAAAAAATATTTTTTAATTATTTGAGTAGAATACAAACCATACCATAATATTTACACTCTGATCCAAAAACTCGGTGAAAGTGCAAGAAGCATAAGAGGAAGTTAAAGAAGAAGAAGTAGTAGGATTTTTGTTTTTTTTTATATGCAATATTTGAGTAATTATTTGATTTCCCGTAGCTGCTTTATGTTTTATATATATATAAAAATAATAATCAAAAAGGCAAAAATTATTAAGGATGCCGACACAACCACAGCCTATATATACATACATATACATACATACAATTTTACATACATAAAGACATATATACATATTATATATACATATACATATATATATATTATATCTATATATTCATAACCTTTCTCTCTCTCTTTTTCTCTCTTTTCTTTTTCTTAATTTTTATTTTATTTTATTTTATTTTATTTTATTCATTGGATGCCCATTTCATCATGACATTATCAGCATTAGCACGCCAAACTTACCATTCCGACATTGCCGAACAAGAAAACATAAAGTTTGTACTTTATTTTCATTGGCGTCAAATTATCTATATATCTATATACCTACACATAACTTATATATATATATATGCTTTATAATAAAACAACAGTAACAGTAATAGTGATAGTAAATAAGGATCATGTATAATGTATATACATATATATGTAGTTGATTTTTATAATTAATATTGAATATTTATGCTAATAAATAAATAATAATAATAAAAAAAAAAAAGTCAAAAATAATAATAAAATCAATATTGTCATATTCTAAAGATATAGACTCGTTGTACGTCAACAACCTCGCAAAGCAAGACTATGTAGTTTCAAAGAAAAAGGTAGACGCGTATTTATGATTTGACATATTGGTTCTCTTTGTATTTCTTACAAACAACTATCATCAAAATATACATTCGAATTAGTTGACCGTAGACCATTGGATCCACCACCAATCATTCAACTGGTGTCTTTGAGTGGTAATCATGAAAAGTAAGCTTATATTCCTTTTAATTATTATTATTTTTAAGATAATAATTTATATATATATATATATATATATATTTGTTCTCAAAGCCATTATACAAATCCCCATGTGTTTCTCTATGCCACTCTTGCAACACCAGAAGCTCAAAAGGATCTCAACTTTGTAAACGGAACAAGAACCACGGCAGGTTCCATGGTTCAGTCACTCCACAAACTCAAAGATATTGATGACAGAGGTAAATTGATGACTTTCTTTCTCTATTCTATGATAATAACCCGTTGTTGTAGACGGAGGCTTTTTTGTTTTTGCAGATGTAAGTGTCCGTCTAGAAGGCTTTTTCAAGCTCAGGTTTACGCTTTTCGAGATTTCAGGGTTAGTTGACAATTGATCTTTATTTTGTTTTAGAATATAACGTCTTATTAAATACAATTGTGTCAATATGACACATATAGGACTCATGTTCATCGTCTGTGTTCTGTCCTTTCGGATACTTTTCAAGTATATTCTCCAAAGAGTAAATATTATTATTGGTCATGTTGATTCCATCAATTCAATTGAATCAAATTTGGTTCTAAAATCTTTATCTCTTTATGCTTGTATATATATATATATGGGTGTCTTTGCTTTCTGTAGCCTTTCCAGGCATGTCTGGTAAGTAAGAAAAATAAAAAAATAAATTAGCATTGATTTTCAAACGATTAGAATTCTATTACTAAACAAAAAAAGTAATCATCCAAATCATTCCAGAATCCACCTTTCTGACGCGGTCGTTCTCAGACCAAGGTGTGAGAATCCGGATCAGAAAAGAAACACGAGTGCCGCATGTACTAACGTAAGAAAAAAAATTAGAATCAAGACCTTTTGTAATATTTGTATATGTATTCACTATTCATCAATCAATTGTCGCTGCTTATCAATTCATAGTAAACGACGACGAACTGTAAAGATCTCGTTTGATTCAGATGACTCAATTGATCGTCAGAGCCAGGGCGGAGACTCGGTTGGGTCGACGGCAATCTCACCACCCAGTTCAATTTATCAAGAAATGCCATCCCAACGATACAATCCTCTCCGTCGACCCACCTGGCCACAGACCTCGTCAGATCCTGGAATAGCCTATAACGGACCTCCTTTACCGTCTCCTACTCAAATGCTGTCGACCAAAGAGCCCAACAAGATGTCAATGGAGAGCCTGCTACTGTCGGATACCAATCATAGCTCAGTAATCGACAAAAACCCATTTGAGATCCCTAGCTCATCAACAATCAAGTCCACAACTGCTACCGACACACCGCCACCACCACTACCACCACCAGGCGATGGGGCAGCAGAAGCAGCGCGATTGAGTGGACGTCGGCTGCCTCCTCTTTCAATCTTTCAACCATCCCAATCAGTCGTGGTTGGATCAGGAATGAATAATTCACACCCAGTGCCACACCAACACCAACACCAACACCAACACCAACATCCACATCCACACTCCCAATCACTCCCAATCTCACTACCACTGCCAATGCCACTTTCACTTCCGCTTCCATTGCCAGTCCACCCGGCTACGAAAATCAATCCGTTTCAAGGAAATTCGTCCGATTCGACGAGGCACTCCTTTCAACATAATACACCGTTTGTGGATCATCCGCTTTACTATCGCGACGACAATCACCACCACCAACACAGTCACCACTACTACTCTTCCCAAACACCACCAAAATAATAACGATAAAAGTTTTTTTTTTTTAATAATTACAATAATAATAGTTATACTACTACTAACACTTCATAATAATAATAATAATTTTTAATCAACAGAAAGAAAGAAAAAAGACTATATATATATATTATGTATATTTGTAATTTAATTCACCAATAAACCAAAAGAAGAAAAAGAAGAAGAAAAAATGCTTAGACAATTGAAATAAAAATGAATAAAAATATACATATAAAATTCAGTCAATTAATTAATAAGCTGGTATTATTGTTATTAGGGATGTTTGACCAATAATAATAATAATTGTCTTTTGTGTGCGTTGACCGTGCACCTCTTTAATTTCTACATAATTAGTAAGAAAGAATATTCTTTGTGTTTTACTTTTTTGTACTGTACTGTACTGTACTGTACTGTACTGTACTGTATATTTATTTACTTTGTGGGAAAATAACAATAATTGGTATTCCCGCGTTCCATATCATGTCATGTTATGTTATGTTTTGTCAATACAAATAATAAAAATAATAAAATTCCCATTCTTCCTCTTAACAAACAGAGCTACAAACCAGCAAAATCACACAAGGACAAAATAGTAATATAATGATATTGAATTACAATTTCTTAAATAACCCTTGTCATTTGGAAATAAATTGTTATTATTTTTCTGCGTTTTTACACAATAAGAATTCATACAATTTATTGTTTCTACATTCTTCTACTTTTGATAGTAAGCGAAAAATATCAATAATTTACTCATCCCTAACATCTCTTTTCTCTTATCTTGTTGCGGCATAACCCTTTGGATAGATTGACACCAATTGATCCCGTTTCTCTCTTTTTTTTTTACATACATAGATTATTTAAATCGTCTAGACATTTTGTATGTAAATATCTACACTACACTACACTACACTACAATATATTATAATATAATATAATATTCATATGTGTGTTACGCGTAGAAAATAGACTTCTTTTTAGTGGTAGGACAAATACTAGTCATTTAGCAAATTATTCTTTCTCTTTCTTTTTCTTTGTTCTTCATTAAACTTTTTCAGACGGTTGTATCACAAGTTACGTTTTCTCCAAAATAAGAGTTCATTTCTTTCTTGTCTGGGTTAGTTACAATTCTGGTAAATTCTGGTAAATTTTGTCAAAAAGTAAAGTAAAAATAAAATAAACACGCACACACACACACACACACATATATATATATATATATATAAGTGAAGGGGGTGGGAGGAAGAGAAGAAGAAGAAGAAGAAGAAGAAGAAGAAGAAGAAAAGTCTTTTTTTTTTCTATTGATGAACGCTTTTAGTCGGGCGCACTTGTAGAGACTATTGGCCATCCCAACCAACCTTTATCCTATCTTTTACAAGCTACAAATAAATTACCAATGATTTGACCCTAAAGAAGGTTATTAAATGATCCTTTTTTTTTATATTTGATTTGAGTTGATTTTATTTTGATGGCCAAGTCAATGGCAATCTCCTTACGCAATAAAACCTCCCTTGTTTCTCTTGATTTGATTTTAATTGTCAACGTTATTAAAGGTATCAACCGGTTTTATTATTTTTATTATTTTTATGATTCAAGTGTCGTCTGGCCATGTGATAATATCATCCAATGTTTCAGATAAAAGGAGGATGATAAGGGATAGGAATAAGGATGAGAAATTAGAAAAGGTAAAGCTGTTGAAAGGGAGTAGAGTGGACTCTATACTTGCTTTGAAAAAGAAACCAAAAAGAAATGGATCCAACGTGGTATCACTTTATTACTCTGTGCTGCTTCTTAGAAGGAACACAACAACAACAACAACAAACTATCTGACAGCCATAAAATAATAATAATACATGGCGTCTTTATTCATAAAAAGGCAATCTGTATACTAAATGTCATTTACTAACAATAAAAAAAAAAACCTAATTGAATGCTCTTTGGTATGCTTGATGGTTTGCGAATAATAGCCGTATTGCGTTATAAGTTTTTATGAAAAGGTAAGAAGAGAATTGATAGCTGTAATAAACAGTATAATGATGTTCGTTATCGTATAACTTTAAAAATTCTGGTCTGTTCTTGTGCGTCTTTTATAACCGAAAAGAGTTTCAATGCTTATAAAATCGTTATATATTTTAGACCTTTAAAAGAAAACAAACTTGTTTTTTTTTTGTTAATGTTGAAAATGTTGAAAATGTTACTTCATTGAACCATTTTATGAATTCAGTTTAAAGAAGAAGAAAAAACCAAGTCTATAGATTACAGGCCACCATGAATGATTTGATTTGAATAGCTGTGATTATTATTAACCGTTAGTATAGTATAGATGAGGTTGTTTAAAAGAATATAAAAATTAAATTATATTAAATTAAATAATTATGCTTATAAAATGATTCAAATGATTCAAATGATTCAAATGATTTGATGACTTGACGCAGTGATTTGTGATTTGTGACTTTGATTTCCATCATGCCATTTCTTACTGTTACCGTACAATTGGATTGTGTGAGTGGGCGTAATTTTTTTTTCTTTATTTATGTATTTATGTATTTATTGTAGTGTAAAATACAGCAACAAAAAGGCAAATCCGTAAAACAACAATACCACATTAAACTCATTGCAATCCTTCAGCCAAATATATATATATTTTCCATTGCTCTATCATCACAGTACATGTATAGACTTTTTTTTTATATAAAATATATACAAAATATACTATGAATCAATTGATGGTAGTACAAATATATATATATATTTTATGTATACAGTTATTTATATTAGAGGCCTATTTTTGGTTACAATGAGAAAAAAAAAGTCCTAATTAGATTTTTAGAAATTAAAATAGACATACATATTAGCAGTTTTTAATCGGCTATTGAATTTAAGCCAAATCCCACACTACTAAATTGGGAGGGGGGACATTTAATAATAAATGACATCACAAACTGTAACCAATCACACTGCAAAGATAGCTGAAACGATACTCGCAAGCCTCTCTCCTTTTTCTTTTTATATATATTTCTATATTATAAAAATATAAATATGTATATATATTTTTATATCACATACAGAAATACTCAATACCCATGCTCCGCGCAATCCGCACTACCTTCAAAACACATACACAGACACACACGCGTGCGCGCACCCTTTACTTTTTTTTTGTATTTTCATTTTACTTGTTTGATATTCCATACCACTACAAGAGGCTATATAATATACTGTTTATTTATTTATATAATATTTACATAGCCTTTTAAAAGAAGTATATAAAAATAAATAAATAAATATAGATTCAAAGTAAAGTAAAGAAAAAGAAAAAGATTAAAAATTTATATAATAATTTTTTTTTCTCTCTCTCTCTCTCTCCCTCGTCTTTTTTTTTTTTTTTTTTTTTTTTACTCTTTTTATTTTTCCAATTTTTTTTTCTTTCTCCTTTTTCTCTCTCTCTCTCTCTTATAAAGACACCTTGCCTTGTTAAGTCTTAAACACGCTGCATTTGGCAACTCTCTTTTCATAATTGGAAATATCTATTCTACTCGTACCTTTTTTTGATTTCATATTCCCAACTTCTTTTTTTTTTTTTTTTTTTAAAAAAAAGAAATAGTATATATATAAAAAAATATATATATAAAAATATATATCAAATATTTTATATACATACATACATACATTTTCAAATAAGACAAGAAGAGAGATTTATTTTATAAATATATATATATAAAAAATATTTAAATTTTTATTATTATTATTCAAGTAAATAATAATAATAATATTAAATAAGTAAATGAATCCTCAACTCAATCCGGACATGGTTGACCAGCCCAGATTAGGTCTTCCCGGCGCACAGAACATGGAAGCCCCTTTCAAGAAGGGTGGCAAGAAGAACTTTGAAGACGATGACAATGACTCAAACGATGATTCTGAATCCGAAAAGCCCTCGAGACGTTCGGGACGCCGCAAGATCAAGATTGAGTACATTGAAGACAAGAACCGTCGTCACATCACATTCTCCAAGCGTAAGGCCGGTATCATGAAAAAGGTAAATATATAAATGATTCTTTTTTATAATTCATGATAATTATCTATTCTAGACCCACAACACTCTTAATAGAGTGGAATGGAAATGGGATATAATATAATATATTATAATATTATAGTGTAGTGTAGTGTAGTGTAAATATAGATAGATAGATAGATAGATAGATAGACAAATGAAGAGACAAAAACGCGTTTTTGTAACAAACACACATACACACTACTATTCATTCTCTCTTTACACACTGTACACTGTGTATAGTGTGTACAAAGAAATGGTCTTTATAAAATAATTTCAATAATAATGATAATGATAATGATAATGATAATAACAACTGCTATTTTATTTTTATTATTTTTAAAATGTAGGCCTATGAATTGAGTACCTTGACTGGAACTCAAGTTCTGTTACTGGTTGTTTCTGAAACCGGTCTTGTCTACACCTTTACTACAGTCAAACTCCAACCTATTGTCACCAAACCTGAAGGCAAGAACTTGATTCAGGCCTGTTTGAATGCACCAGATCCAGTCAGCAATGAATCTATGGTAAATAAACAATTTTATACAAAAGAGTGATAAAGAGAGAGAGAATATATCATCATCGTCATCATCATCATCATTTCTTTTTATCATTTTTTTTCTCTTATATCATTATTAACGAAACATTTCATATTATTATTTTTTCGTCTTTAAAACAACAACAACAACAACAATAGGGTAATGAGGCCGGCTATGCAAATGGCTCCCCTCGTGTAGAGGATAAAAAATATGAGGATAAAAAGGTCGATCCTGCTACTGTGCCACCCAATTCAGCTGCGGGAGCTCCTTTTGGACACGGTAACCCACCTGCAGCCAATTATCCTCCTCAGGGTTATCCACCTCAGCCCACTAGTGGAAATCCTATGCCTGTCACGACCGGCTATGGTGGACATCCTGCTTACATGAACCCAGGCGGACCCCAGTACACACCACAGCAACAACCTCCTCCTCCTCAACAGCAGCAACAGCAACAACAACAACAACAATCTCAACAACCTCCTCAACAGCAACAGTCTCAGCAACCACCTCAGCAACCCTATGGTCAAATGGGTGGTCCTTTCTATGGTAATCAACAACAACAGCAGTCATCCCACCACTACATGCCCCACCCTCAAGCTCATCCCGGTTACTGGCCTACTTCATCCAACCCAGGCCCTGCACCAGGAAACAACGCTCCTTTACCAAGACAAGAACATCCTTCTGCTGTTGAAGACAAGGCACGGAGAGTGAAGAAATGAAAAAAAAAGAGAAGTCTAAAAAAATCTTAAAAAATCTCTTTTCTTTTTTTTATTTTTTATTTTTTTTTATTTTAAAAAAAAAAAAGGAAAGGAAAAGAAAGGAAAAATAAAATATATATATATTTTATATTTTTTAATTTTTTAATTTTTTAATTTTTCAATTTTTTAATTTTTTCATCCAAATCTTTCAATTTCAATATTATTATTATTATTATTATTTTTTACAAACTTTCATGCTAAACCAACCACATCCTTATATTTTTTTTTCTCTTTATTCTTTATAGCTCTGTTCTTTTTTTTTTTATTTTATTTTTTATATTTCTCTCCCCCCCCCCCCCCCCCCCCTTATTTCCCCCCTTTATTATTATCACTATTATCATTATCATTATTATTATTCCTACTATTTTTTTTTCATTTTTTTCAACCAATTTTTCAACACTGAAAATAAAGAGAAAGAAAAAAAAAATACCAAAAAAAAAGAGAGAGAGAGAGAGACGAATAACAATATTACAAATAGTAATTTGTAATTGATATATGTATATATTTTTGGTTTCTTTCTTTATTTCCCTTTTGTATTGATTTCTGTTATGTACAAAAAAAGATATTAGTAATAATAATTAAAAGATAGATAGATAGAGAGAGAGAGAGAGAGAGAGAGGGGAGGGTGTGGAGAAAATAATTGAAAAAAAAAAGAGAAAAGATTTTTGTGTGTTGATATATAAAATTAAAAAAAAAACGAGATTTTTTTGTACAAGCATGGGAAAGAAGAGATTACAAAATAAAGAAAGAAAGAAAGAAAGAAAGAAAGAAAAATAAAATAAAATAGAAAATTCAAAAATGGAATGTCAAGGAAGTAAGTTTGCGGACGGGTATCGTGCATAACTTTATCTTTTTTCTTTTTCTTACTCTATTCTATTCTCTCTTTCTCTCAGTCACAGTATATCTATTTCCATTTCTAATTCTAATTTCATTTATACTTTCATTGATTTCCCATTGATTTTTATATCTTCTTTGAAAGAGAGAGAGAGAGAAAAGAATAGAAAGTAAGAGAGGGGAGCCTTGAGTGTATGAAATATATAAAGATATATGTAGAAAGATTAAAAGAAGAAGAAAGGAAATTTGCAGAGACAAAATAATAATAATACTAATAATAAAAAAGAAAAAGAAAAAGATCCAAGCAAGTCTTGTTACATGTTTTGTTATATATATATATATAAAAACGCCTGCCTGACTGACTAATGAAATGTCGAGTGGACGGACAAGTTGGTAGGTAGGTAGGCAGACAGAAGTATAGGTTGAGGGACTTGGTGGACTTGACGGACTGATTTGCGTGATTTTGAGTGAAAAAAATAAAATAAGGGGGGGATATTGTGCGTGGTTGTGAATATATATGTGCTCGTGTGTATGTAAATGGTGTAAAGAAATGTAATAGTAGTAAATGTAATAAAAAAGTAATAGTAGTAGAATGGGTAGTAAAATGGGCAGTGATTTGGTGTGCGTGATTGATTGTGTATATGTAATGCGTCGTATGTATTGTATTGTATTGTATTGTATTGTATTGCATTGTATTGTATTGTACTGTACTGTACTGTACTGTACTGTACTGTACTGTACTGTACTGTACTGTACTGTACTGTACTGTACTTTGTTGTACTGTTGTATACTCTTTGTGTATGTGTGTTTTTTTTGGGGGGAGTTTTTTTTTGGGTTTGGCTTGGTCTTTCTCTCAATGTTCAAACTCTTATATGTATATATTATGTGTAGTGTGTGTATATATATATTCTCCTTCTCTCTCTTTTTTTCATTCATCGTTGTGTGGTATTATTTTCATTCATCGTAAGCATCCCCTGCTTCTGCATCTTTAGCGCAAATTTTGGTGGCAGTCCGTACCCAGGTCGTCTATTGAAAATAGGTGAAGGCGAAGGCGGCTGTTCTTCTGCTGGCGCTGGCGCTGGTGCTGGCGCTGGTGCTGGTACTGGTGCTGGTGCTGGTGCTGGTACTAGTGCTGGCGTTGACATTGGCGTTGATGCAGGTGTCGGTGCAGGTGTTGCGGTTGGTGTGGTCGACTTGTTGATCTCAGCGCTATCCTTGTACCCGATATCAAGTGTGATCGTTATCAGACTCTCGCTAAGATATCCATAATCGCTCTTTATCAACTGCACCACATCCTCTAGCCGCATAAAGTACAGCGGCGTGTCCAAAAACCGCAGCTTTTCCGACTCCTTTAGACGTGCCACTGTAGATGCCGCTTTTTTCTTGTCACAAGCATGTCCATCTCCATGTTGCGAACAGATCATCCTCGACAGCGGTGACCACAGCTTCTCCTTTTCTGTCAGAGACACCAAGCGCCGATGCAGATATCCATACTTTTTCCACAGGTCACACGTAGAAACCCCGAGTAAAAGACTGACCTGCAGATCAACCACATAAAACGATCGCTTCACGATCGGTCCATCATCGTCTTCAACCAACTGAACTGTGTAGAGTGGGAGATATCTCATTGCCTCTGCCAAAGACTGTGCTTTTAATGATAACGATGACGGTGATGATGATTTTAATGTTGTGGTTGCTGCCGTAAGATTATTTGAAACCATCGTCCGTTGTTGTCCGTCAATATCATTTTCTTCTTTGACCTTGTGCCATCGCTCTGGGGGAGGTGTAGGAATAGGAGTATGGGGACCATCAGGCGGAAGGTCATTATTACACTGGAGTGCAAAAACATTCTTTTTCGGCAGGTGCATTCCAGACAGTTTGCGAGCATGAGCCTTTTGGGCCTCTATGCACTCTCCCTCGCTACCATTATTAGGATTCACTCCAGGGCTGTTAATATATTCCAACTTCATGGCTGAGTGAGCAGAGGCTATCGGAGACATCGAAGGTGGGCTACTAGAAGGTTCTGATTTCACTCTCACACGCGTTGACTCGAGTTCGGCAGCCAGTACCAATCGTCGCTTTTTTAACTGTCCTTTGGTGGGTGGGTCATTACTGATCGGGGTAACTTCTTTTTTTTTATAGCCCAAGAAAATAATAGTAATAAGAATAACAAAAAATAAATGGCAAATTTTTAACAATGATTAATAATAATTTTATATCTAATTAAGGATTAAATGAATAAACTACAAGCAAAGCAAAGCAAAGCAAAGCAAAGCAAAGCAAAAAAATAAAAAATAAAAAATTATTAACTTACTGGGTGTAGTGGTATCCACGGGCTTTCGATTCCGTTTCTTCTCCAAGACAGGTTTCTTTGACCCTGGGGCTGACACATTAGACGAAAGTCCGGTTGTATTGTTATTGTTGTTTTTCTTGTTACTACCGGCAGTGTTGCGTTTGGCAGTGTCTTTTGGTGGTCTGACATACGAAACAAGTGCCTGGCGTACTGCAAGTTCAATCGCTTCATCTTTGTTTTCTAATGCGATCTCAAGAGGCTGAGATCCCTTGATGTTCCGTGCATGAGGGTCTGCGCCATGGCTGAGTAGCATCTGGACGACTTCTCGGTGACTATTCTCGACTGCGTCGTGAAGAGGCGTGTCTTGATCGGCTCCCTTGGAGTTCGGATCCGCTCCATTTTCAAGTAGTATCTGCACAACCTGCGCACGGCCCCGCAAGGCTGCCTCGTGAAGCGGTGTCCAGCCAGCATTATCGGTTTCATTGGGGTTAGCTCCGGCCTTGAGTAAGGTTTCGACCACGGAAACATCACCACGGATCGACCATTTGTGGAGGTGTGTCCGTCCACTGGTGTCTTTTTTCTTTGGGTCGAGTTTGGTTGCGTCCACAGGTTTGCGCTGGGATGGGGGTACAGAGCATTCTCGCGATTCGGCTTCGGTTGAACAGGACAACTGACGTCGATGATTACTGTTATTGTTGGTTTTTTGTTGTGCTTGTGTTTGTGTTTGTGGTTGCGGCTGTGTTTGTGCTTGTGCTTGTGCTTGTGGTTGTGGTTGTGGTTGTGGTTGTGATTGTGATTGTGATTGTGATTGTGATTGTGATTGTGATTGTTGTTGTTGTTGTTGTTGTTGTTGCGGGGCCGATCGTTTTTTACGTCGCAATGGTCCCTGGTCTTCATCTTCTTCTTCTTCATCATCTTCTTCTTCATTGTCCATGCGTGGCTTGGGTCCGCGCGGTCGTTTGGTTTGGTTTTGTTCCATGTTCTCAAAGGTGCGCATAATCGCCTGAATCTTGCGCTCTTCACGTGAAAGATGGCGGTCTGCAGCAACAGTCTTTTTTCCGACGCGTCGTTGGTTGTGCATTGACAGAAAGGTTACTTCGTCAATGGCGTCGCTGACTGCCCGTTGCTTTCGTAGTTCATCGATTCGAGATGCAAGGATACGTCGCACTTTTGGTGAGTCACACGCTTCGTAAGCAGTCTTTCCTTCATCATTGGTGAGATCGATGTCAGCTCCGGCTTCGATTAGATGGCTGACTACATTGGGGTGGGAGTGGATGCTGGCGTAGTGCAGAGGGGTGTTGGACAGGTGGCCGAGGGTGTTGATGTCTCCACCGTGGTCAAGCAAGAGTTTGACGATGTTGAGGTGGCCACTGCGGGCAGCCTCGTGGAGTGGGGTCCAGCCAGCGTTGTCTTTTGCATTTGTGTTTGCACCCTGGCGAACGAGCGAGGCAACTTCGTCATAGTCTCCTGCTGCGCATGCACAATGAAGAGTTGTCCTGCCAGCCGAATCTCGTGCCACCAGTCTGTCCAATTGACGCATCTTGTCGTGCACGATCTGGGCACACTCGCTGTCTGTGGATTCGCAGACGTCCAAAGGAGTCTGCTTGTCGGCATTGAGGGCAAACACATCGGCGCCTTTGTTGACCAAGAGCCGGACACAGTCTACAAAGCCGTTTGAGCAGGCGTCGTGGAGAGGGGTGTCGTTTCCGAAGCCACGGACGTTGATGTCGGCGCCGCACTCGATCAAGTACTCGGCAATCTCGCACTGGCCTTTGATGGCGGCTTCGTGGATGGGGGTCCAGCCGGCATTGTCCTTAAAATTGACGTCTGCGCCTCTGCTGACCCACTCGCGGACCTTGTCAAGGTGGCCGGCGGTAGTGCAGGCAAACAGCTTTGTTCTTCCGGCCTTGTCAGTCCGATTCGGGTCGTGACAGGCGAGTCTTCCCTTGGGTTTTGGGTCAGGCGATTCCCGGGGTGGGTGTTCGGGATCACTGGGCATGCGCGGTCTTTTGGTGGTAGGTAGTTTATCTGTCGTGCTGTCCTTGCGAGGACGACCCCGTTTTTTCTTTTCGTTTGGCCGACTACTGTTATCATCATCTGACAGAGCCTCAGCCGAAGTATTGGCACCATCGGTTTGGCGAAGTTTGTTTTTCTTATGGTAGTCACTCCAATATCGATCTTCTTCATCTTCAAATTCATCACTATCTGCTACTGGTGATGCCAATGGTTTTGGTACTGTTGCTGTTGCTGTTACAGTTGGGGTTGCGGTTGCGGTTGCTGGTGCTGTTGATATTGATGTAGATGTTGATGAGGTAGATAATGCATTTGTTGATGATAATGATGATGATGATGAAGAAGAAGTAGTGGTAGCTTTTGTTTTTGTGATTTGTTGTTGTTGTGGTGGCGGTGATGATGAAGGAGAAGAAGAAGTTGATGTTGATGATGTTGTTGATGATGATGCTGATGTTTTTGATGATGTATTTGGATTTGTTGACTTTTCAGCATCTTTCCTAGCCGTTGAGCGCACGTCTGGGTCGGGTATTCGTACAAGAGTGTTGGTGCCAAAGTTTAGGGTGTCCATCATGTTCTTCTTTCTTGAGTTCCCTTTTAATGATTTTGTATCTTGCTCTTGTCCTTGTATCTTGCCTTTGTTCTTGCTCTTGTTGATGGTGTTGACGTCTTATATATTTTTTTCTTCTTTGTACAAATATCAAGTATTATAATATTGTATAAGAAAGAAATAAAGAAATAAAGAAATAAATATATATATTTATATATCTGTATATATATATTATAAATAAATAATATGTATATTATATATTTAAGTATATATATATATATATATATATATATATTTATATAAAAATGATCTTTTTTTTTTCTTTTTTCTTAGAAAAAAAAACAATAAATAATAGAGAGAGTCCTATGGTTGAATTGTCTAATGTGAATGTGAATGTGTTAGTTCATAATAAAGGTTGAATTTATTAAAGAATTTTTTTTTTGTTATTTATTTATTTATTTATTTATTGTGTTTAGTACCTCAATGAAATCAAGCAATCAATCAATCAATCAATGAGTGGAAATGAAGTGTGGGCTGTCAACGAATGAATAATAAAACTCGGTGAAAGAGAGTAGTAAAAAAAATATTATAAAAAAAAAGAACTGAATAAAAGGTTAAACAAAAGAAAAAGAAGTATAGATGGTATAAGATATTGAGATTTTGGTCAATGTTGTCGTTGTCGTTGTTGTTGTTGCATAAGCCTTACATTAAGGTGACAATGACGATTCTACAATAAAGAATATAGTAATGATAATCCAAAAAGACAAAGACAAAAACAAAACAAAAAATTAGTCAATCAGTTAGTTGGTTGATGTTATACGTATTTAAGAAATTTAATATTAATACTATGTTTAAAAGAAATATGTTTTTGTTTGATATATATATGTAGTAGGAATGACTACTACTTGAAACCAATGAAGGAATCAACTAACCTCTTGGCCTTCCTAATGAGATTCAAAGGATAGAAGGGAAGAAGGGAGGTGTCAAATGAAGATGGGGGAAAAGAAGAAGAAGAAAAAGAAAAAAAAAAGAATAAGAAGAAGAGGAAGAGAAAAAGAGAAAAGGAAAAAAAAAAGAAAAAAAAAAGACAGAGACAGAGACAGAAATAGAAAGAGAGAGAGAGAGAGAGAGAGAGAGAGGGAGGGAGGGAGAGAGGGAGGGAGAAAATGAGAGAGAGAAAGAAAGAAAGAAAAAAAAAAGGCGAATTGGCCATGCAGACAGAAGCCGGAAAATAGAATGACGTCACTTGTGGTTTATATACCGCAATCATCATATTAGAAAGAAAGAATTAAAATCTACGCCTTTTGTATGTATGTATGTATGTATGTATGTATGTATGTATGTGCGTATGTATGTATATGTGTATTTGTGTATGTGTGTGTACGTAAGAATTATAATAATTTCTTATAAATGTATATAAATATGCCTGTGTGAACCTTGCTTTATGCCAAACTCTATAAAGACAAACGACAGTCACATACATTATCATTTTTGGGAATTTCCTAATTTACAGATTTCTAAAATTCTAGATTTCAAGCCAAGAAAGGAACAAAGAAACAAAGAATGAATCAATGAAAAGAATGAATTGGTGCTTAAATAATTAAATAATTGGATGAATGAATAGAGGATAAAGAAATCTTAATCAATCTTAATATTTTGTTCAAATCACACAAGAATTACGACTGTTGTAATTTTCTTTTTATTACTTTTTAATAGAAATTATGATTATTCATTTATAGATTAATAGGGAATTTTATTTTTATTTGTTAAAGAGGCAAAGAGAGTAGATAGATAGATATTATTTATATGGGAAATCAATCAAGCTTCTTTATCTAGTCGTTCATTAATTTTTTCTTTCTTTTGATTTCATTCACTAATTACTATATTCATGCCTTAATTATTATTATTATTATTATTATTATTATTATTACAGTTCAAAAATATATGTATGCACTTTATTCAAATTAGTTTATCTAATGTGTTTATCGGCCTTGTTTGATTGGCTGATTCTATTCTTTGATTAAAACAAGAAGAAATAAAGAAACCTATAAAATAATTATTTTTCTTTTACCTCTCTAGTCATCTAAAATAAAATCCATTGCTGAACACACCCACATACATACAAACATTTCTCTCTTTTCTCCTACTCTCTTTGCCTCTAAATTTTGTACCTGAAAGGTCTATATAGCATATACAAACTCCAATACACCATACACACATACGTAAAATAAAAGTTAAAAAATTAATAAAAAATACAAAATACAAAATTACTGGATGTGACAGTGAGCGGGACAGCAAAATTTGGGACCTCTACATTTTTGTAGTAAACAAACCAACGGACTTCTTTACCCCGTCTCAACACTCCTTGTCTCTTTTCTCGTCCCCCCCTCTTTTTTATATATATATATATATATATTAATTTATAATATAATATAATACAATATAATACAGTATAAAATAATATAAAAAAAAATTACCTGGTTTTTTTTTTTAATTATTTTACTTTATTTTTTTTAATTTTTTAATTATTTTTTATTGTTGTTTTTTAAAATATAATTAATAACAATAACAATAATGTTGCGGTTAACTAGTAAAACACTTTCAGTAACTCGCCAGCTCTCAAGCCGGGCTCTTTCTACTTCTGCCCCCGTTCTCTCTCATGTCGGCCGTAAGCCCATTGCCTACGCACAAGAGGTTTCGATCGAACATGACCTGACACCTATCCAGACCCCCCGTATTCCCTCTGAACTTTACAACACCACCTTAACCGTCCGCGGTCCTTTGGGAAAGCAGCAGTTGGCAATCAAGCCATTCGTCAAGCTTGGCTTTACCCTTGCCACCGACCCTACTGCCGAACACGTCCTCGAAGTCGGCATCACCGACGACAGCGTAAAGCAGCAACGATCCATGTGGGGTACAACCCGTGCACTAATCAACAACGCAATCGTCGGTGTCTCTGAAGGCTACCGCGTCCAGCTCCGTCTGGTCGGTGTCGGTTACAGAGGCACACTCGAGAACAACGAACGCACCATTGCTCTCAAACTTGGTTATGCTCACCCTGTCAACATTGAACTGCCAGAAGGCGTCACTTGCTCTATTCCCCAGCCAAACCGTCTTATCCTCCAGGGAGTCGATCTTCAGCAGGTTACTGAACTCGCTGCCTGTATCCAGCGCTGGAGAAAGCCCGAGCCTTACAACCAAAAGGGTATTTTCATCAACGATGAGACTATCAAGAAGAAGGAAGGCAAGAAGAAGTAAACAAATAACGATTCAACAAACCAAATATATAAATATATACAACAACAAGAAGAAGGTGACGACGATGAAGAAAAAGACAAAGAATATAGTAAAGAAGACGATAATGAAGAAAGAAAGAGAAAGAGAGCATATTTCCATCACAACAATAAACATAGACACAAACACACAAACACACACACAAAGTACAGGAAAAAATCAAAAAGGAAAATATAGAGGGACAGAATGCAAACCAAATACAAAACAAGAAAATGGAATATGTATATGTATATATGTGGGTGGGGGTGGGGGGGTAAAGGGTGCATATTATTCATTTACTAGAATTTTTTGAGATAATTGAGTTGATTTGAGGGCAACAAACACCATGTTACGAGGGGACTGGGCAGGGCTGAAAAGTGGCCACATCCATACTTGTGAACTGGGTACAGACTGGCAAAGGTACAGATAGCGATCGGTAAGCACCAAGCTCTCCAAAATGGGCCCCATCAGTGCTCGCAGTGTCCAGAGTACAATTAGTTTCTTGTCTACTCGGTTGTTACGACACTGTTGTTCGTACAAGATCGCTTCTTCACTCGAAATCGCATCTGCTGATATTTCAAGACGCTCCAATGCCTTTTTTACAAATCCATCGAATTTCTTTTGTTTGTTGAGTTTTCCGAGGACAAGAGCAGATGCCTGTTCTACAAGTCCCTTGTGCACCAAAAGATCCTATAGTGTAAATTATGGGTTAACATTTTAATGAAACAAACATATATTATTTGTGCATTGACTTGATTTTTAAATTACCTGGAACATTGCACGGAAAAAGTGCTGGTCAAAAGTATCCAAAGAAGCCCTTGGTTGGTCAATCCAACGAGATGGAGATTGACAGGCCAATACACGCGCTGTTGTACCTAATGTGTGGCCGTCTACGTGTTCGCTCATAGGGAATCCTCGGTCAGGACTATCAGACTCAGTTAAGTAGTGGTAGCAGCACCCCACATGTACCAATCCTTGGACCTGGTCACTCTTTGCAAACAATCGCATAGTTGTACTCCCAAGATCTCCACAGGTATGCAATCCACACACCAGCCAATTGTGATTTCCAAGAGGATCGCGTTTTTCAAGGATCGAATCCACATTCTTGGGCGTGACTCGTTGTGTGATGTGTTCCAATCTAGGTTGCGCTACTGCTGCCACTGAGGTCGATAACAATGACAACGGTGACGACTTGTGGAGTGCCTTTGCATCGAACTTTTGTGCTCCACGAGTCTGAATCTCAGACATATCTACACCCAAAACCTGAAGATTGTAGTGAAGCGCAAGTGCTCGTGAAAGATATCCTTGTCCAGCACCGAGATCAAGCACAGAATATTCCTGGGGCTTGGCTACACTTTGAATCAATGCACTCATTTGTTCAACTTCATGTACTTTTTTGCCTGACATTCCTCCCAACATCTTTTTGTCAATCTTATCACAAGGAATCTTGTCTAGATTTGAGAATTTTACATTATTAATATTGATTTATTTGAAAGAAGAAGAAAAAAAAAGATAATTGTTATATAAATTATCAATCGATTCATTTGTTACCATAACATTCTCTTTCCAAGGTTAATTTCTGGATATTGGAAAGGTAATCTTGGAGGGATTCCGGCCAATTGTGATCCTAATCAAAATGAGGAGCAAGACATGATTATTATTATTGTTATTATTATATTTATCCCCTTTATTTTATTTTATTTTTTTAAAAAAAAGTATAAACATACACTTTTGGCATCTGATGCTAATTGGAGTATACGCATAAACCAGGTATCGTCATCTTCAATAACATTAGGTAATAATGTTTCTCTCCAGGTTGGATCAAGTAGATCCCAATGTTCATTAGTTATGAAATCCATAACATGCAATTCAGTCAACCATCGGTAGCGATCGGAAAATGTCATCAATTGGGTAGCATATTCTTGGGCAGTGGAGCAACCATTAGGTAACTGAATGCCTTGAGCAGGAAGACGATTGACCATTACAAGAAATATTTTATTATTAATATAGTAAATTATTATATAATTGAATTAATAAATTTAAATAAACTGTCAGGAGAAAAATATAGGATATAAAATAATTAAAATTAAAATTAAAATTAAAATTAAAATTAAAATTAAAATTAAAATTAAAATTAAAATTAAAATTAAAATTAAAATTAAAATTAAAATTAAAATTAAAATTAAAATTAAAATTAAAAAATTAAAAAATTAAAATTAAAATACAATTAATAAAAACAGGTAGACAGACATAAAAGTCCAAGTAAATGAGAACATAGGATATATAAATAGAGAGATACAGAGAGAGAGATACTTGACAACAGCAGCAACAACACATACTCATACACACACATTTATATTACTGTTAAAGGATAGTTATGTAAAATACAATAACAGGTTTGCTTCTATGATTTCCTTGTTTTGCTTATTTATACACTCCTTTATTACTAGTTTATTGTTTTTATTAATATCATTATTTACCAGTCAATAGAAGGGGGAAAGTATTCTTTTATAAGCTCTTCGTAGAATGGCCTGAGTGCCTTTTCATCCGGAGGCTGTTCAGCCTTAGAGTAAAGATCATACTGATTGAAGATCTTTAGGTGGGGCATCATTTGTAAATCAAATTCGTTTAGCAGCCAGCTGTACTCTCCCTCCGTGTGACATGAATAGAATGAATGGTATCGAATACAATAAAGAGCTTCTTTGGGAAGATATGGTTTGCAGACCTGGTAAAGGTATTCATCGTGGCCGTAGCTAAGATGGACTTTGTCGAGACCACAATTGGGTGAATATATGCCGTACTTGGACGAATAGACGGGATGGCAATGGTCAGGGTTGTTATTCAAAAAAGCACGATAGACAATCTTGTCCGAGTACTGGCAACCGACTGGGAAAGTGTCTCCTACGACTGTCCACTGAGGCTCGCCCATAAAAAAGAGATATTTACCCAGATCGTGAATCAGAGCAACCAGGATCATCCACCGGGGACGACCGTCTCTACGGGCTGCCTCGGCCGATTGCAAGGCGTGCACCATCTGCGGAAGTGCAGTGTCAGGGTCTGATTCGTCTACAAGCCCATTCAAGAATTCCAATGCCTCCCAGACCCCCATTTGGGCCTTGTCGAGGGTACCATACTTTAGTTTCTGGGCCAGGACATGCGCCAAGGTCTGTTTTTCGTGGTTCTCACGGTAGAACTTGGTTACAGTCGTTTCTTCGTCTTCGGTGTAAACTCGAAAGGCTTCGGTGCTTTTGGAAGACGTATTCTCACCATATTTTGTTTGCAAAAAGCTCTCCCACGCCTCTGTCACTTTGAATGCCTCTGATAGCGAATGTTCTACACGGACCATTTATGCAGGTATCTGACACAGAAATATGGCAATGGTATTAATAAAGTAATAGATAATAGATATATTAAATAAAGAAAGAAAGAAAGAAAGTTCAAATATATTGAAGAAAATAAGCTAAAATAACTAAGTAATAGAATGAAAGTGAAAATGAAAATGAAGTGCGATAAAGAGAGAGAGAGATATATATATATGCAGTATCTCATATCATCCAGGAGTTTCTCACGAATCATACAGAAATTAAATACATATACACATACGCATACGCATACATACGTATATACTTACGTACATAATTATAGGGTTTTGTTCAACTGACTAGACATCTTTTGTACAAAACTTGTAACCATCCTGACTAAAAACTAGATTCTTCTTCACCCTCAAAACTCCTCCCTTCATCACAAATGTTATTTTCCTGCTTCATTTCTTTTTTCCCTTTTGCTCCTTATTCATATAATATACATATATGGATATCTAAGATATCACATCATAGTTACTATTCCTGATTGATGTACAAGACAACCTAAATGTCTATCAAATACAAAGCCTTTTGGGGGCTGTGACCACAAAGGGCTTATGTTAGCTTTATTGTTGTCTTCTACCGATTCTTTTCTCTCTCTCTCTCTCTTTCTCTCTCTAGTTTTATTTTAGGTAGTGTGGCAAAGAAGAGGCGCTGTTCGCGCAAAAACCCAAAAAAAACCCAAAACCCAAAAATAAGGGGGATGTGACTTGTGATTAAGCGTAAGGTACGTTCCCTTTTTAAGGAGAAAGGGGTGCAAAGCTCGTTGTCGGGTATTGTTTGTCTTTACTGCGATGAGTGAACCTGCCAAGAAGCTCCGTAAACCCGATGGTGAGAATGAATGAGAATGTAGCTTTACATGTATATGTATACGCATGTTATATTTATTTATTGCTTTTAATTGTTGATGTTATTGCTTGTGATGAAGAATGTTAACTAACTGACTGAATGAGGCGTTCTTCTTTTTATATATATAAGAGGGAGCATTTAAACAGCAACGATTACCTGCATGGCAACCAGTTCTCACTCCTCGGACAGTTTTGCCAACTCTATTTATTATTGGCATCATATTTACACCAATTGGTGGACTTCTTTATTGGTCTAGTGGTCGAGTAAGCCAATAACCCTTTTCCCATTATTATTTTTTTAAAAAAAAGAGAGAGAAAGAGGACATAAAATACTCGAGATAAAAAGACCTAAGTATGTTATTGACTATATAGGCTAATGAGATTATGCTCAACTATTCCCATTGTGGTCTATATGAAACTCCAGTCTACATGGAACCATCCATGATCAGTTATGAGTTTTCACCTGCAGTTGACATTAGCACAATGGAGATGCCTGCATATCACTATCAAACGACGTCCGAGTTTCTTGACCCGACATGGAAAAACCCCAATCAACTGACTATTAAGCAATGTGTGATTGACTTTACTGTGCCAAGCACAATGACAGGACCGGTATTTATGTACTACCGTCTCACCAATTTTTATCAGAACCGTCGCCAATACATTAAAAGCTATGACGCCGACCAACTTTTGGGAAAAGCTATATCGTCGTCGACTGCCCAGAGTAACTGTGACCCTGCTGGACAGACAGAAGAAGGGCTTATTGTCTATCCATGTGGATTGATTGCCAATTCAATGTTTAATGGTAAGAAGTGTGGTCGTCTGTGTATATCGTGTTTGATAACCCATAATGACAATCAAAATATTTGTATTGTATTTGGAGATTTCTGACCTGATTTTTTTTTATATAAAACAAACAAATTTAATAAACAGATACCTTTTCGAATATAACCCAGATTGATGGTGATAATGCAGTTCTCTACGAATTTTCTTCAACAAATGTCGCATGGCCCACAGACACCGAAAAGTACAAACTCACGACCTATCCGATCGATGCAATTGCACCACCGCCCAACTGGGTCTTGCGCTACCCGAATGGCAAGTACGACCAAGACCATCCTCCGCCAGATCTGTCAACTATGGAACGGTTCATGGTGTGGATGCATGTCGCTGCCCTTCCTGATTTCCGCAAATTGTGGGGGCGTAATGACAACCAGGATCTTCCTGCCGGTAGATGGCGTATTCTTGTAGATATGAGTAAGTCACAAAGAAGATCTATATATCCTGAACATTTTTCAAGGGTTACAAAAATTGTGTGTGTGCGTGCGTGCGTGTGTGTGTTTGTGTGGGTTATGATAAAAGAAAAGGAATAAATAGGAAAATATACTAAAAATAAATATTAAAATAATAATGATAATGATAATGATAATTTGTAGATTTCGACACTGTCCAATACAAGGGCACAAAATGGATCGTTCTCTCTACCACAACAGCCCTTGGTGGACGCAACTTACGACTTGGAGTTACATACATTTCTATTGGCTCCATTTGTCTTGCCCTTGGTGTTTTCTTTAGTATTCGTCAGAGTGCCCGTCCAAGGTAAATAATAACATATATATGTGTGTATGTTTATATAAATCTAACTTTTAATTTTCAATTGTAGAAAACTTGGTGATCAGGCTTACTTGTCTTGGAATCAACCTGGAGGCGGTCTACCCAGTAATGTTGCACGCCTAGCGCGTCTTCACCAAGACTAGCAAACCAGCCAAACCAAACCAAGCCAAACCAAACCAAGCCAAACCAAGCCAAGCCCAAATCAGATCCAGAAAAATAATAGCAACGACGACAAAGGAAGAAAGGCAAAAAAAAGAAGAATATAATGGACAAGATAAAAAAAAATAAGCAAAACTTTGATGACATATCCCATTTGATATACAACCTTGTCTCACCAGATCATACTCTCTCTATCTACTTTGTCTGTTTCTTTTCCTTTATCTTTCTCTCCGCTTGTAACCTTACCCTTACCTTACCAACGTCACGCATAAGACTTTATTCTTCTCCCTCCCTCCCTCCCTCCCTCCCTCTCTCTCTCTCTCCCTTTCTCCCTCTCTTTTTCTTTTTCTCTTTCTTCATTTATTCAAACATCATAATAGACATTTTCTCTTTCTCTTTTTTTATCTCTATATACTTCTTTCATAAAATCATAATATGAAAGTCACATTTGGTCTCTCGCTAGCCCTTTTTGCTTCGAGTGTCTTGGCAATCCAAGACTACTGCAACCCTCATTTCAAACCTATTGCCGAAGCTGGCTATGAATTAGATCTTTCCCGACTCAACAAGTAAATGAAGAAGAAAATAAGAAAAAATGAAACATAAAAAAAAAGGAAAAAAAAAAGATATATATATAGAGAGAGAGAGAGGAGGAATAAAAAGTAATCGAGGTACACAGTCTGAAGAATATGTATTATACAGGGAATTTGTCGTTACTCAAAAGGCATCTACAGTACCTGCCACTCGAACTACCGAAATCAAGATCAACATTTGTGATGCCTTGCCTGCACCTAAAGAAAACGATGTAGATGACTGTCCCAAAGGTTCTGTAAGTAATGAGAAGAAGAAGAAGTATAAAAAAAGAGGGGAAAGGAGGAAGAGTGAGAGACAGGAATTATATTGGTGATGTAAAGAAAAAAAATGAATTACTGACATTAAGATTATAGTACATTTGCAGAAGAATCATCTATAACAAGGATGGTAAAGATATTGTAACAGAAGTCCAGACTATCTCTGGTGATTTTGACAAGTAAGGGGGAAAAAAGCAAAAAAATCAAAATAGGGTTAAAGTAGAACATAATATACGCGTTATTCTATTTTATTTCTTTCATATATATGCATTATGAAAAGATAATATTACAAAATGAAAGGATTGTCGTCGTCTTTTCTTTTTCGTGCCTATGCTTATGGTTATTATTATTATTATTACTCTTGAAATTTATTCAGGGAAAAGAAACTTGTTGGTAATTTCAAGGCACCCGAGGATGAAGAAGACCTGTCAAATGGTAAGGTTTTGAATAATACATGTATTCTAATATATACATATGTATGCACATGCATCATATATCTATACATATTATGAGAGACTTTGCTGAATTTTCTTTATATATCAGATGGTATCGTTTATACTCTTGAACTTGGTGGTGGTAAGGTTGGAGAAAGAGCTCAGTCTGCCCAGATTACTCTTGAATGTGACAAGAGCATTTCCCGCGAAGTAAGGATTTCATATTATTATTATTATTATTTTTAAAAAAAAGCTTGGGGATCTTTATGGATCTAACAAATTGGTGATGCTTTTGTGTATATAGGATGAGCCCAAGCCACCTACCGTTTTGTCATATACCAGCAATAAGCTTACATTGCGTTGGAAGACTGCTCTTGCATGCGCGTATGTATTTTTTGTTTATTGGCAAAATTGGATATAATACTCATTCTAATATATGTTATTTATACGGGGACGGTTGAATGAATTGTTGATTAGTGTGAAGCCCGATGAGAAAAAACCTGATAACGGAAATGACAAAAAGGGTGACGAGACTCCTCAACCCAAGGAAGGAATGTCTGGTGTTGGAATCTTCTTTACCACGTAATATATCGATAAATAGATATGCATGAGCTGTGTTGGTTTTTTGTGAATTGAAACTTACGCACATGAATTGTATGATACGGTATGGTATTGCTTGTGTGCTTTTATGTTTTCTTTGGTTTATAGTGTATTGGTACTGTTGGCTATCTACTTTGTTGGTGGTGCATTCTACAACTTTAAGATGTACAACGCCCAAGGACTTGACTTGATCCCTCATCGTGGTAAGATCATTACTTATGCATATATCAGCATTAAAATATACATACAATCACTCACAATATTTCAAAATTTATACATCATATGTAATTAGATTTCTGGTTTGACTTGCCCTATCTGATCAAGGTATGTAAAAGAAACAACTCGTTATATATATATTACATTACATTACATTTCTAATTCCTTACTCAATCTACATAGGACATTTTCTCACACTTGGTAGACACAATCATGTCCCACAGACGAGGTAGTGGTGGCTATGTTGCCGTCTAAGAAGAAGAAAAGAAGATATAGGAAATGCATCGAATCAAGGTTTCAAAAAAAAAGTTAGAAAGCTTCCTTATATATATATAGTTTTTTCCATACACAAGCAAATGTTTTTTTCCTACTACTACTATTACTACTACTACTATTATTATTTTCATTTTTTCATATATATTTTTTTCTTAAAAAAAAAGACAACACCGAAAAAGACTATGGCAAAGACAGAGACAATCTTTATATCATACAAATACATAAGTCTATTAAGCAAAGATGATTGCGATAGGATCCTAGCCAACTCATAGTGATTTTCTGTATATATACATATATCTTTAAAGAACCATGTTTATGTAGTTAAATATAATTTACAAGAGCAAATTGGCTGTAACATATGATTTCAGAATGACAATACAAACAAAGAGGGATCCAATAAAAACATATTTCACATGTAATAACCATCCAACATGAATTTTGGCGTACAATTCCACAAGAATAACAACAGTGAAACAAGATCTTTGGCCCAAGAACCTAATGAGATAAAGATTGAAGACAGATCGGGTCTAGACTTAATTTCTTCTTTTTATATTAATGTAATTAAAAATCAAAAGGATGAATGTTGTTATGGTGATGGATCGTATGTTGATAGGTTCCCTCGAAATTAAAATGGAGTGGCTATAATAAAGCGAAAACAAGAACAGGTAATATACTATAGTAAGATTATACACATTTATGTATCTATAAAAAGTACTATGCCGAAAGAATAATAAAAGAGTAGCACAGAAAAGCGACCTTCTTTTTGGGAGAACAGATGTTGATAGGAGGATCATTAGTCCCTCAATTTTGACATGTGCGACAGATTATTGATTAACAGACATGTAGTCAAGATCAAGACCAGCTTACTCCCTGTAAATAACAAAGCCTATCCAAACATATATATAAATTTAAACAATATATTTTGGAATTTTATGGTACAATAAAATACTTTTTCTTGTCTTCTTTTTATCTAGGCATTGATTAGATTTAATAAAAGTTCAAAAGATGAAACAGATCGGTAACGAATATTAAAAGATACCGCGCATTATCATGCACAGTCTAAATACTACTTATTGCATTTGTGTGTAGGTCTCTATATAATATCCATAATTGGCTGTTAATTCTTGTAGTCGTGATGTACAAGTATAGCCAATAATGAATATTAAATTATCTAAAAAAGAGAGTAAAGATTATCAGTTGTACTCTTTATAGATCTTTTGTATATTTATAGCAAGTATTAGCTTGTACCACTTGTTCAGTGCATAAAGCTAATGGGTTCATCTCTCTCTCTCTCTCTCTGACTCTCTATTCCTTTATATTTCCATTTCTTATTATTATTATTCTTCTTTTAGAGTGCATGGTACCCTAAAAAATATATGTGATACTGTAAACATCAAGACAACCCGGAACCTACCTTAAAAGACGATTCACAAAATCAGTTACATTTGGTTGTACTTTGAAATAGTCTGGTACTCACCCAAAAAAAATTGGAAGAGATTTGTTATATTCCTAAAATCATGTTATTGTTATAATGGATAGAAAGATATAGGAGCCTATATAATATTGAGAACAAAAGGAAAAAATACAATGCATGGAAAGTTAATAGCAGGTAATAATCTATACTCTTCTCTCTTGGTCACAACATACAGACATAAATGATAAAATAGAGGTCTAAAACCAACATTGAGCTTGTAACGTGTTTGTGATGTATTAACCAGTTGGGACGCATTGTTCTTGTACCAATATGTCTACAACGTCGTTTTTCTCTAATACCGGTAGTCGGAAGTTTGATGAGCTCTACAAGAGTTATATATTTGTGTGTATATTAAACTTCTTGATATCAATACATGTATACAATACACAGAAATTTACAATAAAATCACTCAATGAGAAAATACACTGAACATCTATATACATTGTTTGACCATGTAACAGAAATATGATAATAAACTGTTGATGGAATTACAAAGGCAAGATCAAAGATCGTTTGTGCTATACTGATAATCTTTTTTTTCTTTTAATTATTATCATGACTTTAATATGATGAATTGTTCATACTACTATGTAGAGTTCTTTCATCTTGTTTCACTATTACAATAGTGGACTATGTATGATAAAATCATATGAGATTCTGTAAATAAAATCATTCAAGGTAAATATAAAATTTTAATATAAACTGCCATTCAAAGCTAATTATAATAATAAGATTACATTAACGAGGCCCACAAAGCCATTTAGGATCCTAAAAGAGAAAAATAAAATAAAAAAGGTAAAGTAAGCAATGTATTAATCATATATACAGTGCTTAGCAATATATGTGTGATCAATAATCGACTGTAACACAAGTATATGTAACACCACATCATTTAAACCATTAATAAATGAAACAGGCATATGTATTATCATTTTTTTAAAGAGAAAGGCAAAAGAAAATGATGCATTCTTTGTATATACATTCTCTACTCCCTATGTTTATTTATCAAAACCCTTGATTAGAATATAATACCTAATCAACAGAAGATTGAAACACACTTTCCTATAGTAAAATCAAATTGTATTCATGATTCTTCCTCTGCATAACCTACAAATGGCCTGTGGTTATTATAATAAGCTAATTCTCTGATGAATACGTTCGAGATTCAATAAATAAAATATTTATTTATAAAATTATTAAAAGATATATCTCTAATACATAAGTTTAGAATAATACAATTATACAAAATGCTTAGATACCTAAGCCTAGAGCTACAATCATATAGACATTCAAACCAATCAATATCAGCGATAAAATTATTGCAATAGTATTTGTGTATTTTCCATTTGTCTTGACAATTGATGCTGGCCATTCGTCTAATCTTACAGCAGGCTGTGTTTCCTCGGCAATTACGATTGGAAGAGGTATGTTTTCGTCAATAGCAATGTCGATACCAATACCAATACCGCTCTTATCCGCAATGTCTTGTTTCGTTAACTTTTTAGCAGTATGAATACTGTCCAACATAAAGGTAATCATTTGAGAGAGCTTAGACGGATGAAAAATATGGATCATTTGGTCACGCCATAGAGCAATAGCACGGTCAAATCCGTTTTGAGTTCGTTGCTTCTTAATATCACCCCTGTACTCCACAACCAAGTCGAGCTTCATGCAACGTTTCATAGATGTAAAGATAATAAGAGGAATCACTGCAAACGGCAACTGTACACTAAGAGCAACCTGACTTGCGACCAACATTGTACTCAGTCCGTTGCGACCGGCCAAACTGGCAGCAACCATAGCCGGTACAATGGCAACCAATCGAGTGATGATACGGCGTACCCAAGGACGAGAGGACATACCAAGAAATCCGGACATAATGACCTGCCCAGCAAGAGTTGCGGTTAAGGTGCTAGATTGACCAGCGCAAAGAAGGGCCAAGGCAAAGATAACAGCAGCTGGTGGACCGATGTAGCGATAGAGTAGCTCATGAGCGCTGAATAGATCCTCGACTGTGTGGCGTTGTGCTTCAGGAGCATAGTAAAAGTTAGCTGAAGCTACCATAAGGATAGCGCAATTGACAAAGAAGGCAAAACACAAGGCAAATATCAGATCAACAAGTCCATAATGTAGATTCTTGCGCATGTTGATGTTGATATAGCGAGAAAGGTACTCAATATCGACACGGTCTTCGATAGGCTCAATGTCTAAATCAATGGTAATTTGATCTTTGTCGGAAATAACAGCAGAGACTTGTTCTTTTTCTGAGGGGAAAGGTTGTTTCTTGTTTTTGGCATTCTTGATATCCCTAGCAACCTTACGTCTTCTAGCGTCCAGATTGTCTTCATCTCCTTCCTTGCACACGTATTTCTCCGGTGATTTGACAACCCACACACCCGCCTCATCCTTGACTACACGCGGTCTACGACCCCGCCATTCTTGACACCGACCTTGTGTAATAAAACTGTGGAGATATAAGTTGTGTGGCATAACTAATTCAAAAGCGAGAGGGAAGAGGAATCAATTGACTTTAACACTGTGTACCAAATTATTCTTTCTTTTTTCTTTTTTCTTTTTCTAGACCCAAACTAATTGAATAAATACTCACCAGTAGCACCAATGATACCAATAGCAGAATAAAGACAACTTGGGTCAGTAAAGATCTCTTTGGAAGGTAAGAAGCCTCTGAAAACATCCTTAGCTACGATATCAGAGTACGCGAGTTCAACAACAAAGCAAACGCCAACGACAACGACCAGTAGCATGACAAAGATTTCAAAGTAGTTCACGATACGGGCCGACGTACTCTGCATCTGGTCACCGTCACTGTCAGGCTCATCGTTGTAAAACAGCAGAACGATAAGAACATCCGTAGCGGTAATAGTCACACCGACCTGCAGAGGCAAATTAGGGAAGAGAAGATTGAGAGCAATAGCGCTGCCGATAACCTCGGCAATATCAGTGGCAATGATGGCAGCTTCGGCAAGAACATAGAGAATAAGATTGACCCAGGTAGGAAAGAAACGGCGGGAGGCAGCAGCAAGGTCAAGACCGGATATTGTACTAAGACGGATGGTAAGATTCTGAAGGAATATTGCAACGAGATTGGATATCAAAATAATAAATAGTAGGCGGTAACCGTATTGCGATCCGCCCTGCATATCTGTAGCCCAGTTTCCTGGGTCAAGACTATTGGAAAATAAGTGTGTGTGTTTATTCGTGTTTTGATGTATTTTTTTTAACAGCAATAAAATAAAGAAAGGAATAATATGATCAAACTTACTATCCAACGGCAACCATAAATCCGGGACCAAGGAACTTTAATAAGACGCGTATATAGCTTGATACACTTTTGAATATGTTTTTCATGATGAGCTTGTTTGTTCTTTAAGGTTATAGACAATGTATGTAAAGTACTTTTGAAAAAAAAAAGTATCTCAAATTCCTTTTTATTTATACATATTAATTTTCTTTATCTTACTAGGCAATTGTTTTGTCCTTCTTTTTCACAGGCAACTATAATTAGTGGTTTAGTATATAAGATCTACTGCTTACATATTTAAAGTAAAAGGTGATGAAAGGATATTTAATCTGGTCTGTGAATTAGTATATATCTGATCTGATGTCTTAAAAACACAATGTACATGTACAACTATCAGATCTCTTCACAATACCTTTATATTCAGCCATAATTTGTATCAGCTTCATATATCCATATATCCATATATATATGATACATACATCTAATCAACTGTTTCTTAAAATAAACATTAAGATATTAAATCCCTATAGTACTGTGTATCACTCAATATTCAATATACCTCATGTTGTTTTCTTTTTCCTCCTTTTATTTTCTTTTCAATATATGGAAATATTGTACATATTCTACTTTATTAAATTATCTCCCGGTTTAATCAATTAATTTTTACAACGTTTTTTACAGTTTCTTTAAAGAATACAAGGCAGAATACAGTGAGCCTTCAAAGTGTACAGATATTCTTAAGCTATGTAAGCCATATGTTAGTAAATAGGTGGCCGACATGATCAGTATAGCAAATCAGATCTACAATAATATTCACAGGAAGCATTTAATTGTTAAAGTAGTCTTCATTACTTGATCTTTTACATTAAAGTCAGATCAAATCAAACCAGATCAAATTCGATACAGTAAAAGTAAAAATGAAGCACATGAGATGGCAATCTTTAACACAAAAAAAAACAGCAAGAACAACTAAACGCTTACATACAGACACACACACACACACACATATATATATATAACTAATAGTATATACTCATAGTTAAGCTAAGCAAGTGAGTACAGAAAGTTGTATTAAGATCTGATAACTTGCCTTGTGGGGTTATTTCAGGTCTCATTTAATATTTTCTATACTAATACATTTATCCAGTTTGTGAAAGTTTCTATTATTTTCTTATGACATTTTGAGAGTAGGTTTTACAAAAGCATTTAAATTTAGCTGCAAAAGATGCTTAAAATATTTGTAACAATCCCAACTTTAATGCGATAGTAAATTTATATGAGTCTTACCAAATTATACTGAAAATTTGTGAGGTGGCTGAATATCGATTAAGTACCAATAAAATTGATATTGTTCTTTGAGAAAAATAATAATACAAGTAGTGTATCAAATTTGATGATACTTGAGAATTTATTTGATAAAGAAGGATTACACAAGAGATATAGATACTATAATATTTAGGTCTACTATTTTGGAACATTAACCTTTAGACATATTAGGCATATATCTCTTACTTTTATCTTTTTGTTTACTTAATGTATCGTGTGTCCATAAAATTGCTTTACCCACCCGAAAATCTCTTTTCAGTTGTATTCTCTAACAAAGCATACTTAATAGATTCACATAAAAATATATTTACCAAGCAAGAAAACACCTTCTCTTTCTCCCCTTCATCTTCTGTGTGAAGTGATATAAAAATAAACCAGTAAAACAAATTCTCACAGCTATAATTAATCCAATCATTTGTCTGACCTTGTGAGCATGTTCTTCTTGAACTATAAATTTCCACCAAGTAAACTCTAACACATTTTTTTTACAAAATAAAATATTACCTGTTTTACCTGGAAATGTTGATTTTTTCTCTCTCAGATTAGAAGAACTTTGGTAGTTCTAATGGCACCTCAAAATATATTATAGAAAGAATTATATGTTAGGGAATCGATTTCGTTCACTTTTCTGGTTTACCATTGGTGCGACTGTGTTGGCTTTGGACAATACTCTTTAAGGTTTATAAGCTTTAGACACGAGTATCTATACAAGATACATGCTTGGATAATACCTTGTCCGCCAAGCAAATCTTTGCCAAGCCAACATTTCCCAAGAAAATCAACCGCAAAAAAAAACGCTGGGTATTGCTTGAACTTGTAGATAGAGTCGAATACATGTAATATAGCTACTTTATGACAGCTTTAGTTACAATTCAGACAGGTAACTATTATAGTCTCAGAGTTGACGTTTTTATATATATATATAATCAGACCTTTTATTTCTTTTGGTCCGAAGCTTCCGGAGCTAAACACTGTTAAGGTATATACTCATATAGATATTCAGTTATTATAATAGACCCTTGACAGCATATATATATATATATATATATATGCTTATTTTTTTATCTGCTTACTCACCCGTAGTTGGAAATGAATAAGCGCGCTACAGAGTCTCATTACGACCCAATATTTGGTATAGTGGTCTGCTCCCATATTCAATTATAAAATCCTGTGTTATTTCCTTTTTAGAAGTTAAATACATTTGTTCCACAAAGTATCGGTGTTTTTTTTTATTGCAGTGATAATTATGTTTGATGTTGATTGGTGGTGAGCCTCTACACTTAATGGCAGTGGAGTATGTCAGAGCTTGTTTTTTAAGCTTTTATATTTAATGTGTATTAGGATAAAGTACACGCAAGTACACCCTAAGCTCGGTCCTTTACAATAGATTAAAAAGACTATAGTATGTATTTATTTGTGTTTATTATAATAAGTAAAAAGAGATAGAGCACGTTAAAATAAGAACCGAAGTGCGTGAGAGGACCAAAAGAAAGACATATATTTGAATCAGAGGTTGTTAGAGATGGCTGGGTATTTGAGAGGAAGTGTTATGTATTCCAGCCCTTTTTTCTTTACAACCCATAGCATAAAGATAGAATTTGTTAGTTTGGAGGTTTGACAGAGCTCTCTTATTGCCAAGATCCATGGTATACAATCTAGAAATGGTGTGGAGACATGTCTAAACCTACCCCAACTTAACCATAGGTTTGTTGAGAAAGGAGGAGCAAAAACAACTATTACAGATTTCTGTATCTTTTAAGCAAGGCTAAAGTAAACAATTCTTAGCAAACTATTTTCTTTGCTTGGGTCTCTATATGCTAATGTATTTCAGTTGAACATGTCAACCATTCAAAGGGTTAGAAATATATTCCTGTGAGATTATAATTTGAAGCATACGGCACAAACGTTGAATAAGAGAATAATCTATTATTGATTGTATTGATGTGTTCTTATGTTTGTACTGTATATCTCATTGACTAGACAACTTAATTATGAAGCAAAGAAAACACATGTAGTAAAGTCATATATTCTATGAATCTGTGGCGTAAAAATGTGGCAACCCAAATAAACTGTATTTCAAGACAAAAAAAAAATTAAAAGCAGTGTTTCACTAATAATAATTATTTAATTTCGAGTTTGAATATAGTGGGAAATTTAGAATAGAGGAACAACAGGCCTCGAATGAAACTTATGAGAATTACAGGCTTTTATAGAAATATAGTTTGTATTGTAAGCTTCTGTTTTGTGGCATGATATTTATTTAATTTATTTTGGAATATGTACGCATGACATCTACCATAATATATATATATATATATATATATATATATATATATATAATAAAGTGGTTGCTCGTAGTATAGTATATACTTACCTATGTTATTTACCTAATAAAGATATAGTAATCAGAACTTCACATACCAAACACAAGAGTAACTTGTTATTAAGCAAAAGAAGAAAAGAAGAAATTCTGAAAGTGTTCATTTGTAATGGCGGGAAAATGAGATTTTATATAAATACACTAGATAGTACTTTCTAAGATTAATAGGTTTGAATTTGGTTTATTGCGTATTTAAATGTCACATCAGATTAACAATTTTTCTTGGATGCTTCTATGTATATTAAAAACAGAATGTCAAGGTACTCATGGCCAATTTATAGAGCTACTAAACTACGTATAAATAGTATATAGAATGATGTCAAATGTATACATTATACTCATATATACATGCAATAAAAGAACCTTTTAAAACATTATTGGTAACATGTATTAAAGCATACTTATTATCAAGCACAAATAAGTATCGAATGTGAGACAGAAAAAAGCCTCTTTGACTTTACTCTATATTATTTCTAGTAGTATTGAGATTATTTTAATAGAATATAAGCAATAAATACTAAATTTTGGGGTAAATCCTGATATTGGATGGGCTGTGAGAACCACAATATACTGCTAGTAATATCCTACTGTTCTATAAACAATCTCTTATTGATAAAGGCTAATAATTTACCTAAAGATGGTACGAAAGCTCTTAAATGATAGACTACTGATATGTTAGCTCATAAATAACATCCTTGATATGACTCCTAGTGATTACAAATATTCACCAACCAATATCTCCACGGAAGATTAGGGTAGCTTATGCATGCTTATATATTAAGATCGCACTTACCATTGCTTCGGAGCTTAGCAAGTTTTCCAAGAATCTTTCTTCCAAACCTTCTTTTGTAAAATTTGAATCGAATATGTAAGTGGTATATGCACCATTGATTAGTTTGTAAGACAGTCCTAGTGAGCTATCAATAGATTAATAAGCTAACCGATGCTCTTCCTGTTTTAAATTAAATCGATAAAAAGCATAGACTTCATGTATTGCCAATTGTCTATTGGTAAGTACCATCGGTTCAAAGGAGCATTTTGCTAATCTACTTGCATATACTATACGGAAAATCATCATATAAAAATAATCTTTTTAAGCTTTGCGATACTCATTTCCTTTCGTCTTCTTCTTTTAATAGTATATCATATTCCATATATCATTTAAGAAGATTCAAAAAGGCAGCAATTATTATGTTCTCTCTAGTTATTTTCTGATGTGAATTTCTTGTATTATAAGGTGTAAAGCATATTTATATATACATATATATATATATATATATATACATAAGCTATCTTGATTATTCTTTCCAGCTAAAAAAAGAAACCCATGTATTTCTTTTGTAAATGACAAAGATGGAGTTATCCGGCGACATACACACACTACTCCAATACCATAAATTCTCATACAATATCTTCTTTATTTATTTCTTTGGACATTTTATATGGTCATATGCATAGTAAATTACGGCACCTAATACCCTTGAATCAAATACAGTGTTAAATGTAAATTGCAAGAATATCTAATATAAAAGCGTATTAGCGGTCATATTTCGATCACTGTAACACTAATTGTATAGTTCAGGGTAGAAAATAAAAGTCATCAACGCCGCTTGGTAGTTGTGCAAGATTACTAAAAAAAGATATCCGTGTTACATCCGGCTACAATTTTGTTTGGCTGACCTTGTTTGTTGCCTAGAAACCATTTTGTTGTTGTTGTTCTTTTTTTACTCTTTTGCTTACACTAATCTCCGGAAGATTTTTATGAAGATTCAATATAAATATATATTTAATACTAATATTGCTTTTGAATCCGTCTTTCATTTTGATGTTTAATTATGATATAGGTAGATATATATATATATATATTTCCGGGTTAATCCTCCGTTGAATAGAAGAATATCGAGTTTTTGGTAATTAGCACTCTTTTAGACAAATCAGAACTTTAAATACACCTCTTTGGGTGACTGTATCTTTAAACAAAGGCCAATATTTATAGGTTAAAAGTCATTCTAACTTGGGCATCGCTCATGTGGCTTTTAAGTTTGCTTGATAGACCCACTTTTACGGTTTGTAATCCTCTTACGAGTAAAATGAACAGACAAGAAACATTCGGTTAATCATACTTTAGTATCAGTGACTGTGAGATAAGACATATATATATATATAGTCTTAAAAAATAATAAGAATAAGCTAACCTATAGTTCTTTAAATACAATGATAGCACAACGATTTAAACCACAAAGAGACTGCCTCTTTTAATGGATACTTTCTTCTTTGTTCTATCTTCTCGGGAAATCCTGTCTGAATATCTTCCGTTTTGGTGTACAAAGGCGATGCGGACTTTACAGATTCACGTTTGCAAAGCGTGGTGTATGCGGACTTTTAGCCTTTGTTGATCGCTATGTAACTAAGCCAGACTTTAAGGACGTACAAACCAGTTTTTTATTCGTATTTTCTGAACTGTCCGTGGTTCCACTCAGAGTTTTGGAGTTCCATTCTTTCCATCTTGCAGTAGTCCTTTTTGGGATTCAGGGACTGAAAACGTTTTTTTTTTCTTTTGCCCCTTTACCTTGTATTTGTTTTTCTCTCTTTCCAGCTAACCTTTTTCGCGCTTACTCATACTCTCCTTCCACCCCATTTTATTTACCTTTTTCCTTTTTTTTTTTTGCTTCTTCTTTTACTGTTAGCCTCTTGCACTTCTTCTGATGGCTCCAAGTCCCTCAACACAGTCTATTACAGACCTCACTACAAGATTCCACAAAGCTAAAGGAGACATCCCTCCTCTTCTTATTGGAGCTTCAGTAACAATTGTAGGCGAGAATCTCTACCTTTTTGGTGGACGCCACAAAGCATCGCGCCAAATATCTAGCAAGCTGTATGTTCTCTCCCTCGAGACATACTTTTGGAAAAGCGTTATTCCGAAGAACACTCCGCCTACAGCCCGTTACTTTCATTCTGCAGATTGTTATGAAAACCACATCTTATTGTTTGGAGGCATGGCTTCTGATAAATCATCACCCAATGGGCTGTGTGCCTTGGGTGATATAGTTCTTCTCAACCTACAGGACGAAAATGGCGATCTTGCTTGGGAATACCCAGACACACAATCTACCACCTTACCCCAACCCCGATACGCACATCTCTCAAGCATCTCTGGCTCAGAACTAATGATTATGGGCGGCCAAGACATTGAAAATGAGTATATCCCCGAGGTCAACGTATTCGACTGCAAGCAAAAGACATGGTTCAACCCGATACCTATCGAACCACATTATGGTGCCTACCGATCAGCAGCAGTATCTATCCCAACGTCCTCTTTTGCCTCACTAAATATGCCACGTATTGTTGACTCTGCGAACACATCTTTTGCATCTCCATTCGATGAAAATAATGCGTACAACCACTCTCGTCAACGTAACAAGACGTCAACTGTTCATGTGTATTCTAGTTCAAACATCGATGGACCTGTACGCCAATTCCATGCACTCACAGTCTCGACAAAGGGCGAGTTTATTGATTTAACAGATCGCTCAAACCTTTTAGCCGGCACTGCACTTCCTCCACCATTACGTTTCCCGGTGGCTTTTGCATGTGGCCAGTACATGGTTATTGCAGGCTCTTGTATCACTCCCACAAGCTCGCAGTATCATATTTGGGCTCTAAATTTTGCAGCTATGGCTTGGACCCGACTCGATGCAGGCCCTGCTCTCTCAAAAGGCTCCTGGCTACGTGGCGCTTTGTATAAGAACTCCAATAGATTTTATGTGTTTGGTCATCCGGATCGATCAATGGGTGATGACTACAAAAACCGGATTGTAAGCTTTGAGTATCTCGTGAGCATTGACACAGAAGCTTTTGGAATCTACCAACCACCAACACCTTCGTACGACGCCGAAGCTCAGGGTCTGGGACTTTGCATACTAAATGACATGACTTTGGCGGACTTGACGATCATCACCACTGACCAACAGTCTGTGCCAGTCAACTCCGCCATCCTGGCTCAACGATGGCCTTCTATTCGGGCTTTGCTGAGTCCACTATTGTCTCCAGAGAATCCGGATCCTTCTGTCCAGACTACACACAAACTCACCTTTCCAGACACACACTCTGTGCTTGTTGCATTCCTACAGTTTATCTATACAGACCAATTATTGACTGCTCAACAGCATCAGCCTCACATTCTTTCCAGATTACTACTTATTGCCGATTTGTTTGGAATCGCTCGTTTAAAGGAACTCGCAGTTCATGCTCTTCATCAAATGCTTAATATGTCGACAGCATCAGTAATTTATGAAACTGCAGCTCTTTCTAACTCTATTTCGCTTCAAATAAGAGCTCTCCGTGTCTTGATTAATGCAAAGAAGATGATGCAACGCAAGCAGCAGCAGCAGCAGCAGCAGCAACAACAACAAGGAGAGCAACAGAAGCAGCAACAACAACAGCAACAACAACAGCAGCAGAGACAACAGCAACAGCCGAATTATCAACAGAAAAACTATCAACATAACCAATACGATCGACCTTTATCACCACCTTATCTGGATCGTACCCAAATGCTTTCTGGATTATCAGATCCATATTCTCAGCAACAGAACAACACAGCACCAGCCTATCAACCCATGTCACAATTACTTCAACAATATGATCTTAATGCGCCTATAACTCCAGACATACATGGACTAGGTCCATCATCAAACTCATATTTTGGGTCGCATTTTGGACAGAAACAAAAAGCTAATGCGACACTTGGTGGCTCACACCAAGACTTATCCTTAACACCATCATCGTCTATAACTGGCACACAAGCTTCTACAAACAGTGCATATCCATCTATTCACATGCGATCTGATTCACAGAGATCTGGCTCGCAGAGATCTGTTTCTGGTTCTGGTTATCCAAATTCATCTGCATCATCATCGGTGACCCCACCAACATCCCCGCCTTCTACTTCACATACCGAACCACCAAAATACTCTCGGTCGACTTCTTCTTTCTGGCTTCCACTATCCTCAAGAAAAAAAGCAGCAGCAGCAGCAGCGGCGGCGGCGGCACAAGCAGCAGCGGCGGCGGCAACATCACAACAACCATCACCTAAAACACCACCTACTATTTCACCTCGTTCCAAATGGCGCCCTTCTGAATATACACCACATACTGTTATGAATGTTTATCAATGAAAGAAGGAAAGAATAAGAAATCCATCGAAGTCAAGGACAATAAAAACAATGGCCCACTATGAAAATGTTGACCCACTGATTTTTTTTTTCAGAAAAAAAAAGAAGGTAGTCTAGACCAATATTTTTATTTTCTTCATAAATATCTATATATTCTAACGGACGAATCTACTTGGAATATAAAGCTAAACTATGCAAAACAATCAATCAATAGAATTATTATTGTTTTATTAGTAAAAAAAAGAAGAATTGCTATTTAGCTATAACTAGAAAATTGTATTACAATAATAATAATAAACAAAATGAGTATGGCTGGTCCTTACTTGTTTAACCAAATACAAATATACATAGTTCTCCAAAGATTGATACGACCAATTTTGACGCTATACATACATATATATATATAATTTTGGATTTTTTATATTCACAATATTTACCATTGATAGCAATGTATAGCTTGTTAGCATAATTTGACTTTATTTTATATATGTATAAAAAAATGTATGTAATCTATCGAGAATGTAAGACATGTACTTGGGTGCTTCCATTTATTTATTCTTTTATTTTTTTTACAGCTACTGTTAAAGTTATCTTGACTGTTGATTTGATCAATATCGCATCTTTGCCTCTCTGTTTTTTTTGTATTACAGAGAAAATGCCTTTCTGATTCTGGGTTTTTCTTCTTTTTTTTTTTTTTGGTTCTCGGTCGAAGAGCTTAATTTCTTCTATGACCCGCTTAGTTTCAGCGATATACAAGGTTAGCTCAAGTCGTACTTGAGAATCAGGCAATATATTCTGTAAATACTTTAACTGCCTTTATAGTATATTCTGCTATTCAGAAGAGGTAATTAGAACGTATATATATATATATATATATGTACACCTCTCCTAGTTTTTTTTCGTTTTTTTTTTTTAAAAAAAAGGACTAGTCTTGGTAGTCTAAGCTTTAGGTCATAATGCTAAGACAATTTAGAAAACCATATTGGTCTATGGCGTCTTTTAGTATATGTGTGTATGTGTTCTTTGTCATACATGACACATACTCTTTGATAGGTGTGTACGTGTAACAGAAATCTGGCACATGGGTTTTAAAGAATAAAGTAACACATACAAAATGATGAGTAACCTCAGTTATCAAACTGAATATACTTGGGTATATTATTGTTTACACAAAGAGACAACAGGCCCTATTTTTCTTTATATATTTGTATATACTAACAAATCTACTTTTCTGTAATATCATATCTACTGATGATAATTATTATTCTATTAAATGATAATACTTAAAGAACGACCTCTTATGATTCCTTGTTATATCTTGACGCCTTGAAAAAAAACCAATTGCTTAGAACATGGTCATACACGGACACAGACACACATATGACTGTGTTACATATTGTTAATCAAATTATGTTCTATTTAAATTTAATTTGATATGATGTCTTTATTCACCACCCTGTAAATATAGGTTTACATTGTTATCTTACTATTGTAATAAAGTGGTTAACTCTAGAAATAGTCAAGAGAGAGATAGAGCAGAGTAGTTTAATCTGCAAAGATCATTGAAAACTCTGCTAACACCACACCATCAATACCGCAAAGCCATGCCTTATTTTATATGAATTCATTTATGCTAATGCAATCTAGATCTTGTACATGTATATATGATCAATAACTCCCTTTAGATGTTAAATGAATACAAGTCACTTTTTCTTTGGAATTTTTATTTCATTGAGCCCTTGGTTGACTATTAAACTTGGTTTATCAAATGAATTTATTCAAAACTTTTTTATTAATATTTATTGTGTTATTTTCACACACCCATTTTATTGCATTTGAACGTGAGATCTTCAATTATGAGATATTGTACTTATATTATATTTGTATCTATATTCGATCATATCATCATATTGGGTAAAGTACACCTTATAGACGACTACAAAAGTCGAGCATGAGAAAACGGTAAAGATCAAAGTTTGGTTCTTTCTCTTTCTTTCTTTTGCACATGGCACTTGACAGGACACATGGAAAAGTAATTAATTTTTTTTCTGTAAAATAATAATAGTAGTAATAGTCGAGATAACAAAGTAATGTTGTTTCAAGCTGTAGTATCATTTAAACTAGCATACGTAAGAAAACCATGTCCACTTCAAGTTAGATACATGCAATCATCTTGTGTTAGTTGGCTTATATCCTTTTCTTTATGGTATTTAGAGAATTTATCAAAGAATGCTATACTAAATAGCTCAGTTTATATGTTTACTGGTGTTCTTTAAAGATATCACCAACCTAATAAACTAAAAGTAACAATATCTATGTGGACAGGCTAGAGAGCATTTTAACACAAACTATCTATGTTTTTTTTTTTTAAAAAAAAAAGAAATCATAAAGCTACCACTCATTAATTCGGTCGCATCATTGATCTTTGCTGTGAGGTTAGACACTGACATGCGGTACTTTTACAAACTTCAGATAAATGGCTCTCTTTCTCTCTCTTCTCGTGAATACCAAGATTTGTTCTCTTAAGAGACTGGGCTCGCCCCTTTTTAGTTTATCAATAAACACGGGTGCGTCTGTGTCTAACTTTAGTCAGGAGTTTTCTCTTGCTCATTTGGTGAGACATGGTATGATTCGAATCATAGAGAAAAAGGTACCATGGAGAGATAGATAACATGAACGAAGGGTTAATATATATATACCAGTATGAATAGAAGATCTATAGCCCTAATTAATCGGTCCTCTGAGGCAAATAAACTTGCTCTAAATATAATTCTCTTGTATTATTGTGCCCCTTTGAAAAATATAATTTACTTCTCTAAATTCGAATTTTAATTCTAATTCCTTTAGTATCATAAGCACATTTTTAGAAACATATTGGTTGATGAGGGAGTTCAATAATCTTCCATTATTTATGCGGCAAGAAAATTAGCAATCTTCTAATATTATTTTCTTTATTATTAAATAATAATAACAATAATATATTAACCACATTATACCGGTAAAACTATTGGCAAAATGAGAGCCTTTTTTTTTAAAAAAAAATTGAGTTAAAATAAGGAAAAATATATAGCAAAATAATAAAGGAACAACAGCCGCATAGCAGTGTCACGTTGATAGAAGGTACTTAGCTTTAATTAATCTTTCAAGAGGTCTAATGTTGGTGTCAATTAACTCTTGTTTAGATCTCTAGAAATTACAATATTTAAGGTCTGTTAATCTTTTCAATAAAAAAAACTGACTTTACATATTGGTATCTTTTTGCTTTTTGCTTGTCAAAAATCCTTCTCTAATAATCCTTGTAGAAAAAGTACTCATTTGTGGGCTGTGTGTCTTTTTTATTTTATTTTATTTGAAAGTACTGAGAGTGCACCATTACAGTAAAACACATTTGTAAGGCGCATTTTTTGGGATAATTTTTTTATATATTTAGGTAGAAAGTAGGTTAATGCTATATAAACAATAATGCCATAAATGTTTAATATGATTCTTAATAACCTAAGAATATTATTACTATTCTTTTGCACTGTCTATTTAAAAATGAGATCCATTCATAATGGTTACTAACTCTTAAAAACACGTCTTTTATTCTCGAATAGTGAGCCTTACAAATGTGTTTGAATATTTTTTATCTTTAATTATATTTTCGCTATTTTAATGGCGTCAGTTTACAAGAAATAACATGAATATATAATTGGCCGAATATTTGATTAAGGTTCTGCAAAAAAAAACCGACAAACCTTAATCAAACTTGGAAATTGTTGGTGTTACTGTCACGTCGCCTTTCATCTTCAAAGGCCCTAAGTTTGTGTTTTAGACCGAAAACCCGAGTCCACAAAGGTATCTAATATCATGTTAATTAAACATTTTATTAAAAACTCTCCCAAGGCGCAAGGGGCAATCTGAAAAGATGTGGAGAGAGCATTCGGAGTGTTGCAAACATGTTTTGTAATAATTGTTGGGTTAGCAAGAATATGGAGTTGTAAAACTCTACATGATTGTTGAGCATGAGAGAGAAAAGGGAATAAACTTTAATGGGAACGACTGAAGGATATAGGAAAATGTAGTGGTAGAAGAGATAGAGATGCCAGAGGTTGTATTGACTGACACTATGGGAATGTCACCCTTGATGTCTAGATCAGAGATGTCACTCCCAGATGTAGGTTTTCCCAGTTAAATCCAAAGGCATATCGTCAATTCGAAACCGAGAACACCAATTTCAATTGAGACAGAATTGATGGAAAGCCTGTGACAAAGAGAAGGAGAGAAACAATTATTAAAAACACATTTATTTAATACATATATATATATTACAATTTAATTGCTATCTAAAGCCTTGGCATCATTACTATCACCCTTGTTGAATATGCTGGTAGGTTCCTTTCCTACGCCTCTCTTCCTGATTTCCCGTTGCTCCTCCAAAAGGATCTCGCGGTCTTCAAGATTTTCAATTGACAAAGGATTCATAAACAAGATTTGAATATCTTGAGATTTTCGGAGGACTGCGGTTTGCTTTTCTATGGCTAAGGTGTGTTCCTGTTCAATCTTGAGCTTTTTCCGGGCAAGTAATATACTTTCCTTAAGGTACTCAGTCCGTTCATCACCTCTTCTCATGAGTTCTTTTTGGGTAAGAAAAAACTTTTCAATATCATCACCACTCTTTCTTTTGGCTGATTCTTGGCTGTTTTCCAGTCCTGTTTTAACTGAGCGAGTTGAAAAAGCCTCTTCTTCTACCTCCTCATCATCAAAATCATCAACAGACTGACCAAATCTTGCCACCTTGGGTTTTGGCATCTCATTTCTTGCCGTTGAATCCTAAACCTTTGTTTAAATACCATAAAAAAAGTATGATATATACCTATATCTATATTTTATATGGGCAGCATTTCAATTACTTACATTTGATTCGTCCTCAGAGCCACCTGCTTCCTCCTCTCTTAATCTGGTTAAAATTTCATGATATTTGGTTACTGACTCGCCAATGCAATCCCAACGGTAAGACAAGGCAGAAATAGTGCGTTTCTTAGCATTTTCAGCGGAAGATTCAAGATAGTGTTTGGCTATTCTCTGCCATAATTCATCACTATCTTGTTCACAAGGATTCTCTGAATCATAGGCAACATGAATGTAAGAACGGCAAAGCTGTTCATCGTCTAAGACAGTGAAATCTGTTTCGGAAGATGAATGCTCTTCTACGTAAATGTTGACAATATGTATTACCAAAGTTACATGAACAGAACTCTTTATATTAGTATCAAATGTAAATTGCTCGCGATAAAAACATTACCTTGGTCAGGAATGTTGGATTCATCGATTGGGGTGGCGATGGGAGAGTTGGTTATTCTTTAAAAATTTATTTTTTATATATATTTTTTTGGTAGTAAAAATAAATAAATAAATAAATAAATCAAAAAACGATCAAAGTATATATATAGTAGATATATCTGTCTTATGTATTTCCATGGATTTGATCTAATTTTTTTTTCTTTTATATTTGGTGTGGACAGATCGAAAAGATTAATCAAAGATAAAACAAAAAAATGAATTGAATTGGCCAATAAGAATACCTTTTATGAGTCCATACCGTTTTCTATTTATTTATTTATTTTTTTTTAAAAAAAAAAAGAAAACGCAAACTTAGTTCAAACGCATCAAAGAAAATTAAAGTGTTTATATTACCGTCCCTTCTATCAAGCATGAGATTATACTCATTCAAATTGGCAATGGAAGAAAGATGGCCATTCAGAGTCGCTTGAACTTTTTTTTTTGATCATTTGTTTGATCAATTTAATTGATCAATTTTTTTAAAACTCTAATCTAATAATACGGCTTGACATCTTGGCCTTTATTTCATTTTTGATTAATCTTTTCAATATACCCACGCCAGCTGTATTTATACCTTTTCCTTAACACTTGTATCAATTAATCAGAAACAATTTAAACATGCTACTTATTAAAATGAAGTTTTTTTTTCTTTACAATAATGATAGTTATGCCTTGGCAAGCTATCATTTTTAGTATTGCATTTAAATAGGTATTGTACATCTTTAACTATAGGTTTGAGGCTGTGATATCCTGTTTTACTATTTGAGATAATTATTGAAGTAACAAAGCATTTCTTTGGACCCTGTAGTGTGCGTAACTGAATGTTGCCTTTATATTACTATATACACATTAAATAGGAAAAAAAAAACCGTGTATAAATCAGGTTTGTCAAAAATACGCACACACGTGATTTGTAAACTCATTCCATATTTTTTTTCCTTAAAAAACATTAGTTGAAATAAGCGTATTGTTACTATAATTTTTTACTTTGATTTATGCAAAAAGAGAATGGACGGTTTATCTAATAGCCCAGAGCCAGTTGCTGACTCGGCAAGTGCTGCAATGCCTCATAATAATGAGCTACCATTGCTCATTACCCACCACAGTTTAGTGCATCAGAGAGACTCAAAGGACTTCATCTGTTGATTGATTCCAGAACCGATGTCCAAGTCCAAGCAGAGCATGTTCCTACAGAGACCACACATTTGTATCCAAAACTAGCTGGATTTAATTGGACTTGTTATATTACAACCGATTCAGCTGTCTTGGGTAGGTCACGAACAGACCAAGACAAACAGACTGCCAGAGCAGGAGAAGTTTATATTGGTCTTGGATCCTCAAAAGCAATCTCACGACGACACGCGGAGATAAAATACAATCCTCGAAGAAAACGCTGGGAAATCAGAGTAGCAGGAAGAAATAGTATCAAAGTCGGTCACTTGGTCAAGAAACGAGGAGATCCACCCATCGTATTAAGCACAGGGTACTAATAATAATAGCAATAATACATAGTTGGCTTGTAACAACACTAAAAATTGATATTTATGTATAATGTGAACCTCCTAAAGGTCCTTACTGGATATTGGAGGTGTCCAGTCTGTGTTTATCCTTCCTGATAATTATTCAGGCCCACCACAAGAAACATCGACCAGTACACAGTCAACAGTACATAGCACAGAGGCGGCTACACCAAACTCAGAGAATGATACTGTTCAGCTCGGCATGGATGATGATGAAGCATTAAAGCAAATATTGGGACTTTTACTAAAGACTACTCCAAACCGTCGATCTACTAAAGATATTGTAGATTTTGTTTGTCAGAATACTCAGGACAAAGACAGCAAAGAATACAACAAGGTAGTTTTGAGATATTTCCTTCTTTAACAAGCTATTATTATCTAAAACTGATGTTCCTTTTTTATATACACAAAAGGAGACTGTGCTTAGCATGCTAGTAAGAAGTTCTTATTTCTATCTTGAAGACATTTCACACACAGCGTCACAGGCCAGATCCGATGAAGCACAATGGACATGGGATGTACAAGAAGGATCTGATAATACTGGCCAGTTCCGTGGACAGTCCCACATTTCACAGGATATGTCAGAGTGTGGGGATTTTGAATTCAATTCAACTGGATCTCCAGGATACACCAGCCAATCTCCAAAAGATTTTGGATCATCTGAAGGACCTTGGCTGGGACATGGTGCTTCAATTGGAATTAGTATTGCTGATATCTACAGCACATGGATTGTTGCCAATAACCGGAGTGTTGATACGGATGATATATACAGCGTTGTCTTGGACCGAGATACTACGCGAACAACTGCGGAAAATATAGATCCTGTACTGCCTTTCAAACGTATTAGGACCGAGACTGATGACGGACAGGCTCATTATCAAGGTATTGTGAATTTATGATGAGAGAAACAACCAAAGAAAAAATAAAAAAATAAAAAATAAAAATCCATATAGCACCGACTAACGATTTGAGATCAAATCCATGGAAAGCAATCAGGACAACGGTACTATACCATTAGCTTCATAAAGACGCCAATACAATAATAAAGTAAACGTAAATTTTGATTCTTTAACACCTTTTTAAAGTCAACAATAAAGCAAACCCCTACTCCCCCCTCTCTTCTTTGCTTTCCTTTCTTTATTCCCTGTCGACTTTGAAATCATTCCAACCCTGCCACTAGTTTTTCTGTTGGTTAAAAGACTATTAGAAAAAATAAAATTTAAAAAAAAACAAAGTTTGAACCTTCCGAAATCTTGCTTCTTGAAATAATGATACTAATAATAAAAGACTTTAATATATCAAGGTCCCTTAATATAAAGCTCTTATTCTTTGTACGCCAATTACACGAGCGTTTTTTTTAAAGTAAATAATAAAAAAACAATGCGGGATTAGTTGAGTTATTTTATTGGCTTGTATGTAATTACATAAATCTTTAGGTTAATATTCAAGGCTTGCAAAATTATATGTCTTATTGGAGCCGTTGATGAGGCCTACAAACTAAATGAGTATTTGGTACATAGCTAGTCAAAATCATTCTTTTCTGGAGAGATAATAATAATCTTATAATATAATTGAAACCAACTCTTTAATCTTAAGGTGGTTTGTAGACTACCCAAGATAGGCATACTAAAAGGGTTTTCTTCAGGGTTGATCCAAACTCACAAACTGTAAAAGAAAAAAGAAAAAACTCAGACGCTTTTCATCAAAGTGAGTATTTTTTTTGTTCAAGCGAAAGAAGAAAAAAAAAAGAAAAAAAAACCCCATGATCAGGACACAAGTTGTGCCTACATAATGATTCCTATAAATCAATCAATACACTCTCTTCAACCCCTCCTCCCCTCTCCAAACCTCACAAGCAATCTTCATAATCCTTTAATATGAACGTCGAGCCTGTGATTCCTGAGCTAACACCAGAGAAGGTCGCCCATTTTCTACCTCTATCCGGCCATCTTCCACGTATCGAAGGAAGGATTATCAACGTAACTCACCAGATTCCATACAATATCCTTCGGTCAGCCAAACCATCCCACTCCCACAAGGCTGCTTCTATCGAGTCTGCAGTCGAATCTACTGCCATAGCTCATCAACTGTCCCAGGAAGCACACAATCGTCTATCTGACTTGAGTAAACAGTCCATTCAGGATGATCCTGTTTTAGGTGCTCCTATTTCCAAGCTGGCCCGTCACCATCACAGAGGGAAAACCTTGAGAGTCAAGTTCACTGCTGCTGATTGGACTGTGGTCGAGAGACGGGGTCATGCAGCACTTTATGCAGGCGTTCACAGCCTTGGCCAGTCTTGGGAAACTATTCATATCGGTTGGACAGGCCCAATTAGAGTCAAAGGCACCAAGAAAACCATTCCACCACACGAAATGACCGACGAGGACAAGTCTGCGCTACAAAAACTACTTTGGGAGACTGGTCATATAGTACCTATCTTTCTTGACAACAAGTCCCATGGACATTATGAAGGCTATTGCAAGGAAGGTAAATATAAAATACAATAGTTTAATGGTGTACGATTTAGTGCCTTACTATTGATCTATTTATACAGTGCTTTGGCCATTATTTCACTATGTTGTCTGGTCTGATTCCACAAACGGGCAAGCCGAAAAGAAGAACTGGGCTGATTATGTGGCTGTAAATCGTCAGTTTGCAGACACGATCATTAAAACCTACCGTCAGGGCGACACAAGTATGTCTTATTCTATTTTTAATAGCAGCCTAATATCGTACAACTAATTCGAGTTTTCCAGTTTGTATTCACGATTATCACCTCTTGCTGGTACCTGAGATGTTACGTGCCTCCATCCCAGATGCTCCCGTCGGCCTTTTCTTCCATGCAACATTTCCTAGCTCGGAAATCTTCCGCTGTCTGACAAGTAAGGAGCCCTTTATTTATCTATTTATTTATTTTGTACAGGATTATTTAACTGCTCAATTCATAAACCATTACCCTACTATCTTGTGTATAGCTCGAAATGAAATTCTGCAGGGTATGCTTGGGGCGAATCTTGTAGGCTTTCAGGTAATACACACAGATATACAGATAGCAGATACAGAGATGTACATATCAATATACATATCCATATCCATATCCTTACATACACAAATGCCCAAGCATTAACTTAGTAATCAATTAGACCTATTCGTACGCCAGGCATTTCATTTCATCTAGCACACGTGTGCTTGGATGTGAATCCACCCAAGTTGGCGTCAATTCGAACGGCCAGATTGTATCAGTTGGAGCATTTCCAATTGGTATTGATGTCGAGCGTGTTCACACCTTTAGACAGCAACCAGGAGTGGAGCCAAAAATGAACGCAATCAGGGATATGTACGCTGGAAAGAAGATCATCATTGGGCGAGACAAACTCGATTCTACAAAGGGTGTACTCCAAAAACTTCATGCATTTGAGAAATTTTTAGCAATCTATCCCGAATGGCGCAACAAGGTTGTTCTTATCCAAGTGGCTACTCCAACATTTGGTGACCACTCCAAGTTGGAAACAAAGGTATCCGAGACAGTGAGTCACATTAATGGTTTGTTTGGCTCTCTAGAGTTCACACCAGTTCATTACTATCATCAAGACATCGACCGTGATGAGTACTATGCCCTCTTGTCAGTTGCCGATGCTGGCCTCATAACATGTGTTCGGGATGGAATGAATACAACATCTTTTGAATACATCATTTGTCAGCATAAGACACACAGTCCATTGATTCTTTCAGAGTTTGCTGGAACGGCGGGCTCTTTGAGTGCAGCTATCCTCGTCAATCCATGGGACTACGCCGGAGTAGCCAAAGCATTGAACGATGCTTTGATCATGTCACCAGAAGAGAAACTTTCAAGACATGGGGTAAATCAAAGAAGAAGAATACAATTTTTTTCTTTTCCTTTTTCTTTCTGGAAATATCATTAATATGTATATGTATATGTATATATATCTTTTATACAGCAACTCTATAAACATGTAACAAATCATACTGCATCCTTCTGGGCACATTCATTTGTTAAAGGGCTTGTTAGCTGCACTGAAGAACAATCCCTCCAGTCGCACTCCACGCCGGCCTTGAATGTAGATGCGCTCAAGAGCACGTATATTGGATCAAAAAAGAGATTGATGTTTTTTGACTATGATGTAAGGAATTCAAATAACTAGCTATAAATGAAAAAAACCCAAACAAAAAATGTTAATAAAAAATACTTTTTTTTTTGGGTTATTAGGGTACTCTCACACCTATTGTGTCTCTTCCATCAGATGCTAAGCCATCAAATGACATGTTGACTAGCCTCAGAGTTCTTTGTCAAAATCCACTTAATGTTGTGTGGATCATATCTGGCCGTGACCAGGCCACACTTGATGAGTGGATTGGTAGTAAAGTGGACAACATCGGACTCAGTGCTGAGCATGGATGCTACATAAAGCCACCAGGTGCTGAGAAATGGACAAGTATCGTTAGTAATGTAGACATGAGTTGGAAACAGGATGTGGCCGAGATCTTTGAGTATTACACAGAGCGTACTCAAGGTAGTATGGTAGAATACAAAAAATCCTCTATCACTTGGCACTACCGAAACGCAGATGCAACCTATGGGTAAGCATTAATATATTTTACTTTTATATTTTTGTATTTAACTGTCAATTGTTTTTTTATAAAGTGCTTTCCAAGCAAAAGAATGTCAAAACCATCTTGAGAATGCAATTGTGTCCAAACTTCCAGTAGAAATATTGGTTGGAAAAAAGAATCTAGAGGTTAGACCGATGGCTATCAACAAGGGTGAAATCGTGAAGCGGATATTGTCTCAAAACCCTGATGCCGACATGGTTATCTGTGCTGGTGATGACAAAACAGACGAGGATATGTTCCGTATGCTTAGTAATATTCACGTAACATCAAGCACCAATAACAACCATAGTCAGCAGCAACAAACGTTCCCGGGGTCAGCTCCCGTCTCGCCTCATGATCCTCCTAGCCGCTCCAGTTCCTTCTCACTCTTACCGCCACAATCGCCTTTATTGCCAGAGAAGGCCGTGTCTTTGTTTTCAATTACAGTAGGACCACCCGAAAAGAAGACTATGGCTAACTGGCATGTAGACTCTAGTTCTGAAGTGGTTAAATGTTTGAGACTATTGTCAGGAATACACAATTAGAGCCACTATTTCCGATTATCTTTACAGTCTAGATATAACACAAAGTAGTATATACTTTAGTTCCATTGATATTTTCCTTTATTGATTCAATTCATTCACAATATAATGAAAATAAATAAATCAGATAATATATATATATAAAAGATACCATCCTGTCTGTCTATCTTTCTGTCTGTCTCTTTGAAAGATAGCAAGTTAGCATGTCACGTGTAATGGCTATGCAGTGCTCTGAGGTGTGGTTGTGCAAAGTATCAATGCAGTAATTTTTTTTTTCGTTTTCTATCTTCTCTATGCGTTTATACTCTATAGCCATTATCCTAACATTACTTGGATCATGGATGACCACTAGTTTTGGTACGTTTAATCAATGTTACATGAAGTTTAATCTATATACTAATTTTTTTGATTCTTGGACTAGCGCAGGACATTGCTTCATCATTGTATCCTTACATATACACCGATGTAAGCACCTGGCCATGTGTTAGACTATTGAATGCAACTGGACAAATAGGATGCCATGGTAATACATAAAAATAACAATAAGACGTATATTTATCTTAGACATAATGTCATCTCTTTTTTCTTCTTCGGCTAATTACTGTGATTTAATTTGATCTTTAATAGTCCCTAATGGTGCTGGTGGGATTTTGTATCAAATAGAATCTCAAGATGAAATTAATAATTTCGTATCAAAACATGGTGGCTCTAAGCAAAACTATGCTGCTGTAATTCCTTACAATCTGTTAACAAAGTTAGTAGTGTAAATAATAATAATAATAATAATAATCCCTTTATATTTTTATATATATATATATATAATTTTAACATTTAATTTATAGGGCAAACATCGCTGCTCTGGATAGTACAAAGTGTATCAGTGGATTAATTGTGCTTTTGCGCGCATCATCAATGGTCCCAGAAGCATCTTTGAGTTCACCTGACACAAGCTGTCCAAATTGCCGATTTGGATTATACGCAAATGATCCCGATCAATATGTTTGGAATCCTCAAGTAAGCTAGTGCTGCGCTTAATAACTAGATTAAAGAGAAAAAATAATTAAATTTTATTTTATTTTAAATGAATTAAACGATTCTGTATTTCTAAATATTTTTTTATAGGGACAAGGGCTTATAGAAGAAAATCTACCGTTCCCTGTATTTGGATTGAACCCTGTAGACACGGTCTCAAAACAAGTATTCAATATTGTTATGCGAGTAAGAAATTCAGTCATGCTTATATTATCATTCTGAGAATAAATAGTGGGTCTGATACAAGAATAATTCGATATAGGGAGTTGCATTCAATCTTAAAAAGCAATACACAGACTACCCTTTGCAAGCCATCGATTTTAAACTTTTCATGTGGGCAGCTATAGATTCTGAGACTTGTTTAAGACGAGGTAAGACACAATCGAAATAAGATTTAGCTTTATAAACACATAAATGTCAAACTAAAATAAAAAGGTTGCTTTTAGGATGGTGCCAAGTAGTCGGCGGAACTTCTGTATTTTCTTCACCATCCCGCCAGATAGCTGCTGATGATGGAAAGAAGAGTATTGTCTTGACTGCCAGTTTGGATAGCCGATCTCTTTTTCACGACCTTACAAATGGAGTAGCGACTTCTTTATCAGGATTGGTTGCACTCTTGACAGTAGCAGAATCACTCAGTAGGGTAAGAAGAAGAAAAAATAACGATACCATAATATAAATTTCAATTTATTTATTTTTGGTTCGTTAAACACTTTGTTTTCTAGGCACCCGTTTCTCTAGAATTGCTTCCTAAGCACATCGTGTATACAGGGTTTACAGCAGAGGCATGGGGGTTCGCAGGATCTCAGCGATTTGTACAGGATATATCAGCTCAATTTCAATGTACAAATGCAACAAGAGCATCTGTATGCCCTTTTTTAAATGCGCCATGTACATTTCCATGTGTTCGGTCCATGGATTTTAAGAGAATTAATATCGACAATATCGATTCTTTAATCGAATTTAACTCTGTATCCGGACTTAATTCAAATTATAGCAGCTATTGGGCTCATGTAGATGATGTTGACCTGACACAATCGTTTGTTGCTGATCTTCAAAAGAATAATTTAACATTACCTGGACAAAATTCCCAAAATACTATCCAGGCTGCAAACCAAGATGGAAACCAACGTAAATTGCCACCAAGCAGTGCAATGAGCTTCCTCCAAAAAAATAGAAACATTAAAACAGTTGTTCTAACTGATTTTCAAAAAGAACTCGGAAGGTAAAGGAAAAAGAGTATTGATCATTTATATATATATATATTAATTCTTCTATTTCTTGCCTAGCTATTACAATAGTGATATGGATGACAAGGTTGATCTGGATCTAATGTCACAATCTATATGTGGGCTTGCAGATGCTACAGCAAAGACTGTATTCTTAAAAGCCCAGGAGGGTGCTTCTACAATTATTCCCGCAGAAACAATTACTGCAAATTGCACACTAGTGTCTTCTTTACTTGACTGCCTTGCATCGAATTTTTCGTGCCCAATGATGAAAAACTACTTTAATGGTGAGTGAACATTCTGGACATTATGGCCGTATCTGTCAAGCTAAATGCTTTTTTTGTCGATAGTCTCAAGCGTAGGACGCCTGAGCCACTATACCTCTGTGTTCTCATTTGTGAATCCACAACCTCAACTCTTGTCTCGTTTTGTATTCACCTTTCTTGGAGACGTGACAGGAACAAGGCGAAATAATAGCGACCTGGGGCCATCTGGCTGCTCTACCATGCAAGACTGTATTTCCGGCGAGTACTGTATTCGGAAGCAATGTGTGTCCACCATGACAGCATATCATGATGCATACGGAACTGGGCTTACGTATAATGAGTCGACAGGAAAAGTGAGCGTTACAGACCCAACAAAGGGTACATGGACAGAAAGCACGTAAGTCATAAATGAGGGGAAGCATTAATTCCTTAACTCACACTCGTTCATAAAAGATGGGACACACCTACAATGCGCGTGTTCTTGGTAACTTCTACGAAACATCAGGTTATAGAATTGGTTGTAGGCGTACTATGGACTTTGATCAGTATAGCAGTTGTGATATTTGGTCGAAGTTTCTTGAAGAAGACCTTCAAAACTGATTAGGGCGTCATATCTGTATTTTATTTGTAATGTGCTCATAATTTTCTACATATTAAAAAACTTAATATACTTAATATCCGTGTGTGAAGGGGTTTTTCTTTTCAAAACACAAAAAAAAACAAAAAAGGCAAGAAATATGCTCAAGCAATTTTAATAAAGTCTTTGGATTTAACCACTTTCCCACTCACTAGCTAGTTATTAGATAATGCATGGCCATTAAATAGAATACACTCCAAGTGATACAGATAATGAAATGTGTGCTCTATACGTAAATGCTATCCAGTATAATAACAATTTCAATTCTTTACTAGATTTTTATTATTCTATTAACACATATGGATGATAAAGCTCCATTCTTTTTTTGGTTCTCTGGAAGTCTGAGATTATATCAACGGTTTTTTACCAAAGTCACACTCGACATAAGCTTTCCGTTCCTCAAAGCATTATCGATTCTCTAGTAGTTGTTCTACGCACCATGGCGGATCCACGAACACAATTGTTGACAGTTCTGCATGAGGCAGCATCCCAGGACTATGCACGAATGAGACAGGCAGAAGAAATGTTAAAACAATGGGAAAATGCTAGTCAATTCTTTGCTACTTTGCAGGTAAAAAAGAAAAAAGAAAGCAAACTTGTCAAACTTCTCTATTTCACCTCAAGTGGCTTTTACTTCTTTACATGGCATACAGCATCACATAATTGTAATATCTAGACAGCTAACCATTTTAAAAATTTTCTTCTAAAGGACATATTCTACGATCGTTCGGTTCACCATGATGTCCGTTTCTTGAGCGGAATCTACCTCAAGAATGGTATTGATCGTTTTTGGAGAAGAACAGCAAAAAAGTGGGTAAAAAAAAAAATGAAATGTATATGTATCCATGAACACTCTTTCTATAGTCCTATTGCACCAGAAGAAAAGATAGCCATTCGATTGCGACTACTTCAATTTTTGGATGAACCTAGCAAAAAGGTAAATTATTAAATTATATTGTTTTACAGTGTTTGCTTGTATATCATAGATCGTTAACTATACAGTACACTTGTCATAAATTTAGCTCGCTTCTCAAAATGCTATCATTGTGGCTCGTATTGCACGTTTAGATTTCCCAAATGAATGGTGCGTTTTACATTAAAAAACAGTGTGCGAGTGTTACTTACAATGTTATATATATATATATATATATATATATAAAGGCCAGAGCTTTTGCCAACTTTGATCCAAGCTATTGAAACTACCAGCTCCGGAAACAACGAACAATCCCGGATTATTCATGACCGTTCCCTCAGCATGTTGTATGAAGTGTTGTCTGAGCTTAGCACACGTCTCTTGTCAGCTGGTCGAAAACAATTTGCTTCAATTGCACCAAGAACATTCCAAACAATTGCTCAGGTGTATGCAACTTACACTGAACGAACAATTGCATATATGGCCAATATACAAGCTATTATTACCGATTCTGTTGCTAAAGCGCGTACAATTGAAGAGCTAGAAATTACTTCCATGTGTCTTAAATGCTTGAGGATACTTATGGTCAGCGGGATCCGCGATGTCCATAAATACGACGAAACAAAGGTGAGATTATATAGTGGACTATAAATTGAATATTCTATGAATATTAAATAAGCCTATTAAATTACTAGATGTTCATTCGAATGAGCCAAAGACATATTCAGAGCTATGTTGATATTCGTACGTATTACTATACTTTAATAAGATAAATTATCTGTATTATAACCGCTTGTAATTTACAGACACCTGTATTGCTCAACTAAATGTTTCTGGTGACATTGTGAAGGTCTTGGAAACCGTTATTGAGGATTACGGAACCCTTTACCTTGGTTTGCAAAAGGCACATCCTGTGTCCTCAGCTCTTTGCACCTCATGGGTGGATATTTTAAAATTCTATTGGCATAATATTGTGATGCAAGGCGACGCTTTGGTTAAACAACATATACCAGGTAAGTTTAAAATCTAAATTAAACCGCTAGTGTGTCATTTGTTCTAGTATTCTTACCGTGACTATTCAGGACAAAACAAGGACCCTAGATTCTTCCAACAGTTTTTGCTCCAAGGCATGTGCTTGATTAAGAGTACCATAAAAACCATGGCTCAGAACTGGCAAAAGACAGGCAAGTTTGTTTTTTTTAGAACTACTCTTATTGTAGACTTGCTGACTTGAATATTTTGTTTTAGCCAGCGAGAGTCTTTCTGTAACAGACGAAGAAACCATTCTTGCCAATGATGCGTGCCGTATAATTAATGAGCAACTGCTTACTCCTGACTTTGTTCGTACGTGCGCAGAGACCTTGGTTTCCAAATATATGCTCTTAACACCAACCGATTTTGAGCAATGGGAAGAGGATCCAGAGACCTGGGCCAATCATTCTGATACCGAAAACTGGGAATTTGAAATGAGAGTAAGCAATAACAAAAAAAATAGGAGCGATATTTCTGAGGGGGGTATTAATGTGCACGTTCCATATAAGCCATGTGCAGAAATGACATTCATGACACTCCTGACACAATATAGAGACTTGTTGTGCCCTATAATGCTTAATCTTACGGAACAGGTGGCTAGTAAGTAACACAGGTATCATTTTAAGAAATGTACTGATCACCACACAGCTGTCGTTGATCAACAGGGCCTTCTATTCAAAGACGCTGTATACTGTGGTCTTGGACTTGGAGTAAATACACTGTATGGAAAGCTAGACTTTGAGTTATTTGTTGTCAACAGACTCCAACCCGAAGTATCCAACAAAGAACCCAGGTAAGACAACGAAATAAAAGAAACATTTGTATTACAACAATACTCAAAATTCAAAATTCTATTATTATTATTGTTATTTTTTTTTAAAAAAAAGCTTCAAGATTTTGCGGCGTAGAATAGCTTGGTTGGTTGGAAGATGGGTTAGCGAAGGCATTAGCGCAGACTGCCGTACTATAATTTATCAGATACTTTTACAACTTATGGTGGCTGAAGAGGACCTGGTTGTGCGTCTGACAGCTGCTCACAGCTTAAAACTAGCCATCGATGATTGGGATTTCGATCTTAGCATCCTCCTGCCTTTTCTTGGCCCAGCAATGGACCTTCTGATGGCTTTGTTGAATGAAGCTGAAGATTCGGACACGGTTATGAGACTTATTTCTGATCTCAATACCATCATGGATCGTACACAGACCGAGGTAAGAAAGGTTGTACGTTTGGAGATTTGTATCATTAACGATCACCCTGATTTTAGATCATTCCTTATGCACCAAAGATGATCGAATTGCTTACCCCTCTCTGGACAAGAGCCCAAAAAGAACCACTATTCCAATCATCTTTGGTTATTACCTTTACGAAGATATCTGCAGTAAGTTTTGTATGAGTCAAGCTTTGTGATTTTGACATGTTTTTCTTGTTCTTCTCTCTTTGTAGATTCTTAATGAACAATCCGTTCAGCTCCAAGATCTTCTTATTCCTATGGTGGAATACTGTGTCAACAAAAACAACGTAAGCCTCAGTTTAAGTTACATAGGTTATTTAATAGATTCCAATTGACACACCTCTTTTTTCTCTTTCTTTCAACAGGAGGCACATGTTTATCTCATAGATGATGCCCTCGATTTATGGTGGACATTACTTCAAAGCACACCATACGCCAGTCCTCAGATGATGAAACTACTCCCAATAGCTATTGAGCTGTTGGATTTTGATACCGAGAATATGCGTAAAGTACTGAAAATAATTGAGAGCTACATTCTACTCTCTCCAGAGGCCACTTTACAGGTATTTTCATATTTTTCTAAAAAAAAATGCCTAGAAATCAGACTATTAATAGAGTGAGCTACACAGCAATATGCGATGGGGTTATTTGGACGCTTGGCATCCTATGTTGGAAATTCAAAGGCGGAAGTGGCATCCAATATTGTCAGCACAGCGGACCTTGCGCTGATGTCTGTTCCAATTCAAATGTATGGGGATGCTCTTGTACAGTCTGGATTGTTGGGAAGCGTTCTTCAGACTTTCCTTCAAGAAGAGGTAAGACTCTTATTTAATATTTAATTTATTTATTAATTATATATATATATATATATTTGATATTCTCACAGCTTTATGCGTACGCTTTGATGAACTATATGACATTGTTTGCCAGGTTGGCAATTTATGATGCCAATCTTATCATTCAATTCATTCAAATGGCTGGACAACAGCTTAAGCCTACTTCTACTGACTTTCTTGGTGAACTAATGGATTCGTGGATGGACAAAGTAATAAGCTAAATATAAAGATGTCGTACAATAGAAATAGATCACTGATTGTGCTTCAATAGTTTGACAACCTGAGCCACCCACGTAGCCGCAAGCTAACTTGTATGGCTTTCACCAACATGGTCCGAACTGGAAACCAAACCGTCCTCTCAAGATTACCGGGGATATTCTCTATCTGGACCGACGTACTTGCAGAAACAGCAGACCCTGACTCTAAAGAGTATGTATTTTCAATACTTATTTTATAGACTTCATTCACTAATATATTTATACCACAAAAGGGCACTATTACACAACGAATCAGATCTTGAGGGAGATCTTGCACAGCTCGATGAGTCACTTGAGAAGAACAGAAAGTTAGAGGTTAGGAACTACATATAAGGATCTGTTTTTTCTTTTAAAGTTTATAGCTAACTCATTTGAATAGCTTTCTCGCCGAGATCTTGTGTATACCACTGATCTTGTATCTATGATTCATCAAACTTTGACTATATGTGAGGCTAATCACGGGGGATCTGAAGCATTCCATCAGATGTACTTGATTAATGTGGATCCTAGCCTTCTGGAGCAGGTTAACCAAATTATGTCTGCGTTATGAACACAATAAATAGAGCGATAGCGTGGGTTTGCGGACACCAAGAATATGAAGAGAGTATCTAACTTTCCTTAATTGGTGCTACAACAGGGAGTCCTATTTATCAGGGGCAATTGTTGGTATATTAGATCAAAGGACTACCAAAAAATATATCTATACTATTATTTTTTGTTGCCTTTTCATTTGTTCTAGAGATTGTTCTTTGTCTTGGTTTTTCTGTCTGGTATAGAGAATATCTTGTAAATCTTGCATAATATATCCGTTGCTGTTTAAAGTACGGATATCGACAAAAAGGACATTCACCCTTTGAAAGGCAACCCATGTAACGTGCATGGTTAAGACGGAGTTATGATTGCAATGCAAGCACACTAGTGAACACACGTTTTTAGACTACTGACACCTATTTAAACTGAGTCAATTCTTGATTTCCTTCTGCTCTTTCTTCCCCACAATGCAAATCCCAGTGCCATTCGACACGTTACGGCAGGGCATCGAACAGCCCATAGTTATCCGCAGTGCAGCCACCTCGGTTGCAATATTCATAGGCTGGTATCTCTTCTGGCACTTCTCTGGTTACATCAAGACAATACGCCAAAGAGCTTATGTTCTATCGCTCCTCAGCAGCTTTACGACTACCATAGCATCATTTCCACTAGTGTGGGACGTTATACGCAACAATGGAGACTTCCAGGTACTGATGCTTCCCGAAAGACAATGGCCGATTGCTGTCACAACTTTCTTCTTGACCTTCTTGACACTTGACCTTGTTATTGGCTCAGTCTTATATCGCTCGAAAATCGAACTATTGACTGGCTGGATTCACCACATCGTCTATTTTGGCACTCTCATATGGGTTATTCAGCACAAGTATTGTAGTGCATTCGTGACCATGTGTGTTCTTGAGGCACCCACTTTCCTCCTTGCCCTGGGCTCAATCAACAAACGACTGCGTCACGACTACCTATTTGCTGCTACCTTTGTGACGTCTCGCATTGTCTTTCATGCTTACATGATCTATAATGCCTATGTATTTTTGCCTTATGGTCACATTGGAGGCACTTTGTTTGCCTTCTTTCCATTACACTGCTATTGGTTTTATGGTGAGCTAACTTTAGTGACCGCCATATTTATAGAGGAATATTGGCTTACATTCTTGGCTAGGCTTCATCAAACAACAACAACGCATCCGCAGTCAACCAAAGAAGGGGAACAAAGAATCTTCAGATAAGATGGTTAGCACGCCTGCCGCAGATCAGAAAAAACAGCATGTGTCGCCTTGTACAGTTAGTCGTACAAAACACCAATCCAAGACTGGTGTTTCTGTACAGTACAGCATTTCTAAAAATTCTTCTGTGATTGATCGCCTGGCGTTGAGGTTACCAGAAACACTCCAACGTGAACTTCGTCTTCGATATGGAAACGGTATACCATATCTTGGCGGAACTAATGTGTATACCAACCATGAACACACAAATCACGAGCCCTCGGTTGTTTCGGTACACTAATGAGCACAATACTATACACATTTCTTTCTTCTTTATTATTTTTCTTTTCTATTTTACATCTTTCATCTGTCGTTCTTTGCTTTACCCAATTCATTCCCATAACACCAGTCAATCAATCAGTTGGTTAATCAACGAACTAACTAAAATAAAATAAAAATCCCAATATTTATATATACATATACACATACACATACACATATATCAATCATATTTATTTCATTATTAAAATACAACCATAAAAAAAAGATGCATTCAAATTGATATTTTATCAACATATATATCAGCTAATACACGTTTTGTTTGACTAAGAATATTTGGGCACTGGCTTATATTAAGGTAATCCAACTGAACTTCTTTGTCAAGTGTAGGCTTTAGACCCTGGTCGGTTACTCGGAAACACCCCCGAATGTTCAGTGAAAGGGGCGCATATTTGTGTGCCTGTAATAGCATATATATCGATGTATCAGACACAGCAGAGCAGCAATAGCTAGCATCCAATTCCACAAGGTGTTTCAGCATTGTCACTGCTTCCAATGATGCATCGCTTAGCGAACAGCAGAAGCTAAGCGAGAGTCTCTCCAAGTTGGGGGCAGCTTTTACCAGAGCAATTATTGCGGGATCCTGAAGGAAGCTGCAATCTGATAAAATGACTGTATGTAAGGCAGAAAAGTTAACATTTGACAAAGCCTCAAAGTCCTTTGTGGATACGCCAGTACATCTTTGAAGATTAAGATATTCCAAGCTGCCCGAGCAGTATGTAGCTAGTGCGCTCATAGTCAAGCTGGATAGATGCTTGCAATATGACAACGATAAGTAGGTCAGACCATCAAATCCTTCTGCTGCTTTAGATTGAATTAATGCTGTCAGTCCTTTGTTAGTGATCTTTCGGCAGTTAGACAGATCAAGGCTAGTGAGACGAGGGCAATTGGAGCTTAAGTGCAAAAGACCTTTATCTGTCACATTCCAACAAGAATTTATGTTTAAACTCTTGAGGTTCGGCATTGTTTCGGATATGACCTTGATGGCTTCGTCTGTCAAATGGAAGCAATGAGAAAGATTAAGATCCTGAGTGCGATCTCCAGCAAATACTACTGCTCGCATTAATACAGCATCTGTCATGTGGTTATTGTAAGGACTTAGGTCAACTTGATGTAATAAATTCTTATTGTTCTGCAAGAAACATCTGTATTTTTTTGAAACAGCTGCCAATCGAACCAAGCCAGAGAAGTCAAGGAAGGTTGCTACGTAGCCTAGAAGACTTGCACCAAGCGCTTGTAACTTGTCTTTTTTTTGGCTATAAATGCTGGATTTTGCTTCAGCTGGAAACTCTGGCTCTGCTTCAATGTGTGTAACAATATCCATTGGTTCTGTCCTTTGCTCTGCCATAGCCAATAGACTTGGGTCTGTCCAAACAGCAACGCTTGGTCTTCTCTTTCTCGTCTCTTGTTGTCTCAGCATAGTTGCTGCATTTGGTAGGGTAGGATCTTGATCACTTGTTGTACTGCATACAGAACTAGCTGTGATAGGAGTAAGTTGCTGTGAGCCGAAAGTAAATTGGCTATTTGTCATAGGAAGTTGTGTTTGTTCTGGTAATGTCAAATAAAAGAAAGTAAGAGACAATTCATTTAAAGTCATTATATATATATATATATATATATATATTGCGCTTACCAGGCATAACATGGCTTTCTTCTGAAACCTTTACCTAAGTGGAAATGTCATTAGCCAATATTCAAAGAAATACTTGGGTTTCATATAGTTTACTTTAATAGTCTTACCCGCTTGTTATACTCTTGCAAGACAGATTCAGCTAGTCTTTTGTAGTGCTGTTGCAACTCAGGATAATTCTGGCACACATCCAAAAAATCTTTTCGGTTGAGGACATATACTTCGAGGTTGGTTATAGTCCTAACATTAGCAGCCCTTGGTGTACCCAGTAGGACTGTTGTCTCCCCGAATGAATCTCCTGCGCTCAGTCTGGCCACCACAACATCAGTTGTGCTTGGAATAACCACTTCTACAGTACCTTTAAAAAAGTCACAAACAAACATAATATTTAATAATTAATTTTAGAAGAAGAAAAAGAACTCTTGACACTAGACACACCTTCAATAATGAAGAATAGTTCTGTTCCAATATCACCCTTTCGAATAATTAACACATTTGGCATATATTGTCGAGGCTGAACACACAGGGATATCTGATGCAGAAACTCTTCTGGACTGTCTTTAAAGAAGGAGATCTAAAAAAAAAGCACAATCATGAAATTTAGCTTTGATCAGCCGTCTGTTTATTTTTACCTTTCTCAAACGCTCGTAGGTACTTGTTCTTACAAAGAACTCGACATTGCGTTCAAAACTTGGTTTTCTTGTCTTTATGCGCCCTCCAGATGAGTTAAACTGCTGTTGACTCTTCTTTAATAAAGCTAAACGCTCCTCCGCTTCATATCTCAACATTTGTTCGACTTGTGGGAATCTTGGAAGTAATGTTGAAACATCCTCGGCCATTAAGACTGCAACTGTACATTTGTCGTTTGCAATAACTGTTGCAGTTCTGGGCATTGAGTACAGAATACCAATTTCACCAAAACAAGAGCCTTGCTTCAAAATAGCATAAACGCGCTCATAATCAGCTGAGCACACGCTGACAGACCCACGTAGTAGGAAAAACATGGCTTTGGCTGGTTCTCCTTCACGGATTATGACATCCTGGGGGCTATAGTTTCTCAAATGCATACTACAGGCCAATTGATGAAGAAAAGCTTCATCTCCGGTGCGTTGAAATAAAGAGTGTTCACGAAGAGAGGAAAGGAGTTTGGGAGGAATAGACAGGTTTGTTGTATAATCCTGTGTGTTCCATTTTGTATCTTTTTCTACGTCCAGCATCATTTTCTTAAATTTAGAGGAGTAAAGAGGAAAGGAAGAAGGCAAAAGGGATTTATTTCCTTCCTTTCTTGTAATGATCTAATTATTGGGTACTAGTGTGGTTGTCTTGGGAAAAATGAGCCTTGGATAAGCACCCCAGTCTCACCCAACTGGTTCAAAGAAACGTCATGACATCGGAGTAATGCATAGCACTCCAACGTTGTTGGAGTTGGCTATATCACCTCTTTTGTTTTACAATTTCCATTAGAGTACTCAAGCTATGGTGTTTACCATATGTATAAGTGTGTATCAGTAATGCTGACATGTTAGCTTGATTATGGCTCTTATGTATAAGCATGAAGTCTAAAGGGAAAGGCATTTTTATTTTTATTACTACTATAGTCCGATTTTATTGCCCATGTCAAATCCATGATCTAGTCATTAATTTAGATAAACAGTTTTTTTTCACATAAAAAAATGAATAATAGCTAAAGTAATCTGTACATACATTTCAATTGAATCTCTTTACATAACACCTTATATATTAAAGAAGATTGATTGTGCTATCTGTAGATTATTAAGTTAATGATGTTTTTAACAAATCAAACCAATATATTTTATTTATTTTTGCGCTGTATATCTGATTTCCTTTTTTGGACCCACTACTAATTTTGCGTTGTCCATGGTTTCCACCTCAACACGACTTCCAATTGCTGCTCATGCAACCTATTTCTTTGAAGGTTTATGCCAAGCCTTTAATTGGAAAGATGCAATAAAAGTGTTTTGTGCGCAAGTATCAAAACCTTTCTTTCTCTTTGAAAAAGAGTCAAAAAATAAATAAATTATGTGTGTTCTGATCGCGATTAGTTTTCTTTTTCATCAGTTCAGCTGCCATTCGCAAGGCAATGCTAATGACCGTCGTCTTAAATGGAGGAATGTTTCTTGGATTTCTTGTAATGATGGAATTATTCTATAACTCTCCTGATCATCACTTATTTGGGTATTCCTACATGGTAAATAAGAATAAATAAACGCAAAACAGAAGAAAGAGAGAAAGCTTACTGTCAACTCCTTAGGTTTGGACAGGATATCCAATGTATCTTGCATGTTTGATTGTAAATGGGAGGTTCTTTCAGTCTATTTCCAAGGAGACATTTCGCTTGCAACCTAGTCCTTCAATCCAGATAGATTTGTTAGGCACAAACCAGGACATGACTTTGGCAGTCTACACAACATTGCTTTATACAATTTTTGCAATTTTTGTCTTTTTATTGAGACTTATCCCTATTGTTGGCAAAACTATTTCTTTTGTAGCAAGCTGTATTATAATGTCTTACTATTGCTTCGAGTAAGGGTACAGATAGTAGTATATGAACATTTTAGTAATTTGTTTTTCTTTTAGATACAAATGGACCTATATTGGTTGGAGTAAAGATCAATCCATGCTATTCATTGAGAAGCATTGGGCATATTTTCTAGGTTTTGGTATGTTGTATGATACTTTCAAGATTCGCTCCTATAACTTGGCGCACTTAGGGCTTCCTGTTGCTGCGCTTACATTTTTCCTCTCTACATTGCATGCTGGTGCCGTTTTTGCACTTGTATATCCCAGTGTATGTAACTATCACAAAAATACATAACATTCAACTAACTCGTGATATCACTAGCTTATAATAATAGCTTCTTCAGCTTCACCAAAACCTAGTATGGCTGTATATGGAGAACCACTAGTGTCAGATGGTCCTGTCTACTTTGAATCGTGGACATTGCCGCTTCATATCCCTCTATTTTACCCTGTCAGACAAATGAGCCATCTTACTATATATCTCATTAAAACCGTGGGTGGGAAAAAAGCTGATTCTATCTTGACCCACAAGAAGGATATCATGGGAAAGTTGGTGTAAAAAGAAAATTAAAAGATACAACATAATACAGCATAATACAACCCAAGAATCGTACATTTTACTTTATTTTTGCTTCAATATAACATCAGGATAAACCTCTTTCTTTCTTTCTTTTTAAGAAAAAGAAAACTCAAATCAAAGGTTGGGTGAGAATGCACAAGATCTTGTTAATCTTTTTTATTATTTGGGCTATAGCTTTTAGGTTTGATTTGGTCTGCTTTGAAATTTCTTTTGTTTAGCAAAGAAACATTAAGCTCTTGTTTAATGTAAATGATTTTAAAGAAAATTAAACCAATGTACTTATATGTTTCATAAAGGTGTATAATACATATAATATAATCGGGTTTTATGGGATTGCTTTTAGGATAGTTAATAACAGATATTCCGTTTATGACATGGGTTTATCTAAGCCAAGAACATCTAGACTTTTCTGGGTCTATCCAGAGCACTTGATACTATACTTACTTTTGCTATTACATATTAGCAATCTAGAATAAGTAATTGTTTGTTTGTTTGTTTTTTTTTGGTAAAAACACGACCATGCAAAATCAATAGCTTGGAAGTTTTAATGATCTTTTCTTTGGCTGTAATCATTCTCCGAAGTTATGAATGCCCGAATAGACTCCACTGGTTTTGGGGTTTGGATATAGGTATTACTTTATTAAAAGGTATATATATATTTAATAATTTAGTAGTAGTTTGACATACATCAAAAGTAATAGTAGTAATAAAAAAAAACATTGGTACACAAAGCATATTAGACTTTGTATTCTTTTTGTTCTTTTTACAGCCATATGGTGATATAAAGAATACTGTTGATTTTGAGTGTATTTATTCTAATCCTGTAATTTAGATACACTAAAGTTCATTGAACTATTCCAAGAAACGCCTGTGGCATACTACCAAATGTCTAGTCAAGTAGCAGAGTCAAACATCTTTGTAACCAACGTGTGAGTACAAAAATAGTGGCTATTCCACCTTTTTCTCTCACCAGTCTGGCTGTTGTTTAATCCACTACCTTATTTATTTATTTTACTCCTCAATTACCACTGATCCTCAATCCTTGCCCCTCTTGACACCAAACTTCCGAGGCTACACAAGACAAGAGTAGTTCTGAGTACAGAAATCAAACTCAAAGCCAAAAGGAAAGCAAATGACAGAACAGTTATAGTCAACCTCTCGAAAACAACAAATGAAGCATCATACATATTATGTAAGAGTTATAATATTAATCATCTTCTGGACCTCACAGGGCTTTTGCCTCAACCTGAACATGATAAGCTTTTTGTGATGCCCGACAGCGGAGCACTGCCACCACACAACAGGCACACACGCACACACGCACACACGCACACACCCTCGCACTCTCTCACACACACACGGAAAAGTGTGCTGTATTGCGTCACCCATGGCATGAAGCGGAACTGCCAGTTGTCGCCCCACGCTATCATACCTTTCTTTCTGCTTTTCCTGTACTTTGACCATGAATCTAGGCGACAGAAGCCACAATGAGCTATTGTTCATCAATTTCAACCAAGACTTTAGCTGTATATCCTTAGGTTCAAAGCGAGGATACAGAATATATAATTGCGACCCATTTGGCAAATGCTACTCCAAGTGTAAGTATCCGCACAAGCATAACTATAAACTACAAGCTGATATTTTTGTATAAAGCTGAGGGCGGTACTGGCATTGTCGAAATGTTGTTCTGTACTTCACTTGTTGCATTGGTTGGCGCTGGGGATGAGCCTACATTCTCCCCGAGACATTTACAAATCATCAATACAAAGGCAAATACACCATCAATAAAAATATTAATAATAATAATAAAAAAAAAACTAACACCCACTCATATCAAATCCCATTACTACTTTACAGAGAGAGTCCACCATTTGCGAACTCAGCTTTCCTACCTCAATCCTGGCTGTGAAAATGAATAGGCGCCGACTGATTGTCGTTTTGGAAGAACAAATATTTGTATATGATATCAGCAACATGAAACTTCTTCACACAATCGAAACTAGTCGCAATCCTGATGGTATATTCTACTTTATAATTTCATTTTATTTTAAAAAGGAAGAGAAAAATATATACTGATAAAGTTCATCAAAAAATTAGCCATCTGTGCACTGTCGCCTTCTAGTGAAAACTGTTACATTGCATATCCTTCTCGTTCATCCCCAATCTCTCCTTTTGAAACCAACCAGCAAACCACTCAGTCTTTCTGTACTACTGGTGATGTCGAAATCTTTGATGCTAGTACACTTACCTTGGTGAATATCGTGCAGGCCCATAAGAGTCGTATAAGCTGTATCACCATGAATGCAGATGGCACTTTGTTGGCAACAGCAAGTGAAAAGGTATATGAAAATAAAAAATAATAATATAAAAAAAAAGAACAAAGGCTTGATGGTTTCTAATATATATGTGTGTAGGGTACTGTTGTTCGCGTATTTTCGATCCCAGATGCCAACAAGGTTTACCAGTTTAGACGTGGATCTTACTCTGCAACCATATATTCAATGTCATTCAATCTTGTGAGCTCTCTCTTATGTGTCTCCAGTGACACCGAGACAGTGCATATTTTTAAACTTGCACCTGGCACTTTACCAAACTCAAATGGAAATGGAAACGGAAATGTTTTGAATGGTAACAGTAATGGAGGATACAATACAATTTCAACCAACAGCAACAACAACAATTCCAACAACAATTCCAACAATAATTCCAACTCAAACGGTCAAAATGGAGCTGAACAGAGAGGCCGAAGTGCAAGTGTTGGGTAAGGTCTATATAGTTATTTTTATTATACTTTAAGGTTGGGATTTGAGGATATACTAAATAAAATAAGTATTCTGGTTTCATTAGACAAATGTTGCGAAGGTCTTCTCTCCATTTCGGCCGTGGAATTGCTGGTAGCGTTGGTTCATACTTACCAGAGATGATAACCGAGATTTGGGAACCATCCCGTCATTTTGCTTCACTTAAATTACCAAGCGCGGGTGTGCGTAGTTTGGTGGCTCTGAGCAGGTTAGTTGCTATTATTTGTGTGTGGGTGTGTCTATTTAATATATGTATCAAGTTGTACTGAAAAACTTAACCTAGTACTACTCCACAAGTAATGGTAATCACATCAGAAGGCTATTTTTACCAATACAACATTGATCTGGAGAATGGTGGTGAATGTGTACTCTTGAAGCAAAACAGTTTATTGGAAGTAGGAGATGGTTCGGAAGGGGATATTCCTGAATAGTATTCTCATTTGATATGTATATATCTTTTTATTATTATTATTATTTTGCAGAGTAACATTTCTTCTTCTAATTCTTTAGTTCCCCTCACCCACAATTTTGTTTTTTTTTAAAAAAAAAACTTCTTATATTTCCTTCCCTTGTCTCTTGCTTGTAAGCAATATCTAATCAATGATACACAATTATTTTGAACATGCTTTTTTTTGTCTGATGTTTAATGATTTTTACTATTGTTAATTATTTTTTGGGTGAATTGTTGAGTTTTATGCCTGTTTGTTTTTACGCTTTCCAGAAAGCTTGATATCGTCTCCCAAGATATCCTTGAAAAGATCCTTCTTACGCTCCACACCCTTCTCTCTCTCGACCCACTCGTCGTGTCTCCGCTTGTATTGATCAATCTTGCAAGTCCAGAGGATACATTTACCAATATAATGTTCTGAAAGATCGTATTCACGTTTCACAAGTTCAGAAGCAATACGTTCCTAGAAAAAAAATGAGATATTAGTAGCTATAGAAATCATTCGTATTTAGCTTTAATCCTACCTTCATATCAATATCTGCAGCAGCCCAGCAGTGTTCTACAATATGACTGCCAAACTTGTCCTTTGAGAGATCAGCATAGTGACCTTGCAAGTTGCGCATGATCTTTTTCTTCATCTTGTCATTGACAGTAGGTGATGTTAAAATTGACTCATAAGCACGGGATCCGACAGGGGAGAAGCACCACTGGTATGTGACATCAGGTCTTTGAGACAAGAAACTGTGATGCGAATGTTAATAAAGCAAACTGAGTGTAAATAAAATTAAATATGTTTACCTTGTTGTTGCAATTGCGTTGTATTGTGCTGGCATCTTCATAATAGATTGTAACAATAATGAGCCCTGCATGTGGAAGTTACGAAGGTTCTTCTTTTCCTCTTCGGAAGCAGCCATCCAGTCCTAACAGTTGTTTTTTTAAGTAAATCTAGCCAAAGCTTACTCAAATATATATATAGTCTTACTTCATATGTCCACATACGCATAACACAATTGACAAATTCTTGACTTCCATCAGTCGGCATGTGTAGTGCGCCTGCAAGGCCATTTACAATATCTTTCTCGGCTGTACCCAACTTCAACGAAGCATCGACAAGACTACGGATAACACCAAACTTGCCATTCTCTATTTGAAATTGTTAAATCTCCCTTTTTTTCTCGTGCCTTAGAATTTAATCAAACATGACTTACTCATCAATTTTTCAAAGGATCCACTGAGTTCTTTAACTATCTTTTCAAACTGCTCTGCGTTTCTGGCGTTGGTCAAGAAATTCTGAATCACAAAATTGGCGATTGGATTTAAGCTAAACTTCTCCAGCTTTTTCTTTAAGTAATGCGTGTAAATTTTGTTGTAGACAGGAGTAGGAGCAACCTTGAAGATTACTTCCAACAAATGCGATCCAACAGGGTCACGAATAAGGGTCTCGAACCAAGAGTCACGATCCTTGTTCTCAGTAGGCTTGGTAACATCAGATACAACACCCCACAAGATACGATCCAAAAGAACATTCTTTGCCTTTTGACCCTCTGAATCCTCTTCCTGCATTTCCAATAAGAGTTGGAGAACTGGGCTTGCTACACGATGTACAGACAAAGCGCGCACATCAGTCTCTGAAGAGGTTATTGCTAATTCGGTAGACAATGTGCGGAACATCTCCTTGAATGATGCAGGAACGTTTCTGATGGGCGAGGCTTTTGAAGAATACTTTGTGAGAGTGTCGTTGTTCTCGGTCTTGTACTTTGTGGATCTCTTGCTTCTCAATTGTCCTTTTACGTCATTAGTTTCATCGACACGCTTTCCAGCCAAAACAAACAACAAGACACGGATAACATGGGAAGCAAATTGCTGAGAAATAAGACCGCCTACGACAGGTTTAATATCCTAAAAATCGTATGCATATGTTTATGAGCAAACTAAAAACCAAACCCACTGATATTTTTCTTTTTACCTCGCACATTCCCAAAATAAGTTTTTCCATTGAAAGAAGTTCGCCTTCTTTATTGTCCTCAGATGTGTCCATCTTGTTCTCATTGGAGCCGTTTTCGTTTACTTCCTGTTCAACAACGTCAGCAGCAAGAGTTACTACAGTTTGGCACACATGGGAAGCAAAACGATGAGCGAACAATTCGACAGTTCTTTATTTTTTTAAAGAAAAGGGAAAAAACAGAACAAATTATTTAGTACAAATTATATCATAATGTTATTATGCTATATTATGATCAGCTTACCGTCCCCTGAGTTTGTCCATAAAGACACGGAGCTGGAATGGGTTCGAGATCTTGAGCAACTTTTCGAGAATGAGAGAGCAAGAGTAGTTGGTAGCTAAACGGAGCTCATTACCCTCGACTTCACTATAAACGTTGTCGACGAACAAGCGCTGATCTAAAATATAGATCTATTAGCTGAATGTGTTCACATTTGGTTCCAATTTCACTCAGTACCTTCTGCAGTTTCGAATTGAGGATCATCAAGAGAGCTTTCGACGTTTTTAAAGTAACCGAGCAATTGTTCCTCTACTTCTCCGTAATGACCTGCTTGGAAATGGGGGCTGTCATATTGGCCGACTGTCAATGACTGACCGCCTTGAGGTTGATCTTCGCCACCGAATGAAGTGTCTTCTTGGCCAGGAACGCTGATCCCAACTCCTTTCTTTTGCTTCTTTCCTCTCTTCTTAGTGCGTCCTTTTCTTTCGGTGGTTGACATTATGTGAATTAAACTAAGTAATGCTTAACTGAGAAATAAAATAAAATAAAAAGGTCAAAAAAAGAAAAAATGGGCTGTGACTTGACCTGCGTGACCCTTCTTTTGAGTTGTCGGGGAGTGTGTTTATGCAGGATTTCAAATCAATCTCTTTTTCATCCTGCCCGAATAAATTATTTTACAAAAACAGATTTGCAAGTCGCACAATTTGAAAATACAAGGCGCAAAATTTGAAAATTGAAGTCGCATTTTTGAAATAAATTTTTTTTTTGTATGGAGCCAGGAAGAAAAAGCCCAGGATTTTATTAAAGGTCTCTGATTGAATAGGAAAAGAGAAAATTAAAATATTTGTTTGTAAGGTTTTGTAGATTATATGATGTTTTTGGCTTTTAAATTTTATGGTTGTTTTTGTTTTTGTTTTGTTTTGTTTTTTAAAAAAAATGGAGGAGTTATGGAGAGTCCAGCTCTAGTTCAGAGCAGAGATGAGAAATTGACTTGCGCGCAGTGTGGAGCACCGCAGAGAGAAGGAAAGGGATAGAGTTAAAGTGGAAAGACCAGTGGTGATCCCAAATAGCCAGGATAGTTAGGCCAAAGACTGAGGAAGCAGGGATCGCAGGGTTAAGCGTGGGGGGGAAGACGAAGGATTGGAAAGCGTTTGAGAGGACAGAGGGCAGAGGGACGGTGCCGAAGAATTCCAACCAAATGCCTGTCCACACAGCAGATTTCAACGGGCAAGCGAGAAGAAAATGTTCTTGCGTCTCGATGGACACCTGGCAAATAGTGCAGAGAGGAGAAGAGACGGTGGATGGCATGATGCGGTACAGAAGTGCTCGGCACGAAAGCTTATTGTGCAACCCGCGAAACCAGACATTCCGAGCCCGGTGAGGGAGGGCGAAAGACCAGAAGGAGCGAGGTTGTCGTGGGATGAGAGGAGGGTGGATGGGACGAGCATCAGACAGTTGATGGGAGCAGGCAGAACGGTAGGAGCGCGTGGTGAGCCGGGACCAGGTCTGACCGGGAAGTTGGGCTGACAGAAGTGGCTGGAGGTCAATGGACGACCCGTCGCGAATAGGAAGATCTGGCTGTTGGAATGCCAGTACAAAAGAAAGAATGCATGCTCGAAAGAGAATGGGATGCAAGACCATTGTATGATCGCGAATTCTGTTGAGGATGCGGTTAAGTGTGACAGAACGGGGTAGAGGACGAGAGGGAGTGATGGGTGTGAGTATATCCAAATTGGACTCGATTTGGTATAGATGGTGGACTCGCAAATCACGCCAAGCAGGTCGATACGGAGGGTGAGAGGGCATACTGGATATCATAGAAGACAACGGCAGGATGAGACAACTGGAAAGGTTGAGCACCACTCTGTCAAAGTTTCGGGGAAGAGTATCCATAGCCTTCAGAACCAGGTTCAGCGGGGAATCAAGGGTGCGATGGTTGCGAGGACGACAGTCCGGAAAGAGTAAGGGAAGAAGAGGATCAACGGTAGGGACGTCGGAGCGAAGAAGAGTGGAGAACCATTGGGGAACAAGACCATGAGGCAGTAGAGGATTACGGATAAGGGGCTTCAGCCAGCGAAGTTGGAGAGCACATTGCTGTATACCAGGATCCAAGATACCAAGGCCACCCTGTAGTCGGGGCAAGCAGAGAGTGTCAAAAGCAATGGGAGGAAAAGAGTTGACACGGAAGAATCCGCGCACGATGGAGCGAACTCGGTCAAGGAAGGCGGAAGGGAACGAAACCACACGAAGGACGTGCCATAGTTGAGAAAGTACAAGAGAGTTCATGATGGTTGCCCGCCCACGAAAGGAAAGAGATCGTGATCCATGAATACTGCAAAAGGTCTCAATTTTTGACAGGAGGGTGGTCCCGTAGGAGTCTCGTTGAGTGATAGAGGAAAATAATGGAAAACCAAGATATCGGAGAGAGGTAGGTGACGTACGATCATGCCAATCAGTAACATCGTATGCACGAAGGAAAGTATTCCAGTCGGGGAGTGACGATCCTGAAAGGGAGAAGGCTTGAGTCTTGTGCATGTTTATGCGAGCGTTAGATGCGGCAGCGTATGTGTTGAGATGGTGGTGAAGTCGAGACATGTGATCCGTGTCTGGAAGAAACACCAGCAGGTCATCGGCATAAGCCAGCAGCTTGACAGGAGGTAAAGAGGGAAGAGTGGGAGGGACAGAAGGGAGGACACCGAGGAACAGAGGATCGTGTATCACGCGGCGAAGCAAAGGCTCAAAAGCTAGGTTGAAGAGAATTGGTGAGAGAGGATCCCCTTGTCGAAGGCCACGGGCTTGCGTAAGAGGGCGCGAGAGAAACCCATTGACGTTAATCTGTAGCTGCGTAGAGAAAAATAGAGAAGAGACAGAATTAACGATGGAAGGAGGGAAGCGGAAATGAGCGAGCACTCGACGAAAATACTCTGGGTGTACTCGGTCATAAGCCTTTTCCTGGTCCAAGAGCAAGCCAATCCCTGAGGATCCATCCTTCGCGGCTTGTGCCATGACCAAACGAGTTAGCATTCCATTATCAGCTATAAATCTACCCTGAACAAAACCAGTTTGATACGGGGTGATAAGTGTGGTAACAGCAGAAATCATACGAGCATTCATGAGACGAGTAAACACTTTTGCATCGGTATTAATCAAGGCGATGGGACGCCAGTTCTTCAGAGAACTGAGATCGCCTTTTTTGGCAACAAGCAGACACAAGTGGACTGCCAAGAAGGAGGAAAGATTCCCTTCGACAAGGCATCGTTATATATCCGGGAAACGAGGTCGCCACACACGGGATGGGCGAGAATGAGGCAGAGAATCTCATATGGCAAACCATCTGGGCCCGGGCTACTAGAGCTAGGAGAGCGGGCAGCGCCTGACCGAATTGTGTCGAGAACGAATGGCCGAGTCATATAGTCCTGTGCAAGTTCTGGCAAATGGAGATCTGAAGACAAATGAGAGAGCAGCTCATCCACAGCAGAGTAGTCTATAGGATCAGGGGTGTACAAGCCTTCATAGAAGACTGCTGCGGCCTCAGTCATGGCGTCGGGTGTGGTGCAAATGTCATTTGTAACAGGGTGACAGAGGCTTGCAATGGCTTTGCGGGATTGGCGAATGGCGATAGTGCGTTTGAGGTATCCTGCAGAAGTCTCACCCTTTTCCCGCCAGTATTTCCCGGCCTTGAGAGCCATAATCTCGACCCGTTCAAGTTGGACTTGCTGCAACAATCGTTCCACAATTGGGAGTTGGAAGTTCTGGGCGGGTTGGTGGCGGAAACGGTGAATGAGTCGGTCCCGTCGTTTTTGTAGGCATGTTTCCAGGTCGTTCAGAGAGGGGCGAAGGTGGCGAGAGAAACATTTAACGAAACGAATGACTTCGAGCTTAATCGCATCCCATCGGGCTTGAGGAGAAAGATCAGCGCGAAGGGCAGGAACGAGGGTGGAGAGAAGAGTGTTGAGATCGGTACGGAACGAAAGTGATTGTGCTAGGTGAGGGTTAGCACGCCAAAGTCCCTTACCAGAAGACTTGGTTGAAGGGAGGGACAGACTGACTGCAACCAGACAATGATCAGACCATTTCTGGTGAATATAGCTCACTTGTGGGTCTGTAGTGCGAGGGTGAAGGTCTGAGGACGCAAGGATGTAGTCAATGGTGGTGGAAGACAGGGCTCGGTGGAACGTAGGCTGAGGGTGCTGGCCACGAGGAGTGATACAGTCAGTCATATTGGTATCTATAAACTGTAGCCAGTCAGCTGGAGCACGACGTCCGAGAGCATAGTGTGAGTGAATTGCATGGTTAAAATCGCTCAATAGAATAAAGTTTGAAGGATTGGGAGGGATGAGGTCAGGAGTGGACAGTAAAGAGGCAAGAAAACGATAACGTGGAGTTTGGGAAGCAGGCGCATAGATGGCGCCTATCCTGAAGGGCGAAAAATTATTATCCACATGCGTGATAGTTGTCATGATACACCTGCCGCATGGGCTAAATAGAGGGTCAGTGAAGATAATGTGAGGGGAAAGGCATACAACACCGCAGTATGGAGACCATAATGATGAAGAGGACCGAAATTGTTGGTCAAAGGTAGATTGAAGCATAGATGATGAGGCATGGGTTTCTTGCAGGGCTAAAATATCGATTCCCTGCGAGCGTAAATGGCGTATGAAAAAGGAGCGTGATTCAGGGTGTCCGACTTTGGGTAGACCCCTACAGTTCATAGTGCCTATTTTAATCATTGGTTAATGTTGGCCTCTGCGCCGAGGGCTTTTGTGGTTTGTGGGTGAGTAAAGCGAGGAAGAGAGAGAGATGTATTGCGGCCTGTTGGACGTGCCGGCCGGGAAAAACGGAGATGAGTGTGGCGAGAGGCAGACTGGAGTCGGAGAGCCCGAGCCTCATCTCTATCCATGAGATTAGTTATCATTCTGTCGTCTATCTCTTTGTCCCAGCCACGCGTGGGGGTGTCGACAGAACGGCTTCGAGGACGAGGGCCGGAGGACGTGGGCGGCTCAGTTGGTGTCGGTAGAGTAAAGGTGGTCTTTGTGGGAGACAGCTTAGACAACTCACGCAAAGCAGGTTGACGAGGGTTGTGCTTGGAGGCCTCCGATCCTCCGTAGATGAGTGAGAGCTCAGTGGGAATCAAAGGCTTGGGCGCAATGATGGGGCGATCGAGCTTCGAATTGCGGTTGGGGTGGCGGGAGCGCTTGTTGGACGTCTTGGACGTCTTGGAAGGATCGGTAATGTATGGACAATTGGCTTGTAAGTGACCGGTCTTGTTGCATCCAAAACACGTTCGGGTTTCGGCTGGGCATTTGGTGCATTTTGCGACGTCGTGCCCCATTTCCTTACAGTAGGTGCAGTGGGAGCCCATGGAAGGCCACTTACCAAGAATCTTTTGCGTATCGTCGTATGCAATTTGGTACGTCAGAGAATCTGATGGCACATCGTCGGTAGGTGTATTGGCGAGGACAACATAGCCAGAACCGTCAAAAAACCCATATGATTCATGAATGGCGATCTCCCGCACTTTGCCAAAAGGAAACATACATTTGGCGAGTTGTGTAGCCAGGTCATGATAAGGAACACGAGGAAGCTTGGTTAAGAAAACACGGCGAACAATTGTGCCAATGGGAACAGCAGGTTGAGTGGGGAAAGACGAATCGCCGACTACCAAAGGTCGAGAGCACGCTCGCTCGCAGTCAGCACTGGTAGGTAGATGGAGTTCACATGTATCAGGGGAAGAGCGTGAGCCAAGAGTGATGCCCATGTTAACCTCGCGAGGATAGGCTGAGAGAAGAGCTCTCCAGAAAGGGTCAAACTTGGGTGAGGATTTGGGTGGGACGGTGAAAAAAACTGAAAACTTAGAGGACCCTACACGCCAGGTACGTGGGGTTGTGTTATTCGTAGAGCTGAAGATAACATGAGGTTGCTTTTCGAGAAGTGAAAGTGCGTTCTGAGTAGCTACTTGCGAGTAAAGAGGTGTCGAAGAGGGTGAGATTGGTGTGAATGAGGTTGGCAATGGTGGAGATGAGCCAGTGGTGGAGGGGTTTTTGACCGCTGGTGGTTCCGGAGTGTTAGTGGAAAGAGCCATGCTTTTGAAATAAAAAATGTTCAATAGTATTTATATTTAAGCAAAAAGTAGAGTGAATATTATGTAAAATAATAATAGTACAAAATGCTTAATATGTTATTTAATAATTTGAAAGTACTTTTCTGTACTGCTTATTGGAAATAATATCTATTTACAACTTTTTTTTGTATTATATATCCTCACAGTAACTCTTAAAAATGCGACTTGTATAGTTTTTCTTTTGTGTTTATTGGTCGGCTACAATGCAAAGAACTTAGCAATTAGCTTTTTTGCTTGGTGATTCTTTTGACATTACGCTAAAGAAATGAGAGAAAAGAAGAAAGAAATCAATCAAGGGATTAGAAAGCCTACTCCAAGAAACGTCTTATTACCACGAGTTCCTTGGCTATTATCACACCAGGAAAAAAGGCTGCTAATCCATGACACAGATCCATTAAGCCCGCCAAATGACATCTATTGTAAAGCAGCTTTTATAGTGTGTTTTGCTTTAACTGTCATTTCTTTTTAAAGATACAAAAAAATAGCAGTTATGTTACCAATTTTCTTAGCCACAGTGTGAGGTAGACAGCCCGAATTCGAAAGGCGTTTTATTAGCGTTATAAATCAGTGTTGTCTCATATATCTATTAAGTACATAGAGAATTCCACCGATTGAGAAAGTGCTTTGTAAAAAAAAATTGTATAATATCTATGCGAGCATACATCTAAGTAAAAAAATAAAATCCCTAAAGAAAAACAAAAAGCTTTTTTGCAACATCCTTTATATTCTATAAAAAAAACTATTGGATACTAGCAGCTTTGTTTGAGAATACGATGGTAATTATTTGCTTCTCTAGCCAATATAATAGTATACATATATTGCTTTTTTCTTTGATAGAAGACATTAATAGACAAAAATGACAAGATACGCACTCTGTAATTAAGTACTATTCTTTGTACTCGGCTAATAAAGGTTATAAAGAATGTCTTATGAATAGATTTGAAAATAAAACACGGGCACTATCGATGAACATACTTATTTCTACTACAATCCCATAGCAAAAAAGTACTTTGTTCTCTGATGACAAAAGCAAAAACCGTGAAATTTAGAGAATATAATCAATACAAAATGGGTTAACAATAATAGTAGTAAAAGTTTCTAAACATTAAAGAGAAGACACCTAATATTGCTTTTTTATATTAGATAGAAATTATATCAGCAACAGCCGAAATACTGATTGCGTTAAAATCTGTCGAGTGAATTTACATGATGTGTTCGTGCTTGTAATAACCAGCATTTGGATATTAACTATGGAGCATTCTAGATGAAAACATATATCCCACGTTATATTTAACTAAATGCATGAGAAGATATTATTATTATTATTAAGTAAAATAATTGGGCTTTTGGTATTTTTTATCTGGTGCCAAATTTTTTCTCACCTCGAGTGTATATACAGTACTAACAAGTATGTTCATCGATAGTGCCCGTGTTTTATTTTCAAATCTATTCATAAGACATTCTTTATAACCTTTATTAGCCGAGTACAAAGAATAGTACTTAATTACAGAGTGTGTATCTTGTCATTTTTGTCTATTAATGTCTTCTATCAAAGAAAAAAGCAATATATGTATACTATTATATTGGCTAGAGAAGCAAATAATTACCATCGTATTCTCAAACAAAGCTGCTAGTATCCGATAGTTTTTTTTATAGAATATAAAGGATGTTGCAAAAAAGCTTTTTGTTTTTCTTTAGGGATTTTATTTTTTTACTTAGATGTATGCTCGCATAGATATTATACAATTTTTTTTACAAAGCACTTTCTCAATCGGTGGAATTCTCTATGTACTTAATAGATATATGAGACAACACTGATTTATAACGCTGATAAAACGCCTTTCGAATTCGGGCTGTATATATCAATTATTACTGCCTAGCTCGCTTTTTTTATAAGAAAAAATATCTTATAATTATTATGTCTATCAGTTGATGTGCAATAAATGGCGCATAATTTTTATTTTGATAGTGATAATCTAATGTATTTTTATTTTGCCTAAGATGAGATACAATTTAGCTCGCCAGAGATATTGGTACTCGCCTTATTAGTTTAAGAAATGTATGTGTAATGTACATTATACAAAGTAATTATTGAGTGCTTGGCAATCATTCTCAAAGATAATATTTTTGTAATTCACCGGCGGGCAATTGATATGAAGAACCATAAGAGTATATATTTTCTTCTCTACAATATAATATATCGCATCACATCACAATACAACACCCTTAAGAGCAATACTAAAACATTCATATATTTCTTTCGAGGAGAAATACATAGATACTATTCATCTAAGTATTTTTTATAGTACTCATTCTCAAGGAATTTCAAGAGAGTGCTAGGTGATTTATTGCTCTGTTGTATTTTATATCATTTAAAGGAATGATTGCATTTGCATTCATAACCACAGAAGAGATTACAATATAGTGACCATTTTTTTATTCTTTCTTTGAAAAAAAAATCAAAAGATTGTCTATATAAACAGTAACAATAAACTGGCCAAACCTCATCTCTCTATCTCTCTCTTTTATTCTTGACTTATCTTTCCGTTTGTATCTTTCTCTGCCTCTTCGTCTGTCTGTCTCTTTGCCTCAATATCTGCCTGTCTCTCTCTGCTTTTCTCTCTATTTGCCTCTCTATCTCTCTGTCTCTCTCTCTGTCTCTCTCTCTTTTGGTCTCTCTCGGCATCTCTCTCTCTTTGCCTCTCTCGCCGTCTTTCTCTCTCGGCCTTTCTCAGCCTTTCTGTCTTTGTCGGCCTTTTTCTCTTTATTGGCTTTTCCCTCTTTATCGGCCTTTCTCTCTCTCGGCCTCTCACACACACACTCTCTCTCTTGGCCTTTCTCTCTCTCCGCCTTTCTCTCTCTCTATCGGCCTATCTCTCTCTTTCCGCCTCTCTCTCTACGTCTTTCTCTCTCTTGGCCTTTCTCTCTCTTTCTGCCTTTCTCTCTTTCTCCGCCTTTCTCTCTCTCTCTATCGGCCTATCTCTCTCTTTCCGCCTCTCTCTCTACGTCTTTCTCTCTCTTGGCCTTTCTCTCTCTTTCTGCCTTTCTCTCTTTCTCCGCCTTTCTCTCTCTCTCTCTATCGGCCTATCTCTCTCTTTCCGCCTATCTCTCTCTTTCTGCCTATCTCTCTCTTTCCGCCTATCTCTCTCTTTCCGCCTCTCTCTCTACGTCTTTCTCTCTCTTGGCCTTTCTCTCTCTTTCTGCCTTTCTCTCTCTTTCCGCCTCTCTCTCTCTACGTCTTTCTCTCTCTTGGCCTTTCTCTCTTTCTCCGCCTTTCTCTCTCTCTACGTCTTTCTCTCTCTTGGCATTTCTCTCTTTCTCCGCCTTTCTCTCTCTCTATTGGCCTATCTCTCTCTTTCCGCCTCTCTCTCTCTACGTCTTTCTCTCTCTTGGCCTTTCTCTCTTTCTCCACCTTTCTCTCTCTCTATCGGCCTATCTCTCTCTTTATGCCTTTCTCTCTCTATGCCTTTCTCTCTTTACGCCTTTCTTTCTCTCTGCGCCTTTCTCTCTCTCGGCCTTTCTCTCTCTCTGCATGTTTTTACTGTCTATTATATCTACCGTTATATTTATTGTTATATCTCTCTCTGGTTCTCTATCTATATACCTCTCCGTATACCTCTCCATATATCTCTCCGTATATCTCTCCATATATCTCTTCGTATACCTCTCTGTATATCTCTTCGTATACCTCTCTGTATATCTCTTCGTATACCTCTCTGCACATCTCTCTGCACACTTCTCCATATACCTCTCTGCACACTTCTCCGTATACCTCTCTACACACTTCACCGTATACCTCTCTGCACACTTCTCCGTATACCTCTCTGCACACTTCTCCGTATACCTCTTTGCACACTTCTCCGTATACCTCTCTGCACACTTCTCCGTATACCTCTCTGCATACCTCTCTGCATACCTCTCCATATACCTCTCCATATACCTCTCACCTCTCTTCATATCTCTCTATCTCTGGATCCCTGTCTGTCTCTGGCTCCTGCTCTATCTGCCTTTTTATCTCTCTTTATCTCTATCTTGAGAGTGTTTTTCAATATATTTCTATCTGTCTTTCCAGCATATGTCTTTGGGACAAGAAGTTTTTTGGTAATATATTTATTTTATTTCCTCTGGATAAAATATTTCTCTTTTCAAAATTTACTAACACCCAATTTTATATGCTTAACATCTCTATATTAGTCAAGCTTTATTGATATATATGTATATATTGCTGCTTCTAAAGTACCACTTATTATCCGATACTATTTGGTAAATTTTTTCCGCCTTGTTTTTTATACAAATTCTTTTTTCTTTTACACTGACTCTGATACATATTCTCTGTATATTATTTTTGTACAGATATTTTATCGACAAGCTCTTGCTCAGAAATTCTACCACAGTTATTTGCTGTTTATTGGTAAAGGATTTTTCTTCACTGCTATTCCCGTTTATCTGGTAAAAAGTCGCTAATCTTATAGTATTGGCGGCTGGAGACAAATATTAGTTCACACACTCACATGGTCAAAAGCATAACATTTATACTTACTCTACTTTGAACCTCTTGTCTGGGCGTTTAGTTCTCGGATCGGATTAGCTTTCTTTATTCTGGACCTACGAGAGAGAATGCACGAATGATCTCTTGTACTGTGTTTTACTGTTCTTATTGGCGTATTTCACTGGCAGCTTTCTGCGCGAGTGTCCAGACGAGTTGGTTGTGGTTGTGTGCGATGCGGTGTGCAAGCCGATACTCTAGAAAACATCTACTGGCTTGGAATGGTGTATGCTGTCGTGCAGCGCTGCCTGAACTCGCCTATGTTTTCCACCCACTCTTAGTTGAAAAGAGAGCAACCAACTCATTTTTTCCCTCTCGCTGTCAAATCAGGTCTTCGTCCTGGGGGGGATGGATCCACTTTTGTTATTTTTTAACAAAGTGGTGAACTAAGAATTTGACAATTGTCTCTCTCTCTATATATGTATTCTTCGATTTAGTCAACTAATAAAATTATAATAAAAAACTCTTTTGATTTGAATTTTTATTATTAATATTTTTTTTAAAATTATCAACAACAATATCTCATGGTCAATAAATATTTAATAGGCTTGTTGATATTAATAAAAAGAAACTATGTACTGTATTATATATGTATATTATTTTTCTTTTTATGAATATTAATAAATAAATCAACAGTATAGAAAGGCTAGTATGTTGGTGACTGTGGTATACACACCACAAGTGAGTGAAGAACGGGCTCCAGAACCAAACACTGGTTTCTGCTTGCCAATAAATCTGGAAAGTTAATAATCTCTAGGACTATTACACACCAGACATATGTACACTACACACTCATACAGTGTAAACCAACCATTACACAACAGGTATTTGAATTATAGTTGTTTTAATAGTAACAGATATAAACAATATTATTTGGTCTTTTTAATAAATAACACTCTCACAATATTTACTTTTATTATTATTGATATACCAATCCATAAACAATCCCGAATACCTCAGTAAGCTTACAATTTTTCTGAACGGCTGGCATGGTATTATTATTAACTTATTTGAGTGAGATATCAACCGTGGCAATGCAATAAATTAATGTGTGTTTACACCTTGACACTAGATAGAGAGTCAGAAATGATTCAATGCCTATTATAAAAGACTTTCCAATTTGTTTTTGTTTAAGTAATTCCCGCAAGATAGTTTGTACTGAGGTGGAGATGGTCAGCAGACGGGATTTTGAACTCGTACATATTAGAAATGCTTGCCATGAGGACGCCGATATGTTAGGGTTTTTTGTAACTTTTTTGGTCAAGGACAAGCAGTAAGCAGTCCATTAAATATCTTTTTACAATTAAATGATATTTTTACTATATTGAAATACTCTTTATGACTAGCTTGTGCTCTAGTAATTATAATATATACGAAGTTGTAACTAGCTTGCTGCTAGTAATACGTCTCTGTGAGATTCGAACTCACGCTCTTCCAACCAAGGTTGGAAAAACACCTGTCAAGCCAACTAAAAAGTTAACTATAGACCGAGACGGGGGGAAGAAATCGAAAGACAAGGGCGAACTTCACTTTTTTAGGCAACGAAGACCGTATAAAGTTTGGAGACCCCGCCTTTTTCGTTTGGGATGAACGAGATTTTACCGTTCTAGAATTGGCATTATCAGGGTGTCTTTGCTTACGACTGCCTAGACAGTAATAAGCGAAAAACAATATATGGTGTCAAGTACAAAGCTGTACGGAGAACGAGTAACATTGTTTCCAGCACAGAGTGATGACTTAAAGGCGTTCAGTCAAAAACTCATTGAACAAGCACATCTTCACGAAAACAGGATCAGAACACCGATCACAAGAGAGTGGAGGCTTGAATAAAGTAATTTATCTTGCGAAAAAAAACTCCATTTGCTGTTACAATATCGGGTACCAGCTAGCAAGAAGTAGACTAGTACATCATGACAGTCGGACCAAACTCTATACTGACTCTTCTACTTGGGCTAAATAGGCGTCCCAACTTGTTAAATCAGTCATACCCCAGACACATGGATGCCTATCGCACGGGTTGAGTTGGTTTTATTATAGGTCAACTGCGTCGCTAGAACGTTCGGCTGTCAACCCATAAAAAACCAGTCTATCTGATCGTCTTTGAACCTCAACATCTGACATCAACGGGGAGGAGAGTATAGGGGGCTCGCCCTCAGTCCGTTTGGATTGTCATAGAGAGTGGTGGTATTTCATTGGCGCCCGGTGGCTCCCACCTATGCTACACCTCTCTATGACGGATTGACCACGTTGTACCAAATGTCAGAATAGAGGAGACCAGAGTAAACCGGTGTTTCTTGCTAGCCGTTCCCAGAGCCATTAACTGGGTGTGGTTTGGTTGGCCGCTTTGGTTTTCACCGCAACGACGTCACTAGAGGCTTTCTTGACAAGCTGCTGTCAAGGCTGACTCTTTCGGGCCAGACTTTATTTTTACTATTAACTGCGCAATGTTAGTAAGAGTTTCAATGAAATAAGGGTATATTTTTTATTTTGTGATTACTTACATTCACTTCTTGAGAAAATAAATTTAGGTAAATGTCAAAAGCAACATTACTACAAATTACATTAATAAATTCATCATAATTAGCACAAAATGTGTGAAATGTACTTTCTTTAACGATTTTGTTACTTACATGGGCATTTCTCTGTGTTGTGTTTATGAGAAAGGCGAGTTTTCTTTCCTTCGCACTGAAGAGCCATTTTTCTATACGCGTGAGTGAATACGCAAGATATGACGTAAACACTAATCGTCCAATAGAATAATTCCACATATTGGCGTGTGATATCTATGTGGCTTATTGTTTATATATAATTATTCCATGTGTCAATCCTTTGAGAAGCAAGCTTTGTGCATAAAGAAAAGCAAAAAAGTAGTAAAGCTTTCCGTCAGTAAAGAAGAACCCAAATGGGAAATTTAAAGGTAGTACTCAGGTACCAGCAAGTTTAAGGACCTATTAAAGACGAGCTTAAAACGTATAAAAAGAGGTTATGTGGCCTTGTACTTCTATTGTGTAGCCAATACCGTCTTCTCATTTTACATAACCGCATCAACAGCAGAATTATCAGCAGTAGAAACCACTAGAATAGTGTATCAGTATATATCTTAGAGCTGTAGAATATAACTTATATGATTTCCAAGCAAAATGTTTTTATCGAGAGCTAGCTATACCTCTCTATATCATATTTAAATACCGGGTGGTGAAATTAATCTGTAATATAAAAAAGAGCGATTCAGATTGCTTTTTACAAAAGCCAAGGTTTCACAATGAAGTGGAAAAGAAAGCTTTAGTTCACAACAAAGTGTTTGTCAATATTATGATATGCTTGGTTAAAATACTAAAAGCCTCAATATATAAGCACCTGTATTTTCTCAAAGATTATGGGATTAATCTTGATATATTTATGCTGATATTTCAAATATCTTGTCAAAAATATACAATCATTTCTTTTTCTCTCTCTTTTTTTTTTTTATAAAATCCAAACTCTTAAAGTAAAGTAAAAATAATTATAAAGTGCAAGTCAAGTTAATTGTTTTTTTTTTGAATTAATTTCAGTCTTCAAGCTCTAAATTCTAAAATATTTAAGTATCAAAGCACCAATGTATTAAAAACAAAACCAAAGGAGCAAGCTTAAAGACAGAGATATATTTATATCAAGTAATACATTTCTTCTTTAAAAATGATATGATCAATTTATATTATTTTTCTTTGTAAAATATAGATTTTACTGGAGTAGCTACTTTATCTATTCGTAAGTAGAATCACTAATACAACCTTAACTGTATATCTCAATGAAGCACAGTGTCTTTATTGTTATGGAATCAGCTCACCTTTGTTAATTACTCATCTTGTTTATAGCCAAGTCTAAATTGATCTTGGCTAAGCTGAAGGCGTAGTTAGACTCTTTTCTGGTCAAATCCTTAGCAGAAACTCTGGTATCTTATTTTTCCAATTGAAAATATCAGCTCCATATATAGTTTTTACTTTTTTTATTTCTTTCCTTTCCTTATTGTTTGATATTACTTTGAAATATATGTGGGTTTGTTATTTATTGACTGTTGGTGTCCTTTGTGTCTATTTGTAAAAGCGAAATAAAAAAAAACCTCTTGTGTACTTGAACAAAAAGTGCACAGACCACTTTAGAGTAACATACGAATCGCCGTTATAGAGACTTGTACTCCACTTTAAGAGTTATTGCTATACTGATTAAAACTAAACCCTTTGTTACTCTTTTTACTTCTTTGCTTCTTTGCTTTAATTTACTTCACTTTGCAATATTTGTTTGATTAAATTTTATCTGTCATTACTACTGTCATAAAATAGTTACACAATTCTACTAAAAAGAATATACAGCTATGTCACTGCTCTGACGTGAGAGGCAAAAAAAACACCCTGGCAAAAAAAGCGCAGTCCCAAATTTTAATCGCAGAATGCGGGTATATCAAAATAAAGCCCATTCAACCGACACGGTTTTCTTCTCTTTAGCTTTTTTTATACTCTGGAGACGGGTACCCCCTGATTGCCTGTAGTTGAGTTTGACGCGCTACCTATGGGTGATTGGGAGACATTCTTTTTCCATTCTGTGCAGGAAAAAGCGGAAGTGCGTCGTCTCTAGCTTCTTAGTTAAATCTTAGAGGCGCAGATCAACATTGTTCTGAATTGTGAATTTAATTGTATAATTTCTGAAACAATGGCGACGAGCAATGTTTAAAAAAAGCTGCCGCCGAGTTAGCATCATGAAAGTTTATTTAGTGGAGGACGGGGAGGAAGTGGAGTTTACTGCCGACTCTTCATGAAATCCTTGTTCGAAGCTCTCTGGAACTGACGGTGTTGCTTGGTAGTCGAACACGCTGGACCCTGCTACTTTTTGGTAGGTTTCTCTGGTACGTTCGCAGGCCCTTCTCAGTGATGAGATAGGGTAGTTGGGATGAACCAGGTTGTTGTCTTACGCCACGGATTAACACCATTCCCACACCTCCTTCGCTACCAAGTCAGGTTTACGTCCTGAGGGAGATTGAGCCGCGTAATGCGGGGACAAAGAACTTGGTGTCATGCTTTTTATTCTTTTACATTAGTAAAAGAACATTAAGTGAAATTAAATGAAATAAAATAGCTTTATGTATAAGTTTAATAAATAAAATAATTTTTAAACTGTTGTTGACTCTAATAAAGAAATACGCGTTCAAACTTTTTTCTTTACTTGATTGAAGAGGTTAATGTTGTAATTAGGAAGTCCCCTTTATAAGAAAAATTAATCTAGTTAAAGAAATCTGAAGATTAATATAATATAATATGGGTGTTCTTATAATTGTGTCAATTACCGTGTTTGATTGCATAGGCCGTTTTTATATATAAAGTCTATAAGAAAAAACTCGGAATAATCTTTGAGAATGCCAATGAGGCGAAATATATAGCTGAATTTGGCTAATCTGCTTGGACATTGTAAAGGACATGCATTGTAATAAGAGAAAGAGAAGGATGCAAAAAGAAAAAGGCGAAAGACGAAAAAAAAAAGGGTAGAACTGAGATGAGAAGGAATAAAGAAATGTGTGTTTGAAAAAGAAGCAGAAAAGGAGTGGTGAATTGAATACACAAGTAATGTTCTAATTGTATTTACACAGACTGTGCACAGAAAAGTTCAATTTGGATGTATTTATGAAACAAGCTTTAATATTTGGTATAAAGATAATGCGTCAAAGATGTACAGGCAGTTCTTTTTTCTTAATATTACAGCTCTTAAAGATATGCTGACAGACATAAAGTATATTGAGTAAGCAAGGCATGTATATCATAAAGATGTAAATTATTATATTTAGCTGCATAAAGTGAAGTGGGATTTCGATATATGATGGTTATTCCAGCTGACTCTTTAGTACAGTTTGTTTAGGCGCAAGTACCCAAAAATATACAGTAATTTTGGTATTCTTAATATTGTCAAATTATACAAAGAAGTGTAAGCCAGCTTCACTGGAAACCCCAATATCCAAATAATAATACATGCCTACCTGCCTCCCTTTTACTATTAATTGCAGCTTGAGCAAATGAAATGAAATGTAAATAACATAACATAAAAGTAATGATAGACACATTTACACATACATACACTTATCATATTCCATAAAAGCTCCCTTTATCCTCTTCTCATTAATTCCTTTTCTTCTTATATAGAATGTATGTTCTAAACCTAAAGTTTCTTCCTAATTACTACGTTCTATAGTCATACATTATACATTCCTTAGGCATATATACATACACATATGTATACATACAAAAGAGTGAAATTAAGATGAGTATAAAGATGTAAGCTTTGAACTCTCATTGATATATTTTCTTGAGCTTAAAGAACATAATGATATATATTTCTTTTCTTCTGCTTTTTTTTTGTAGGATCCTAGATATATGTATTCAAAAAAAGGGGGTAATTGTTGAATCAATAGAATTTAAAGACATGTAAATACAAGACTAGATTGACAGATAGGTAGAGAGCAAAAGTGAAAGAGATAAAAGGAAGGAGAAGGATATATGTATGTATAAAAAAAAATGTTGACATAAACCCTAGGTAAATTTTTATTCACCAAACAATCTTCTGACACGCTTGAGAACACTGTCCTTCTCGGGATCTGCAAAAAAAATGAATATTATATAAATGGTAACAAACGATTCACTCATATAAGTATATGTATGTATATTTACCATAAGGATGATCCTTTGAGGGGATTTCAAGTACAGTGGGGAAAGCCTGGTTGTGACCATCGATCAACTCACGGATCTCTTCAGCAACCTAAACAAGACACAAAACACAAAATATGTGTATTTATCAATAAACCATCTTTGTTTGTACTCTATCCTTTAAATATTCGCTCCAAAAAATAATAATAATAAAGTAAGGTAAACGAAGCGAAACGGAACAGGTCGTGGTTAAAACCAATAAAAGAAGTACACCTCAACTTACATGCTGGTTGATCAAGATGATTGCAATATCCTTACGCTTGGTAAATTCTAAGAACGTTTCTTCCACAGTAGTCAAAGGGGTCTCTAAAAAGCATCAAATCAAACCAAACCAAACCAAATGATTTGTATGCGTTAATATATATGCATGTGTAATATAATATTTAACGAGTATATTGCTTTATTTTTTACAAGTTATTTTAATCATAGCTCTTTTTTTTTTCTTTGAAAAAGAAGAAGAAAAACTTGGACTTACTTGCATCAACCACGAGGAAGTTACGTTTCTGTTGCTGATTAACATGACCAATTCCGGCCAACAAGAGACCAGTGACCGAGTCCTTTTGTACACAATCACAAAGAATGTTAATTACAACCATGGCCATCTCGGTTTCATTTATTAATTTTATATATATATGAATAAAAAAAAACCCCCATTCCAAGTAATAGAAGAAGAATAAAACTGAAAAGAGCTTATTCTACTCTACTGTAGTATATTCTTCTTCTTGTTATTTACCTCGTCACCAATAACGGCAAGGAAGTTACGGTCCTTTTGAAGAGATGTCCCGACCGACATTATATATAGTTATTCTATTTCATTTTTATTTTTTATTTTTAGTTTGCATATAAAAGTATATATGCGTTTGCTTTGTAACTATCGATGCGTGTATGCATATAATATAATATAATATATACGTGTATACGTGTATGTGTTTGTGCACTTCTTTACTCAAAGAGATATACCTATTTACCTATAGATATATATAAATATATATATATATTAATAAGAAAGAAAGTCTTTAACGAGAAAGCCAACTCACCTTTTTTTTTTTGCAGGCAGCTCTTCTCCCGACAAAAAAGGGGTGGAAGATGGTTGTTTCGAATGAAATAAAAAAAATTAAGAGAGAGAAACGAAATAGAGAATGAGCGGGGTCCTCACTGTGTTTCAATTACACGACGTCACATATCAAGATAAAAAGGTCAAAAGACATACAGATAGATAGACTTTTGCACATTTACATTCACATTCACATATATATATATATACAACATGGACACAATTATGGAAGATTCTTCAGAAAAGCAGCCAAAAGAAACCTTTTACGACGACATTTATTTTGATACAGACCAAGAAGATGAGTCAGATTGGCAATCTGATCCCGATGATCCTTCACCAGGAATTGGATTATTGGGAATGAAAAAGGCGATTCCAAAGACTACGACAACTAGGCCGAGTAAGCAAAATTATTAAAGACAATATATATATATATATATGTTATATAGAAATTACATGATAAACAGCAATAGTAATGTATATTATAATTTACTTTTTTGTCGATATTATTTATTATGAATTAAATATTAAATAAAACAAATAAATCACAAATGTATATATCTATATATCTATATATTTATATATTTATATGCATATATCATCATACAAACACATGAACCTATATTTTTTTATAAAAAAAAAGAGATTCCAAAGAAACAACAACGAAAGATCATGACGGACGAAGATCTCATGTATGATCCTGATCTTGATGATGCAGACGAAGAATGGGTGGCCGAAAAGATAAAGAGTAATTAATTAATAATTTACTTGTATGCATTTAATACAATTTATCTCCACCAATATATATATATATATATATATATATATATATATAATACCTGTATTGATAGATTTCGATTGTATTATTATTAGAGGCAGCTCCAAAGGATAAAACACCAGAACAAGCAACCACAGATGCAATTCTCACTTGTCCAATGTGTTTTAATCCTCTTTGTTACAGCTGTCAAAGGTTAGTTGATCAAGAACAATAATAATAATAATAATAATTAAAAAAATTATATATAATTTGTAGACATGATCTCTACCCAAATCAATTCAGAGCAATGTTTGTTGAGAACTGCAAGGTTGTCAAGACCGAAAGATATCGAACTAAACCTGTCGACAAGAAAAGACAAAAGAAAGGCAAAAATTCAAAAGACATTTCTTCTTCTTCTGCTGCTGCTGATGATGATGGTGATGATGGTGACGATTCTAGTTTCTTTGTGGTTAGATGTGAGACTTGTGATACTCATGTAGCTATGATGGATAATGATGAAGTCTATCATTTTTTCAATGCAATTTCAAATTAATTGATCCACTAATCAAATTAAATTAAGTTAAATTAAATTAATTACTTTTGCATATTTTATTTTTAACAAGCATCTTTCTACTACCACTATCACTAGCACTATAAATGAAACTCGTCTTGAGATTTATCTTTCTTAGAAACTTTGCAATTATACAAATGTTGCGTTAATTCAGTCTCGCAATAAAGCATTACAATAGGAATGTAACCATGTCAAAGTAACTTATTTACGATCGAGGACACACACACAAAAATAAAGTACAAATTTTTCCTAAAATTTGATTTTTATACAATTAGATGCGCGAAACATTAGTGAAAATAGTGAATACATATATTTATAAATATGTTAATAAGATATTCCTTGTACCCACATATAATAACACACACACACACCCATAACAAAAAGGACCATTTGTACACCCCTTCTCTCCCTCCTTCCTTTTCTTCTGATTTTATCTGTTTTCTTTTTTTTACTTAATTAACTTGTGTGAGCAAAAGAAGGCTTCTTATCTGGCACATACAAACACAAACAAACCAAATATATATATATATAAGAAGAAATAAAGAAACAATAATAGCATGAGCTGGAAGGTTGTGTTATATAAAAACACGTTCATTATTTGTCTCAAGTAATTTTGATTTTTTAAAAAAGAAAGAAGAAAAAATATGTTAAACATTATGGTTATTAACAATCCTCTTGCCTACCCATATTTTTCTTTTGTTGTCTGTAAAGTAGGGATTAACAAAGGCAATCAATCGATTACCACATCAGATTCTATCTAAAAAGACAGATGGTAATAATATTATTTTTTCTTTTAAAATAAAATATATGTATAAATTCTGTTGAGTATTTATTTGGTAATAAATGAATTGTCATATATATATATACAAAAAGCTACCAAGGATGTAGAGTACAATGCAATGGAAAAAAAGTTCAATGATTTTGTAAAGGTGATTGGTGTTCTTCAAGCAGATGCTCAGTCATTTCGAGATGGAGTGTCAGGTAAACTATAATTTTGTATTGATAAAAAAGAAAAGTTAAATATATTAATATATATATAATGATTTGTAATAGCACTGTTGATGTACCAGGCACAAATGGCTGCATATTTGGCACTAATCTACAGTGCGCAACTGGGAATCGAAGTACCTGAAGGAACTATCCAGAGAAGATTCCAGCCACCGCCGGCTGGAGCCAGTCAAGCTGTGAATGATTTGGAAGCAGCCATGTCTTACTGTAGAGACGAAATTCTTCCTCAACTGGTAAACCAAATAAGAATATACACTTGTCTAATTATATATATATATATAATATATTTCCCCTAAAAAAAACACACACACACACACACACCGAAACAGCTATAGCAATAATAGTAACCGTAGCAACAAACAAATAATAGTAGTTATTTAATTGCGACTATTTTTAGGATGATATTGATCGGGATGTGATCCGACCCGCGTTGGAGTTACAAGTGGTGGTAAAGACAATCCAAAAGTCTATGGTTAAACGTAACCACAAGTTATTGGATTATGACCGACATCGCACAAGTCACGCTAGACTTCAGGCCAAGAACACCAAATCATTTAATGAAGAAAAACAATTATTAAAGGTAACTCAGATACATATATAAGCATTATTGTGTGTATCTAAATATAATATATATGTATATATATATTTGTAAATAGTTGGAATCTCAGCTGGCTGCTGCAACGGCTGATTACGAGTACCTCAACAACCTTCTAAAGACTCAGTTGCCTCAGTTCTTTTATCTCAAAACCAAATTCATCGAGCCTGTGATCGGAAGATTTTATGACTTGCAGTGCAAGATCTATGGGATGATTTATGCCCGGCACCATGAAGTGATCACGGCCAATTCGCAGCACTTTATGACTAATGCGATGCCTATTGTGGACGGTTTCAACTGGAGACAGGCTCAGCACGACATGAGAGCAGAGTATGAAAATCTCGATCTTTTAAAGGCAGGAGGAAAGGCATGGTTATCTGGTAAGCCCCCTTATTGATCAATACCCATAATCATCAAGGATTATACGCGAGTATAAACTAATGACTAACTATGATATGTCTTTTATAATGTATTATATTATTATATTATTTAAAAATAAATAAATAATAAATAAAATAAAATAAAATAAAATAAAAGCTTCGGGAGGTTCTACCAATTCAAAGCTGTCACTCCAGGAACGAGCAAATCTGAAACAAATGGAAAGAATGAGTGTTGTTGGTGCTGCAAGTGTCTCTAGTGGACCTGGAACTATGATATCTGGAGCGGACAATGGTACTGTGACACTTGCCAAACCTCATCTACTTGATCCAGTCGGTCAAGTAGATGACTATTCAGCTGGTCTATATTCCTTGACTTTGGTCGATAATAATAACAATGATAATAGTAAGGATAATGAAGATGATTGTCCTCCAATGCAACCACCGTCACCAGTGCTGGACTATCATCCATCGATCATTACTGCCCCAATTATGACAAGTGTGCCGGGTGGAATGGTGGATACAAAAGAGGTTGGATCGCAGCATGTGATTGCTCTGTATGACTACGAGGCGCAGGCACAAGGAGATCTTTCGTTCCAAAAAGACGATCTGATTCAAGTCATTTCTCGCACGTCCAATGCCAATGACTGGTGGACAGGTCATCTCAGGGGTGTCACTGGTATTTTCCCAGGTAAGAAATAAATAAATAAATAAATAAATAAATAGATTAAATTTATTAAATATCTGTTTATATGTATGTATTTATGTATGTAGGGAATTACGTTAGAGACAACTGAAAAAAGAAAAATTAACATACGCCTTTATTTCCCTTATACTTTATATGCCAATTAAGAGACATTGATTTTATGAAACATGTTTATCTTTATATATTCTTTAAAAAGAAAATGTATATTATATAAAGATTATCTTTCAAAATTGTATTAAATCAAAAGAAGTGTATTATATAAGTAAAAAGGGAATGTAATGGAATGGAATGGAAAGTGAGAGGTTTGGGTAAAGTAAAAAAGTAAAGAAAAGGTATACATTTTATGTTTGTAATTTGTAACTTGTAACTTGTAAATTTATGTAACTGATATAGATAAGCAAATAAGTAAATAAAATGTATTTATATATGTATATATATATATATTAAAGAAGAAGAAGAAGAAGAAAAGGAATAGTGGTGGTTAAAGATGGGGATTGGAAAGAAAGATTCAAAATAAGCTGTCTGGTCTGTCTGGTTTGACGAGGAAAGGGTAATATATATTTTTTATATATGTAAAAAAATAATAATCTTTCTTTTGGTTTGTATGTAAGAAGTGGGAAGGGTTTGGAAGGGGTAGAAAATAAATAAATAAATAACTAAAATAAAATAAGGGATGGTGTGAGAAAAAAAGGAAGAATTGCCTTCCTTCCTTTTTTTTTTTTTAGTTTGTTGAGTTGAGATGATTGGTCGAGTTGATAGATTTGGTTGATTGTGATTGGATGTAAGAAAATTGCGATAAAAAAAAGGAAAGAAAAAGAAAAATATAGAGGCCTTTTTTTTTGTGTTTCTTTTTTTGGGTGGTTGTTGTAATTGTTGTTGTGGTTGTTGTGATTTTGTAGACTTCATCTTTGTCTTCCATCTTATATATATGTATGAAAATATATGAAAAAAAAAGAAACGCTTTTTCTAGAAAGTTCCCTTTTTCATATCTGATTCTTTTTTTTGTATGTGTTTTTTTTTAAGAATAATAGATAACAGTAAGAGAAACAGTGAACAGGGTGTAGAGAATAATGTGAGTATTGGATTGGGGTGCTTCTGATTTCACTTATTTTGTTTACAAGTCCTTTCTTTTTTTAGTTTGATGGCAAGACTTGGTTGGCAAAACGAGCGAATTCGGTAGTAGAAGCACATCGCAGCAAATTGCTTTGAATATGAGCCTCAATTTCCTATATAGAATAATATATTTATTTATTTTTTAGTTAATTGGTTGGTTGGGAGTTAATATTAAAATAAAATAAAAAAAAGGGACTTACAGCAAGTACATCCTTGGCTCCTGGACGTGTGCGAGGTTCTTCATCTAATAACCAGGCCACCAGACCACGCATGTACATGGTTGGGTAGCTGTAGGTAAATGTTGGGCTGGGGTTGCTGAGAATAGTGGCAAACAGCTCGACTTCATCTTTGATCAGATAGTGAGGCGGTACGCGGTCCATCATCTCAATGAGAGTGATGCCGAGGGACCACATGTCAATCTTCTCGTTGTAATACTGCTCACGAATGACTTCAGGTGCCATCCATTTGCTGGTACCAAGTCGGTCTCGGTTTCGTCTATTGGAGCGGGTAGCCAAGCCAAAATCAGCTGTTTTTACAACATATAGAAAATGATTATTATTATTATTATTATTATTATTATTATTATTTTGTTAATTATTAAAATCATTATTAAAATTTTATAATTTAATTATCAAATGATGATAATAATAATAACAATGAGTCTTACCTAGTTTGACTTCGCCATTCCAGCCGACCAGAATATTCTCGCATTTGATGTCACGGTGGATGTAGCCCTGAGTGTGCAGGTAGACCAGACCCTTGAGCGCTTCACAGGCAATCATGACTGTGTATTCTTCGGGAATGCCGCGCTGACAGAGGATGGCAAACACGGCACATCGCTGGAGGTCCATGCACATCCAGACGTCTTCACGCCAGAGAGTCACCTCACAAAGGCGGATCAAATTCGGGTGCCCCGTGGCCATGATGCGGAGCTCGCGGACCAATGCAGCCTTGTACTCACGGTCGGGATCGAGGCGGCATCGCTTGATGGCAAGGTGGATGTTCTTTTTGTACCGATGGGTGGCACGCACCACTGAACCATTAACACTACACAACATATAAGATAGATAAAGAAGTACATGCATCATTAATAATTTGAATATTATATATATATATATATATATTAAAAAAAAGCTTATATTTTAATACATTATATATATTTGTGTGTGTGTTGCTTAGATACGGATTATACATGTATTGAAATTTATAAAAACAAAAATAAAAAGAAGCATGTAGAATTTGAACTTACCCTGTGCCGACCTCCTTGAAGCCACCGTACTTGTTACGCGGATCAAGAGATGATACTTGTATTTTAGGGACCGCCTTTCGAATGCTTCGTTCGAATGCATTCTCTGGTCGCACAAACGGAGGTAGTTGCGGAATCTCTGAACGGGGTCCGGCCGGCAGCCATGGACGTTTTGAAATGTGCTTTGTAGGGTTAGATGTCCGGAATCCGTAAGCCTTGGCATCGTCCATGGGAGGATCAGGCTTTAAAAAGCAATCGCTTCCCAAGATATTGGGAATTTCATAACAACCAGGAGGTCTCCACACCTATATATATATATATATAATAAAATGTATGTATATATACATATATATTGATATTATAATAATTGTTAGAAATCAGAAAATAGATATATAGCTATATAGATATAGATAGATATATTTATATATATATATTCTTTTGTTAAAATAAGCTATTAATTTATTCATTTTTTAATATGTATTTTAAATTTTAATTAATTATATATGTATATATGTATATATGTATTTATTTATTACCCTTGTGTTTTGGGGAGGGATGGTGGTGTTGGTGGCTGCTTTGGCTGCATTGAGGAACGATGGTCTGCGGAGACATCCGGTTGATCGACGTTTCATTCTCATGTCTACAGTGAGTAGGTCAGAGGTACGTGCGGCAAGTTGATTATCTGCAGTTGTTGAAGACTTTGATTTTCGTAGGTTTCCTAGAGAACTGCGCTTTGTAAAAGCACCTGTGGCTCTCTAACATATATAAGATGAAAATATTAGTTTTATTACTATTATTATTATTATAATAATAATAAAGAGACTTACGTGTCGACCATCTTTGATTGATGCCAACATGTCTCTGCCGTGTTGGGTTAGTGGAGTTGGTGTTTGTTGGGATGTTCTTCCTTGAAGCATTTAAACTTCTTTTATGCAAAGGGTTATAAGAGAATGAAGATAAAGGTAAAAGTAATTTGATTTGGTTTGATTTGAGTTGGTTTGCTTTGCTTTGCTTTGCTTTGCTTTGCTTTGATGGACTAGAAGAATAAGAGGAGGATGAATATAAAGAAAGAAAAGGAAAAATAGTTTAGAGTGAATGGGTAAATATTAATCTTGAAAATAATAGAAGAAAAAAGTAGAGAAAGAGGAAAGAAAAGGAAAGGGAGTAAGAGGGGGAATTAAATGTGTTTCTGAGGTACCTTTTTTTTTTCTTTTCTTTTTTTTTCTTATATAAGGTTTCTTGTTTCTAAACTATCCTTTTTTTATATAAATTTATATTTTTTTTTATATACTACACCGACGATCACTACCATGTACCATGTACCATGTACTATGTACTATGTACTATGTACTATGTACTATGTATTATTTATCATATACTATTTGCTTTGCCTTTCTTTTTGGCTTGTCTCTGAAGACTGAATGTCTTTAGAACAAAAGTACAAAAAATATGTATATATTTTATATAAAGTGAAAAGTTGATCATTTTTATTTCCTTTTTATTTAGTGATGTAGAGTTGTTTAGAATGCAGCAGTAAAAATAAAATAAAAAGTATAGAACAACCTTGTTTTTTTATTTTACTATTTATTTATTTATTTATTTCTACCCCTTGTTTTTTTTTTACTATTGCTATCATTGCTTTTTCTATAGTCCTTTGTTTTCTTACTTGGTGAATAGCTATACTTATGTAATGTATGCCTATCAATATCTAACTATCTAACTCTCTGACTATCTAACTATCTAACTAGTCTGTATACAGAATATGCCTAGACTTAACTCATGCAGTACCTCTTTGGTCAACATTAATGTAAATTTGTATGTTCTAATGTTTATAGCTCAACCTTGCAAAAAAATATGTATTTTGTTGTTACTTTCTTTGTTAACCTCTAGTTCTCGGTCCGTTGAAAAAAAAAAATATCATTTTTTTTTTATTATTTTTGACTCAGCAAAATAATAATAATAATAATAATCATAATAATCATAAAAATAAAAATGAATCTTTCTAAAAATATAAAATTTATCACCATGGTGTTCCTTATACTTCAAATCAAACAAGAGAATGTTGTATACTTGGTAACAGTAACAGTAGCAGTAGCAGCAACAGCAACAACAACAGTAACAGTAATGATAATAGTATTATTGATATTTGTATAGAAAGTCTTTATGTTTCAAAACACAATAATCATAATGTCACACTGCGTCAGTCACTAGAAACTGAAAAATATATTACTACTGTTATTGATAACATCAAACAAAACAAAACCAAATATATATATATATATTAGTATTTCAACATTTTCCCCTTTATATTTTATAGATCGGATTTCATCATCAATCACACCTATTACCAATGTCATTACTATTATACTGTCAAGCGTTGTCAAAATACACTTTTGTAATTCTCTTCTTCTTCTTCTTTTTATTTTATTTTATTTTATATTCAAAGCACTTATTCAGGAGATCCTTTTACTCATCCCCTTCTTTTCTCTCTCTCTCTCTTGAAAAAAAAATAATATAAAATGGCATAAAAAAAACCCCTAAACCTCAACCTCAACCTCTCATCCCCCTCCTCTTCTCTATTTGTTATTCTTTTTTTTTTTTTTAAAAAAAAAAGAATGACTGTCAATTGAGATAAACCAATTCTGACCATCAGACATTAAATGATCTTTAGGAACCAAAGAAAGACCTATATATTCTTTTTTTGATTATTGGAATTCAATTCAACAATGAATATCGATCCATTGCATTGAATGGGTATTATGCATAAACTAATTATGTATTTATTTATTTTTTAAAAAAATGCTTCAATATATCTTGTATGCCTACAGATTCCATAGCTACTAAATTGAATTAAATTAAATTAAATTAAAATTGACTTTGACTTTGTGGTTGGATTAGACCCAATAAACCTCACCCTCACCCTTATCTATATCTATAATTTCAATCTTTCTTCATAAATATATTAACATTGGAGAAAAAAAGAAAGCAAATAAAAAATAAAAAAAAATGTATATAGAGGTGTAGATCGGATGGACAGACTTGTTTTACTTTCTTTCTTTTTCTGCTTCTCCCACATGAATGTCTGTGTACACAAATAATCATCTAATTATATATATAATTATTTATTTATTGAGGGTATTTTGATTTTTTTTTGTAAGTCTCGGTTCATCCCGAAAAAAAAAATGATTCCTGGGCTGACAACCTGTCCAAACAAAATATCACTTTTTTTTTTACTACTCCGCCCCTGGACTTTTTTTTTTATATATAGATATATATAGAAATAAAATAAAAATAAAGTATCGGTTGCTGGGCAACCAACCAACTTACCAAACAACCAACCAACCAAACAATCAACCAATCAATCAATTAAAAGCTTCGAGTAGCTTTTTTTTTCTTGTGTGTGTTACCATGGTTACTTTTTTTCTTTTCTTTTTTCTTTTTTTACTTTATCTAATAATAATATACGTGTGTATTTATTAACAATTGTTACCAACAATCTAATACATATCTATATCTACACTCAATCTATTTAATCACTTGCTTACTCAATCTACTCAATTTATCACTAGCTCACTCAAACTTACATCACACACACACACACACACGTTGTGTATATTGAAAAATACTATATATATACATATACTTATATGCCCAAAATAGGAAGTAGCATATACACACTTACACACTAAGCACTTGTATACACAAACACACTGACATATGTGTATATATTCATATTCATATTCATATTCATATTCATATTTATCTGATTTTCACAAGAGTCTGCGATTTACATTTGAGCAAATTCTTATTTCTACTTTTTGCTTTTTTGCTTTTGTTTCTATTTGCATATCTTTTTTTTAAATATATATATATATTTATTTTTTGTCAACAACCCTGTCAGAAATGTATCAAACAGATCAACGTCAACATTCTCATTTATATATGTATGTATGTATGTATGTATGTATGTATGTATGTGCGTACATGGATAGGTATTTCAAGCCTCTGTGGCTTTCCATATTTCTTGTATTCCTTTGTTTTATAATATAATATAATATAATTAAGAACTTATAATAATAATTACCCTTACCATTACTCCTACAGTTACCATTACCATTACCACTACCATTATATATATATATATATTGGACAATAACTTGTTCTAATAATCTGTACCTTTTTTTTTATATTAGTATTATGCCATATTCTAAAGAATGATTTAACTATCTTTACATGTAACTATGATTACATTCTATTTGTTTCAAATCCTTTTTACATACACACACACACATAATATTTATTTTAGCTTTTTTTTGTACTATATATATTTATTAAGTACCCGCTTGGCTTATATGTTTTGTGTGTTTGTGTGTGTGTGTGAGCGAGTGTGTGGATTAATCGAGTTAATTTGTCAAGTTACAAAAAAATTATAATCCCTTCTCCCCCAGGAAGAAAAAAAAATTAAAAAAAAAAAAAAAAATAACCTTCTAATTCTCATCACATTTCCTCCTCCTCTTCTTCTTCTTCCTTTATTTCTTTATATAGATATATAAATTGTGTATAGTAGATGTTGACCGACGACGAATACGATTATCTCTTCAAGCTTGTCCTTATTGGTGATTCAGGCGTTGGCAAGTCTAACCTGCTCTCTCGCTTTACCGTAAGTAAAGATATCAATATTGATAAGAAAAATAATTACTCTTTTATTCTTCTATTTACTTATCATATTTTAATTTTTCTTTCTTTCAACTCATCTGAACATTACACCTTTTTTTTTATCTTTTATTTTTATTTTTATGAAATAGACCAATGAGTTCAATCTAGAGTCCAAGAGTACAATTGGCGTCGAATTCGCCACAAAGAACATTAAGCATGGCAAGTCATGCTACTTTTTCTTAGCCTCATCTCATCCGTCACTACAGAGAACCATGTCATCAAGGCACAGATCTGGGATACCAGTGGTCAAGAAAGATACAGAGCCATTACTGGAGCGTAAGTCTTTTTTTATTTTATTTTATTTGTTGTTACTGTGTTAATGTCTGCATATTCTAACCTTTTTTTTTATATATTAATATTAATACTTTGTGTACTTGTTGCCTTGTGATCTTAGTTATTACCGTGGTGCAGTAGGAGCTTTGCTGGTTTATGGTACAAAAATAAAATAAAACTAGATAGATAGATAGATAGATAGATAGAGAGAGAGAGAGAAATATAAAAAGAAAAGAAAAAAAGCAGTGTGCAAGATAAAATAACCATATTTCTTTCTTCTATTATATTTTCTTATCACTTTCTTTATTAAATTTTATCTCGAAAAAAAAAAAACTAAACTGAACAACAATAACCTCTTTAACATAAACATAAACATCAATATTCTTCTTCTTTTTATATCCATTTTCTTTATTTTATTTTTTTAAAATTAGATATCACCCGGCAATCATCTTTCCAAAACGCAACCCATTGGCTCAAGGAACTGCGGGATCATGCAGATGCCAACATTGTGATTATGTTTGTTGGAAACAAACTCGATTTGAGTGATACGAGCCGTGCAGTGAGCAGTGAGGAAGGTGGTGCGTTGGCTGAGCAAGAAGGCTTCTTGTTTATGGAAACCTCCGCTCTGGACGCCACCAATGTCGAAAAGGCATTTGCCACAGTCTTTAGCACAATCTATGCCAAACAGCCAAAGTCAGGCGAAACTCAGCCCGGCCAGGCAGGTGGCCCAACCCCCACAGCAGGCGAGCGTGTTCAGCTCAGACCCCCAAGTGTACGTGGTCAGCCCCGTGGAAGTATGGACGAGTCAAAGGAAGGTCGTAAGAGATCGGCTGAAGGCTCCAATGGATCAGGAGGAGGATGTTGTTAAAAAAAAGAGAGAGAGAGAGAAGATATATATATATATAATTGTGTGTGTAAAGGATGAATAAATGAACAAGTGAATTATTGAAACAAACAAACAAACAAAATGAAACGAATGACAAAAGATAATAGTAAGGGGAAAGGGAGGGATAAAGAAAGTATAATGCATACATACATACATATGTCTGTATGTATAGATGTACCTTTCACTAATAATAATAACAACAACGTAAAAGCTAAAATATATAGTGGATCAAGTAATAAATCACCACACTATTACTCCAACCATTAGTCATTAGTCATTAGCTATTAGCTATTAGTTCTTACTAATAGTACTATCACCCAAATTACTTGTCTTATACTTTATTCTTCACTTTTTCTTTAGTCAAGAAAAAGAAAGAAAGTTAAAGGAGTAGGGGCAAACTGAACAAAACTAACAATAATAATAAAAGTGTGTTTTAGGGGTTCCATTATAGTCCTTTCTTCAATCGAGATTTTTGAGTGCGTTCATACTCAACCGCTTCTTCCACACTACGTCGAATGGCGCGTGTGTCAAGCTTGTCTTGAAGGCGCCTATGGAAACTCTTGGGCTTATTCTGTCGGACATCCACAAGCGCACTCTTGTGATCTCGTTTCCTTTTCTTGTGTCCACTCTCGATTTTCTCTTGACCTGTCTGTACCATCACTTCTCCTTCAATGTCCTCCCAAAATTCTTTACTCGTCCCACTCTGTGGTACTTGTAGTACTTGTACTTTAGGCGCCTCGGCTGGATCCAACGGCTGTCCAATTGAATCTCGCGACACAATCTTCCCGTGGAAAGGACAAATGACAAGGTCGCGTCTAGGGCACAGTCCTCCATTGTGAAGAGGAGCTCCGCAAGCCTAAACACCGTAGATAAGAACAGACTGGGATGAATTATATGTACATTAATAATAGTAATAATACTAATAGTAGTAGTAGTAGTAGTAGTCAATACATACTCTGAGTGGCTCAGATGATTCTTGGTAGTATCTTGGTCGTTTGCGAAGTTCATCCAATAGACTGGCAGGCAATTCATTTACACCTTCTCCAGTACCCATAAACCGATGATTTTTCTCTAATGATTCATGTAAATATATATTTATAATATTTTCTTTTTTGTTGGAATAATAATAAAAATTGATTGGTTCTACTCACCAAGACCGCTGGTATTGAATTGGACGTGCGTCTTGTCCCAATAGTAAAGGTCTTCTCCCCACTATTTTTTTTTTTAAAAAAAAGGGTATTCACTCAGCCTCAATCATGCTCTTTTGATTCACGCAAAGACCAGTACGCACGGAAGTATATATATATATATATATATGTATGTATATATGCCTTTTATTTATTTATGTATTAAAAGCTTACCTCCACAACAGGGGCCTTTTTTAACAATTCTATACACAAACACATATAAATATAAATATATATATATATTATATTGTATTTCCAAAAAAATGTCAATGTCCGTTCGTTGTATCTAGAAGCAACCAGCTGTCTTTACCTTGTCTTGTTGAATCTTCCTTTTGTTTTCCTTTTTCCCTATACAGAAATTAGATCCAAATCCAAGTATTAGATGATTTCTTCTTTAAAGTAAAAGTATAAATAAATAAAAGTATTGGCTTACTTGTATCCCGTGGGACCAGTCAGGGTTTTATGTGGGCTCACAAAAGCCCCACGATAAGTGATATCCTCACTCATTCCTGGTTCATATGCCAGTGGAAATATCCGCTGAGCAGGCGGAAGTACTCTACTGTCCACAGTCAAGGGATTCTTTTCAACATCCAAACCTTGCTTTGGAACATCAATTTCTTCAAAACGTTCATCTCCAAATTCTTCATCTTCATCTTCATCTTCATTTTGATTCCTTTGCTGGTTTTTCTTAGGCTTGATTTTAGTCTTGTTTTTTAGAGCTTTTTCAGGATCTTCGAATTCTGGAATTGTGATACCCAACAGCCGACATTTTCTTAAAGCTTCTGTCATATCGACCTTGACGTCAATCAACTGTTTCAGCAAAGATTCCTTTTCTTTTTTATTCTATAAAGCATATTAGTATATATTGTATATATAAAAGAGAGAGAAAGGGTACTTGCACTATATTCTGATTTACTTAGTACTTTGATCCAGTCATTCAATTGCTTTGCATGCTTTTTCTCGATCAATTTCAGACCTTGTCTCAATTGCTCATAAACAATTGTGTTTTCGGGTGTCTCATGGATATCTTCCATGACCGAACTTTCGGAAAGGTCAATCGTGATTTTGTAGCGTGAAGATCCCAAACCATGCGACAATATACGCTATTTTTGTAAAAAAAAAAAGAAAAGTCATATAATTACGCAACATATACACACACAGTACGCGTACAAATCACGTACATGTATATATTTACAAACACAAACATAAGTATAGGAACAGGCACATATGTAAACACACAGACACAGAGACGTATATATATATATATTTAATAATGAAAGAATAAAGTAAATAAATAAAAGGTAGTGGTATAGAGATGTTTATTCAAAGCTCTATACTTTAATAGATAAATTTACACCCACACCTGCACAAACATCCGCAGAACAACACAGGTATATATATGTATATTTACCTCTCGATAGGATCCGTCAGGCACTTTTAAAGAGTCTAGATCTCCTTTAATCAAAGCATCAAAATCCAATTCATCTTCTGAATTCTTCGGCACGAGTATCAAGAAACAGCTGTCCATGGTTATGATATTCTCCTGGATGATCTTTAGATAATCGTCTACTTCGGTCTTTATTTGATCCACTCGTCGTTCCTGGATAGCTTTCATTCGACTCTGGACATTTGCCTTGTTCTGGTCTCGGGTACGAGTGTATGACAACGATGACGACGCCGATGCTGATGCCGATGCCGATGACGATAGCGATAAAGCTGCAAGCGAACCACTGGAATTTTCGTCCAATAGGTTGCGGTACTCCAAGAAATGGTAGCCATTCGCAATCTGTCTCTGGACTCGACCATACTTTTGGTTCCAGCTTTTGACCAAACTGATCGCTAATCTCCGAAGTTGGTCTTGAACAGGAGGAGGCAACGGCTGGCGGTTTATACCCACCGTCAGTCTCAGAAATGATTGGAATTCATTGGCGACCAGTATACGGAAACGATGTGAGCGGAAAAAGAGAACCTCAATCAATTGAACACAGGAGTATCGAATCTAGTCAGGTATTTATATTCAAGTAAACATAACATATTCATATATACAGATAGATAAATAGACAGACAGACAAGAGAGATGTGTATATATTATTAAAATTAAAGAAATCAATGTTAAAGAAGTAAAATTTGTGTGTATATGCATACTGCGGATCTTGATTTTTTTCTTTTTTTTTTCTTTTTTCTTCTTTGCTGTTAATACCTGAGATTGTTTTTTTTGTAATTGATTCCAAATGATGTAGAATGCAACATCGACATTGGCATTCGATTGTTTGCACAGCTTTTTGATTAACTAGAGCAAATTCATGATAGTAATAATAATGATAAATAAGAAGAAAAGACAAAGACAAAGACAAAGACATATTCCTATATTCTTATATATATATATATATATATTGCTGATAATATTTCTCATTCCTATTATTAAAGAAATATATAAAAAGAAACCTTTAGAATCTGAGGATCCAATTCCCATTCTCCAGTCTCTGTAATCTGCTTAATTAGTCTTTCCAATGTTTCTTCAATTTGGTCGTTCATTGTAAGAATCTACAAGTTCAAAAGTAGTTTTTTTTTATACATATTTTTTATCATTTTATTTTTGTCTTTATAAATTGTAAATAAATTAAATTATATAATATTATGTGATTATTACTTTAATACCACAAAGTAAAATCAATAGTGATAATAATCAAGTGGAAAGTAAAAAAGAAAAAGAAAACATTGAGACAGTTGGTAACAATAAATTTCTATTAGCCTTTATTGGAAAAAATTGTTTTCATTTTTATTAAAATAATAATATAAATATATACAAGTAATTATGTAGAGTTAAGGATCTATATGCTATTTATTCTTTTCTGATTTTATGCACTGACACTCAAAAGGTCTAATAGTATCAAACACCATTTAATTCTTTTCTTTTCTTACCTTGACTTGACTTGACTTGACTTGACTTGGTTTAAGTTGTGTGCTTTAACGAGTTGGTTTGGTACAAACAGACATGGCAATAACGATAACATTACGTTATGGGGAAGTACCTAAATAGCGTGATCGATTCCAGAAATTGAACCCTAAACTAGGCACAAGATACATACACGCAAGGTATATACTTATGTATATAATAATAATAATAATAATAATAATAATAATAATAGTCATACTGGGCAGCTTTATTCATTCTTGTACTCCTTATAATAACAACAGTAATAATAATAATAACCTTCTTCTTTCTTTTAAATTTCACTCTTTTTTTTGTATCCTTTATTACTTTTGTGTATTTTTATATTTATATTTATATATCTGTTAATTTATTTTGATGAGCATAATTAATCACGACCGCTCAAGCCCTTATTGGGAGACACAATATATTCACAGTTCTAGTACAAAACCCTCCAATTATCAACGCTCCAGGCAAAGTTCACCGCCTGTGGATCAATCCTCAGCACACTATTCCCACCACAGACCATCCCCTGCACCGAAAACGTACTACTCTACAGATACTTCCTCAAGAGGCCACCTCCCCAAACGACGCTACTCCCACCGTGCTCCTTCTCGTTCGGCAAGTACTCGACTAGAAAGACAGGACTTGGGACCAGCAACCCAATGGCCAAATACAACCAAACTACAGGATGTTCTTGTGACAGATCACAGTCCTCAATTTCACCCAGCGTACAGAGCACACTACAACCACTATAATCATATATCATCACCACAACCACAACCACAATTACACCAAACCTCACCCCAGGCAATTCCTGTTAGGAGAAGAATAAGTGTTACTAGCAACAGCAGTACTAGTCGGTACAGCAGTGGTCACTCTAGTAGCAATAGCAATAGTCCCAGCAGCATATTTACCAATCACATCAATAATCGCAGTTCTCCACACCGCTATAGTAAACCAGCCGTTCAAAAGTCTGACCCACATATCACTCGTAAACCATTGCCACCACTACTACAAGTACCACAACAACAACCAAACCCCATCTCAGCTTCAATACCCCACAGCCACACACCACCAAACCGTCAGTCATCTGTCTTGAGACGATCTCCCAAGCATGTCGAACCAGATTGGAGAATTGCGGACCAAAAAGGCCAGTACGACCACCTTTTTCTTCGATCACCTCTGTCGGACAGCACCATGTATTCAAAACCCCAACTCTCGGGTCGTGGCGCTCAAGGCAGTCATGTTCGCTTTGAATCAAATACACCACATTACAGCAAGAGTACTCCCTTGTGCACTCAATTTAGTGAGATTAACAGTGTCAGCCATGTACTGAGAAACACCTTAATTACCCCAAGACCACGCGATCAAATGAACCAAATCCCGGTCCAAAAAAGAGCACAAAGACGGCAGTCTTTTTCAAAAGCGATGTCTAAACCTCTTCCAAATCGACCAACACTTAGGCGCTCGGTGTCGTCAGATGCTCAGATCCCAACAGTCAACACTACAGCCATAAACAGACCTGTTGGTACTATTACCAATACAAATGTCAATATTAACACCAATCCTAGCACTAGTATTAGTAGTAGTACTAACAACAGCATCAGTACTACTGCTATTAATAATACTGATATCAATGGAAATTCAAATTCAAATGGAAACGGAAATGAAAATGCCAATGCCAATTTTAATGGCAACGTTAATTTCAATACAACCACTCCATCGCAAAAAGAAATCATAAACTCCCTATTAGATAATGAAAGGGTACCAGAGCCAGATTCTCCGGTCCGTCCTCCAAATTTTTGGAATCCGAGACAAGAAGGTCAGGGCTTGTCTACGCAGAAATTGAGCCACCAGTGGCGATCGCTGTGGAAACCACGACGGACATTATTGGAACAGACCTCCGAAGATCAGTTTACCCACGACCGCCTGCAGAGTCTCGAGAGAACCAGGACGCCATCGATTCAGCAAGATTCTGGGGTAGTTGATCCATTTTTATTGTTACAGTAAGTAATAAGAGTTTATATATGTATATATACTGTGATCGTAATTCACTTTCTTTCTTATTTATTTGTTTATTTATTTATTTAGAAATACACTGGAAGTGGCTGACACTAGAGAACTCCAGTTTCTTGACACAGAGTTTAATCAGATTGATACTTATGCTACAAATGTCAATCAGCGAGGGCAGATGGTAACTCCTCAACTCTTGGCTCAAAAGTTCTTGGCAAGACCGTACCGTAGGGATCTCCACAAGGTGAGATCGATATTCATCTGGTTGGTCCAGAACATTGCGATCCAAGAAACCGAAACTTGGACAGATGAAACGGCTGAGCAGGTGCTTGCAAAACGCTCATGCACTTCTTCGTTTGGTCTGGCCGCGCTGTTTTGTGAAATGGCAAGAGCAGCTGGAATCAATGATACACAAGTTATATGTGGCTACTGTAGAGGTAATATACATATATATATAAGTATAACATCAACTAACAATTGTTTTTTTTTAATATATATATAAAATCAAAGGTCCTAAAGATACTCTAAAAGATGCTTTTGAAGATGGATATTTGGTCCAGAACCACGCATGGTGTAGTATCAAGGTTGAAGGCGAATATAGAATGGTTGACTGCTGGCTGGCCTCACCAAACCACCCTCTCAATGAGGGTGTCGAATCTCATTGGTTTCTCACAACTCCTCTGTCCATGATCCACACACACCTTCCGTCTGATGACCGGGACCAATACCTTGATCCTCCTCTCTATCTTTCTTCATTCCTTTCCTTACCTCACGTCTGGATTCCCTTTTTCAGCCATCACATTCAGGTGGTCGATTTCGATCCATCGACTCTGACTCTTGTAGACAACCAGACCTACCACCTGACCATCCGCATGGATCCTGACACGGCTTGCTGTGTCCAGGTGGAGTGCCAAGACGGGACCTTGGTGCGTGGGCTTGCGCAACTCGAGCCATCTTCGAACCACCGCACCTACAAAATCAAGGCCGTCTTACCCCTCGACACACACGCTGGCTGGCTACAGGTGTACTGTGGGCCGCGTTCGACATTTGTAGCCGAACAACAGACGAGCCCTTATTCTCTCGCAATGTCCTTTCCACTGAAGCACACCGGAAAGACCCGGGCATTCGAGTTTGTGAAGCTGCACCCAAATCACGAAGAGTTTTTTATTGACGAACCGCAGTGCTACCAGATCTATCCTCGCCAGCCGTACTCGTTTAGAATCATCAAGGATGATTCCAGGCATCCTAAAATGGCAATCAAGAGTCCAACAGGAAAAATTTTCAAGTTGCTCTACACTCCACAGGATCATTCTTATACTGGCAACATTACAGTCACAGAAATCGGCCAATGGACTCTAGTCTGCCTTTACCATCACGCAGAACGTTGGCAGACTGTAGCTAATTGGGAGTGTCGTATTTAAAAAAAACTTAAAGAAGATTAATTAAATCAAATCAAAGATGATAACCATAATAATCACAAAAATAATATCTACCTATTCATTCATTGGTGCTTTAATAATGCTATAAAGTCAAATGGATATTAGAATATCATAACTCTTGAACGTGAATAGATTTTATTTATCTATCTACAGTCAAAGTTCGATAAAGTGATAATAGTTGGAGGGGCATCGTTAAATCTCGGTCAGTATTACCAGCACACTTTTAAATGTATGCCTCAATGAAATACCAAGTTATTGCTGTTATGAGAATAACATTACTTTTGATAATCACTCCATTCCCTTGGAAAATCATCTTGATACTTTCAATCATTGATATAATTTTATTTCAATGAAACTCAACCTGGAATTGAAAATCCTGTCACCTACTGTGTTGAGATTTAGATAATATACATACTTACTTTTTTTGGCTTTATTTTCTGCTTTTTACTTATTGCTTAATATGTTTTTGAAATTTTACTTTGGTTTATTCCCTAATTACTAGTAGGTCTTTTTTGGGTCTACTTATATGAGCAAAATAATAAAATAATTTATTGTACCCTTGAACAAGAAGTGCACAGACCACTTTAGAGTAACCTACAAATCGCCGTTATAGATACTTGTACTCCACTTTGAGTGTTATTGCTACACCGATCAATACCGAACCCTTCCTTACTTCATTACTTTTTTTATTATTTACTTCTTTGCTTCACTTCGCAAAGTTGTTTCTATAAGTACTTTGATTAAATACTATTAGCTGTATATTCTGCCGTAGAACAGTTACACAAACCCAATAAAAGAATATACAGCTATATCACGTTTGCTCTGACGTGGGTATCTAAGACCGACAAAAAGCGCAGTCCTAAACTTAAATCGCAGATGAAAATATTTTCTGTTACATATAGAACCCCTCCAACGCGCGTCGTTTGTTTTCTCCTTGAGCAACAACAGTCCCGGTTTCATAGTGAGGCGTCTCTTGCGACCGTTGCAGGGAGATTCTTCCATGCTACAAGCATCGGAAAGTGAAAGTTGTTACTCGCCAGCTCAGTTAATTCTGAGAAGTCGTGGGGCATGGTCTCTTTTCATTTTTGGAAGGACTACTGTGTACATCGCATCGCCAATGTGGAATCATGATGCTGGGGGGAGGGAGGTCTAACCTGTGGTGAGATGTGCTGGCTCTTCACTGCTAACCTGACTGAACTCTTTAACGGCTGACGGTGAAGCTACTGGTAGTCGAATGAGCTGGACCTTATCACCTAGTGGTAAGTTCTCTGGCGAGTTCGCACCCACATTACTCGGTGACGAGATGTGGGGCTGGATGAACGGGTGCTTTCCGTTGGTTTGCCACCATTCCAGCACCTCCTTCGCTACCAAGTCAGGTTTACGTCCTGAAGGAGATTGAGCCGCGTAATGCGGGGACAAAGAACTTGGTGTCATGCTTTTTATTCTTTTACTCATGTAAAAGAACATTAAGTGAAATTCAATCAAATAGAATAAAATAGCTTCTTTATGTATATCTTTAAATAAATAAATAAAGTCTTTTTTAACTAGTATCGTCTCCAATAAAAAAAACACGCTTTTAAACTTTTTTTTTTTACTTGATTGAAGAAGTTAATGTTGTAATTAGGAGGGCTCATTTATAAGAAAAAATTAATCTAATTGAAAAAATTTGAAAAGAAATAAAATAATATTTTTATGTTTTGACGTGGTATCGAGAACCGTGGTTAACTTTAGAGGCTGTTACTGTCTATAGAGTATATAATGATTAGGTTGTAGTAGTCTTTAAGAAAGCCGATGTCGTGAATTGTATATTATTGAATTTGGCTAATCTCATGGAAATTTTAAAGAGAATGTATTGGAATGAGAGAAAGAGAGAAATACAAGAAAAAAGAGAAATGAGAGATGAGGAATAAAGAAATGTGTGTTAGAAAGAGAGGCAGAAAAGGTGTAGTATGGGTTGAATACACAAGTAGGGTCCTCATTGTATTTACACAGACTGTACCCCAAAAAAAGCTCAATTTGGATGTATTTATGAAACAAGCATTATTATCCCCCAAACCTTTTTGTACTTTGAATATCAATGAATGCTTAGTACCTTGAAATCGTTATTACATACACACATGCGCAATTATATGCACAGTGCAAAATATGATTTGAATTCCAATAAGAAAAGTAGACAAGTATTGATAAGTTACCAAACATAACCTTTAACATTATGTATAATAATAACTCACCAAAAATCTACAAACAGCTTTTATATTGCAATCCTTAAAGGTGAGTTGACAGAAGTTAAGGTATATCAAATAGCCAAGACGTAGATATTATAAATGGACACATTTCCATATTGACTTCCATAAAGTAGAGTGAGACCTTGATGCGTACTGGGCATTACAGCCGATTTATTGGTATAGATTGCTTGTATGTCATTTTTTTGCTTAACTAATGTTTAAAAGATACTATGGTTTTGCCATTTCAACATCGTCAATTTTCTTTAAGCCACTACAAAAATGTATTTATTTTCCCCCTTAATTTTGAAGAGATTGGAAAAGTTATATCCTATCAATAAAAGGCAAACCATTAATCTAGGTTGATAGAAAAAGCTCTTATGTATATTGTCATATATGAGTTAATGAATAAAAGGGCTTTCAAGAAGTATTTCAGCCAACTTAAAAACCATCTCATTTCGGTAATATTTACTGAAAGTGGAACTATACTCTGTGGAACTTACAGAACTGTTAAAGGTAGTAATAATACAGTTTTTACTTGAAATTGAGGTAAGTCAGGATTATTGAATAAATATCAAGAAAAACGCAAAGCCAGAAATAGTGTACATTATTTTAAGCTATTTTTAATAATATGTACACATGCATAAATTATCCAGCAGCTACAGCATTTTTTTTGGCTGACTTCACTAGTCATTGAAGAACGTATTGCTGAACTCATGAGCGAACAACAGCCAAAAGACAAAATTGACAATATTGATACTTTTCAAGACAGTTTTTCTAGCTTAACCCGGCTTTCGGCTTATACCAATAAAAAAACACATCAAACTAAAGACACATTGATATTTATCAATACAATGGATGTTATATGGTAAGTTTTATGGTAATTTATCTGTTCTATCAACGTAAACACAATGTTTCTCCACAAGCTGTTGTAAAAGAAGAGCAAACTTGCAATTAAAAGTTTCTTGCTTCTCCATAAACAGTTCTTGCTTATCCAAAAGCAGTTCTTGCATCTCCAAAATGTTAAGAACCTTTTTGTTCATGGGCGTGTCAAAATGACCATCGTTTCCATAGTTAGAGGCGGTCACACTACCCTCATCTTCATCTTCCTCGTCCTCGTCATAATCCTCGTCTACATCCTCATTTTCTACAGTATCCCCGTGCTGTTCCGAAGAGGTTTTCGTTGTACTGTCCGTCTTGGATCCTTTTGTGCCATATAGAGCCATATGCATCAGCTCATCTCCTCGGCGTTTATCCGACTTTTTCTTGGCAAGTCCTCTTTTTTCGTCAAGCATCTTTCTATCTTTATATGCATCTTCCTTTAAAATATGTATAAAGTTAATTTTTATATTATTACTTTTTATTTTGTAGACATAAAGCACTGACTTCTCTCATAGCTTGATAAGTGGCTCTTCCAAGTGCTGTTTTCAGCATAGGGGTTGCCTGAAGATGTCTTTCATCCTGTGGCAGGTCCATTACTTTCTGGTACTTGCTGAAAAGCTCTTTTTTTTTTGTTCCGAATACACGTCTCATTCAGTGGGTTCAGGTCATCACTTTTGACAGCATTAACAGCAACGATAATATTCTGCCATGCTGCCGTCGTGTTATAATGGGGCTGAGAATAGGAGTGATACTTGTTGTACGCCAGCATCAAGGTCAGCTCTCTCTTATAATTCCACCTTCCTCGATGCACAGCTTTAGATAATATGTTGTTATCAAGTGAACACAATTAGTTTCTTTTTCCTTTTTTGAAAGTTCCTCAGATTTGAGGATTTTTTTTACAAGATTATATCTCATGAGACTGGCATTACTTTGCTTCTTTGTGGGGTTGTTACTTTCGGAAGACGTGGCACGTTTCATGGTTAGGTAGGTTTTTGAAAAACTGTAAAAATTCACTTGAAGTTAGGAGGGATGAAGAATAAGAGACGAGCCAATATGTGACAAAATAAAAATAAAATAAAGGAAGATTAAGGTAATTTTTTATTATTATTATTTTCTTATGTGCTTTTTTATATTAGTAATCTATATACAATATTTACTATAAATTAAAAGAGAAAAGAAAAGATGTGAATGATGAAATTTCTTATGCAAGATATTGAAGATAAATCCTGCGAAAGAAGTACGCTATATTTTGCATGATAGCATGGTCGAGTGGGACCCAAAGCTACACACACTATGTCAAATGTAAAGAAAATAAGTCTTCATATATTTGTAATCATTCTTTCAATAAAATTAGCTTATCGAGGCTTACTATATTGAGTAAGTATACATAAGAAACTCCAAACCATCTTATGCTTTGTTTTGAGGGAGGGGATAAACTCAATTTTTAATATTTTTTTTCACTTAATGGCATCCATAAAGCAAAGTGTGTCACATTCATTGGAAATTAATTAACGGTTCAACATAATTTGTTGCAAAAATTTGAAATTCTCCTTAGACAACATCTTGTCTATTGGCCTTTTTAAATATATCAATATCTCTATGAATATTTGTCTGATAATATTCAAAAAAGTACTTACTGAGTTCAATTAACGTCTTAAATAATCTTACTTGATAAGACAGAAAAACAAATTAATTGTTTTTGAGGTGTACGTCCTCAGAGAAAATTAGCATCAAATTTGGACGTTTTGTTGTAAATAGCCTAGATCTCATTAGTCAATGTTTTTTTTAAATGAAAAAACTAGACGCTTTGATTAATATTTAAGCAATTAATATCAAGACAGTGTTTGATTTTTTTTTATTTAAATGTGCTTTACCAGGTTACCTATGCTTAGATATATAGGCTAAATTAGTGAATTGGAGAGGATTTTGCTCTTGATTTATTTGGCAGAATGGACAGATTACGATAACCGCTGATATAGGTTTGTATATTATCACTAAAAAAAAGAGACAAGGGTATTAATTTTAATGCTCGGTATACTTATTGAGATCTAATCTTGCCTCTCCAACTACTATTACTATATCGAACTTTGACTATAGATTACTTATAGCCTGTGAAACATTTCTACCAAAGAGCTTTTGCTAATCTTTGTAGGCGAATAAAACCAATCCAATATGATCATATGTAAAAGAAAAAATTGATCTTTTTTAAAAGTAATAATATCATAACTTATAACCTAGGCTCTATGTATACCTGTTATAGCTGTATTACAATCTTGGGTATATTAACGTATAATCCATATCATTTTCGAAGATGAAAACCATCTCGACTTAAACAACTGACTTTATCAAAAAGGATATTCTTTATTTCGAAAAGATAAGTATGCTGAGCAGAATGCAAAGTTAAAAGACAAGTCACGTAATGAGAGCTTACATTTTTCACTGCTTAAAATTGCTACTCTTTTTGTCAAATTAAAGTCGTTACACATTTTAACAGCTTAAAGTTGTTACATATATCGCCTTTTTCTTAGGTATTCTAACTCCGTGGACTCCATATAGAACACCAAAAAGGGCCCTTGTCAAGGACTGCTGATTCTTTATACATATTTTTTCGTTATATTTTTTATTTTCTTTTATTATACATATATTCTCTCTATCAATTAAATACATATAGATATATATATTCATATTTATATTCATATTCCTGTATATATTTATCTCTCTCTAAAGAATTACTCTTATTATCGTTGTTATTACCGTTATTATTAGTGTTATTATTATTTAATAAAGAGTGTGTACAAGTTCTCCATGTCATGGCTCAAACGACTGGGCTGGGATCAGCAACTCACTCCCCAGTACAAACGAATTCTCTATCGCTCTCTCACAGCCCGCCAAAATGTACCTTTACGCACAACAACACCCTGGCTCTACAAAAACAGCACCTCGATTCCAAAACACAGCCTTCCCAAGCGCCTTTTACACACCTCAAATAAATCAGCATCGATTCCTCGAATTCCTATACCGCACCGACCCACAAAAGAAGAGCTTTTGGCTCAAGCGAGAGGATTCCTAGAACGTCTCAAAGTACGAATAAAATATCCGCTCATGAGACAGATGCGTCCATGGACACTCAACGACGCCACTGCTTTATTCTCCTGGCTGTTCCTTGGCCACACCGTTTGGTTGTTGGTCGGAACCACCAGTTTCTTTAGTCTTATCCTCTGGACTGCGAACTCTCTTCAATTCCAAGGTTAGTTTTATTTTCCTGTTTTTCTCTCTCTTTCTTTCTTTATTCCTCTTCTTCTTTTTCTTCTTCTTCTTCTTAAATTATTGACATGGAGATCTCGGTCATTCTATCGTCACATTGTGTCCTTAACCCAGTAATGGTTAGAATGGATCGCATATCGTATTGGCCAGTATCTGACATACGCTACTGGTGCTACGGTTGTATTTGAATCCGCAATTGTACCTAATTGGAAAGACGGCAAGATTCGATTCAACAATGTCCGCATTTACCGCATGCCCCGATCCGAAAAAGAGAAATTCGAACGACAGGCAGCATTAATTAGCTTGGGACAGGATGAAGATGTCACTCGCCGGTCAAGTGTAACAGACGATCCCTTGTGCGGAGTAAAACTCGATGACGATGAAAAGGACAATGAGGTGTTGACGAAGTGGATGTGGTTTGACATTACTCTTGAACGCGTCGAAGTTAAATTGAGTTTGTTACGCTGGGTAGATGGAAAAGGATTGGTAGAGAGTGCGGATGTCAAGGGTGTCAGAGGTGTCATTGACCGTCGACATGTGCGATGGGATCCCTCTGTTCCATGGGACCCTGTCTCTGCACGCCACAAATACACTCCGGGTGATTTTGAACTTGAAAAGCTTACGATTGAAGACCTATTGGTGACAGTCTATCAACCAAGAGGATTCAGACCCTATCCAATCTCTATTTTTCAAGCTCAATTGGATCGGTTCCGTAAACAATGGTATGTATATATCTTGGTAAAACTGGTTTTCTTTTATTCATGTATTTTAATCTTATTTTGGAAAAAAATAACAATAAAAATAAAAGGCTGTTCTATGACATGCTGTGTGCAACTACTATTGTAGGATCCTTTGACAAGTGTCTGTTTAGTGTACACACACCTCAGCTGGAAAAAAGTGTTTTGCAGCAAGCAGGCCACATTGATGCCAAGCAAACAGATTTTAGAAGCCATGATATTTACCATTACTACCCGTTTAAAAAGCCTGATCCTAATGGTGTAGTTGTTGGTGGAGAAAACGAAAGATTTGGTGTGATGACAGATGATGATATGAAGAAGCAAGGATACAAACGAAAGGTTGGTTTTTTTATTTCTTCTGTATTATATATATATATAATTGAATGGTAACCTTTAATTGTATATTTAGTCTCGTTTGAGGATTGATGGTGTGAATATCGACCACATGAATCGAGGACTCACTGGTCCTCCTGGCTGGATAACTTCAGGAAAACTTGACATTAGTGCCGATATCTATATTCCCCAAGAGGCTTCTGATGCAGATTCGAGTGAATTACTCCGCCAATTGGTATATGAACTCACTGACAAAATAGAGCTTCCTCAGCCTGTAATGCTGGGTACTGGAAATGGAGACGATCTTCTTGTTGTCGGTGGAGGACACAAGAATCATGTCAGCACCCCAGATGTCCGAAAAAAGTTTATCATGGACATCGATTTCCGTTTCAAAGAAACCAAGGCTTCAGTACCTCTGCAGGCACCTGAACTTAGTTATCTCAGCAACGCTATGGTTCGACCGGTCGTGGCTTACATTAACCGTACAAAGACCATGGTTCCAATCAAATGCCGTGTAGTTATGGACCTCTCCAACTTTGATGGAGCCTGGTCAGCCTATGACTCTACTTTAATTGATCATATGAGTGAGCAACTTGGCAAAGGCTTTGTTGATCTCACAATGGATCAGCAAGAACGAAATCGACGTTTGAAACGTATCGGGTTCTGGAGTTTACGTGAAATGATTCGTAATGTATTGAATATACATGACTTGATGCGAGGCACTTCGCGTGGATTTTGGAGTTATCTTGGTACTCCTGTATAGACCACAAAACACACATACTCCCTTACATACTCATTCATTCATTCATTCACTCAAAAGCACTTGCACTTGCACTTACACTTACACTTATACGCACAACCATAATCACTTACTCTCTCTCTCTCTTTCACACAAACCTGCATTATTTTATTTTTGCTCACCCAAAATCTGACCTTTATCTCCCAGCTATACCATATTTCTTCTCCACCCTTTTCCTTCGTATTTACATTGTCTTTCTTTTTTGCTTTATTTTGTACAGATTCTCTTGTTCTTTATACTTCTTTAAATAATATATACAACTATATATATATATATATATATATTCCTTTCTCTCTTATTATTTTATTATTGTTATTATTAACAAAGTGGGATTATAGATACTTTTTTTATAATACCCCCTTACCCTTCTTCTCTGCCTCGAGTATAAATGTGTGAACCTAAGATATATTTTGAAATTGAGAATCATAACATGTTATTAATCAACGAAATCACATCTTACCTTGAAGAGATCCATTTGGATTGTCTTTAGGGTAACAAAATTTGCCCAACTCCCACCCTCAGTTGTGTGATTGTACTCTGCAGGTACCCAATCAATCTTTTACATAGCAACAAATCAAATATCAAACTTCAAATCTGAAAATAATAGATGAAGAAATAGATAATATTTACTTGTTTTTCAGTGTCAGGAGGAAAACTTTCAGAGTGAATTTCAGCTGATAATGAATAAGTACATTCGGGAGGGTTGGTGGATAACATTGATCCACAAGCATGCATCTTGAGTAGACATGCTCGAATGTGCTGTTGGACACAAGCTCTTGTTTGGTTTGATCCACTTTGTTAACATCAAGAGAGAGAGAGAGAGAGAGTTTAAATATATATAAAAGCTTTTTTTGTAATTCGTTAAGGCTTACTCGATAGACAGAGGAACATGAGAGCTTGACTGATCGGATAATGACTCTACCTCAAACACGAACCTTTCAAGTGGGCGTTGTTGAGCTGATAAGACAACCAGAGAAACTGAACGACAGGATCCCTGTTTCCCATGATTATATAATGATTATATCAGTACATTAAATAAACGTATATGGTTTTTAATAATACTAGTAATACTAGTAGTAATAATTACGTGACCTTTGTCAATATTGGCCGAATTAAAGAAACAAAGTCGGCAACATATTGATTGACCCCAGGATGGGTCATCATTTGAACCGGTACATCATATTTTTTTCTCAAAGTAAAGGCATCTTGAACATTCAAATTAGCACACCTGTAATTATATATATATAATAAATGTTTGTACCATGAGGGTATATATTGCGATGATATAGGATCTGATGAATCCACACTTGGACTGTAACAATGTGATTGAAATTAGCGATTATTGAATTGATTTGTACAATAATACTTGCGAAAATCACAAAGGAGATCAACGACTTCTAATTGATTTCAAAAATAAAAAGATTCCAGGTAAATGACTTGATGCACAGATCTTTATAGAAAACTTGCTAGACCTTGCTTTGTATTGTAATTCATAATAACAAGTATTTAATTAATTAATGAATAAAAATAACAATTTTACTTTATTTTATATATATTTATTTATTGAATTGATCTTATTGACCAAAATAAAATCAAAAACAAGAAAGGAGAATATCAAAAAAGCTTTAAACGAAATTGGGTCTAAGCTTTGTACAATAGGCATCCTGAGTAGACCAAATAAAGCAGGCTTGTGTGGTTTTAATTTGATTCTTTTGGTACTTGATCTGGACTAATAACTTTGACATTGACTGCATCAATTGTCTGTACGATATGATCTTTTTGACGACGGACTGCGATTAATAGAGATCTTTGGCCGGGAGGGCTGATTGCAAGCGGTGGGACAACGAATGGAAATACCAGCTGATCGCCTGGTCCACCTCCAAGACTAACAGTTCGATCAGAGTTGAAAAAAATGGAGACAGTTTCGGTGGGAGGAGTTGTGGGTCTAAAGGTCTTTAAGTATATTGTAAGTACTAGATAAATGTCGTTATCATTGGTGTTGCTAGCTAGATATATATTTATTATTATTCTTGTTCTTGAATATAAAATAATTACCACATTGACATACTGTCCCGTCACCCATACGGTTTCGTTAGTAGGATAGATAATGTCTATAATATGTATTTAATAAACCAGAACGATGATAAACAATTCAATCAGATGATCATTATTACCTCCTTCTGGATCTTTTGGATTAATAACCTCTACAGAATCCTCGGTAATCTTGGAAGCCAAAGAGGTACCAATCAAAAAAGCAAGTAGAATAAAAGAGCGCATTGCTTATTGTGTATGTATGTGCGTAGAATATGAAAGTAGAGAATGGAAAAGAAATCAGATATTTACTCTCGACTTTGGTCTTATGTTCTCCCGTTTTTTATTCATATATATTCATATATCGCTTGAAAAATATGTCCATAATCTCCACGCATTTTTTTTAAAAAACCATGTATATTGCGTGGGGCATTGCACATGTATAGAACCAAAAAGTCCATGGGATTTTTTTTGCAGTACTAGATTTTTATCTTATGGGCAATGAAAGAATAGTAACCCAAAAAAAAACACTTGCTTAGGTCAAGGCATTTGTATTGGCTTCTTTAATATCTAGTTGTTCTTGCTATCAGTACTATTTTGATCATTTAATATAAATGACCTTTCAACATATTATTGTGCAAATATATCTGTGTGCATCTTTGTGGGGTAGATAAATATTCTTAAACATTAAATTTATTGAATCTTATTGGGTAGGTTTTTGATAGAATAGGCATATAAAGAAAGAAAGAGAAAGGGCATAAACATATAGAGACGCAGAGAAAAAAAAAAGAGAAATAGTGAGATTGCCGTATAATAATAGCCCTTGGAGTTTGTTTTATAAGCATGACGGAATGTTTCCAATTTGTAAAATTTCAAATAAATGACAATAATTTACAGCCATACACACACACACATTTATATATGTGCACCATTTACATTACATACTATACATCTTAATATAAAGGTGGTTCAAATATCCAGGTAATTGGCAAAAACTAAGACAAGCTACTAAAACAAATCTTTGAATTTTAGGGTCTAGCTAAATGGATCTTCCAAAAAGAGATGGTGCTAGTAAATAATTGGGTAGTTTCTTTCTTTCTTTCTTTTAAAGTTTCTTTCTCTTTTCGTTTTACGATGTAAAGATGTGCTAGTAGATGTCTATTTTCTGATGAGTATATCAATCGTAAAAAAGCTATAATGGCCTTTTTATGCTGGATCATTTGTGCGACAGTCTTTTGAGATTCATCTCATTTTTTTTTCATTTAATTGTCTTCATTTCCAGCGTAAGTTCTACTGTAATTTACTTTAAAAGGTAATTTCAATGACAGTGTTTGTTGAAAATGGTACTGTACAACCGCAAAAGGGAATCATTAGTTCTTAATTGGACAAAATGATATCATAATGAAGACATGTCTATCACACAAACTATTAAGAGATAGAGAGGAAAAAGCATTTGACATTTTGCTGACAAAATTCCCCTTAATTATTTCTTAGCCTTTATATATATATATATATATATATACTTGCTCTTCTTTCATTCTCTCTGTAGAATGCAATAACAGACGCTCACAACTGGCCTTCTATGAGTTCTAAAATATCATCAATATTACCAGCGCATCTCAAATCATCCAAAGACAACAACAAAACCATCTCTCCACCCGATCCTTCTCCTCAAGCATTTCATCCAACCGCACCATCTGCACCAGCAGCAGTAACCTCAGATAATCAAGACCGCCTTAGACAACAAGGTCTCATACCGTCAAATGCATCGAGTACATCAGGATCGACCGTGTCTGCACCCACCATCTTATCTTCCAGACGCTCCTCCCAGTCCAGTCTACCATTCTATGAAGGAGGCGTACGATCAAGGCACACTAAATTTGTCACTTGGCTAGGAAGATTTGGATTTATTGCGAAAGGAATAGTATACGGCATTATCGGCGTCCTCACATGTACAAACGCTACCGGGGCGTGGACACCAAACGGAAGTCAGAACAATGAGTCTCCACAGGTACAATAATAATACTTGTAAAAAAAATAGCAACAAAAACTAAACTTGTTGATTCGATTTGATTCGATTTGACTTGGTCTTTTATTTATTACTTACTCTTGTATTTGCTTAGGGTGCTTTTCTTTTACTTGGTGGAATACCAGCCGTTGGTCGTCCTATCCTGGTGATTATGGCTATTGGCCTAATAACCTATATTATCTGGAGGTAATTATATTATTACTTTAACCCTGTTATCAAAAAACGTAAAAAAAAAAACAAAATCTCATAATAATTGTAATATTTCAGATTCTGGGAAGCAATTACAGGACAAGGACAAGATATCAATATGGGAAAAAAGGGAAACTTCTTTCGGTATCGTCTGTCCCCATTTGTCAGTGGCTGTGTCTATGCCGCATATACCTACTATGTTATTCAAATGATTTATCAAACTGCAGAAGAGCAACAAACCACAGCTTCAAGTAAAGAGTTTCCGGCATCCTGGACTTCATCCATGATCGGAAGAGCCGGTATTGGTGTGCTCGGTATCGCATTTATTATTGCAACCATAACCCAGCTTGTGAATGCGATCACAGGAAACTTCATTACAGATCTAAAGACATCCGACCCTAATGCACGCCGCTGGGAAGCCATTATTGTTCACACTGCTGGCCGGATTGGCTTTGTGGCTCGCGGTGCTGTATTCTGCACCATGTCAGGTTTCTTTTGGGATTCTCTTGCAAAACGTAATGAGTCTGGACGTCAGAATATGACTGCCGCCGCTCTTTCTAAATTAGCAGAGAACAGAGCAGGCAGAGCATTTATGATCATACTTGGAACTGGTCTGGTAATATACGCCTTGTTTGCCATATCGAATGTACACTATAAATACTTTCCTACCCCACCACCATCGCGTGTTGGCGTTTACTTGGAAGAAGATCAGAGAAGAGAAAATCACCAGCGTCACCTGAATGAGGAAGAAGAGCGAGAACGTGCAGTAAGAGAGGCGCAAGAAAAGAGAGAACGTCAGGAAGAAAAAAGAAGAAAACGCAGAAAGTATATGTTTTGGTTACCTAAAGAGAAACCTACTACAGAGCTGGATCCTGAGCCTGCTGTTAAAAATACCCCTTGGTGGAAGTTTTGGGATAGACCACAGCCTACTGATCTCGAGAAAAGTTAGAGTCCAAGAGCTTAACTGAAACGCTTTTGTATATCCGAAATCCTTTTTCTTTTACCATCTATAATCTAATACTTTATTATATCATTTTATTTATTAAATCTATATCATACTATATATACATTTACACACATCACCATACATTTTGAATAAAAATAATTCAATAACCATAAATCATATTATACAATTAATATTCATTCCACAGTCATTTGGAATGGATTATCACTCAAATGCCATCACGAAAATTTGTCAAAACCTAGACACAATAACATCCCCGTGGATTACATTTGTAATATAACATATTATCAGATCATATCATATTAATTCTTTTCTTCTTCTTATTATTATTCTTCTTCTCTTCTCCATTTAACTCAAGGCTATAAACCCTCTGGCTCATTGATATACAAGTAAGCGTTTCTTATTTAATATGTTCAAAGAAACTTTATGGACCATACATGTGGTGATTAATTTACGCATGTCAAAAGAGAATTTATTTTGGCTTCAGGCACACCGACGTTTAGATTCCGCAATATAAAATTTCAAGAGCAAGTTACTCGTTTTGGTACCTATTTTTCTCCCCCTCTTTTCCTTATACACGCATTTACATTTATATAAATTTGCAAGATCTCACTGTCTTCTTGATCATTCCTCATTCTACTTTAAAAGAATGACATTGAATTCCACACAGTTTGTCTCTTGCCGAAAATGCAGAGAAGGAAACACGGATTATTATAGACTAGGTGTCAGAAGTGAGGTCAACAGCGAACACCACCTTTTCCATGCTCATCGCGATGATACATTACAATCGATCTTGATTCGTCTGTGTGAGCAGTACCCAAAGGAATGGTCAAAAGGAATTGTCTACTATTTCTATGTTGATTTCGGTGGAAGTTACTATGCGGCTGAAGAATCTATCTGGTTACGTGGTAAAGATCACTAACGATTAGATCTTGTTATATATATATATATATATATATAAATTTATGAATAATTGTTATACTTCAAACTACTTGTGTAGACAGAGACCAAATTCTGGTTTCTACTTATGAAGACAGTGATCTGATCCCAAACATTAGCATGAATGCAGGTAAAAAAAAAAATCAATAGAAACAACTATAGTTATAACTCGTTAGTACAAATAATTTGACATGTACAATTTATTAAAAAAAAAAAAAAAAACCAATAAATTAAATCAGTTCACGCCAGTTTTCGGAATGAAGTATCCCTCTTACCACACCAAGAAGAGGGTGTACAGACAATGGTTCAAATGGAAAGAGCACAGAGAGGTGGTATTCTTGCAGATGACGTGAGGATCCTTTACACACGCATATATACAATGATTTGTAAAGAAATTTCACTAAACTTCTTGCTTTTTTTTAAAAAAATGTATACTATAATTTCTCTTCTATTTTAGATGGGATTAGGAAAAGTAAGAAACTAAAGGATTATGGAAATTGACACAATGAGCAACGATCTGAAGGAATTATACATATATGCGTGTGTGTCATCTAGACAGTTCAGATTCTGGCGTTAGTTATGCGACAACAGCCGAAGCTTGCTGTTCGATCGTGTACATTGGTGGTTGTACCTACCCGTGGTGTAAGATTATATTATATTTTATCAAATAAAAATAGCGATCCGCATATATCTAACAAAACCCAAATATGGGATCCTTATTAATGTATAGGTTGCTGACCATTGGAAAGCAGAAATAAGAAAAATGACAACTTACGGAAGTCTGCCATATTTCTTTTATCAAAACGAGACAGCGCCTCTATTGGATCGTAAGTAAACATGTTTTGGCAGGTCTTGGGTGTGCAGATAAACATATATTCTTGTCTTTTAGAAAATTGTTTCCGTATTGTTATTGCAACCTATGATCGCTTGCGTGCCGAATACACAAAACAAAAAATGAAAGGAGTACCGTCTCCCTTGCTCGACTCTGATTGGCACCGTGTCGTACTAGGTATGTTTGAACATATATTGGAGGTTAATATTGCATTTGTACAAACTATTTGTTTTGTCATATATATATATATATGTAGACGAATCGCACAAAATCCGAACTGCATCTTCACAAGTAACATTAGCTACCCAAGAACTGTCCGCAAAATATCGCTGGTGTCTTACTGGAACCCCACTCCAAGTAAAGTGATTTTCTTATTTTACACCTTCTTTTTGAACTTTGTGACTCATCATTATTTCTACAGAATAATATCTCAGAGTTACATCCAATCTTCTCGTTCTTAGGAATACCAATGGAAGTCAAAGAAAAGAAACAGGTGGAGTATATGGCTCGTCTTCTCAAAAAGCACATGATCCGTCGAACAAAGCCAATGCTTGAAGCGGCCCTAACTATCTTACCCCGAGATGAAATCCGCATCACACTTGAATTCTCAAAACCCGAAAGAGCTTTGTATGATTATCTTGAGCAGAATGCATACCGAGAATACGTTCGCATGAACTCATTAGGACAAAGAGAAAATGCAAGCGCAAATGCCGCTGTACTGTATCTTCGCCTCAAACAATGTAAGATTCTTAATATATAATCATTCAATTGGTATTCTGTTTTTGTGCAAACCGTTTTTTTTGTGGACTGCGTGTAGTATGTGTACATTTCCAAATCCTACTAGACAAATTCGAAGATTTGATTTCAATGGCAAGCTCTGAGGATCCTCAACAGTTTACAGCTGCCTTGTGCGCTACGGAAGATCAAGATGTCAATCAAGCACAAGGGAAAGAGACTACCAACGAAGCAGAATATGTTTTTGATATTATTGAAAGCTATTAGTAAGTAATTCAGTTATGTAATCAATTGAATTAAATATGGGCTTATGCAAGACATTATCTGTAAAATAATATAGCGATCAGTTCGGGCTCCCAGAAAATAAGCCTGATGTGGAATCTCTTCAGAACCTGGCCTTTATCGAGAATTCTACAAAAACCGTCTGGTTGCTCGATTTTCTGAACAAAACACTGAAAGCCAGTGCGACGGACAAGATCGTAGTTGTTAGTCAGGTAACAATTTTTGATGAATATATTGATCTGTCGATTAAACTCATTAGAGTAGTTTGTAAACGTTTTGGATATCATTGTTCAAGTTTTAAAATCGCGTAACTTGAAACATGTTACATGTAAGTAGATACCTTGTTTGTGGGAACCCGAAATTCATTGCATTATTTAATAACATTTCTTATGTAGATAATGGTGAAATGTCAAATCATGACAGAGAGGATGGCCTAAGACAATTCAATTCACACCCTGATGTACGAATTATGGTTCTATCCCTCAAAGCGGGTGGGCTTGGATTAAATCTGCAGCGAGCAAACCATATGGTTATTATGGACCGATGGTATGTAGTTACTAAAAAAAAAATGGGGGAGGGGGGGGGGGGGGGCAATAATGTAGTTTATTTTTGCTAATGTGTTTCATTTGTATAATTACTTGATATCATGATAGGTGGAATCCAGGTATGCGTATATATAAATATATTAAAGAAAAGGTTAAGAACATTCAACACATACTAATATTCATGCTATATATCTTGATGTGATCCTAATAACTCAGCTACTATGGGTAAGTAATAAAAATAATATAAATGCGTGAAAGTTTGCAAACAAGCTGATATCTATCCATCCATTATTTTAGACCAAGTTATTTCTCGAATACATCGAATGACACAAACAAAGCAAACATACATTTATACTGTAGTAATTAAAGACACGATTGAAGAGAACTTGATGGATGGTATACTGGAAAAGAAGGCAAGTAGTCAAGCTGGATCTTTTTTTTTAAAAAAAAAAAACAAGAAAGAAAGAACACGCTTTTCTAATCACCAATATAATAGAGCAAACTTTTCAGTGCAGTAGTAGACAGTCGTGATGAAGATATAGATGATGGTTATTATCCAATGGATGAAGATGTATAAAACAAAATACGAATTATAGGTTATAGTCGTACATATTGGTGTAGGAAAGATTTCAGCTTATATTATTACTTTAGGGGCATCAAAAATCTGAAGGCCTAGTAAATATATTTCTAATATATAGTATTGGATCATTTGAGTAATAAACTAGTATTTATTTGTAATACATGTTGAATAGCGTAGGCTGTGTATTTGTAAATCTGGATGTCTTTATCTTGTAGAAAATACAGATAAACACACAAAAGAAGCATAATAATTCTATCCAACCTTACAGTTATTTTCGGAATAAACTGTTCGTAAATCGTTGTATTTCTACACATAAGATGTAGTAAGTATATTTAGGCAATCTATATATAAAATAAAGCTTATATTTACCAAAACAAACAGTTCTTCCAGTAATTTTGAAACGCCTTTTTTTGATGATCTTTAGTACACACACACACACACATACAGTGTTGTTTATTGACGCCCACATGGTATACACTAAGAGATAAATATTAGTATTAAATATTGGCTTCTTGCAACGCTTGAGGGTTTACTATGTAACTCTATCAGTTTGTATGATTGTTTCAGAGTATACACAGATAAATATATATGCAGTATCAGTAGTATATTATTTTCCAAGATGTATTAAACATTCTGGAATTATAGTTTTATTCCCTTTTTTGTTGTGACAAGAATATCTATTTGACCAAGCTTATTTAATCATGCAAAAAAAAGGGTCAGGAGTAAACTAGCCTTGCAGTTTTGTTTTCTTTGATGCAACCCAGAGATATTTCTTTTTTTTTGTTGCCTTTATCTGTGCATAGGGGTGACGCATTCTCAGTACGTAAGCATATGCTACTTTGCGAGCATTGAAATACTCTCATCATCTTGATCTCATACACTATCATGCACTCGTAATGCCCTCTTATCATTCTTGTCCAGATATTCAATCTACAAGCGATGGCTCACAGCCTCAGCTACCCGTAGGATGGCTTATAACTGGACGTAGATGTTCAGCTATGGAACTCGAAACAAATATTCGGACCCTCGGAGAACTCTATGATACACTTACCGCCCTTCGTAATCAACTCCCAAGTCCTATAGCAATCGACCTAGAAAATAGTCATTTGTCCCCTTTCTTTGATAATGTACCTCACAAACCAGATATTACATTGACAAGAAATAGCAGCTCAAGTTTGAGTAGTCTACCACAATGTTCAGGCTTGGAGACACCAATGTATGAAAAACTGGCAAAATATCCAATGACTTTGGATAATTACCCAAGCACAATCTATGAGCCACTTGTTCGGTTACACCTCAATTGTACATCTTATCCTCGGACAGACAAAGATGCTTTTATTGAAGCGCATCGTACAGGTAAGATAAGTATAGACACGTATACGTGTCAGCTTAACATGGTATTCTTTCTGACACTCGAATATATCTGTGAAAAAAAAGGTAGTTTTTCTCATCCGGCACTGACCTGCGCAATGTACGCTCACAGTGCCATCCACTCATTGTATTGTCATCCTGAGGCTATAATTGAAGCTTACCGTCCACTACTTTTTCAGATGGGAAAAGATTGTTATGATATGAGCCGTGATCTCTTGGAGTTTGACCTTGTCACTCCAGAAACAATCGAAACACTGGTACTCATGCACCTTTATCTTGTTCGGGTCGGTGACCCTGACTCTGTTGGTGAGGCCAGCAATCTTTTGTGTCTTGCCATTCGACAGCTGACGATGCTTCCGAAACGCGGCAGACAATCCGACAAGATTAATAGACTCTGGGCATGGGTAGCAAAGCATGATCTAGCTCAGGCTACCCGATCTCACACATCACCTTTATTACCAGTTGACCATCCAACCCAATCATTATCGTATTGTTTCCCAAATTACCAAGATATTCCATACTCAGTACTAGCTATAGAAAAGGCAGGCCTGAGTTTATTGGCCGAGTCTTTCCAGCAGTCTTCTGTTGCAGTCAGTTTAAACCGATTGGAGGAGTGGCGAACAAATGGCCTACTAGCTCTAGGGGAACTCAACTTGATGTCAGGATACTCGTCGATTACTAATCTCACGCATCTAGAAGAATTATACTTCATCGGTCGCTTACATATTCATGAAACCGAAATGATGGAAGCTTTTGGGTCTGACGAGAGTTGGTGTCACAGTACTTGGGATGATTACTTTAACGAAAAAAGGCAAGAAAGAGAACATAAGATTGAAAGGGCACTTGAAGCTAGTATGCAAGCTGCTTTTGGTCTGGTGGGAGTCACAAAAAAGTACTTTGACGCCAACTACCTGTGCCGGTTTCCAGAGGTATTGAGCGATACTGTTATTTTCAGCTTACATTGCAGAGAGAAATGAAACTAAGGGCATATTATATTCTATAAGACTATAGAAACATTGTCAGCGGCGTGCACCATGCTGTACTTTGGAAGCAAAATGTCAATTCAACCAGTCGCAAAACAATCAGAGGCAGCTCTCATCTATTTAGTAAATTCTTTTGAATCCACGCCTTCTTTGATGCACAATATTTATGTTCGCCAATTCGTAGAAAAGTGGCGTACTTTATCTTGATGTTGTTTGTATTTCCTTGAGAAAAATATGAAAATCATCTCAAATATTGAAATATAAGAATAATATATATATATATATATATAAGTAATCGTTTTTTTATTCTTATTCTTATTAAGAAAAAAATATAGCTAATTTACTTTGAATGAATCAGCAGTTTCCTTGAACATTGAAAACAACAAGGGAAACCCGATGAGATTATTGTCCCCAAGTCTGATATAGTAATGGCGTGCAGCATGGGATAGATCAAGCAAAATACTCATTCGATATTGAGTCTCGAAAAGCCAGAGATTGAAAATAAAATGCAGATTCTTGGGATCGTATATACCAGCTCCAGCCTGAGGGTCAACATGGAACACAGCAGGGCCTCCAAAGGAAAGGTCCGTGGGCTTTGTGATAAAAAGTGTCCTCAATTTGTAGTAAAGTAAGCTGTCAACATCAGCTGGTGCAATAAGATTGTTTTCAAAGAGGGCGCAGGTAAACATGAAAAAAAGTAAGATGTGATAGTTTGGACTGGATATATCGCTTTTGGTGTATTCTCTTCGCTCTTTGTGGGCCTGTCTGTATTTTTTAGACACGAGTTCAAAGTTACGTTCGAGGTGCGAAAGTAACACATTATGCCAAATACTTCTAATCGGATGGGAAAATAGAAGTGTCAGTTTGTAGCAAAGTTTAGTAATCAAGTCGGCAATCAATACATTCGATCGAGTGGTAAATCGTGATTCTCTTTTTATTTTAATTTGTTCAACGACTATTTGGATTGGTTGAAAGTTTATTTGAAGTGGTTCATTGAGCATTCGAACTTGTTGTTCAAGAATTTGAAGTTGCTCATCGAGTGCTTGAATTGGCTCATTGACTGTTTGGGCCGGTTCATTAACTATTTGAGCTGGCTCATTGACTGTTTGGATTGGTTCATTAATTACTTGAGCTGGCTCATCGACCGTCGGGATGGGTTCATTAGCTGTTTGGATTGATTCGTCGTTTATTTGTCCTGGATCATCAGCTGTTGGAGCTGGTTCGTTGGCTGCTTTATCTTCTAAATTCAAATAACGTTTTTTGAGCGCAGGGACAAGATAGCCAGTCTTCTGGAGATTCTCCAAGGGCTGATCACAGAATATATGGCTGAAAAGTGTAATGAATGATTTGTCAAGCAGGAATTCAAGTGAAGATCCGAAATCCGGAGATTCTGGTGTGCGATAGTAGATCTCCTTGGCTAGTCGGTTTGAAACTGAATTCAGAATGCTTTGGTTAATATTGTTTGTTGTAGAGCTGTAGCAATGGCGGCTGAGAAAAGCGACGGCAGCATGAATAAGGTTATCGAGAGGGTTGATGAGGAAGGGTTTGATTAGATTGATATTGTAGTCATGAAACAGTATTTGGTAAGCCAATTGACGGTATAATTTTGAGCATGTTCCAAGGTACCAAACGTCGGCAAAACGTAGATAGCTACTTATTTTGAGAACTAGTTCAAATGGAAGGTCAACAAGACTAATTGTTTTTGTTGAATTTGACATATTTTGTTGGGTAGTAGTAATGGAGTAGTATATATATGTATGTATGTATGTATGTATGTATGTATAAAGAAGGAAGAGAAATATGAAAAATAAAGTTTTTTCTTTTATATAATTGATGACGTTAATTTTTAGTATTCTTTTTAGAGACTTCTCTAGGTCAACTTTGCTTTATACTCTCATAAGATAAATTACCATCAGATATCTTGATTTCTAGTCCAGAATAAACCATAATAATAAAACATTAGATATATAAGTATTTCCAAATGTTACTTGGAGACTTTATCTTTACATAACAGCTCTTTACACGTTAACTTGCAAAAATCAAATTAATACCTCTCCTGTCCACCTCGCAGTGTCCCCATTTTTTTTACAGATAAGATGCGTTTCCTGAACACTGCATAAGTCTGGTGGCACAATACACCTATTCTAGCTGTTGTATTACATTATTTATACAAATATAGATTTGTGAAAGCATACAACAAAGAAAATGTAGAAAGGAGTTTATTAAAATGGTTTACAATAAGCTAAAAAGTAAAGAAGGAAAAATATAGGTGCTGGTATGCGAGGTAATTAAAACAAATGCAAATGCGTTATTAATAGGTAGAGTGAAAGGGGGAAGGCGAAAGGTTTTGAGGAAGCTGATGATCGATCGGAGGATGGTGAGGAGGTGAGGGAAGAGATGTGAGAGTAGAACTTGGAACAGAAGAATCAAAAGAATCGATGCTACCACTTCGACTGGCCAATGGACCACAGACAGAGCGAACTTCTTGGTCCATAACATGTACAAGATTCTTGGCCATTTCAAAATCATAAGCATACCCTGTTGAAATTTTGGAAATATCTAGAGAACGCTGCATGCACCGGACTGCAAAATCTCGATATTTGTCGTCCTTATATTTCAAAAGTTTGTTGTATACAATATTGGAAAACAAGAGGCCCGCAAGAGGTATATTGCAGTCATCTCTATACTTCACCATAATTTCGACCGAGTGGGTAATAAAATAGGCCGAATCAATGGAAGTCTCGAGGCAATAAAGTGAAAATTCACTGGTCGGCATATGATCTGACGGGAAAAATGGCTGGTAGAGCAATATTTTGTTGATATTATAGTGAACATTGACATTAAGGATACAGAACTTTGCGAACTCTTTTATGTCTAGATGGTAATGCTTGTGATCATCATGTGCTTCCTGAGACTCTGATGCACGCGATATACTCTCGTTAGCAACGAAGTGAAGATTTGGATCCTGCCATTCGGGTGGAAGATCATCGTGAAACTGTTCAAGTCGATCTTGCATTGCCAGCAAATCAAGAGGTAAGTTTACATCAGCCTTTCCCGTCGTCTGTGCTGCCAAGAGACGGGTCATCACATCGTGCCGAAGAACCTGGAGTTTTATGAGATAGTACCACACACTCCATATATAATAGTCCACTGTTCCTTGGAATATCTCTTTTTCTGACCCTGGATTCATATCGTCTTCACTCGGCTTGGGCAGTGGTGGTGGGAGTGGACAGTGTGGATAAAACTGACTAGACTCAACAGAGGTTGTGCTTGAATTTCCTTGGAGGACACGATACCAGGTATTAAAGTAATACAGACACCACACCAATATGCTTTCTTGTCTTGAGAGTTCTCGTCCATGATCATACAGGCCAAGCTCTTGCGCCATGGTGAACGCAATCCACTCATAGATATAGATGACTCCAGGGTATCCATTTTGGTGATTAGAGTAAGAAAGTAAGAATGCTGCCTGACAATTGTCTATTGAAGGCTCATCAAAGCACTCTGAAAGAAGTTCTCGTCCTTTGAGAGAATACGCAATTGAAAGGACTTTTCCCATGTTATATTGTGGAGACTCGTGGGAAGGTCTCTTACTCCACACATGAAGTTGGAATGCATTGCGTGCTGCCATGGAGCAAATTGCATACACGAGCACAGTAGAAGGTCTCTTTTCTGGGTCTGGATCTCGGTAGCGTTTCATAAAATCGACAACATCTATAATCGGAAGACGTATTGATGAACAGCAAGGAGTACGACAGTATAATTCAATAAGATCGTCTGTAAGCTCAGTTGAAATATCTATTGGATAATCTTGTGGGAGTGCATAGGTGGGATGAGACCATGTATTCCACACGGCAAAAGAGAATCCAGATGAAGTATGTATCGAACTAGTGTCATCCAGCTCTGCCTCCCTTGCCAGCCGTTGACGTTCATCTGACATTGGCGGTGAAGATGCTGGCTGGGGAATTGGTTCTCGAGGTGTGATATGCATGGATCTTTTGAATTGATCTACAAGTTTGGATAGATCACCATATGAATTAACTGTGCTTTCTACAGAGAGTCCCTTGCCAGTAGAAGTAATCTTCCAAGCAAAAGGTGGCAAGGGCTTTATCTTTAGTGAGTTATTAGCTCGAGCTGAAAAATCGCGAGTCTTTTGGGCAAAGTCTTTCGCAATTTTGTCAATTGACTCTTGCCATTGGTCCATAACTTTGTTCATGGTAGTGAGCACTTGTGATACGTGATTTGCTTTGGGCTCAGTTTTCATGTAGGTACATTCGGTCCCATTGTCAGTGCAGCGCCCACACCGAGGCATTGTCAGATCACATTGCTGAAGGTCTTTGTAGCACTTTCCGCACGGATAAATGGAAAAGCTACTTGTGGAGGCTACGCTTGGCGGGCGTGGTCTCATATCTTCGTCCCGCTCTGAGGTAGTATCTGATGCAACAGAAATTGAAGAACGATTATCAGAATGTTCTGACATAATAGATGGTGTTTCCACCTCACTTCCAGGCGTGGCTGAGCGTTGGGCTAAGCACTGGAGTGATATGCCCTTTAGTTCTTTCGGCATAGTTTCTGCTGATTTGAGTCGGTCGCCAAACTTCCTTATACGGTCGCCAAGCGTTTCAGTTGCTTTTTGGAGTTTCTTGAGTGTGGGTGCAGCTTCTGGATAAGTACAGTTGATACCTCGGCGCTGACAACGGGAGCATACTGGCTTTTGACGATCGCATGCATGTCTATAGGAAACAGCGGAGTTTTGTGTGAGATGGTGCTTGGTGTCAATCTACATGCGTAATAGTTGCCTGAATCCTCTGCATCGAAAGCAAGCAGCTCCCAGATTGTTGTGGTTAGACAACTCATTGGACGCATCAGCCATAAATCGTTGCTATCCGTTGTGGACGTTTTACGTCGGGTTTGTAATTAGCTTTTGAGAATTAAAGGCTGCGTGTGGATCGAGCCTCGGATGGAAATGACTTGAGAAAGGAAAGTAGAAAACGGGAATTTGGCCAGCAATTAAAAATAAATACAAGTGTGTGCGAGAGAAAGACAAGCGGATTGAGCAGGTACATAGTGAATAGCCAATCAAAATCAATACGCCACTCTATTTAGAGCGCCTGTGTCTTGCTCTCTATTCCTTGAACTTCAAGAATACCCCAATGGCATCCTCGGTAAGTTCTCCGCTTCAACAAACGCACGCGCGCACACGCACACAGACATACACACATACACACACATTTTAAGGTGGATCAATTATCCTTTTGATGCAAGTAAAGAGAAACACGTTTTGGGATCATCATTCAATAAGCTGGTGTGACTTGTTTCGGTTCACAAAGCATATGTTTTTTTTTAAGCCTGTGTGACAGAATCAGATATCGCTTAAGAACGTTGGGAAAATCATCATGATTCCGTTTCGGCACCCCTCTGTTTTATTATTCAAACTTGGTACGATGAAAACAAGGCAGCGATATTATGGCCTATGCTTTATTCTACCTTATTTTACCTTTTATGTAAATATATATATTATTTGGCAGCTTCTTTAATTGACTTGATTTATCAGCTCTTCTTTCCGATACTATATATAGAAATACTCATATATATATATATAAATACTTATAATACTTATAATACTAAAATATACAGCTCCTAAAAGATTTACCCCTTCAATTGTTTTAATTGTTAGGGTTCATGGAATTAAGTCATTCCAACTGTTCACATTCACTAATCTCAATGTTATTATTATTCACAGAGAAACATAATAAAGCTGATCAGATTATTTCAATGCAACACGTTTTTATTAGACTTTAGAATCGATGTGAAGACAGCCAATTCCCATTCGATAAACAATGTCACTTTTTGGGATTGAGGGATTTTATTTCTTCTTTATGTGTTGGATGAATAGTCAATAGTTTTTTTTTTATTAATCGAATATTTGAATTCCATAGATAATATCATCTAAGTACTAATAGACTTTTCTGGTTTATTTTTAAGGACTTGCAAAGTTAAACAAGTATTACATATATATATTATATTGAATCAATGGAGCAAGTATAGGACACCTACAATTCTTTATTTTGCAAAAATAATAAAAGGTTAAGAAAAACTACAAAAGATTGTACAAGCAGATTGAGAAGAGAAACCTTTAGCCGAATATCATATGTGCTTTAAACAAACAAGATATCTTTGCAAATTATCTGGTCAATAACTTGAGACAGCTTTGTATATTTTGTATTATATAATTCCAAGAATATCCCGAATAATTTCAGTAAAAAAAATGTGTATTTCCATGAAATCTTTTTAGGGAATACAGAATATTCTGTATTTAAGTAAAGGGTCTTTGCATCTATATTTACTTGTAAGATTGTCTTAATATCTCTAAAGAATCGTGGGCTTATTGAGCAAATAAAAAAAACTTGATAATTCGGTAGAATACCCTATTGGCTAACATTTCTCAGTTCTCATCTTGAATGCAATAAAGAAAAAATCGTAGCTTTGGCTTCAGGTTACTTGAAGTTTGCTTTGAATTTTCTTGTAAAAATTGCACCATTATTAATGTGATCTGGAGCAAAATAAATCTTAACGGTAGATGGAGTTAAATGAGAATAATCAACAATACAAAGCAAACTCATTGTATATATACAAACATGTGTGTGTTTTGATAGTAATTGTTTTTTTTATTTGTTTATTTAATATACTATACTCTATGGTTCTTGTAATTATTAAAATAAAAGAATGTTTCTATGTTTGTTTGTTTATTTTTGGAGACTTAATATCAAGCTAGACATCTCAAAAAGAGTGGGTATAATCTATGTGGAACCCGAGAGAAAGAATCTTGACAAAGAGGTAGATCTTGATTTAGCAGAATGTGACTTTGTAACCCTCGGCATTGCACATGTAAGCGGAAGTGCTGTCATCAAAGGCCCAGCTGTAAGCATTAGGACAGGCTGCCTTGACTTGTTTTGCGTAATCGTTTCCGGAACATGTGAATTCTGTGTCGTATTCACCAGTACAGCATATCTCGGGGGTGCCGAACTTGGTGCAGGCACTCATGCAGCCAATGACGTTTCCATCCGTATCCTTTGATTCGAAGCCTTCTGGACAGGAAGGAAGAGTAGAGCAATCAGAGTTGCCACAGAGGAATGCATTACTGTCACCGGTAGTTCCATTGGTTTGACCATTGATCGGGGTGATACGAAGAGGCAGGTTGTAGCCATCGACAAATGAGATGTCATAAAAATCGTTTCCAGTTGGACCCTTGAAATAGAATTCGGCCAAAGAGGCAGGTGCACCGATGCCAGCATAAGTGCAATCATTGCCGCTACATTTCTTGCGGGCCCAGATACGGCCGGCCCAGCCATTGTCAAAGACGAACTTGTGGCTATCTCCAGCATCAACAGTGATAGATGAACCATAGAGTTGACCGTTGGCAGTGTTTCCAACATAAAGTTTCGAGTCGCAGTTGTTTTGAACCAGAACATAAGGATTGACTGATCGTTCGGCGGGTGCGGCAGCAACAATGCTGGCCAAAAGAGCAATGCTTGAAAGTACAGAGAATTTCATGATAAACTTTATGAAAAGAAATGTAAAATGAAGGGAATGTTGGTGTTTGTTGAGAAAAAAAAGTGATGCCCAACACCCCCCTTGATTTATATATACTTTTTTTTTGGCTGGAACAATTCATTGACTTTAACTACAATAGTCGACAGGTCCCACTTTTCTTCTTATTACTTGAGCCTGAAAGTGAGAAGAAACCCAAATGAATCCAAAATTTCACCAATCTTTGATGATAATTCACAACATTAGAGTATCCGATTGGAGAGATAAAAAAAAATTCAGTTGAAACTAAGAATTGAAACATATATCTCCAAGACATTGCAGCACTTGTTTCAAAATCCTATTGGTTTGGTCTAGACTTTTGACTACGAAAATACATTTACAATGTATGTATATATATACTATTCATTTCAACATGCATGACACATATCCAACAGAAGGGTGGGTAATTTAGTTAATCTGCAATGTTTTGTTTCTTTTTTACTACAACGTAAAAAAGGAATTCAATAAAAATGATCTTAATTGATTATGTTTCTGAGAAAAATATCAAATTTGTTGAGATCTTCAGGACAAAAAATCAGAGAAGGATCAACTTACTGATCAATGTCTTCTATTGGCTACTTAAAACAATCTGTTTCATTAAATCGCTTGGCAATGAGGTAGTGAAAGATTGGTTTATTCCATGTAGCCAAGCAATTGGCGGCATCTCAAGCTTTGGCGGCCAGAATAGGGACTCCAAAAGAAAAGAAAATATCTTAATCTTCATTTACATACAAAAAATGAAACTTGGGACCGAGAAACATTATATTATTTACAGAATGAAAACAAAAAACTTTATAAATTACATGGGCTAAATAAAAAGATGTAATAAAACGGTCTCTATAGATTATTTAAGCTATATATATATATAAAGGACATCAATTGTAAAGAACAAATTAATATAAGACTACAAGTAAATAATTATACAAGGTTGATTGGCTATGTAGTGTAAATATTCGACTGAGTGACAAGAAAATGAATACGGGTAGAAAGACAAATTTATTAAAAAACAAATAAAATGTGCTACTTAACTACTTCGAAGTTCGTTGCGATGAGCGATACAAGAAACACTGGTGGATAAAATTCGCTGTGTCAGGTCCTCCTCAAACACGAAACAAGCTCTCGTTAGTATTAGGCGGCAAATACACCTGAACTAGCTGAATATTACGAGGTGGGGGAATGAGGAGGGCTGAATATACTGCTAATGTCTGCAAGCTGGGACTGTTGTTCTTTGTTCAAATTGGCAAGGGTGATGTTGTTTTCCAGGTTAATCAGATGCCATTTCCAAACGAACATAGACTTCAGAGATGAATGAAATAATTCCAATTCAAACATACTTTCAGATTTTGACGTAAATTTTGACTCATTAAGACTGCCTTCCTTTTCCTAACATACCATGTTGGAAAAGCTATGTACGTATGAATGAGATTTACAGTTGCGACTTTTATTTATATAAAAATTAGAAAGAATAGTCATACCTACATGTTTGAAACAATATATAGAATGAAATATCTAGTGAAATTTTTATCCTGAACTACTGCTTTCATTGTATCAATAGTGCTAATAGCCTGATTTGTATCGCGACTAGCGCTTAAAGATATTAGTAAGACCGTAACCTAAAAAAAAGGACATAAAACTTGCTTAAATCTAAAAGACAAGAAAGCATCAAATATCACATTGATGATAAGATTAGGGTCAACAGGAAAAGGCTCAAACTGTTTCATTTCGCAACATTGCAGAATAATATTATCCTAATGACTTTCATGGAGAATATACTTACACTCAGGTCTTTGGACACCATTTATCATGTTCACACAACCTGGCATAAGCAATGCATAAAATTATTCTTTGTCCGAAAACAACCTAGCTTTAGAAATAATATGAGAGCAGATTCAGCATTCAGTAGTATCGTTGGCGACAGTATCACCAGTATCATAATCAGTGTTGTCAGCTTTATTAGGTTTTTTAGTAACGTTGTCAGATACATCAAAGTTGTCATTAACAGAAAGGCTACTAGTAGCAAGGTCAGTAAGAGTAGACACGACGTTATCTGCAAAAGCAGTGGTGCTAGCGATGGCCTATGTCTCAAAAGTTGATTCTGATTGTTTCTATACAGAAAACAAAAGCTAATATCACGAAAGAGATGTTTCTACATAAACACATGCATTTACTAAGGTTTTAGCGTAATTAAAAATGTTGCCTATCATGACCTTCGCAACGCTCAAAACCTTATACAGAATTTATTCTAGGCTTTTGATGCAAGACGTGTTTTGCTCCAACAATTGTTCCATGACTCCCTGGTGCCATTACCCTTTCCTTCCACACAACATGGTCCAACCTCGTTCTTAAACAATGCCCGGATCGATAATAAAAGTCTCGCTCAAGCTACTACGGGTGCCTTTTGGCTACATACGGCTCCGTAGGTGAAGACACCCAATCTGACTCCTGCTTGCTGGAAGAGGGTTTGGCGACAAACCATCCCATACCATTGTCGGAATGTTTGGTAGAAGGCTCTGTAGAACTGCTTTTCAATTCGCGCTCGTCTCCACCATATCATCCCTACTACCATGCTGTCCACTGCGTGCATGTTGTGCTCTTCTCCAGTAGAAAACTCTACACACCTTTTCTTTTTCTGCCCTTCCAAATCCCGTGTTTGGAGCATCATTTTGGCTCGTCATGCACCCGAATTGGATGCACAGTAGGCAAGAGACGATCTCCTTCTTGGTGAATTCCCTAAGCGTTCTGATACGTCTGCTTCTCTAGTTGTACTGGTAGCTGTCACTGCGCACGCAATTTTGCGCGCTCACTGCAACTTCGTCTTCAAAGAGTTCCCTTTACTGGCCAGCGTGGTAGCGGCGAAAGCTTCGAGTGTGGTGTCACGAAATCTTGCAAGGAGGATGTCAGATATCGCCTAAATCCAAAAAAAATTCTTTTTTTTTTAAATGTATTTTCTGATCAATTTTTTAGCAGGTTATCCCTATCCTCACACCCGATATACTTTTTCACTTTTAATCATGCCCTACATACTCCATTTTTCTTTAATTAGCTGCGCGCAAGCGTGTCGGCAATAACCAATAAATAATACAAAATAAAGTATACTGAATAAAACTCGTACGATTGTAGGTTTAAATTCCAGTAATTAGGATATCGGTTGTCATAATTATGATTATTATGATTCAAAAGAAACTTATATAAGCTTTTGTAGTAAAAATGGCATAGAGAAAAAACACAATATTGAGATATTAAAATAATATCAAAGAGTGTGTGGCGTAATTGTTCTCAAGTCAAAATGTATTTTATACTTATGTGGTTTAATAGAGAGAGAGAGGTGGCTATATATGACCTACTAAAATTCCAGTAAGTCAGCGAGAGGGAGATTGAGATAATTGTTCCCAAGAAACAGGTACGGCCAATCATAACAACAAAAATAAGCTGGCTAAACTAAAAATGAAGTCTTTGTGCTGTTGAGATTTTCTGAGGGTTTTATTTGAATAGATTATATAAAAAAAAACCTTTGTATGTACATATAGCACATCTTGTAAATGAATATATGCGAACCTGTGATTAGCACCTGAAATCTCAATAAACATTTGGTCTCAGTAAATAACAATTACCCGTTTGTACCCAGGTGTTTCTTCTTTCTTTCTTTTTTTAAAGTAATGAAATAAAGGAAAAGCAAATAGAACAATGAGAGATGTGCCACAATAATATCCAAGGAATATCGGTGGTTTCTCTTTAATTTAGACACTTTTTATTATTATCACATTAAATTTTAATGTGTGTGTGTGGGATTTATCTTCCCACCTTTTTTTTTATCCCATATGAAATAGTATATATTTATATATTATTTCACTCTTTCAATCAATGAAAGAAAAAAAGAAATTGAGGCACAGAGGCTTTAACCTATTTCTATATAGTGTGTGGCTCTTCATTTAAATAAAATCCTATAAAGGTGTCGAGCTGTGATAATTTTTACCTCGAATCATCACCAAATGGGCTCTACGATGGAGTTCTCTAAACAATCATTGGAAATTAATTTGCCGATTACAACGAGAATTGACAAAATTTTGCCATTCCCACTCGACAACACCTCTAATAGCTGCAAATAGTTTTTGGTTTTGGGGTTTTTCTGGGGGAGGGGGATGTTGGGTTAAATGTAAAGCTTTATTCTAGCTACAAAAAAGCGCAATAAATTAAAATATTGGATTAAATGAGACTTTTATGAAAGACCAACAAAGTCTTTTAGTTTAAATATTTACGAGGTTTGTCATCGATAGTCCATGATTATGGATATCTCACAGAAACTAATTACATACCTTTCCTTCTTCTCCTTCTTCTTCTTCTAGTTAATCCTGTTGTCTAGAAATAAGTCTAATTCTTCCTTGATTGAGCAATAACTGATTTTTCAGTTCAATCATACATGGTTAATTGCCAATGGATAAAAAGATTTTATTTATATATTAGTATTATTGTTAGATAATTATAGCTGTTTGTAAGCTGTTGATTGAGATTATTTGGTAAAGATATTGAATATTAATGTCTCTAAAGTAGTGGTGTTACTGCATGTATATTTAATTTACAAAAGAAAATACAGCCCGGAAGTAGTGTTATTTGTACAATGGTATTACAGCCATGTTTTGAATTGTACAAGATCGATTGATATGTCTTGTATTTGACAAAAAGGTAACTCTACATAAAAAGAAAATATCTCATCTTGATGCTATTTCTAATCTCAATGTTTACACATTATCTTCTAACCATCTTACTACTACTACTATTACTATTTCTTTAAAGGCTTGATAACAATATAGAAGCTATATGCATATATAATGACAGTTTATTTTAATATCAAAAGATAAAGAAGAAAATATTTACCTTTTTACTAAGCTTTGCGACTCTTGGTCTTGGTTTTGGACTTTGTCTTTGGTGTGGTGGTTGTATTTTTGGTCTAATATTCTTGGCCTATATTTCAATTTGTAACCACATGAAGCTTACTCAGAGTAGATGTCTGCTTATGAGGATTTCTTCAGGTAACCGTGACTAGTCAGAATCCGGCAATACATATGGAGATGATGGGTGATGGTTATTTTGGTTCGTTTCTTTACGTAAACAGTATGAGAGAGTGATCTCCCCAACCTTTTTTGACCTTAATCCTGTCGGTAATTCAATTTACATTCAGACTTGATCCGATGTGAAAAAAAAAAAAAAAAAGGAAAGAAGGAAATAAAAAAAAATACTTCTTGAAGCTGTTGATGATTCAGAAATTTAGCTCAATAAATTTAATTTAATTTATTATGGTAGCTACGTCCACGTTTATCTTTAACCCTTTGTCTGTGATTTGATATTTATGTTGTGTATTAATATACACATACATTTATATATACAAACACATATAGATATACAAAACAAAGAAACAAACATATAATTTTATGTGTAATTGTTATTTTTGTGGTCAGACTATCCTAATGAGATTCTAGCTGTACCTTGTAGACTTGACGTATTCGTCTGTATAGTTTGTTGATTTTAGTATTAATATTACTACAATTGATTTTCTGATTAATGTATTGCACAAGAAAATAATAAAAATAATAAATAAAAATAAAAAACTGCCCGGTTGTTCTTTACACAAGTTGAACCTATTTATTGTTGTTATTTGGTAAATAGGATCAGTTGGTTTTTGTATTCAACTATAGTGTATATATATATATATAAATCTTTTTTCGGTAAATGTTATTTCTTATATAAAGCAATTCTTGGTTTAGGATTCGGATAGGTGCCGAGACTAGAGATACTATTGAGAGTAAGATTCTGGTATGGATTAACTAATACTACTATTATTCTTATATTTTAATTTTATTATACGAATCCCAATAAATAAAGGTATCAAAATTACGGATTTTACTACAACTATTATTATTATTATTATTATTTTACATTGCTAAAACGATTTTTTAAATATAAGAATTTATATATATATACATTTTAAACAAGACACGTGTAGGTATAGTACACATGATAGGCATGGGAATTACCAGACTCTCTCGCCTTGTACAAGTGGAATATAGTGGAGTAAGAGTTGAGTGGAGTTGAGTTGAGTTGACTGGAGTGGAGTGGAGTGGAGTGGTTTTTGGCTTGTGAGGACAGGTGTTTTTTGTATGGTGTTTATGGCTATTATCTGCATGGGTAATTTTTATTATTTTTATTATTTTTTATTATTTTTTTTTATTATAGTTGAACAGCCAAAATTTCATGTGAAATCTAGAAGAGTGTTGTCATTGTATTATGCTGTGCAGATTGTGGACCGTAATAAACGTAATAATAAAATATTGAAATTCTGGCTCCCTTTTTTGTTCCTTATTCTCTTACCATGGTTACAAATTCTCACTCTTTCTACGCCTGTCCACTTCGCTCTTCTTCACTTCTCATAGTCAACCAACTCGACCAAACAATCATCACTGCCACCGATGAAGTATTCGATAGCCTTGGCTACAGACCCTGCGATCTCATGGGACACTCGATTCTAACGCTCGCTCTACAACAACAACATCAACAACAGCACCAATATCACAATAATCAAATGCCTTCTTCTTGCCGACGCTATTACGCACGGCACGCTGCCAGAGGACAAGTTTCTCTAGAAATATGTGTTCATCATGATCCATTTGGAGCCACAGATAGTCTGGATTATTGGCTCATACGACTAAATGCCTTTGCTCCACAGCCAGCAACAATTCTTCGTTTAAGCCCTTATGGCACAATCGAATACTGCCAACCAGCACCATCCTTCCACCAGCTCACCTCTGAAATGCTAGGAAGACCAATAATGGGTTTCATTCACTCAGACGACGTACCCGCTTTTTGCGCGCACCTCAACAACACAGCAAAAAGCAAAACGCACACCGCAAGGACCTTCCGTACACGTTGGTCAAAATACGCCCTCCAAGACCTTCCAGAAGACTACAACAACACAAAACACTACGACTGGATGTCTCTCACTGCAGTCACAACCGGTCATCGCACTGGAAGTCCTACAGACGCCTTTCAATGCCGCCCCCTGTGCATTCTACAGCCAGTTCCTGGAGAAACTGTAATGGAACAAGCCAGGAGAGTCTGCATTGAGTATCTCCAAGGAATGGTTGGACAATGCGCAGAATTTAGCTCATCGGCAATGGACATGGTCACAATTGCTGTAATTGAAGGCTGGCATCAAGGCAAAACCTACAGTCTAGCCTTCTTGGCCCACCTCCTCGCCAGTCTCCTTGATCACGTGCAGCATCCTGCTCTTGATGCACCTTTGGGTGACAACATCCTCCTTGTTGATAACGTCAATAATATTGAGCTTCTTCGCTTTGAACAAGACGACCAAGAAAACGAATACCGTCGAGTAGAAACCTTACGAGAACTCGTCAAATCAGTCGAAAGCACCTTACTTGTACAGCACATTCTAAATTTCCTTGGCATGGCTGGACTCGTCGACCGCTCTCGATGTGTTACGGACATCCTTGAAACATCCCTCGACAAAGAATGGATGAGCTGTTTAAAAATGCAGACTTATGCATAGATTTACACATCACCATCCAAAGGCACAACTCCAAGCATTCCTTATCCCACCACCAAATCATTACTTCTCTAACCCTACTCCTACTCCTACTACCTCTTTGACTTTTCCCTCTCTATCTCTTCTTCTAAACATCCAGTTCATCTTATACACATATATACATTTATATATTTATATATTTATATATTTATGAAATCGACAAAATGAAACAACCAGCAAAAAAAAAAGCAAGAAAAGTAAAGTCATTGGCTTGTCTATCCTATCCCTCTCTCTCTCATTACCATATTGACTCTAAGTATTTATATCTTACTAGTTTCTCCTCCTCCCCCTTTCTTTTCATCATATTATTTCCTCTAGGACACATATTCACAAACACAGACACATTCACTCACAAACATTCCTTATTCTCTGTTCCCTTTAATGATATCTATCTATCTATCTATCTATTTATTTATCTATTTATCTGCCTATCTATCAAATGAAATCACGTCTTTTTTTTGTCTTTGGATTATTATTATTATTTTTTTGAGTTTCGTGATTTATATATAATATATATATATATGTATATATATATACTTTTTTGCGTATGTATTATGTGCGTGTGTGCGTGTGTGTACGTGCACATGTACGTGTACGTGTACGTGTACGTGTACGTGTACGTGTACGTGTACGTGTGAGTGTGAGTGTGAGTGTGAGTGTATATGTGTATATGTGTATATATATGTGTTGAGTCCACTGCAGTCGTAACCGTATTTTCTGTATCGTAATATTCGTATTAAGCTTCAGGGGCACTCTTTTTTTTCGTCGTCATCTTCTTTGTAGGTTCGTGTTGTTTTGTTGGGGACCGAATTTATTCTTTTTTATATATATATATTGTGGTTTTTGACCTTTGTTTGTTTCTCTATATAATCAAGTATCAAATGCCTAATAGACGACAGATACTCTCAGCTCGAATTCGTATGTATGGGATGCACGAAGGACGTGTCTAGTGTTGTGGAAAGTACGGACACATCGCCATGCTTCTGCCTCTGTTGCGAATTTTACCAAGAACTTTGATACACTTGATCTTTCCGCACTAAAATTCCATTACGGATAAGTCAATTATGTCTCTTAATAAAATAAAATAAAATAACAACTAAAGACCATGGAGTATTATAAATACAATCAACTTACGTCTTGAGTTCAACCAGATTCTGATCTACACCTTCAATAGGGAAGACATTTTTAAATCTCAGTTTACCACTGACATGATCAACGGTGGATCTCAAAGGAAAGCCAACAATCTCAACAGCACGACCCGAATAGTTTGTTCCATCGGCCACAGATCCCAATTCACGTGTACGGGATTCAGCCAACAGTGAAGAGACATTGTCTTCATTACCTTCTCCACCCTACAGTTCACACATGGGAAGTAAAGTGTGTTTATAGGATTTTTTTAAAAAAATAAAATAAAATAAAATAAAAGACTTTCAATAAAATAAAATAAAATCCCATATTTCGGTCAGACTTACAAATCCAGCGTTAAGTACTTTACCGGCCAATAATCTGCGGTGAGCATACTTGACCAACGAAGCAGCATCCTCAGTGTTATTCAAGTGAACCAAGCATCGACCCTTGAAATGGAAGGTGGGTGTACGGCAAAATACGACTATTTTATACAAACGTATATATATAAAAGAAAGTCAGAATTCCAACCTTTGCATTATTCTTTTACTTTCTATCTCTCTTTATATATTTGTTCTACCTACCCTCCTTAATGTTCTCGCCATTCTTTTGGGTAGCTTCACGTACAAGCTTTCTGATATCTTCAGCAGTAGCAGTAGAAGGCAGATAATCAATACGAACAAGAGTAGTGGGCACCATGCTTTCGTTGGGCTCATTAGCTCTACGGACCTGGCCTGAAAGAAAAGATAGATATATTAACAATTAGTACACCTTGATATTCCAATAAATGACTCTGATATTTATTCTGCTCTGTTTGCGACTAGGATAAAATGAAACTAAAGGGAATGAGGAGAGAAAAAAAAGGGCTAAATGTGAAAATAACAATAAAAAAACAAGAAAAGACTTGCCAGTAAACTTTTTGATGAGGTTGCCAGCAAAGTCTTTGCGTCTATTGTCATGGCGTCTGGTATCAGGAAGTCTGGTTTCTCCAGTAGCCTGAACAGAGTAAAGGCATCTTGGGGCGATGCGTACAGTCTGAGCAGTCTGGCGAGCTGCCACGGCAAGTGTACGATTGAACATGACAGGCAGGGGTAGGGGGAGGAGTTAACAAATTGGACTCGGTGAGCTTCCCAGGAAAACATAAACACACTGGATTTTGCGAGTCACGAATAGTATCTCCGATGATGTTGCCTGGAGAAGAGAGTAAAGGATTCCCTTTGGAACCGCCGCCTTTAGCATGATTGGACGCTGAGACGCGATTTATTGGTGTAATTGTTTCTTTCTTTCTACTCAAGGTCTAGAAGATCTTGGTAGTTGACTTAAGAGAAAGATGTACAGTTTATCAAAGACTATAACCAAATAAACTCTTTATAATATCTCAAACAAGATCAATTAGGCAGCAAAAATCTTGTTAATATTGACGTAAAATAGTACTCTCTTTCTGTACCTCATTTTGAGGATTTTTTTTTTCTTCTTTCTTCTTCGTATAAAATAAGACGATATATTCTCCTAAATAAAGTGTTACAATCTAGCCATAACTGCTTTGTGTCAAGGCGAATAGCGTATGATATCTTGAAAATTCTCCTATTGAACTAAAATGAGATAAAGCAAGATCAGTAGATAAACTAATCTTATGCACTAATATATTTGTTATTATTATAGTTTATTTACCAGACACCCAATACGCCGAAAAGTATCAAAAGGCTGCAACCGTTCATTTTCCCGTCAGATTATCCCGTTCTTTTTTTTCTTGGATTTGGATTTGGAAAATAAGATGCGGGGTAAAAGATCAATCGGAGATTGCTGGTGCGCTTTATAAAGCTACCAGGATCTTTATCCTCTTGTCCTTGTTCACTTTTAACCCCCCCCCCCCCCCCAACTCTCCTCTTAACTCTTACATTATGTCTGCTCCTGGCCAAGTCCACATGTATGTACACACACACATTATAGTGTACTGATACTTTTTCATAGCCACAAGCTGACCCCTCGGGATCTTGTCACCAAAGAGAACAAGGAAATCAACAAGTACAGTCGTACCATCACCCAGACACCCACTGCAGGTGCAGCCCAAGCTCAATGTGAGTATCATAATACTAAGACTATAATATATAAACATAACTTAACCATCTTGTTTCTCTCATAAAATAATACCCAAAAAAAGTGTATGCAACTGGTTTGACAGACAAAGACATGAGCAAGGCCCAAGTTGGTATCACAAGTTTGTAAGTAGACCTATGAGTCATTTTTTATCAATTGTGGTCAGCAATAGTGATTTTTATTTTACTTATTTTTTTTTTTCAAAAATAATAATAATAATACTTCGCTTAACCAACTCAAGTGGATATGACGGTAACCCATGCAACATGCATATCAATGACTTGGCTCTCAAGGTCAAGGAAGGTGTATGGAAGGCTGGCTTGGTTGGTTACCAGTTTAACACCATCGGTGTCAGTGATGCTATTCCTATGGGAAGTGCAGGCATGTCATTTTCACTTCCCAGCCGTGATATTATTGCCGACTCAATTGAAACTGTAAGTCCCACAGAATTTGTTATATACCTAAGTTTGTGGTTTTTGAATGAAGCTGTAGCCCGTGAACTAATGCATAAAAAAACACACCCACACACCCACACACCCACTCATACACCCACACACCCACTCATACACCCACACACCCACTCATACACTCACAAAAGGTTATGAGTGCTCTGTGGTACGATGCCAATATTTCTATTCCAGGCTGTGACAAAAACATGCCAGGTTGCATGATTGCTATTTCTCGCCTGAACCGTCCAGCCATTGTAATCTATGGTGGAACTATGAAAAAGGGACACCGTACTCTTGGAAACTGCTCCAATAATGAGATTGACATTGGTAGTGCTCTGGAGTGCAACGGGCAGTTTATTAGTGGCAAGATCAATGAAGAAGAACGCAAAGACATTATTCGCAATGCTTGTCCTGGTGCAGGAGCCTGTGGTGGAATGTAAGAGAATCGAGCAAGAGACCGCAAAAAGACTATTTAGTAACCAATTTGACTTGAATATAATGTACATCTGTACAGGTTTACTGCAAACACCAGTAAGTAAACCTTAAAATGAAAAGAAAAAGAAAAGTGCATAATTCTCACTACTGAACAGTGTCTAGCGCTATTGAGGCCCTTGGTATGTCCTTACCCTATAGTTCATCAGTCCCTGCCGAGGACCCTCTCAAAATACACGAGTGCCTGCGTGTCGGTGCTGCTATCCGAAACTTGCTCGAGAAGAACATCACTCCTCGAGACATCCTGACCACAAAGTCTTTTGAAAACGCATTGACATTGATTATGGTCTTGGGTGGTAAGTTAAATATAGTTCGGAATCTTCATCTATTTATACAAATAAAACAACTTCTTTCTTCTTCTTCTTAGGTTCTACAAATGCCATTCTTCATATGCTAGCAATGGCCAAGGCAGCAGAAGTTCCTCTTACTCTGGAAGATATTCAAGCTGTGTCAGATAAGACACCTTTCTTGGCAAACCTGCGTCCCAGGTAAGGTGTCCCTTAAATATTTTAAGAATATATACTTTGTACAAAGATTTATATTTATACATTTTTTTTCAGTGGACGTTATGTGATGGAAGACCTGCACCATGTAGGTGGAACACCAGGTAAATCAACAACAACAACAAAAATGCTTCAAAAGTGCTGTAAACTGATTAACGTGTCACTATTCTGTAAAATACAAGCTGTTCTCAAGTACTTGTACGAGAATGGTATGATCCATGGTGAATGTATGACTGTAACCGGAAAGACCATGGCCGAGAATTTGGCTGGGGTTGATGGACTCAAGCCCGGACAGGACGTAATCTACCCTCTCACAAACCCAATCAAGCCAACTGGTCATCTTACAGTACTGCGCGGCAACCTCGCTCCAGAAGGTGCTGTAGCAAAGATCACTGGAAAGGAAGGATTGGCCTTTACAGGAGTTGCGCGTGTATTTGATGAAGAAGATGAGATCTTTGTGGCTTTGGAGAAAAACAAGATTCCCAAAGGGTCTGTTGTTGTGATTCGCTATCAGGGACCCAAGGGTGGACCCGGAATGCCAGAGGTAAACAGTTTGACTTGGATATTGAATTTTTTTTTAAAAAAAAGTATCGATTTCTGATCGCATTGAATTTTATTTGTATTGTATACTGTAGATGTGTAGGTATCATTTAATTGAAAGCATCAGATATACTTTTCCAACTTTTTGCTGAGAAAAGAGAAAACCAAACCTGAATATATATATTTTTTTAGTAAAACCTACTGCTGCTATTATGGGTGCTGGATTGGGTAAGGATGTAGCCTTGATCACCGACGGCCGATTCTCAGGAGCTTCTCATGTAAGTAATATAATAACTAGTATTTGACAGATAAGTATATAGATATATTAAATTGATTTTATAAATCATAAAAACAACAACATGTACTAGGGATTCATCATTGGACACGTTTGCCCAGAAGCTCAAGTTGGTGGACCTATAGCACTAATCAACGACGGTGACAAGATCACTATTGATGCTAATACCAAGGAATTGACTATCCACGTCTCAGATGAAGAACTCTTGAGGCGTAAAACTGGGTGGAAGCCCAAGCCCCCAAAGTATACAAAGGGAGCTATGGCACGCTATGTAATGACAGTCAAGAGTGCAAGTGAGGGTGCTGTGACAGATGAGCTCTAAAAGATAAACGGAGTACACAAGACACTTGATCCAAAATGTTTTTTTTTTTTTTTTTTTAAGAATAATATTATAAATTCAATAAACACAAAAGTATATTCTAGCCTATATATATATATATATATAAAGATCTCTATTTTATAGATAAAGAGAAAAACAAGCTTATTTTTTTTTACTGTTAAAGTAGGTATTTGTAGGTTTATAAGCGCTTTCTAAGCCAAAGTAAAGGTCGCGTTCTGTTTAATATCCCTACTGCTGGAACCAATATGAAGCACATATTCGCCTGATGGGATTACCCATTCTTGAGAATCAACATCCCAATAGCTAAGTTCGGTTTTTCCAAACTCAAAAGCAACCAGTTCATGATGGTTTGTTTTAAGATAGACTTTTTCAAATCCTCGCAACAGCTTTGGAGGCTCATCGGCAATTTCTGGAAACTGAAGATAGGCTTGGACAACCTCTGCACCAGCAAGCTCACCGACGTTCTTGATGGTGACAAAACAAGACACTCTGGTATCTTCATCGTCAATGTATTTCAGAAGAGTAAGTGGGCCGTAAGAAAATTTAGTGTATGAAAGACCAAACCCAAATTCAAACAGAGGTTCGATATCGTGTTCGTCAAACCAACGATGCCCAATTAAAATACCCTCATCATAAGAAGCCTGTAACAAATAAATAAAATAAAAAGACAGAAAAGCGTCAAGGTATACCATTAGAACATATAAATTATAACACCCAAAGATATAAGCATATAAAGCTATTTTTTCTTAATTTCTTTTTTGCCTTACAGTCTGCGTGAAAGAAATCTTGGGCCCATAATCGCCTCTAGCCTTTGCTATAGTAAACGGTAGGCGACCTGATGGATTCACGTCTCCAAATAGAACGTCGGCCAATGCATTTCCAGACTCCTGTCCTGGAAGTCCAGCCCACAAGATAGCCTTAATGTTCTTGTGATTCACCCAGGGCATATCAACTGCACCAACAGCATGAATGACAACAATAGTATTTGGGTTTGTATCTGCAACAGCATTAACCTAAAGATAATACATACATTGTGTTAGCAGTGTGTTCTTGTTAGTTATTACAATCGAAAATGTAGTATATCTCGAATCAAAAGGTTCAAAGTCTACTTACTAAAGCATTTCCATTGTGCCACAGAGAAGTATCATTACGGTCACCCATTGCCCCTTCGACAGTAATGTAGGCTTCCCCCGAGTCAGAGTTTACGAACACAAATGCTACATCTGCTCCTGATGCCAATTCAGCAGCTAGGCTAATGTTCCAGTCATCAAGACTGTAGGCAATATCTATATCAGCAGATCGATCGTGGATTCCTTCCAAAGGCTGTGTACGTGTACATACATTTAAAATGACAAGCATAGTATTTATTAATATATCTATTAACGATGTACAGCGTACTCTCAGTTTGGCAAACTCTTTATTTTTTTTTAAAAAAAATATGATGGTACTTACGGTGACTAAATAAGGGAAGTCAGATGTACCTGATCCCCAGCCTTGGGAAAGTGTTCCTACATTGCATCCATGGTCCACGCATGCATTTCGACCACTAAAAATAGTGTGTTAATATGCAAACAGACTGATCATAATGCAATACGAAATATACACAGATATTATTAAATGAGGGTCCCTACTTTGGGTTAGGACCAGCATCACTGCCAATAATGGCTATCTTATTCAGGCTTGTAGAGAGAGGTAGAATCTGGTCTACGTTGCGGAGTAGTACAGTAGATGCAGAGCCCATTGAACGAATCAATTTTCTGTGTCTACCTTGTACATTGACGTGCTTCCCAAGTTCTGGGTGGAAGCTATCAAAATTAACTTGAGGGAAACTCTAAAAATAGTATAAAAGTTTGAGAAGAGGTTCTCAAGAACCACAGGCTACTATCTGCAAGTACTGCTTGCATAGATTTTAAGTATGTAAATACTATACATTATCCTGGCCTAGCTTGTACCATGCGGCCACTATACGGCGGGCCATGTCAGTTACCTAACACATATAACCAAGAACTAATTAAAAAAAGGTGGACATATACAACCATAATATTTTCCTCTAAAGTTTAATCGCAAACTTACGCGCTCTTCTGGCACTTCGCCATCCCCAACAGCCTTGGTCAGATTTGCACCGAAATAAGAATCTCCCGAGAGAAATGTAATATCCCCTACAATTTATCCAAGTAATAGAAAGCTTGGTATGAGTGTGCGTTTCACATTTTATTCTCGGGTATAATTAGATGCAATTATATACCTGGCATGGTCATGTCTAGCCCATTATTGGCGCTGTCAGATGTTGAATGTGTAGCAGACCAGTCGCTTTGGACAAACCCCTTAAAGCCAAGTTCGTCTTTCAATAACTTATTAAGAACATGGTCGTTTTCACACGCCCAGATACTGTCAAACTTATTATAGCCACACATCACAGAGGCTACCCCGGCTTCTACAGATCTCGCAAAGGGCCACAAGTAGACCTCGTGAAGAGTCTTGTCATCTATTTCTGTCGATTGCTGGTGTACATGGTATAGAAATCAGAGAAAGAGAGACCCACTTTAATTATTAAGCATTTTTCACTTACCGTTTCACGGTTAAATTCCTGCTCATTCCCAATTATATGCTTAGCTGTTGCAATCTATCAATTTCAAATCATCTTACATACATTAATCATTGAATTATAGAAGCCTGGCTGAGATATAGAGGCTATTCTATCTGTATCTTACCACTCCTTGACTTTGGATACCAATAATTGTCTCCGCAGAAGCTACACCAGCTAAATATGGATCTTCACCAAATGCTTCCCAGGCTCTCCCAGACTCTGGGGTGCGCATCATGTTCATTGACGGACCGAGTTGGACATTGATCCCTTTATCTCTAAACTCTCTCCCCATATATTGGCCTCGGTTCCGAATAGCCTTTCGATCGAATGATGCGGCTGTATTGATGCCTGCAACTCCAGAACTCACAAAATCTGCAAATCGAACACCAAGCGGAGAATCCTGCAGACAGAGCCCAGGAAAATCGGGATTTGTGGTCATTCCAGAATTCCCAACACAAGGTCCACCCATCCACCCAACTCCTGTAGTAATGTTGACCTTTTGGGCAAGTGTCATTTGGCCAATTAGGATATCTGCCTTTTCATATGCGATGTCCCAGCTTAAAATAGGATTAGATAAAGCGTAGGCATGATTCGCAAAGTAGATGGACGAAAACCCTAAAAGGAAGGTTGCGGAGGTGTATAACGAAAGCATGTAAAGAGTAATGAAATATAAAGAAAGAATGAGACAGAGGGAGACAATATACGAACAGGTGTTTATACTATTTTTAGATGTTTCGGAAAGTTTATACTGTGCGCTAACTTGTAAATAAAACGATTTAGATATATACAAAAACCTATATTTGTTTGCTTATTAGAATTGAGACCGATGAAGCTTTATTGTAACAAGACGCAAATCCTGGACACTAAGCTGTGGTAATTAAAACATTCTCTTAAAGCTTTAGAGAAATTATTCGCGTTTAATTTATCATAAGAAATATATGCACCTTGAAGTATTAATACTTGAAATGATTCAACTAAAGACAGTAAAAAAAGGCATTTTTTTTGGCTTCTGCTTTTGGTTTTTGAAGTTATTGTAGTGTAGTGTAGCGATAAAGTATAAAGAAGCGATCGTGATGTAAGAGACATTTACTAGGCGTATATTCCAGGGACGTATTTGAAATGGTAATAGCCTTGTTTTGTAGAAATATCGCTAGTTATCATAGTCACCTAGCATCAATTATGTTGTCTTTTGCACAAATTATAAACTTTTTGTAAATTCTATATTTCATCTCATACTTCGCATTATAGAAAACCCTTTCTTGCAAAAAGATTCCAAATACCCAAACATTAATTCTTTCTTATTCCGATTTATAATGTAACCTGCAATATATTCATAACAATATTTCCAATGATTTACTATCTCTCTTGTCAAAATATGATTATACAATAATCAGCCATTGCTTTATTTTCTTATATATATTTATTTATTCATAAAAAACACTTATTATTCTCTTTTAGTCGTATTTTTTTTACTGAGCAAACACCTCACCACCCTGCTCACTCAAGAAACCACTGATCTTTTTGACTTGGTTATCCCAGTCTTCCAATCGTCGTCTCATACCATCAATCTGGTCCTTATCCAAGACACGGGGTTGGACCCAAGTAACTGTGACAATTTGATCGACTTGATCAATGGAGCCACGGATCAAGTTTAATGACAAGGCTTTCATAACCAAATGCTCGACCTATTATTAATATGAATACAATTATAAAAATCACCATAATTAGTCTTTTGTTCCCTTTCTGTAAAGTTTCAAAAAATCTATTCATTCCATCTATATACCTCTTCTACGGGAAGGCGAGTTTCTGCTGCAATATCAGAAAAGGGAATATCTCTACTATCGCCTGCACGACGGAACACAGCTTCGATCAAGGACATCAAACAAATCTTTCTACTAAGTGAAGCGGCATTCTCTTGCAACAAAGGCTATAAAACCACGTTCATATTAATCTTATACCCTCACCATTTATACATTCTGTCTATATCACGAAAACCTACCAATTTAGCAAAATGAGGTGCGAGTGCCTCAAACTTTCCAATATCACCGCTGTTGAAAGCGAAGAGAAGAGAGCGAAGCCAATCATTTTGAGTGTTGGTCAGTGCGTCGAGAACAGGATGCATCAACTAGATACCGATGTAAGATTTCCCCCAGCAAAAAAAAAGCAGAAAGGCCAAAAATGAGTAATCAATTTGATTCCTTATATATTATAGTGATAATTTTTATACATACCAATTCACCAAAGTTGTAAATCATTTCGCCCAAGAGAGCAGCAATAGCCAGATCGTAGGCTCTCTCTACCTTCTCTTCATTTGAAAGCTCATCCACATTTACACATGCAAGATACAACAGAGCGCTCTTGTAATAAGCAGCATATTCTCCCTTTGCCTTGTAGTATGCAGCACTAACACGGTAGAAACTTGCGTAGATGGCAGTATCAACGCTATCGAGGCTCTCAAGTGTTTTTTCGGAACTATCGATGGCCTTTTTTACTTGATCGAGTTGGTTAAGTTTGAGCTTGAAATTGGCAGCTTCCATGACAGCATGAACGTGAACATCCTTGGTGTCAGGTTTATCAACTTTGGTGACCAATATTTCCAAGAATTCGACAGCATCATTGGGATCTGTATATATATACATAAAAGAAATATACTTTTTTGTTGAATATCTACACACGTCAACATGCCCTTTTTCTTCTTCTTCTTCTTCTCCCTTTTCTTTATATTTTCGGATATTCGTGTCATTTCTATTATAATAAGACCAACGGTTACCTTTGAAGTGTGTTGCTGCCTTGAGAGCAATAGAGACAAGAGATAATGCGTTGATCTGTTTCTCCCATTGGCTTACAAATTGCTGATAGATTGGAATCTGGAAAGGACCTGAAGCAGGTTCTTTGAAGAATTCTAGAACCTTGAGGGTCAACTGATGCCACAACCTATTGTAATACTAATAAGCTTTCTCTGATTTTAATAGAACATAATACCGAGTTGCCTCTTTTTCTTATTTATATTCTGGTTTGCAAGAAAAGAAAGAAAGAAATAGAGACACGTACTTGCGCTCGTAAAGATCCTCAAATGTTGAGAAATAATGTTGGAGATTAGCAGGTGCTTTGTGTCTTTCCTGAGAAAGAAACTTGGGAATGTCAAAGTCGATTTCCATAAGCTGTGCCATGATGTATAGTTGATGTGTGATGGATGAAAAAATAAAAAAATAAAATAAAAATAAGGGGTGGAGTTCAAGCAAAAAGGGAAAGCTTGCGCGTCCCGACCCGTCTGCTTGAATGATACGTCATCCCAAAAGAGGGGCGAGCTGGACTTGTACTTGAACTTGAACTTGCGTAGATTGAGTTGGCCTTTATGATAGAACAATGGATTTAAGCCGACTTTTTGTTATTTTTTTTAATGGCCTACAAGATGTTAGTTGAATAGAAGATATCTATATGCAATCTTAATATAGTATATTAAGATCATAACTATTAGAAGAAGAGTGCATATTCGAGAGTGTGAGATAGGATCGCCTAGGTCGGTGGTTAAACATCCAATAATCCCCCTCCTTTCCTGTGCTATCCGATCTTTTTGTGGGCGTGTATGTATCAGTGAAATAAATCGATAAGTTCTACTTCTTTCTATTTCCGATCAGTACATAATGGAAAAGTATTCACGCTGGAGGGTATGTGAAATGATTCCTAGCCTACAATTTACTAAAACTTCTCATGTTAGGATGCAGGAACTGGCATCCAACCATTCCTACCTCCTGTGGTAAGCATTCGCTAAACAATAGTAGATCCCACAAACTCACAACCAACTTAGCCACCGCGCACTGAATCAAGTCTTTTGCACACAATGTCTAATGTGGTTCATTACATTGTTTGTCCCATCCAAGGCATTGTCAAACTCCTCATTGTGGCTATTATAACGCTTGCCTATGTCTTGTTTGTCCCAGTTCTTGGCACACTTTTTGTAAGTAGGTTTATTTTATATTTACAACACTTGTTAATTTTTTTTTATTTCTTAATATTATTTTTCTAGTCCCCTTTAGCCTTTGCCCATAGGCTGTGGACAAGGTTCTTCTCTGCCCTCTTGCTGCGCTTGGTCCTTTTCTTCAGCGGATTCTTTTACATAAAGACTGAAACTATCTCGTTGCGAAAAGGGTAATTTCTTCGTAGAACAATACCCTTTCTTTGGGGCTATTTTCTTTTCTTTTTTGGTTATTAATTATGACATATTGTAGTCGTGGTACAAACTCTACCAAACCTCAATTCAATGTTTGCTCGGGAGATATTGTTGTATCCAACTGGACGTCATATATTGATATTCTCTATCTCGCCTGCAGGTAATTAGTGAAAAGCGATCAATAGTTTCAAGCTGCTTAAGAAAACTTTGTATATACAATAATTGACTTTTTTATTTTATTTTATTTAAGATGGGATCCTGTATTCACACAGATCTTTCCTGTGGAGAACAAAGTGTGCCGAGTAAGTCTGTGGCAGGCCATCCGTTTGTGCGGAAGTACACCTATCATGTCAGCTGCAGACGCAGGAGTCGATAAAAAAGATCTTTGGACCCTCAAAGAACTGGCCAAAAAGGCCAAAGAACAACACTGGGGACCAGTAATTGTGTTCCCCGAAGTATGTACTTACATATGAAAGAGGCAATAGAGCCGATATTTATTTATTTATTTATTCAATCCGTAGGGCACTCCTTCTAATGGGCGCGCATTGCTTCAATTTAGTCCCATATTTAAGGATTTCAAATCGACAGATCGCGGTATCGCAATTCATGGAATGGCATTCAAGTAAGTTGTAGCTGTGAACAACTTTTAGTGAAAGTGATCTAACATTACAAAAACTCTAGGTACGAATACAGTAACCTTCCTCCTTCCTATACAGTTGGAAATATGTTTTTCCATTATGCATCCATCTGCTCGCAGGTAATAATAGAATAACTAAAAATGTTATCTTTTCTGTATAAAAAAAACTAACTAACTATTATACTTGAATAAAGTTCTATAATTATATGACTATTAAGCAGCTTTCAGACGAAGACACACCCTGCTCAGCTTCCAAGGGCTCTCTTAGCGGCATCCCTCAGTCGGCTGACTTTTCTTCCTTTGCTGCCTCAGATGATTGGGTTGGTAGCCAGTTGATTTCTAGTTTAAGCACAATGGCTAGACTTCGAAAGACACACTTGGGCATGGAAGACAAGCGCGCATTTATGAACTACTACAACCAGCATGGAAAGAAGCAACGCACTGCCTAATTCAGAAAATTCATATGAAGTGGCGTTGTTTTAGCCAATCATTCACACAAAGGTTTAGATTAGATTCATTTTTTTTCTCAATAAAAATTATATAAAAGAAATACAAACAAAGCTATATGAAGTGGTACACTTTTGTTTTTGCTATGACTTGTTGGTTATACAATTCTTGAGAACAATCCTTCTTTGTAAATATATGTATTTTATACGCATAGAGTTTGTATTCTTTGGGATATACTTTTTAGATAGAATCTTATAAATAAAACACCCGAAAAAATTGATAAATAGATAGATAGTTTTTACGTTAACATATATCTCTCAGGTTGATGATTATTTATTATATCCTTCTGAAACCATTTGTGGTTTTATAGGGGGGGTTTATATCAATATAAAATATTTGTATCAAAATAACCATCTTCAACCTACATTTAGGCTTGGCCGTAAAAATAAATATTCAAAGGTACATTATCAAAATAGTCAAAAAAAAAGATACGCTATCAAAATAACCATGCACAAATTAAGCAGAAAATAAAGAGCCTTCTTTTATATCAATTGATTTGCTGTTGAATGAGATTTCGTGTCTCATCCAACATTTAAGATCCTGCCTTGATATCATGTAGTTTATATTCTTTATTTTTCTATAAGTTTTTCTTGATTGTTTAAAGTATGTTTTTAACAAAAAAAATCTTCTAAAGTTCGATATAGGTATAAAAAAAGAATCAAGATCATTTCGATCAAAATGAGCAAATTAAATATAGAGAAACAGACGTATATCAAAACTGGTTAAGTAAAGTTTATTTACATATATAAGTAACCTGATTAGATACATTACGATCCACCGTTTAAACGTTGTTTGACATCTATTACTCAAATATCAATCAAATTACCTAATTTTTTCACTCTAAAAAACATTTATTAATGAAATTTGAGCTATTTGCACCGAAAAGCCCATATTTGATACCCACTTTCGCTCAGGACGTATACCTCAAAAAAAGATGTTTTTGTTTTTGTTTTTGTTGCATTAAGAAAAGTTATGTAGAAAGTTAATTGCTACATTTCAGTACTTTTTAGACCAGCAACGTACCAATATTCATGGAGATATCAATATATTTAAAAATGACAATATCGTTATTTCCACCATCAAAAGATGTTATTTAAATGTCCGGCATAAAGGTGTGTGCCCCAAGAATTACTCACGCTGTGCGGTGGCAGGTTTTGTAAACATATGGCATGAAGAAGTATCAAGATAATAATGGCTTTTATCAAAACAAAGCGTTATAAGTATATATTACAAAATCTGATATACTTCATATAACTTGTATAAAGCTTTCATGTACTTTGACTGTGTAGTCACAAAATAAGTATCAATGTCTTTAAAACATTATACCAAAGATTAACTTGAAAAGAGGAATATACATAAATGCAGCTAAGATGTGTAGTTTTTTTTTTGTTCTTGTAAGTTTGGTATAAAGAGCTTTCTTAATTCCTTCATATTTATAATAATAGTAAAAAAAAATACAGTGATTCTATAAAGTATTTGATGTTTCTGAAGAAGACTGGTAAGCTGAAAACTGGTATTCAACAGAATCTTTTTAAATAAAATATCCGGTTACAAGCAATCATCTTTTTCTTCTTCCTTCTTCTCCAAAACATAACTCCTCTGTTACTCTCAAAAAGAGGATCTGGAGTAATCTTTTCTCTTTCTCTTATTTACAACTAATTCTCCCTTAACCTTTGTTGCCTCGGTTTCCTATATTGTTGTTGTTGTTTTTTAAAAGAAGAAATATAGATAGAGAGAGTACACACACGCATGAATACATATATTAGTACTTGAGTAGTAAAGCTGAAAGTAATTCATGTTAATTGAGACGTTACCCCATCCTTTTGGATTAGCCTCTTTAAATTCGTCCCAGTTGCGTTGCTTGATGGTTTCTGCATCAACGGCATCCTCGTTTTCATCATCAACTTCCTGCTTTTCTGGTTCTTTACCACTACACAACAAACCAATCAATTAGTCTCACAAAATAACGAATTATAATATTTAATCTTATATATAGACCACACATAAAGAGAGAGAGAGAAGAAGAAGAAAATATACTGTGAGATCTTACCCTCCACTGATAATATTGCCTTGCTCCATTTCTTGCTGAAGATACTCATCGATTGTCATTGTAGGAAGATTGTGTCCCGGGCGGAAAACCTGATCTGTCAATTGCTGTCTCTTGTTTGTAATTACAAATGGTTGTAAAGGTCTGCCTTCCTTGCTCAGAAGTGGTTTGTCCCGACCCCAGGCACTGTTGAGACCTGTTGGCACACGATCGTCTTCTGTCGTGGATTGTCCGGGCTTTTGCATTCGGATATCTTGCATGGCTTCCATTTCCTTTACCATCATCATCTCCTGCTGAATCGCGTGCAGATGTTCGAGCGATTTGAGAATGTGAATGTCAATCAATGCAATCACGATCTCTCTCTCGACATCGTCATCGTCTTCTTCGGCATCCTTTGTCTGGCGTGATTCACTCAAAAGTAGACGATCTCGTAACTGGACAAGCTTTTCTCGTGCAGCCTTTTCCCGTCGGTAGCGGGCAATTTTTTCGTTGCGTTGTTGAGCAGCAGGAATGGCTCGTTGCTTGTCTTCCAAGCTGGCTTCAAGGTCAGCAAGGTCTTGTTTTTGGATCAACTGATGCTCTTGGCATGTCGACAAGAAGCGATGGAAAGCTTCCTTTGTTGTTTTTTATTTATTTGTTGGTTGGTTGGTTGGTTGGTTGATTCGTTCGTTCGTTCGCAAAGATACAGAAAGAGAAAGAGAGGTTTGTTTCTTCGTTTTTTTCTTTGTACATATATATAATATACATATTTACTGATTTGTGTATGTAGATATCAAAAACAATGACACTCTCCACACAAAAGAAAAGAAGATTTTCTTGAAGATAATAGCAATATTAAAGCTAAATCCAAAAGTATATACTACTCCTATTACTATTACTAATATAAACCGAGATATCGACAATCAAACAATAAAAAAAAGTAATGTTACCTTTGCATCAATAAGTATTTTGCGACGTTCACCATTGGTTTGCTTGAGAATCAATTCACCCAGGTAAGCCGGAATGAGTAGAAATCTGAGGTCATTGGCATTAATGTCATCAAGAAACTCATTGCTACTGAAAATAGCAAGTCGCGTCACAAGTGCATCTGCTTGTTGAAGTTGTTCAATGGCCTCCATGACCAGCTGTTGGTAAGCAGGATCTACACTTGCAAGTCGAGTCTCATCAAGAGAATTAAGTGTTGCTTGTGAGCGCGAAAATAGTTGTCCGAGTGAAAGTCCCTCCATTATAATGAATCGATTAAAATAAAAAGAAAAGAAAAGAAAAAATAATAGGAAAGGAAAGGATAGGAAAGGATAGGAAAGGATATGATAAGAGAGGAAAATTAACTATGGGCGGACTTTAAACTGTTCAGATCGTAAAAGTGAATTTATTAAAGAACACTCATACTCACATACACATACACACATATATATAAGCATAATTGAAATATTTGTTCTTATAGCTTCTACTACTACTATTATTATTATTATATTTAAGTATAATACCAATCAATGGGTATTGAAATTGCTTATTTTATCTTTATATATATATGTTTTCCTAAATAAAATAATTTTTTTGTATGTATGTATGTACTCGATTGATTGTTTAATGAAGACAGCTGTGCGTCTTTCTCTTAGCTCGTTCTGCTACCATGGCTGCCCCTGGAAACTGTCCCATGGAAGGATCAAGGGGATCATTGCGTGCATGAATGAAATCTTGCTGGAGATGAATAGGATCCGTTACTCCAGCCAGACCTACCATGTCATGCTGACTAGGCTCCGATTCCAAGTCTTCGAGCTGTTCCTCTGCTGATTTTCCATCCATGGTGCCATAGCGACGCAGAGCATTAAGTTCTTGAGTGAGAGTGTCGTGGCGGAACTTGACTCGAATGTCAGGTACATTGGTTCTCTGCATGTCGTTACCTGCCACACCCGGTTCACTCCAAGACTCTCCGATCCAGTGTTGCTTGATTTTGTTTTCCCAGCCACTCTGAATAACCGAATTACGAGCCAACTCACACATGTCTGTCGAAGACAACTTCCAGATCTGAGCAGCTACGCTGTATTCTTCAATCAAAGGTTCTTTTGTAAAGTGAAATTGAAGTGGATCATCTGTAGACAGCGACACATTAAGACCACGCTGGAAGAATTGTGGGAAAGGATTTCTTTCATATGTGAGGAACAGTGCGTTGTTAGACAGCGGTGACATGGCAATGTGGATCTGGGCTAGGTAAAACAAATATTGCAAGGCAGGGACCTTTCGCAACAAGATACCGTGACTAATACCAAACGACGTCAAAAATGCAGCTGTCAAGTGTTCGGTATCACCTGCTTCACCACAATGAGGTCTCAACACAAACGTATCTAAAAAGAGAGAGATAGAGAGATTTTATAAGACAAAATACACCCACTTTATATATGTATATATAATTATAAAGACAACACATACTGAAACCACGTTGGCGGCGCCACTCGTTGAGAGAAGTCATATTAGCGTACATGTAGTAAATGTAGTAGCTGTAAGGTGGATTGCTCTTGTTAGTCCAATCTCTAGGTGCAGGATACTTTTTAAAGATTCTCTTCTCAGGTTTAGATTCGTCATCGACTGAATCGAACCCAACCACACGTTGCAAGAAAACAAACAACTCAGGGTGACTTGAGGGGTCTTTGGTGACTTCAAATAACGGCTCAAAGACGTCTATTGGCAACAGTTATTTGTTAATATAAGAAAAAGAAATAATAGTATATTATTAGTACAGCTATATATGTAGCCTATTGATTGATTCTTTAGCTTTGACTTACTCTTGATTACATTCTCAAAGTTCTCAATGGCACCAGATGACTTGTAGAGGTTGTACAGACGAGGTATCTGGATCAACCAACGAACATTGGGAGAGAACATCTTGTTGTTGACCACCCACTTGGCTAACTTGTCCCATTCAGACTTTGATCTTCCATAGATCGAAAGACGATACTCAACCATCTGGTATTTAGATGATTCCAAATCAGACACAACCTCTGTAGATCCATATATATATATATAAAGAACGGTGATTAATAAACAAAGAAAAAAATTAAGGTTCTCTCTCTTTGCTTTGCTTTGCTTTGTGTACCCTTTGTGATTTCAGCGAGGTAACGACCGTTGATGTAATTGTCGGTTTTTATAAAGATTTCACGAAGTCTACTCTCTCCAATTGGGTTGTACTTCAAATTGAACTTGTCGAACCGGTGGAAAGAGTCTTTGTGGGCCTGTTTTATTATGATTATTATGTACACATACACATATACATATAAAAGCAGTTGTAGTTGAGAATACGATATAAAACAAAACAAAAAAAAACAAGTGTATAAAGACTTACGTGCATATCTAGGGTGTCGATGCTGAGGTCATAGGCAGTCAATCCCAGACTCTCGAAAACTCCAGCGAGAGTCAAGTGTTTGTCATCACGATAAATCACAACATCCTGTGACAATTGTTAGTGTGGGGCTTCAATTAAATCACACACACACACACACGTATATATATATATATATATATATATATTGGTAGGTTACTTACATCAGGGGATCTCTTCATCTTTGACTTGATGAAACGCAACAAGTGCTTTTGGTTCATGCAACTAGTATGATGAACGTGAGTGTCTACCTTACGAACATTATAAAAGTCTCTGTGGGGAACTCTCTTTTTATAGAATAAACATCTATTAGTAGTTTTCAAACAAGAAATTGCCAGGGAGAATTCTTCTTGTGTATGTGTTTTTTTTTCTACCTTTGAATCGGCCAGTTCCTGGAATTCATTCAATAGAATGTACATTTGCCATTTTCCATCAAGGTACCGCAGGCGTCTAAAAGCAAAACTTTTGGCTGGTCCATCACTGTAATACAACAGTATAAAAATAAGTGAGTATAAAAATAGATATGCAGCTACACGCACAATAAATATGAATATGAATATGAATATCCTATTTAATTTTTACCTAATGGTATTTAGGACAAAATCCATGTCTTCATAAAACTCCTTGCGGTGAGGAATATTACAGATTGGACGGTGCTGTTTTTTATCTATTTTAATAGACCCAAAAATTAATTGCCATACTCTGCCATTAGACTTGAGTCACAGATAAGACTTCTTCCTTTTATTCATTTATTTACCATGGTCTGAAGCATATACTTCATAAAACCCTTCGGGGTTCAAGCCGTAGGTATACTAAACCATTTCCAAATTTAGCATTTGACTTTTTACTTGAACCAAACCAAATCAAATAAAACAAAAAAAAAAGGAAATTCCCAAGCCTTTGTGTGCGTGTGTGTGTGTGTTTTTTTTTTACTTACATTTTCATCCTTTGACGGGAATTCACAGGATTCAAAGTCAAAGTCACTACCAACTGCGGCAATGGGATCCATCTCACGCTCATGCTCTTTTTTACGTCTTCTCTCGAGTTCTTCTGGGCTAGGCAAAGGCCATGAGCGGGGTGGAGGTTCAGGATAGATCTTCCAATCAGAACGATTTTTTGGGTTGTCATTTAATCTCTGGCGGGATCGGATCATATACTTGTCACGGAGTTCAAGGCAACGATGTAAGCTTGAGTACAGTTCCCTCAATTCAGTTGTAATTGTGTGGCCGGTTTCTAATATGTATATATATTACAGATTAGGAATCAGTCTTTTCGTTTGGTTGGTTTAATCAATGGATTCAATATATAGCTTATACACTTGCCTTGTTCCGAATGGATAGTTGAATCTACTACAGGAGGAGGTGTACCGGTATTAACCACTGGATGCAATATTGTTCTTGGTTCTATTTCTTCGTCCAACGCAGGATTGATAGGTAGGTTGTGGCACAAATACTTACTGTCTTGCTGTTCAAGTCATTGTGATTTGGAATGAGCATTACTTTTTTTTTTATTGTTGTTGGAATCTTGATTCACTTACGTCAACGATCGCGCGTTGTTCTTTGTACTTGAAGAACGGCGTGTTATCCAGGTCTCCTGTTGGTGTTCCTTCAGAAGAAAGGAATTCAGGTGATTTTGGTACCTCTTCTTGGTCTTGTATAGAAGCCATAATTAGAAAAGAGGAAAATATAGATAGACAGATAAAGAAAGAAAGAAAGAAGAAGAAGAGATAGAGAGATAAAGGGAGGAATAAAGAATGGAATTGGAAAATTAGATTTCCAGCGCACACACACACAAAAAAAAAAGTTTAAAAAGCGGGAAGAATATTATATTATAATAAATTAAAATGATAATGATGATAAGGTATTTTTTTTTGGCAATGAAAAGATGACGGAGCCGACGTCACACACTATAATATGTGTATATGTATATGTATATGTATAAATATATATTTGTTGTTGATTAAAAAAAAAATAGAGTAAATAATTAAGGAAATAGAGATCTATATATGTATATAATATATATATATTATTATATAATTGAATGCAAAATAAAGACATAAAAAGAAGAAAGGAAAAAGAAGGTTTTGTGTATAGAATTATAGAGAAAGTATGTATATGTATATGTATATGTATATGTATATGTATATGTATATGTGTATAGATGTATACTTGTTCCTTGTGTGTGTATGTGTGTGTGCGAGTCTTCTTATATATTTTTTAAGGGTTATCTCCCACGCCCTGTTGTACAGAATCAAGGTGTGAATACAAAATATACCCTTCAAATGATCGATAATTAAAAACTTCATTTACCTTGTGATTGAAGCCAAACCACCAAACCAGAATTGCAATCACCACACAAAGAATCAAAAACAGCACAAAGCAACACCATTTTTTCTATTCATCCAAAAATGGAAAAAATAAATACTTCATTCATTCGTTCGATCAAACTTTCGGTTTTGCTAAAACTGATCTTCTTACCGCTCTTGTCGCACGCGCACTCTTAATAGCCTTGATTAAGTGATTATGGCCAGTTTCTACATCATGCGTCGTATTCTCTGCGTGCTGTTCAGTCTGATTAAGGACCTCACCTTGTTGCTCAACCATCATAGCCATGTCCATAAATAATTGATGAAGTTCCTGTCAATTCAAAATATATGTTAATATTTTTCCTCTCTCTCATTTTTTTTTCAATATATATAGTCTATTGTTTCAATTCGAATCTTTTACCAAAATTGTCTTTTCAATATTCTTTATATCATCGTTTCTAAGCTGAACTTCAGACAGCACCGCATTAGCCTGTCCCCGTCTACCGGCTTGCATTATCTATAAAAAAATTGTAACAAGTCAAAACAAGGGGGGTCAAAGGATTTACGTGTATATCATATTCTTTTTTTTTCTTTGGTCCAAAATGAAATCTTATCAAAGCATGCCAATAATTGCAATGAACTTACAGATTGTGCAAAAATCTGGGGAGTTTCGTTGGACCCAATCAGTTGGTCGACTTCTTCACTGGTAGCCTCTGGTTTGACTATAAATTACAAGAACATACACACACACATATATATATATATATATTACGATTAATTGATTACTAGTTTATATATGTATAGGTAAGAATTATGAAAACAACTTGCCTATCCTAATCTGTCTTTCTACTCTTTGACGATATTTTTGCTCGTATGATCGTTCAAGATCTTGATAGCGTTGAATAGTATCAATAAATCGTTTTCTCAGTGTCATTGTCTATTTTTTTATGTCAGTACAAATTGGGTTTATAAAGAGGGAAACTCTATATATATATATATACATTACCTGTGTTCTACGAATCTGAGCATCCGAACTATTGGGAAAATGTGCATTTGCGGTCTCGACAGCTGTGTGTGTGTATAATTTTGGATTTAATTAACCCACTTTGCAACCTTTATATATATCTTTTCTTCTTATTCTTTCTTACTTTTAATACGATTTTTAATATCAAGATTGAGTTTTTGAGTTTGGGTTTTTAGTCGTTGCAGTTGTTCAGAAATCGTTTTAAGCTGCTGTTCATTGTAACTCGCAATAGAGCTGTTGTGTAACTGATCGATTTCATCCACATTGCTGCTGACAATAACAACCTCATTCTTGAGTCTCTCTATCTAGAACCAAATTTTGGTTTACTCATTTTTCATCTCATCCCATATCATTTGATATATATATATTTATATACACATGTGCGTTTCTCCTCCTGTCTTTATTTCTTTTTCTTTCTGTGGTTATACGCCGTTTTGTTACCTCATCAAAGAACCCACTCATTGTGCTTGTGTCTGCTGGCTGAGAAGTATCGGGGTGTGTAGTACTTCGAGTAGGGTGAGTAGTCTGCATCTCATAATTGTCGTTACTAAGATCTCGCCTGTCAATAGGATCTCTAACACCATGTCGAGGTGGAATAGGTGATGAAGTATAGCGCTCATATGAAGAGTTTGTCGGGTGACGCTCGAATGGGTTTATGTTTGTTCGACTAGTAGGGGAACTATAACCTGCAGGTATGCGCGAAGGGCCGAATCTATCACTGTAAATCAATATAAGTAAGATAGATAGAGAGAGAAAGCAAGATGCATAAATGTACGATCTAAATATCTACTGTGCTTATATGCACTTACTCGTCTCTAACAGGGGTTTCATAAGAGTCCTGTTTGGAAGGAGAAGAAGAGGTGAGGATATAAGGTTAGAAGCAAAGTTAATGCATATACTTGACTTGCCCTTATTTCTGCTGTTCGGTCTCTACTGAATGAATATGACATCTTGAGATACAAATGTTAAAGGAATGCGTAAAGAGAGCGACAGGATAAAAACAAAGAGGAATGAATGGTTTAATGTCTAAAAAAAAATTATTATTGTGTAGTAATATCTGCAGGAATATCAAACTGACAGATAGTATACGTCACACAAAGTTCCTAAAGAAAAGAAAAAGAAAAAGTGTAATATAAAATACAATATATATACATTATATGTTTATGATGTGCCCTTTCGTCATTAAAAGTAAAATAGTTGGATTTTGCTTTCCGCAAATCTGTGTTATAAAATAAAAATTGTAAACACCGCTTAATTTTAGCCAATAAAATATGTCTAATAATCAAAATTTAATTCCCAGGTTATTTTTTTCTCTATCTACCTGTCTCTCTTCTTTCACTCTCTCATCTTCCTGTAATAAGTTTAAGATTCATTCAACAAGTTATTAACACGTTATGACTGTAATATATATTTATATATATATATAGTGTAGCAGCCTCGATTACAATACTCTGAAAATTGGCTTGGGTACTTGCTGTACTCTTGCTTATACTCACCTCTCTCTCTTCAACACATTGCTTCATTACCCACAACTAAGACTTTTCTTCTTTCTTTTATTAAATGCACGCGCTTATTCTTCATGAATTTAATTATAATATTGCTATACAATATGTATTAAATTTATTTTAATTGTTGCTTATAAAAGAATTCAAAATTCCTTTAACTCTAATTATATATATGTATGATATAACTCAACTCTATTGGGAAGAAGTATTATCTCTTAAAAGCTCTATATATAGTTTGACTTTTACTATGTCAATCTTGAGGCTGAATAAAGTAAGAAAGGTAAATAAGAAAGCTTTTTAAGAGCTTGTGCAAGTTTGTTTATTTGGAGAATAAGTGATATCAAATATTGGCAAAGGTTTCATACACTGAACTACTTTACTGATATTTGCATTATATCATTTTGGATCGAAAATTGGTACAACTGGAGTCTTGGCAATCATTTATCTGAGTATTAATCAGAACATCTTCATCCTGGAATATCTTGTATAACATAAATTATATAAATGTGTATGTGCGTGCAGTATCTCAATAAAGTATTACCATAGTAATAGTATATATAAAATATACTTATGTCATTGATATATTCCTTTATTACAGTGATATTACTTCTACTAACTTGTACAAAAACAGGACAGTATTTAGTACTATCATCTCTATGCATGAACTGATCATTCCCTCATGCTTATATATTTCAAGACAAGAAAAAACTTTTGAATCAGAGTTGAAATACTTGACTTTAATAAAATCACCATCAATAAACACTAAAAAAGTAAAAACACAAATATACGAATCTTCATTCATAACAATAGCTTCGTATTATCTAATTTTTTTACAGCTTCTACCATATCGTCTTTATCAATCTGGCTCGTTAGTTTTTTTTTTGTTAACTGCTTGATATTACTATAGGTTATTACTGTACCGATACATTGTCTCAAAAGCTCTAATATTTTTAAACTAATATTTTTGATCAGGTAATACAGTCACAATCAAAAACGTTTCGACCTCTGAGCCCAAAAAATGCATGAGAGAAATCATGGCATGTATTCAACATGCAACTGCTCCTCAGTAATAAAAGCTAAAGCATTCAAACTTCAAATAAAAGATTATATATATGTTTATTATTGAAATATAGAAAAAAATAAAAGATCAATATTTTGTATGACCTCCTTTGGCCTCAATTACAGCCTGGCATCGATGCTGCATGCTTCCGGCCAAAGTTGACGAAAGTTCGAGACCTATCCTTCGCCACTCTCGTTGCATTACAACCTTCAGATCTTCAACATTGTTAATACTGGCCCTCTCGTCACTCATGCGCCTCTGGAGAGCCCACCAGAGATGCTCGATGGGGTTGAGATCCGGGCTTTGAGCGGGCCAGTAGTCAAAACCTCGGATCTCATGGCTATCTTTCCACCACCTCGAGTACGACCCAGTATGACAGCTGGCGTTGTTCTCTTGGAACACGAAGCTCCTGTTTTGTTCCCGCGAAAGATTTTGGAACCAAGGGAGGAAGTTCTGAGCCAAAGTGTTCACGTATTGGTCTTGGTTTACGTTACCATCTAGGAACACCAAAGGGCCAAAACCACCGGCCCAGAAACAGCTCCAGATCATCACACTACCCTTCCCCCACTTGGTTCCTTCGATGATATTTTCTTCCTTGAACCTTTCACCGACTTTCCTGATAGCTCTAGCTCCTCCATCATTACCCTCAACTGTGAACCGTGATTCATCTGACCACACTACACCTCTCCACTGGTCATCTGTCCAATTCACATGCTCACGGGCCCATTCCAGCCTTCTTTTCTTGTGGCTTTCGGTTAAAGTTGGCTTGTGAGCTGCGATATATGATCCGAAGCCCAAACGCTTCAGACAACTGATTATTGTCTTTCTGCAGACAAATACCTCAATGTTCTTTAAGGAAGCCCTTAGCCTAGAAAATGAGGCAAAGGGGTCCTTACGAACTATTTGAACAAGGTGTCTTTCTGTCCTCTCGTCAATCTTTCTAGGTCGTCCGGACCCTTTTCTTGGCTCGGGCGATCCTGTCTCGTCCACTCTCTTAATGATGTACTTGACAGTTGACAGACTCATGCCAACCACCAATGAAATCTGGGTCGCCCCGTAATTTGCTAAATGCATGTACATGATGCATCCGTATTTATAGGGATTGGCCTTTTCATATGATCCGTGGGTGTTTTCTGATGAATTTACGTCTTGCATGTTGGATTTGATTAATAATATTGGGAGAAAACAATGTTTTTATTTTTATTTTTTCGATTTTTTTTAGGCATTTTTTGCGGGGGTCGAAACGTTTTTGATTGTGAGTGTATATACTTGATCTTAGTGTACTTTAATACACGAAGCTTTTTTTTTATCAGAACAACTATTTTATTATATCGAGTATTGATTTATACTCTAGATTCAGTCAGTATAGTTAGGATAAAAGTATAATGATTTTATTCTGCTAATAAATCATATATTCGATGATATTGCATAAATCGTCCAAAAATATTGTTATAATTACTTATTATTTGATGGTAGGATCGAGTATTTCCATGTAATTTACTAGGGAAAAATCAGTGGTTAAATTATTTCAGTTTATACAAAGATACTTGATTATATTGTGTTTGAAACACAATGATGAATTGTGTAAATTAGCATCAATCTTATTGCTTTACTCAAAGTATCTGTCCATTTGTTTTTTTAATGTTAGTACCCAAATATGAAAGCATATTTTCAATTTTTAGCTTCTCTCTATCTATTCTATACAGAATGCATCGTTATTATTATGGTTATTCTAAATAATTTAAGTTTGTGCTATATAATCGCTTAACATGAATTTCAAACGATAGCTATGTCAAGTCGGCTTTTAGGAATCTGGTGTATCTTTAAAAGAAAATTTCTTATAAAATGGCTTCTTTTATATGAGCACACACAAAATAATATCATGCTATGGCAGTCGTATTCGCTAATTTTACAATTAATATTTATACATATAAAAACAAATTACGCAGAAGGATCCACCAAGCAACTCCTAGTGTCGTTTGTGGAATTTGATAGACAGTGACTTTGGTGTGAAGGAAAAGATACTATCATAAACAATTCCATTTTTGTGAATCGAGTTCTCGGGTAGGTCCCATTCATAATGTTTCACTATACAAACTTAAAATAAATATCGAAAAGCCTCTTTGTTTGTTTGTTTGTCTTTTTGTTGGTATAATAATTTTTGAGAGAATTGACTTACACAACATAAGCAAAACAACTTGCTGCTCTGCCATACTGAAATTGACACCAAGACACTTTCGGTTTCCATCACTGAAAGGCGCCCACGTAATACCTTTGTGCTGGTCATATTCACCTCCTTTTCTGAATCGCTCGGGATCAAAAACAGTCGGGTTCTTCCAAATGGCTGGGTTCTTGTGCAAAGCCTCGATGTCCACACTTACAAGTGTGCCCTTTGGAATAAATGCCCCAGACAGAGTGACATCTTCGGCTGTCATGCGTTCAAGAATTGCACCAAATGGAGAGCATAAGCGCAAAACCTAGAACGTCAATGGTTTAATAAACTCCATATAATTTATATGCATGCATATGCATATGCATGTGTGTGTGCGTGTGTGTGTGTGTTGATTTGTAATATAGGTACCTCTTTCACAAGCATATTGATATAGTTGACACGCTTGCACTCAGCAACAGTTGGAGGAACCATAGAATCATCATCCCCGAGAATATCTAATGCTTCCCTGCGTGCTTTATTTTGTATATCCTGTTATACTTTGATTCATTAGACACATTAACTGTGATCAACTTTAAGACTTGCCTTGTTAATGGCCATGTGATAAATACAGAATGCGATAGAGCTTGCGGTGGACAGGTGGCCTTTTATTTATTTTACAAAAAATCGAGTCAAGGTAACGTTTATAAGTATACATACGTGTGTTAATACTATTTTACTTGTAATATATCTCACCTGCGGCAATAAAAATAGCCAAGTTTGCCTACAAACAGTTCATTGCCATATATATACTGGTCAATCAAAAGAAGTATCAACCAGATAGACACTTGGTTTTGCTTACTCGTAAATCATCGGGGTCACTTATTGCATTTTCTTTCATTTCAGCTTCGAGGATAAGTGTCAAGAAATCCTTTTCGTGACCAGCATCAGGCTGGCCTTTTGATTCCTCAATCTTTTTCTTTTTTTCATCCACCATATCAAGAATAAGCTTGTTGAGCTTGTCTATACCCTTGGATGCCTTGTCATAATGAGGGTAGAAATGGCGAAGAATACGCTCATAAGAAGTAGCAACCTGAAGGATAGGAGCAGTTATTCCTGACATTGCATCGTTGTATGCTGCTATCCACTCAGAATCATCGTCACCCATTGTTTTAAAATCAAATCCTACAAAAAAAATTTTTAAAGAAAAAGTAATAAAAGCGAATATATATATATATATGATTAGTACATACTTCTTTTTTGTTTCTTAAAGAAAAAGCCTATCAATATTGAAAATTGACGGACTACGTACCAAATAAGGCTCTGCCCAAAGCGTCAAAAGTGATCTTTTGTAGAAAGCTGTCTACCAAGACGTTTCCATCAGTCTTTTCAATCAATTTAAAGATATCGGGAATCATGCGTCCAAATAGATCCACAGGAACTGTGCGGTGAAAAACTGGATTCATAGCCTAGATCAAATAATAGTTAATAGAAAAGAAGAAGAAACGAAGAAAGAGAACAGGCTATTAATTTTTTTCTTCAGTATATTTACCTTGCGTTGATGTTTCCAGAGGTCGCCCGTAGAAAATACAACATTTGAATTTCCAAATAGACGGACCGCAAGGCTATCTTTACTCAAAGCGTCCATGAATCTGCTGTCCTTTGGGAATATTTCTAAGTATAATACAGAGATTTCTTTTTTTAGTTTTCGCTTTCGTTGGATATATGATGCTCTTAAGCTTTCTAACTTACCTCCTTTCATCAAGAGGTATTGTACTGCAAGGGGTTCTGTGACAAAAACGGTCCAGTAAAAAGGAAACTTTGACTGTGAAACATTCGGGCAAGAAAAAACAATAAACAAAAAACAAAAGACCTCTGTGTTTGTTTATGGACTTACAACATAAAACCCGTTATTCTTGTGAAGAAGTGGAAGAATAAATCGTCTTGTCCGGTCCTCTATTGACTCCACAGCCAGGGTGGATCTGAGAAAAGAAAAATAGGAAACACTTGGGAAGTGGCTTAATTTATCAGGAACTGTGGTAAAGTCGTAGACCTTCTTGCAGAGAAACAAAACCACTGCTGCAGCCACATAAGATCCTTTGGGTAGATAATCCACAAGTCTTTTGGCAGAAGGTCCAAATGAAAGTGAAATACTATTGACAATATCCATAGGAAAAGAACAGAGAATAAAGAAGTAATCAAGCGATTGATACAAATTCAGAAAAGAAGAGAGGAGAAAAAGAGTACTTATAAATAAGGCGTACTTATTACTCTTCGACGCGAGAGCATGTTCAGTAAATATACTATTTACTTTGACACAAATTAGGATAGGATAGGAAAACTTATATATCATTATTTTAAGGATTTAACTTGGTTTCATCAGTTGACCCTTGAACTTTAATTTAATTTACTCCAAAAATGGTACTAGATTCTTCCTCGGATACTTTTATATGTACATGTGCAACAAAGCGATTTGACTGTATTATAATCTATATTGCTACCGTAGCATTACCTGCATACTTTTTAATGCAGTAGTTAATACAAGTCAAAGAAAGATTGTTTACTTTACTGAGGATATATAGAGTCCCATTTCAGGCAAATGTTTCCTCTTCCAAAGACAATGCCATTTTAACGACCTTAATTTGTCTATAATTGTGTTTAGATGTAAACCAAAATCATCTGAGAACATAGCGAATGGGTTACCATTACTCTAAATAGCAAAAATCATGCAAGCAAGGTATCTAAAGAATAAATATATATGTACTCATTCCAAATCATTTGGACTCTGTAAAGTTTATTAGGAATCTGTAATACAAGAACCATTTTAATCCCACTATGGAAAATGAGTGGTGATTCCGATCGTGATTTCGAAAAATGTTCATGGTACTTTCCAAAATCACCATCGGAATCACCACTCATTTCCCATAGTGACCAAGAGACCACCGTCTTAATATATCTGGATTCAATCGACTGAGTAACTGTCACCTAATATATCAGCTGCCAAAACGGTACCTGTAACACTGTCTAGTTACTTTTTTTGTACGGTTGCTATCTCCAAGTGATAGTTTTTGTCTAGCCATGTACTTGTACGCATATATGATGCCAGGCACAGATATAGTCATTAATCCAGCGGTTGATATACTGCCGCATCCTTAAGAAAAATGATCGATCCTGACTAGAGCCAAATGTTCTTGGATCCCGTTCTTAAGCCCTTCAAAGAGCATTAATCTCGAGCAATACGCTTATCACAATACATCAACGAGGTCTATAAAAGCCTAAAGTGGCCAATTCAAACTTACAAGTGAGATTTTGAGCACCCAACAGAAGAAGGGACTAGCAAAAACTGGCCAATTTCTCTAAGGAATAGTTCAATAAGGAAGGTGGACCTGTTTGGCCAGATATGAATGTATAGTGAATACCATACCTCAAAATGTTCATTTTTTCTTGACCTAAACACAAGACTCGGGTTACTAAAACCCAGAAACCAAGTACACATAAGGCCAACGATACAGTTAGATAGACCAGAGTAGCCAAAGGGACCGTCGTCGCACAATATATCCCAAAAACAGAGACCACAGAAGCCTAACTTGTATAAAAATTGCTGTGCTCCCAAACCTTTGCCCAAGACTCGGAAGGCAGACAACAAAAACTCTACAAATCAAGGGTTCAATTTAAATAAAAAATTAGTTCCAGTATCACTTCAGAGCTTAGACCTTTACAATCTATTTTATTACCATACACTATTCTCACTAATATCTCATACATAAAAATACTTATTAATTATAGAAAAATTAAAGCCTATACAGAACCAGCAGAGCATTTTGCACATCTTTATTTGTTATTCTGACATTACTTATATTAATGTAGCTCAAATAAGAGCAGTATTTTTAATTGCTAGTCAATTTTGAACTTTCGCACACATTGTTCACTTTAAAAAGACAGACTTTTATTTTAAAAAAATCAATAATAGTTCTTTCTCTTTTTGTCTAAAACTTATTATTATTTATACGCAAATCATCAATTGAAACAGTGTATATACTAATCAAAGTCTCATCATTAAACTGGCTAGGAAATTACGGTGTCAATATCAGATTGAGTCGATAAGTCAGACTTTTAAATTGAATGCTAGTGAAAACTGAACATAGCAAAAAATGTAGCAATGTACTAACAAAATCAATTACAGCTATAAACAAAAGGCATATAATCAAAAAGTGTTTCCCAGTATGCCTTTGTAACTGCAGCAAACATATCATCAAAAACATAATATTAATCAATATGAGAAGAGAGAGAGAAAAGATATCTAGAAGGTGCAACAAATTGTGGATAGGTGGATGAGACGCTGTTTTATTCACTCGTCTAATATCACGGCTCAGACTTGCAAAACAAGAGGATACTCGACAATAAAACATTCAAGAGTCTGGTTAGAGTAGTCAAAAAAGAGACACCCAAGAGATATGACGGAGCTGAGAACGAGGGCGTTAAGGGTAGAAGCCGACAAACGGTATCATATGTTGCGGGTGACAATGGGAAAGGTCAAAGGCCAAAAGAACCTCCATTGATAAAGTGACATGCGTGAGACCAATCTGCAGGAGTTTGATTTGGGAGGAAAATATATAGATCAAAAAGAGTATCTGGTATTGGTATGTGAGCCAACAATGTGAAAAAATCTGTTGGTGATTAGTGTACATATTGGTGAAGAATATAGAGGGAGACAGTAAAAGAAATGAAGTAAAGAATCTTAGAAGACATCAGAAACCAACAGTTGATAAAAACAAGAATTAGAAAGAAAAGTATTGTGCAGTAAAGAATGGTATAAATATAACATTAAGAAGAAGGAGAAAAAGAAAAACATGTAGCAAAGAAGAAGAGAAGAAGGTATGTCAAATGAAGGTACCATATTACAAATAAATAAATACAACAAATAATATAAAAGGGGAAAGGAAAAGGAAAAAGGAAAAGGAAAGCATCTTTGCGACTAATAGAAATAAAAATAAAAAATAAAAAGTGATCAAGTATCTGGAAAGAGAAATTGAAGGAATACATAAAGAAAATATGGGCTTGCAGCCAACAAGTCAAAGTAGAGAAAGTAGTATGGGTAGAAAATCGAAGAGAGTATTTTCGTACCTCACCAGAAAACATTTGGGGCCGTACGATTGGTGGTGAAAGGAGAATATTTCAAAGCTTTGGGATCACCGGCTTTGCAGACTCCTTGCTCCACCACAAAACAGAACCTTAGAGTGAACTCATGCACTACCGACCAGCAGTTTTAGCGCCTACGGCCGCTAAGTGCACTCTTGAACATCAGGGCATACTTGAGTAAATCTTCCGGGTCCTTGAGATTTACTCTGTTGCTATTAAGTCCTTTTGATGGCTTGGACTTAATATCTGGAGTTGGCTCCGGTCTAGCTGTAGAATCAGCCATCCCTCTGGTGCTGGGTAGAGAGACAGCCTCAGGCTTCTTGCCGTTCAAACCAGCAACTGGAAAAGGAGCCTTAAATCCAGCCTCTGGGATCTTGACCACGACGGATTCAGAAACTCCCAAACCAGAATTCTTGGCTTGGGATGGCTGGCGCGACACAACCTTTTCTGCAGCGAACTGCACATGATCTTCTGCAACCCGCCAAGACATGCGGGTTAGGGGAACGTTCATATTGGATCCCATTCTTACTGTCTGGATGACGTCTTGGAAGCTGTCTACCAACACGGGCTCCAAGGTGATGGCCAAATGTTTTCTGCCAAAAGGAACATTGGACATCACCGCATCATCAATAATGTCCATGGGATTGTCGAGTTCCATAGGTTCGCACCAACCTAGGTCCTCTTCAATCTCCATGGACATGAGATATTCATTGGTTGAATATTCTCCACAGGAACCACCAAACTCTTCCAAGGTAGGCTGGACAAACGTTTCCTTGAAGGCTGGAGGCGTCCAAAAGTCCAATGCCGGCACCATTGGGCAAGTATCGACCACCGTTGGGCACTCATAACCAGCCCAAAATGAGGCCTGAATGGCATATTGTTCAAAGGAGAAATATTCTCCGGCTGGTTGAGAGGCCAGGTTGTATTCTGGCACGGCGTCTGTATATGTCACTGGCTTGCTGTTACATATTTCATTGTACTGGCAGTGGTTTACAGAAATGTGAGGTTCAGCATCTGACAGGTCTTTGACAGAAACAACACTTTCACAATGATCCTGAGAAACTGCGACCGAAGTATTCTGGAGATCATTGCAAGTGGAAAGACTGGTCTCCTCGTCAGACATTGCGTCAAGCATTCTTGTGTAGGATCTCAGCTTCCTTTGATCCTCTGAGAATTTTCCATCACGCGAAAGATTGAACAACAAAGTTGTACTGAGCTTTCTGCAAATTTCTGTAATATCTGTAGACACAGAACTGCAAAGGACTGTGTCGGCTTCACCGTCAGTTCCAACCGTGCACTTTACTGGGAATACCCTTGTAAAAATTACACTCTCCATTCTCTGGATTGAGAGGAGGTGTGGGATATATCCCCGAAGACCGGTTTCAGAGGGCACACAAAATTCCACTGCTTGTAGGACGTCTTCCTCCACCAAAGAGGAATACTTAATGGACGGAAGCTCCACGATGCTTTCTTGGCCCTCACTCAGCAAGGCACTTGAGGACTCTTTCGTTATCTTCTCATCCTTAGACACCAAGGAGTCATCAAGAGCCGGAAACAGACCAAGACTTACCCAACGTGCGGCTACACAAAAAGCTCTGGCAAAGCTTGCGCCTTCCGAACTTTCCTTAGGAGACGGGGTTGGGGCCACTCTCTTCATAAATGGGCGGCTTCGTACATACCTGGTTACGCCAAAGAAAGATGGCAAAGAAGAGGTCTCAAGAAACATCATAGAGATGAACAGGAGGATTGGGATAATTATGCGGTATAGCATGAGAGCTGCATAGAAGGCGTTATAAGTAATAGAGTTCATTGGTAAAAAAGATAAAGAAAAAGGATGTAGGGAAGAGATTATAATGCATCTGGAGAGACTAAGCATCTGTATTTATAGACTAAAAATCTATTTTTTTTTTGGTTGAGAGTGTTGTCACGTTCTAATCTACACTTAAATATTTACTTATGCACATTCGCTTACATTACTCTTACAGCTATTAACAGCGCGTGTATTTCAAGCTACAGCATAGTGGAAAGAAATTAGATATACATTATATGAAAACATGTAAGAATGTGCTGAGATAACTGACAGGTAAATTACTAAAGCAAATACTGATATATATATTGCCAGATACATTCATGTCTTGGAATTAATCAATCTTTCTTAAATATTTAAGAGAAAAAAGTGATCTGATAGTAAAATCAGTTCTTTATTTAACAGAAAATTAAATGTACTATTCATGCACAAAAATAATAAGTCAATTAAGTAGAGATAAATAAAAATTAGACGAAGATTTATATGAACAACTTGTTCTTAAATATACAGAATCTTTATTATCTTACTTTTATTGATATATATATGTATTGCTTATCAAAATTCCAAGTCAAATATTGTCTTCATGGGTTATACAGTCTCATCAATTAAATGAAAGAAAATTTTAGCTTCCGCCAAAGTGAAAAAATAACATCCTTAACTCTCTCTTCATTGTTTGTCTACTTTTACTTAAGAAACCACTTTCAAAATCATTGGAATAAGAATATATAACCTTTAAATATTAAGAAAAATAACTTTTATTGAAAGTTTAATATTTAGTAACATCACCACGGGCTTTCTTCATACGGGCTATGCGAGTTGGCATAGACATGCAGTAGGCCTTGCATACTGCAACCGGTATTTTCTTCCATTCTTCATGGATAACCTTGTCTAGCTCCTTAATAGTTCTTGGAGCTGGTACTCTTGCCCTTACCATCCGACCCAAATGAGCCTATAGGTTCTCAATAGGACTGAGATCTGGGCTATTCGGCGGCCATTCCATTATTGGTACATTATGGGTCTTTTTCCAGTTCTCAACAAGTTTTGACTTATGACAAGGAGCATTGTCTTCTTGGTAAATAAACTCCCCGTCATGTCTTTCACTTAGGCGACCATAAAATGGGAGCAACTTTCTTTCCAAAAGGTTTATATAGCCAAATTGGTCAAGGCTGTTAATAATCGTTTTTAGTGGGCCTACTCCTCCTGCCCACACACAGCCCCAAACCATCACCGAACCACCTCCAAACTGTACTCTAGGCATGATACAATCAGACTTGAACTTCTCCAGAGGAAAGCGCCAAATTCTAAGGTTTCCATCCTTTGGGAAAACCATAAAGCGAGACTCATCGCTCCAAATCACACGATCCCATCTTTGATTGGTTTCTTTGCAACGTTTAGCAAACAACAATCGTTTCTTTTTATGTGTTCTGGATAGCCTTGGCTTAAACACAGGATGGCAAGAAGACATTCCGATCTTACGAATAGCTTTGCGGATGGTATTCTTGCAAATGTACTTGCCAATCATGAGTCTCATGGCGTTTGTGAGTTCTCCAAGTGTGGCATTACGATCTTTCTTCATTTCGTTTTTAAGCTGGCGTAAATCTCTCTCACCCAAAATTGATGGACGTCCTTGGCGTTTTTCTGTTAATGGCGTGCCATTCTGTTTCCATCTTTGAACTGTGCTATGTACAGTTGTCATGGGTATGCCTGTCTTCTCCGAAATGGCAGTCAATGAAATATTATGGAGAGCACCACCGATAATAAGTCCTTTTTCATAGTCTGAAAGCTCTTTTCGTTTCTTAGGAATACTTTTATTGATTTGCTGAGACATTGTGAGATTTGAATGAGAAGAGTTTTTAAAAAAAGCACAACAACTTTGCACTAAAGATGTTCTATTTAGTTGAGTTTAAACTTTTTTCTTTCATTTATTGTATGGGTCTGTATGTATAGTCAGATAGCGTAGGAAAATATGTCATAACAATGAACATTTTTATCCAAGAATATGCACTGATAACAAAATCAATATAAAGATCATATATATCCTATCTCTTTTATATTTTTATGATATTTACGGAGCAAAATAACAATTGAAAAAGATAATTCAATGAACTACATTTGAAAGACGTTTGAGTTCAAATATGATGTCTGCCTCATAAGCTAGGATAATTTTATGGAGAATGAATTATTATTATAGTTTTTAGTAAGTATTATTGAAACAAGATGATATTTAAACAGGGCAAACATTACCGTAAAACATATATTAAATCTTATAAACAAGAAAATACCCACAAGAGTTTTTTCTACCCCTTCAGATTAATAACTTATCTTTTCTTGATATTTTTTTTATTATTATTTTCAAAGCTAGGCAAAAAGTAACTCGTGATATTGAAGCAGAAACATTATTGTGAAAGTGGGGAATTGTAGTTGATAACATATTTTTAGATTAATATACTGCGAGGGAAGGTGGCGATCACGATGATAATTTTGGAATATTCTTAAGATACTTATAAAAATTGCCATTAGAATTATCGCTCATTTCTCATGGTGATATATCACTTAAATATGTCCTTAAACATCTTTTTCAAGTTATATAGCTAAAGACATATTGAGCACTCTGTTATATAACTTTTTACTACAATGCATATGTTTATTACTATTTCTAAAGTATAGATCTAATAATATATATATCAATTATCTATATTCTTTTATATAAGAACATATGCTCCATAATCTTAAAGTTAGACAGAAAATATAATTTGACAGTACTTTAAAGAAAGTTGATATATCTCTGAGATTATATTGAAAGCACCATTTTAAGCATATTTTACTTGAGAGATACTTGGAAGCTGCTTAGAATTTAACCAAGAAGAGTCTGACTGAATTCTTTAACACGCTAAAGACCAATGCCAACTTGTTAATAGACAGTTTTTATGTACTGGAGAATGCATATTTATTTTATATAGTCTGTCACTTCAGTGAAATGTTTAGTACTTATTTTGCTAACAATATAGCACTACAAAAAATAGAGCAGTATCTTCAACAGAATTTATAACTCACAAAAGAAAATACTAAAAAATGATACTCGTATTTTGAAAAGAAAAGGAAAGAACATTGTATATCAATATGTTATCTTTGTCTTTCTTTTAAATATTAGCTGTAGTGCCAATAATTCTTCTCTCAAAGCTTCCTTGCTTACTGTTTTTCTTGTTCATTGATTAAATAAGTTTAGCTAATTTCAAGTATAATACAAAATTATTATATTTTTTAGATACCCTCACCAGACTACTATTATTTTTCTCACGCAGCCTATTATACTGACAGTATTTTTTTAAGTACTTTTACCTAAGTAAGTCATATTAATTAGTCAGCTGTAATGGTCAGTATACATAAAAAGCCTACCCCACTTCATGTAATTCAATATGAAAAATATATATTTATACTATTCATGTCTTATTACTCAATATACTCTATATCCCCAAACTTATATATAGAAATTGTAATATAAATTATGTCTGTAAATATTTGGCAAGTTATTTTATACAGAATATTGAAGTATATATTTTACAATGTATCAATACTTGGTTAATGTTCTTATTTAAATTCAAAACGTGTTTTGTACTGTGAATATAATTGCTCTTGTATGGTAATGTAATAAGATTTTCATAATTAAATCATCTGTATTGTGATATTTTTATTTGAAAAGGTTTAGATGATAGATATTTTGAGACTCTTTTTTATTATTTTAAATAGAAGTTCAGTTAAATGAAATTAATAAGGAATCGCTGAAAGTTGTTGATATATATCCAGATATTCTAAATATGAGTGATTATAGCAGCTTTGTGATAATAGTTTAAATACTTCTTGAAGATGATCTAATGAAGGATCAGACATATTGACATAAATACCACATAATATTTTCTTCTACTAAAGATATTATCTTTCTCTCTCTTCTCATACATAGCTAACATTTGTTTTTTCCATTCTCTGATATGAGAATATAATGAATTAAATATTAGCTATTGACTCTGCTGCTTATAAGTATTGAAAAGTGTTATATTTCTAAACATATTCACTGTAATAATTATATTTCAATATTACTTAAAACCAAAAGAGTAGGCCTGAAAGTCTTGTATTTTATGGATATCATTTGTATCTATTTTATTCTTATATGAGATATTTAATTTATACTGCATAGTCTGGAATAGCTGGCTTGTTGGTGCCACTTACACTTTCTAGTAAAAGGATAAAATCCAATCTCTTTAGTAGCATTTGCTTGTTTATTGCTTTTATTTTTATTTCTATAGGATTAATAGTAGTATCCGGAGCTCTTGCGAGACTCGGGTTAAGAATATTTGGTATGCTCTGTACTATCATTCTCTCGGGAAACCATCTTGACACTTTCAGCTATCAATATACACACTTTCAATAAAACTCAACTCTGTAATTCAAAGTTCCGCTGTCTACTGAGATGAGATCCTAATATCCATGCGTGCTTTTTGCTTCATTTTCTGCCTTTTACTTATTATTAAATATCGCTTTGAAATATATATATAAATTTACTTTTTATTGCCTGTTAATATCTTTGTGTTTATTTGTACAAGCAAAATAAATAAATAAAAAACTTTTTCTTGTGTTCTTGAACAAAAAGTGCACAGACCACTTTAGAGTAACCTACGAATCGCCGTTATAGAAACCTGTACTCCACTTTAAGAGGCATTGCTACACCAATCAAAACTAAACCCTTTCTTACTCTTTTTACTTCTTTACTTCTTTACTTTACTTTACTTCAATTTGCAAAGTTGTTTTCCATAGTTTTGGATGAAATTTTATAGGCTGCTACTTCTGTTATGATACAGTTACACAAGCCTACTAAAATAATATACAGCTATGTCACGCTTGCTCTGACGTGGGAGTTAACAAACACCCTGGCAAAAAAACGGAGTCCTAAACTGGTCTCGTATTGTTTTGTTAGGACTATTGACACTATTTATATAGGGGCAGAGGGAGGGAGAAAAAGATAAATATGTACTGAGGAGCTCACCGCCTAGTTTTTCTTCTTCTTCCTCTATGCACCATTGCTAGGAACAACCAAGTAAGTACCACTTCCCCATACACATATTTACGTGTAAAACGCGGTTTTTTTGTTATAAAAAAACCCCAATTTACATAAGTAGCGCCATTACTCATTAAGAATTACTTAATGCTTTACCAAAACATCGACTTGACATTAACTCTTTTTTATTTTTTGTTCTTTTTTATTTTTACAAGGTCTATACTAAAAAAAACCCCTGATATTTATCTTGAGATGTTTTTTTTTCTGCTATTATTTATAATAGTAATGTATGGATGCCTGGTTTGTGAAGTAATTCACACAAGCTTTGTGGGATTAATCATGGTAAGCACATTAATGTTAAATGCCTTCTCATGCTTTATGTCATTTACTTATTTTCTTTTTTTTTTTATTTTTTTGTCATGTATATTTCAAGAGCGCATGTACCTGCACTTGGTATACCATTACCATATTCAGTCTTTTCTGTTAGATTCCGGTCTAATGGGGGAGATTGATGTAAGCCTCTTGGAGACAGAAGCGGAGGTGTTTACACCAAAGCTGGTCTCAACCAAACCAACTAGAGGGTATGGGCCTCTCAGCGTTCAGTAAAGAAAAACCAAACTTGTCCGATTCGGCTCCAGTCTCCACATATCAAAGTCAAACATAGACGCGGCCAAGTGGGGTGTAGTCACAGACGGGAGCCTTCGGGCGCGTCTTTAGGTGGGAGCTTCTTTTTAGAGGCGCCAATGAAATACCACCACCCATTTGGCCAACCCCCTGCATGGGCAGCGGGTGGACATGACTTGGGAGTAATGCTATCACCGCAGGCATGATAGCCCGAAACCTTTCATCGAAGCCTTCTCATCCCTTGCGTGTGAGGCCGTGGAGTGCTCTTCCGCAACTTTGGCATCTATTCTAGATCTGAGGTTAGGCGAAGAAAGAAGAACAGACAAGTTTGGTGCGCGCAGCAGTAAAGCTATGGAGTATGCTGTTGTGACATTCTTTTTCAAGCCACTCAGCCCGTGCGAGAGACTTATGTCTGGGGTGGACCAAACCTTACCATAAAGGTTGGACCAGAGTTCGGCAGTAGACCGTCGTGATGTCAGGTCATTTTCTTTTTACTGATGGTAGCAGTATTGTGCAAACCAAGAAGTAAAGTACGCAAGTATTTTTCTTATCTTCAAGCCTCTGCAACGTTGTAGTCGGTTGATTCGGCCAGTGCTACAAAGTCACGCTTGTCAGGATGTGACCGAACGTCTTTAAGTCGCATCTCTGGGTTTTAGACAATGCTAAAATATACTTCCCGCGTACAAATTGTACACCCTGGCTCTCGGGCCTAGCACTATACTAGCTGACCTTGTTCTTGATTGATCGGGTTACATGTAATGTCAATACTGGGAAGGCAAAAATCGCATACAGACTATATGAAATCGACGGGGTGTCGAAAGTGTGAAATGATCCTGTCATCGTTGAGCACCGAAGATTAAGCCCTTGTCTTTGAATTTGTTCTTCGGAACACCTTCAATACTTTTTGTATCTTTATATATACATATATTTAGGTCCTTGTCTAGTTGATCTTGGTTGACATGACTGGTGCCTTTTTTCTAATCTTGATTGGAAAAGAGGGTGAGTTCGATTCTCACAAGGACTTTATAAAATATTTTATAATAATTTACTTTTATTCTTAAATGCCAAAAATCATTGCATATAATAGTTTAGATAAAAAAACAAGTATATGTATGTATATATACATGTTAAAAGACCTACATAAAATCAAATATGATTAGATAGAAGCAATTTATAGTAGTTAGACATTACAAAAGAATCAATAATAATAATAATATTAGTAATAAAGAAAAATATATTACAGAGAAAAATGTTTGTGGGAAAAAAACATATAAAAAAGGGTAGTCAATATATACAGCTGGCAAAAATATAACAAAACTAAGATGTGAGCAGATAAGAATAAGTAGTGGGGTCCAAATGGGTAGTATAATCATAAATAAATCTTTACATATATCAGAGCTTCAATAGGTAATGTATTTTTAAATATGTTCTTTAGCATACTTGGCAAAGCTAATGTTTTTTTTTTTTTTTTCAAAGTCTTATTTTTTTATTTTTGCTATAAATCCTCTATATTTAAGCGTTTACCAAAAAAAAATTGAAAGGGTAATTTTTTTTAGCAAGTATACTTAAGAGAACCTTAAAGACAAGTGTTAAAAGCTGCGGAAGCCTTTCTATTGGATATGTATTGTATACCTCTTTGATAGCTATTACAAGTGATAGTTATATCAAACCAACTACTGATAAGCGATTGTATATTAAAGAATTATATATATATATTAATTTCATAATAAGTCCTTTAACACTATAAGTTTATTTCATAAAATATTTTTGCATTTACAGCTAGTATTTATACAGATAGAAATAAGTATATAGAAAAATACAAACAGCTCCTAGTGTCTTTTGTTGAATTTGATATACAGAGATCTTGGTGTAAATAAGGAAATACCATCATATACAATTCCATTTTTGTGAATCGAGTTCTCAGATAGATCCCATTCATAATGTTTCACTATACAAACTTAAAATAAATATCAAAAAGCCTCTTTGTTTGTCTGTTTGTCTTTTTGTTGGTATAGTAATTTTTGAGAAGGTTGACTTACACAACATAAGCAGAATAACCTGTTGCTCGGCCATACTGAAATTAATACCAAGACACTTTCGGTTTCCATCACTGAAAGGTGCCCACGTAATACCTTCATGCTGATCATGTTCGCCTCCTTTACTGAATCTCTCGGGATCAAAGACAGTCGGGCTCTTCCAAATGGCTGGGTTCTTGTGTATTGTCTCAATGTCTACACTTATAATTGTACCCTTTGGAATAAATACCCCGGACAGAGTAACATCTTCTGTTGCTATTCGCTCAAAAAGTGTACCAAATGGTGCATTCAAGCGCAAAGTCTAGAAGAACAATGGTATAGTAAGCTTCATAAGATTTGATATGCATATATGTGTTTGTAATATTTAAATACCTCTTTTATAATCATATTAATATAAGTAATATGCTTGCATTCATTAACAGTTGGGGTACTAATATTAGCATCATCTCCTAGAATATCTAAAGCTTCTTTGCGTGCTTTATTCTGTACATCCTATTATGGTTCGAGATATTAGAAACATGTGCTATATTCAATGTATTAGCTTACCTTGTTCATAGCCAAGTGATATATACAGAATGATATAGAGCTTGCTGTAGACGCATGCCCTGTTTTTTGTTTTGTGGAAGAAATCAATTTTTAGGTTTATGAAGGCATAAATAAAAACAATTTACTAATAATAATTTTACTCGTATTTTTTTTTTACCTGCGACGAGAAAAGCTTTTAAGTTTTCCTATAAAGTATTTGTGTGTGTGTGTGTGCATTATTAATAAAAGATAGAGAGAGAGAGAGAGAGAAAAGTTAAATAAGCAGACAAGCAGGGGGTTTACTTACTCGTAGGCCACCTGAGCCACTTGCTTTATCTTCTTTCATTTCAGCTTCAATGATAAGTGTCAAAAAGTCTTTTTCGCGGCCATCATCAGGCTGACCTATTGCTTCCTGTATTTTTTCTTTCCTTTCATTCACCATCTCAAGGGTCAGCTCGGTAAGTTTGTCTATACCTTTTTTGGCCTTTGCGTAATCAGGATATAAGTAGCGAGTGATATGTTCAAGAGAAGGAGTAATATTTAAAATTGGAGCACTAATTCCTGACATTGCATCGTTATAAGCTGATGTCCATTCAGAATTTTCTTCTCTTGCAGTCTTGAAATCAAATCCTACACATGTTTTTTCTCTCTCTTTTAATATATATATATATATATATATATATATTGTCAGCATAGAAACAAATATCTTACATACCGAATAAGGCTTTTCCCATAGCATCAAAGGTTATCCTGTGTAGCAAGTCGGCTAGCATGATGTTTCCATTGGACTTGTCAATCAGTCTGAACATGTCTGGAATCATGCGTCCAAATAGCTCAATAGGTGCAGTGCGGTGAAAAGCCGGGTTCATGATCTAATCAAATGATAACAAGAGTAATAATAAAACAAGGTTTAAGAAAGACAACGAACAGTAAATTGATACCGTGAATTACCTTGCGTTGATGTTTCCAAATCTCACCACTGGCAAATGCAATGTTTGAACTTCCAAATAGACGTATCATAAGACTATCCTTGTTTAGAGTGTTCATAAACCGGGTTTTCTTTGGAAATATTTCTAAGTGTAAGTGTAAGGATAGATATGAATTATTATCATTATTTTTTTTATTTTTTGCTTGGTTTTTGGGTTTTTGAGTCTTAGTTTCATCTGTATTGACATTTCTTTTATATATATATATATATATTTTTAAGCTTGCTGATCTACCTCCTTTCATCAAAACGTATTGTACTGCATGGGGTTCGGTTACAAATACTGTCCAGTATAAAGGAAACTTTGCCTATTAAGCATTAGGTTGAGAAGACAATTGGGTTGACTATATGCATTTTACATCCTCAAAAAAAATAGTATATATACACTTACAATATAAAAACCTTTATACTTGTGAAGAAGTGGGGAAATCAGCCGCTTTGTCCGATGCTCCACTGACTCAGCGGAAAAAATGGACTTGGAAAAGGCAAAGAAGGAGACCTTTGGGAAATGCCTCAATTTATAAGGAGCGGCAGTAAAATCATAGACCTTCTTGCAGAGAAATAAAGCCACTGCTGCGACCACATAAAATCCTTTGGGTACGATCTTTGCAAATACTGTGATATAAGATTCGAATGATGGAGATATGTGATTGATTGTATCCATAGGAGAGAAAATAAGATAAGATAAAATAAAGAGTGGCTAAATGATTGACAAAAATTCTATAAGACAAAAAAAAACAGAGAAGTGTTTATAAAGGAATTTTGTTTGTTGTATAAGCTTAGACTATATCTGCAGTTCTTACTTTAAGGTAAAATTACACACACACAAAAGAAAAGGATGCATATGTACATTTTCTTAATGCACATGTATAGATAATTTATCAGCCATGCTACTAAGAACATTTATAAAAAAAAACGATAATAATAATCAACGTAAATTAGAGTTAGACAAAGGTTTCTTGATATCCCAAGTTTTCTTTCAGTTTTATTTTAATCTTCTTTATAGAGATCCCTCGATAATTTCAAGGCCAAGAGGGGGGGCTAAATGTCTTGAAAGTAACGAGTGCGAAGTATATATTTTCCGATGGAGGTAGAGGGAGTGTCAAAGAATGCTTTGTTAGAAATACCCACTCAGTAAAAAAGAAATAGTTGGCAGCCAAGTATTATCATAACTTGATTGATTGAAATTCTTTTTCGTTAAGGATTCAAGGCCAAAAGTTATCGTAAAAGTGAAATTAACGAGAATCGTGAAAGCCTAGCCCTGTTTTTATAATGAGGGCACCAAAGTCTTGAAATTATCGAAGGACCAGTGTATAAAGCATAATTTGATTATTAAGTTGCAGCGAATACTACTAAACTATCAATAACAAACAATCTGATTTCTACATGTATACCTCTTTGTATTCACTATTTTAATAAGCAATTTCTATTTTTTGCTTTATTTAAAAAGTTCCAATGAAACTTTTACTTTGGACATACAATGCATTGACTGCACCAGATGTTCTTATCCAAAAGCAGTCCACTCTAAACTTCCATTGTTTTGCTTTGTTTTTTTTTTCTCAGGGTATTTTAATAAATATAAACGTAAATTTGTTATTATGTTATGCAAAAGTCTATATTGATATTGACTACCAATTATTCCTATTTATTTATTACTAAAAAAAAAAACAGAGGAATAGAGGGGAAGGTGTATGATCAAGACTGTCTTTTTTTTTTCTATAATGTGGATTCACAAGGTCGTATTCCAAACAAACGACCTTTTTACTTTAAAAACGATGCTAGCTTTTTAGTAAATTTGCTTTATTAACTATTGTATTTCAATGTAAAGAAAGTAATAAGAGTTCAATATTGTTTCTTTGGTAGATAAAGTCACTGGCATGGTATGCATTAAAATAAAATCTCCAAAGAAAAAATGAGGAAAGATTTCTTCCCATCCAATTCATATATGTACTACACTCACTACACACACTATACCCATTGGTGGAGTGATAGACACGATGTTCTTTACATATGCTATTACTCTCTTTCTTTATTTTTTTATTTTTTTCTTATCCCACTTGTAATCCTAACTTATTATAAGTCTCTTCCTCCCAGAATATTATTATTAACAATACTATGATCTTGATATTGTATATATATATCCCAACTGGCTGACGCTACTACCATTTTTGCTTTGTTGTTGTTGTTGATTTTTTACTAGAGAGAGAAAGAGAGGAAAAAGACATATATCCTAATATCCTCACTATAAATAACGCGATAATATCTTTGCACTTGGTTATTCTACTTGGGGAATGTAAAGCCAAAGGTCAAACGTTCTTCTTCTTTTTCTCCTCTTTGTGTGTGTGTTTTTTTGTTGTTGTTGGAATTGTGCACCTTTGACAGCTGTATTTTGTATATACTAGATGTATTCATACTCATACTCACAAATGCACACTTAACATTAGCTTAAAGTCATTCCAATCCTAAGAATGGCTAATTGAACAGTTCTTGGGCTGACTGTGTGACCGATCGATTCTCTCATAAAGGCCGTCAGATCTGCAAGTTTTGCATCGGGGTTTCGCTTCATTTCGTTCTTGAGATGGCGTTCGGCTCGTTCATCGAATATGAACGCTCTTCCTTTTCGTTTTTCAGTAATCCCGGTGCCATTCTGCCGCCATCTTTGGACTGTGTTGTGGACGGTGGATTTGGGTATGCCAGTCTTCTCGGAGATTGCAGAGAGTGGGATTCCGTGAAGGGCACCACCGACGACCATGCCTATTTCATAGTCTGAAAGTTCCTTGCGCTTTTTTAGATTTTTGGTTTTGGTTTCGGCTTTGGTTTTGTCAGACATGAAACGAGACTCTTTTTTTTGGGGGGGAAAGTCTTTTTTGCTATCAAAATAAGTGAAAAAAAAAAAAAAAAAAAAGTAGTGTATAGTGAAACGGCATTATTATTTTATATATAAATAATGCGTATCTGGAATTAAATAAGGTTTGGGCGTCATTTGAATATTTAGGCGTCGATATTTTTTATAAATAGTAGGCGATTAAAATAATAATTTATGAGATTGATTGGCTTGTATGATTATTTTTAAGTAAAGGGAAAGTAAAGGAAAATAAGTAAAGAAGTCCACACAGACACACACACGCACACGCACACACATATATATATAAAAGTAAGTAAGTAAGTAAGTAAGCAAGCAAGTATGTATGTATTTATGTATGTATGTATGTATGTATATTTGTGATTGTAAAATAATGTAGTAATTAATACAGACAAATTGTTTGCAAAAAAAGAAAAGAAAGAGAAAAGTAATCATCTCTATTTTTTGGTTTTGGTTTTTTTTTTGGTGTATGTAAAGTATGTATATATTAACGATCCTTCTTGGTCTTGTCCGAATTCTCTCTCCTGACTCTATCCTGGGTTTCTTTTGCTCTCTGCATAGCTGCACTCAAATGACGCTTAGCCATGTCGCGCTTTTCCTTGTCACGCTCCATCAACACACTCTCGGCCAACAAACCATGGAATCCATAGTAGATACCGGCCAACAGACCAATACAGAGAGATGCGACAGTGGCCCAGAGCCAGAACCACTTCCACATGATTGCATAGGCCGTCACTTGGGCCAAGATATCGAGTCGGCGGGGATACATAGCGATGAGTGCATAGATCAAGGTGTTTTCTATCAAGTCAAAGATGGTCGTGGCAACCGGAATCCAGACACCAGGACGGGCCCACTTTGGTGCAGACCGGAATGCGTAGTACATTAGCAGACACAAGACGATTGTGCGGGACAGCAGAAACGCACTGTCGTAGACCAGCATCGATTGGTATGCCATTCTACCCTTGGGGCCATAGCTACTCAAATGACCGTACACTTCAGCGGAAGTGGTGGGATAATAGTATTCGAGTACATCCAGAGTTTCATTTCCTTCAGAGTCAGTCTTTGCATTGGGATTGGCAATCTAAATACATGTATATACATGTATATAATGTGAGATGATGATTATGATAATGATGATGTTAGAATTCTAAAGAAGAAGAATAATATGTATATGTATATATTTCCGTAACAGAAAATTATAATTATAAATGCATATAATTGCATATATATATATATATAATTATATAATTATATCTTTTAATGTACTTTATGATACAGTAATAAAACAGAAAGAAAAATGTTACCTTGGCATAATTGTAGACACGGTCCAGAAAGACCTTTGACAATACTACAGACAGAATAACCACGCGAGGGTTACTCAAGTACTTGCCCACTGACTCAGTAAGACGCGGGAAAGGATCAAGTGAAACCATTGTAGTAATAAATTTTTTGTTCTGCTTATTCAATTCTATTTTATTATTTAGTTATTTATATTATATATATATATATATTTAAGAAAAAAAAGGAAAAAGGAAAAATAAATAAATAAGAAAAATAAAATATATATAGCACAATATAATATAATATAATATAATATAATATAATATATTTTTATATTATGAAATGTATGCCCATGTTTCTTCCTTTTTATTTGTACTTGTTCTCAAATCCCTTTTTACTTTTTTTTTTTATTGAGGATCAAAATTGTGAATTGTTTTAGCAGTCACACAAAGTACAAAATGAAAGGTTATTTGATCATAATGATCAAAAGAAAAAAAAGAAAAAAAGGCTATTGTCAGGATTATACAATTCTTAAAGTTGAATGTCTTTTATACGTATGTGTGTGTGTGTGTATGAGAGAGAGAGAGAGAGAGAGAGAGAGTGAAAAATCTATATATAAATAAAATGGTGATAATAGTGATAGAATATAATAAATATATAAATTATGCTTCAGTTTCCTTGTTGCCATAAGAAGAACCAGGAGCATCGGTTCCCTTTATGGTTTCATGCTTCTTTTGCTGTTAAATAAAGAAAATGCCATTTTGTTAGAATAATGACTCGCTTTAATTATAAATAAATAACTTACTCTCTCTTCTTGAAGACGTTCATTCTTGACCTTGAGCTTGTCCTTACGGGCAGTACTCTTGTTTCCTCCTCCTCCGGCTGTCAATTCAACATTCATCTGTCTCTTTTTGAACAATGTATGGTGGAAGGCCAAAGCTTTCTGTTTATATATATATAAATTAGTATCTTGATTCCATTTTCTTTATTTTATTTCATTTTACTTACACTCAAATGCTTGGATGATTCGAATTCCATAAACGCAAATCCCTTTGGCTTTCCAGTCTGCTTGTCTGTCAAGAGACGTACAGATGTCACACCGCCAACGGACTCGAAATGCTTTTCCAATTCTTCCTTGGTAGTGTTGTAAGGCAAGTTTCCGACAAACACAATAAACCGAGCACCTTTTTCCTGGTTCTCATCCTTTTGTTGTCTTTTGTTCGCCTTGTTTGTTGCTCCTGTGGTCTCGGTCTGTTTACGCTTTGTCCCGGCACCAACCGAGCCTGACTTTTCTGATTCGTCTTTCTCATCGTTTTCACCAACCACAATCTTTGTGGCCTTCTTTTTGTTTTCAGTAGGTTTTGGCTTCTGGTCTGCAATTGTCTTTGATGTCTTTTGGTCTTCTTTTTTTGGAATCGCTCCTGAGGAAGGCTCGATGTGTGTGGGGTCGTCTGCTTCAGGAACTGCAGTTTCTTCAGTGAAACACTGCTTCTTCTTTGACTTTTGCTTGAATGCAGCAGCCTTTTGCTCGCGCTTGGTCAATTTCTTTTCTTGGGCCATTTCTTTTTTTTTTTTTAAGAAAAATATATATATATAGATTGAATGTGTATGAGATGACTTTTTGATGATCTTGGGAATCTGTATATTATGCTTTTTTTTTTTCTCTTCTAAAAATAAAATAAAAAAATCTCTCCATAATAAAGCCGTCACTTAATAAATTCAAGCACACACACACAGAGATACATACAAGAGATAAACTGACTGACTGACTGACTGACTAATAAACTGGCAGACAGGCTAAATAGACAGACAAGAAATACAGGCCTAATTTTATTTTATTTTATTTTATTTTATTTATATATATATATATGAATAATTAATCATGTATAATAAATTAATAAAGAAAAATAAATAAATATCTACAGTATATTCTTTAATTATAAATAAATATGTTCAAAAATATCAAAATACTTGGACGGCCATTATTGTCTTCTAGACCTCTGTTGGGTTGCAACACTACCATCACAAACAGTAGAATTACATGCGTCTCTCGTCGTGGATTCACAACAGCTGGCGGCAGTGAAACCGAACCTACCAAAACGATCTACAAGGCCAAGCAGACAAAGATTGGATTGGGAACAATTATCCTCTGCACCATTCCATTCATCACATTCGGGTTGGGAACCTGGCAAGTCCAGCGCCTGAGGTGGAAGGTTGGACTGATTCAGCGATTAGAAGAACGTATGCATCAGCCTGCCATTCCTTTACCTCGTCGCATAAAGTATGTGTCTTATTTTATTTCTTATTTGAGGGTGGTGTATGTAGTAGAGTAAGAATTATTGATACATTAAATAATTATAGAAAACGAGAATAAGAGATAAATTACCTGCTTGTGTATGGTGCTTAGGGTGTCTATAAAGTGAGAGTATATATATATATATATGTGTGTGTGTAATAAAGTAAATTATGATATTGATATTACTTTAATTAAATTAATTAAATTTCTTCTTTAGCCCTGATGCTTTGGATGATTATGAGTACCGTCGCGTAACTGTCAAGGGTCACTATCGTCATGACCAGGAAATGTTGTTGGGTCCTCGTACGCGAGGTGATGGTAACGTTGGGTATTTCTTGGTGACCCCGCTTGAGCGCCCGAATGGTTCGACTATTCTTGTGAAGCGTGGATGGGTCCCCACCTCCAAGAAGGATCAGAGCACTCGACCAGAGAGTCTGGTACAAGATGAAGTACAGGTTGAAGGATTATTGCGTCAATCAGAACAGGTAAAGTAAATATATATATATATATATATATATATTGTGGGATATGATTGTATTATGCTTTTTATTAATCTTTATTTATTTTTTCTGTATAGCCTAATAGCTTTACCCCTGATAATGATATCGCAAGAAACCAATGGTATTGGGTTGATGTAGAAACAATGTCGGATCTGATGCATACCGAACCTCTATTGGTAGAGAGAATGTCAGGTAAATAAATAATATATCTATATCTATATATCAAACTCTAAATCTATCTATTATTCTCTCTTGTATTTCAGATCAATCTTCAAGTCAGGAACATCATTGTATCGAACGAGGAATTCCTGTCGGTCGATCCCCGGTTGTTGAAGTGCGTAATAGCCATATGAGTTATATCATTACTTGGTATGCACTTTCAATTGCCACTACTGCCATGCTGGTCAAATTGTTGAGAAAGCCAGTCAATAGACCCACAAAGATCAAACGCAATTGAGACACAGAAAGAACAAGTTTTTTTTAAAGAAACAATAAAAAAAAAAGAAAGACTGTAATGTAGAATGACTATATGAAACAATACCAAAAGATATATATATATATATTAAGGATAAAAGAAGGAAAACTATAGAAATGCTCAAAGGAATAAAAAAGAAACAGAAAGGCTAGATAGATGGATATAGTTGAAATTGAAAGAAAGTGAAGAAGAGCAAAAGAGGGGAGAAGGGGGGTATACAGAAAATAAAGAAAAGAAACGGTACGGTACGATATAGTATGGTATGGTATGGTATGGTATGGTATGGTATTGGGAGGGGGAGTGGGGGGAAATTACGGGCAATTTTGTTGTTGTTGTTGTTGTTGTTGTTGTTGTTGATTATTATTATTATTTTCTATTTATCTTGCGAATCCAGATCGGCCACCCGTCGATCCAAGACTGTCTTTAGTTCATGAACCATGGTCTGTGAATCATGCTTTGTAGAATTCACACGCGCCTGTTTCAATACAAAAAAGAAAGAAAGAAAATTGAGATTAGATTAGATATTTATATAGAAAATAAAATAAAATAAAATAAAAACGCACCACTTCTTCTCTCTTGAGCTTCATGTCAGCAATGCGCTCCTGACGGCTCTTTCGACTGCGCTCTGCCGTTGTGTTGGGTTCCACCACATCTGCAGTTGCCTCAAACAACTCTGCCTTGGACGGCAAGGGCAGATGACCGACATCCGAGACGTCTTCAGATGTCACGAGATCTTTGTCCAACGACCGAGGAGTCATCATCATCATTATATCCTCTTCATCCTCTTCCTTGACAGGTGTCTGGACAGGAGAGTGGACTGGGGTAGCCAGGTTAGATGGCTCAAGGAATTGCTGCAGAGCGTCTCGTCCCATCTGCCACTCGATTGCTATATTACTCATATCTGTCTGCAACGACTGGTATTCTCGTAAAAGGTGGTTTTTCAATTCATCATCCGTAGCCGACCCTTATTATTATTATTATTATTATTATTATTATTATTATTATTATTATGTAAAGACATATTCACTACGATTAATAAACTAAACTCTCAAAATATGTATTTACGTTATTATTATCATTATTATTATTTACCTGCACTTATGTGTCTGATATCATCATGACAGAGATAGATCTTTGCTTCAAAGGTTCTAATTTGTTGGTCTAGGCTTGACAAACGATGGATAAATTGGCGTAACCGACCATCTGCCACAGGGGAAGCCGGCATGGAAGGTGCATCTGTTTCTGGTGTAGCAGTAGGTTTGCCTACATACATACATACATACATACATACATACATACATACATACATACATACATACAAATAAACAAATATGAAATATTAAATTAGGGATAACAGTAGTAGCAGTAGCAGTAGCAGTAGCAGTAGTACTAGCAGTAAATTTGAAAATAGAATATATATATATACTCTCTAACACTATCACTAGCACTATAGTATAGTATAGTATAATATAATATAATATACTATACTATCACAAACCCATTCTCAAAAGAAAAATTTAAAAACTTACACAACTCATTATCCAAGGCTTCTTTTGACTCAGTTGCAAAAGCCTTTGTTTCGGTCACCAAACGAAACAGGACCATATTGACTGCATGCCAGCCGTTCTCATAGTCTCCTCGGACTGAGTCATGGGCCTCTGTCATGATATCCAAGGCCAGGAACTGCATCATACACTCGCGTCTCTTGGAATGCATCAACTGGGCCAGCTGTTTGAGGTAATCCAGGCCGAGCGGGGCTTCTTCGTCCCTGTCGAGTGCGCTCCCGACGGCGGACAGGGAAGCGATGGAGCGGACATTGTACATTTCATAGAGCCGGGACACGTTTGTCTTGTTGACCTGATCCGAGAGATCCATGATCGCTTCCTCGTAGACCATAAATGCCTTTCGCAGCAGACCGGCCAGACGCTGGCGCAAGGCCATGCAGCGTCGTGATTTGCTGGTCTGTTCGATGCGAGAGATTGGAGACAGAGGGGTCGAGAGGCGGTACCCACGCGAGACGAGTTCGATTTCCTGGATTGTGATCAAGGCCCGGTGGATCCGAGTGTCCAATCGATCACACTCCTCGACCAAGGTCTGCAGCCGTGAGAGCGCAGTTTGGTAGAGTTGCCTGATCCAAGAACGTCTCTATTAATAATAAAGAAAGAAAGAAAGAAAGAAAGAAAAGAAGAATTAGAGAAAAATATATATATATATATATATATATATAATTGTATTATTTTACCATGTGTCGGTACACAAAGAATAAAGAGACCGAGCTGCTCAAAGTGATGGTTACTGGTACAGGCATGATTTGATTCCTTGGCTGGACGATTCGTTCGGTTCCAAAGGCTAGTAAGAGACCTGCGATGGTTGCCAGGGTTCCGACATGGCTCGAGGGTCTGTCGGCACTGAAGCTAAACGGGAGTTCTGCGGCCAGGTGTTGTTTTGTGTGGACAGAAAGGATTTCATTAAGCAGCGGAGAGGTTACGATGAGGTATTTGAACTTTTCCTCAAACGCTGTTTCTTCAGCTATCGGAAGTGAGACCGAGAATGTATCCTAAATATAAATATAAATATTTTATATTAATATTAATATTAATATTAATATTAAAATTATTATTTTTATTTTTATTTAATAAAGACTTGCATGGAAAAAGGAACGTCTCCAGAAACGATAGATTGCTGTAGACATTCTACCCAGAACAGGTCTTGATTCAGCAGGTCTGTGGCCAGTATAGATCTGAGGTAGTTTTACGGTCTTTTCGTTGCTTTCGATAGCTATATCGGACAGATTATTTTGAGCAATAGATTCTTTACAAAGCAAAAGGTATTTAATATATCTTTTCTTTATCTTCTCCTTACATTCCAAGTACTCTGCCAAAGGGCTATCTTCATATACAACAAATTCAGTCATGAAAAAAAAATAAAAGCAAAGATGTAGTGTAGTGTAGTGTAGTGTAGTGTAGTGTAGTGTAGTGTAGTGTAGAAGGTGTCTATGAGCTATAGGTAGTCTATCTATATGAAAAATAGAGAAGAAAGAAAAAGAAAGAAGAAGAAGAAGAAGAAGGGGCAAAAACAACAAGAGAAAAGAAAGAAACCTTTTTGGAAATTAAATAAAAACACGTACACACACAGAAAAGTACAGTTTCTTTTTTTTTTTTTGCTTTGTAGACGTATCAACTCCGACAAGGAATCTTACAACAGCAACCAAAATCAGCTGCTTTTATTACCACCATAAAATCTAAAATTTATACTATATTATAATCTATTTAGATTTACAGAGTGCACGAACAAACCCACTTTAATCCACTCTGCTGTACTTCAGTCTCTAGCCTATCATAGCCTATTTTCACTCCACTCTACTTTATTCTATGTGTTTTATATGCATTTGTATATTTATAATTATTAAAATCATATTTTAATAATATATATATAAAGGGGGGGGGGGGGGGGGAATGAAATGAAGATGCTAATAAACAGAAAACAAGAGAGAGAGAGAAAAGAATGATAATAATATAGGTTTTTTTAATAGACTATATACATTTATATTATTACTATTATTATAAAGATAAAAGATAAAAGATAAAAGAAAGAAAGAAAATAAATTACTATTGCTAGTAAATGATAGTATATTATATTATAGACATTTGTATAGCTTAATAGGCATTGTCTAGTACAAGACCAACAAACTCATCCAGGATTCTGTCGTGTGCAACATACTTTACATTTCTTTCAAAATTGTTCTCGACTGAGGGTGAAGGCCTGTAGGGTGTGGGCTGCAGTAAAATAGAAGTGAGAGGAGGGGATTGTGGCCCTTGCATTATTGTGATTGAATTTGAATTTGAATTTGAATTTGAATTTGAGATGGAGTGATTTTGGTAATCCCCTTTGTGACTCTCGATGCTGCTCAAACTACTGACACTGCTTCCACTGCTACTTGTCCGTCGACTGACTGGAGGGGATAGATATGAACCAGATTTGATGATAGGACCAATGCTTCCATTATGATTAGGAGTAGTAGGAGTAGTAGGAGTAGTAGTGCTGTTCCAGTCACAGGAGATATGTCTTGAGAGATTATGGATGTCTAGGATTGGCAGTTCTATTTTGTGGTGTGGGGCATTGTAGAATGGCAGACCCATCCAGGTTGCTGCTTGACAGGCATTTGTGATTGTTGGATCAATAGAGCTAATATGATGATGATGATGAGGATTATAATTACTACTGTTGTTTGTGTCTATTGATTTTTTTGTCGTCGTTGTTGTTGTGGTTGTGGTGGTTGTGGTTGTGTGCGTGTTTTGATGCAGTCCAGGTTCAGGAGATCTTGCAGAATGGTCACAGACATCCGTCATACTGCGTCTGCCCAACCGACGGGCAATTTCTTGACGGATAAAAGCCTGTTTGTCTAGAGAATCATCTTCACCGAATCGCTGGCGGGCCAGACGATAGACACGGCACCTCAGATCGTTGCGTTTGTTTTTATCTCTATTCTCTGCTCTCCATTTGCGCATTCTAATAAAGATTGATTGATTGATTAATTGATTGATTGATTGGTTGATTAACAAGGCTATTTACCTTTCAGTAGTTTCTTCTCTGGAGATTACTTTTTTGGCATGGCCTTTCCATCGTTTCTGATCACGGCTGCGAACATAAGGGATATTGTGGATATTTGGGTTTTCCATGTGTCGTTTTCTAATAATAATAATAATAATAATAATAATAAAGAAATTAGTAATGTAATTTAATTTATTTTGGTTGCTATAGCTACAGATTGAGGATTTGGAATACATACAAGTTTGATCGAGTGGCAAAGACTAAATATATAAAAAAAAAAATGATGAGTACAAAATAAATAATTATTTATTTTAATTTGATTTAATTACTTTTTGGACATTGAGGACAAGTGAATACTCTTGAGAGAGACAGTGATGATGGCATTTTATTATGATTATTATTTTGAGTGTCTGGTAAGTTTGATTTCAATACAGTAAAATATGAAAATAAGAGGAAATGGTAGTAAGTGAAGAAGACAAAATATAAAAGATAAAAAAGAGATAAATAAATAAATAGAAAAAAAAAACTTATTCTAGATCTCAATACTAGCCTATCTTTGTGCAAAATCCAAAAAAAAAAAAAAGATATATATGGACCTCAAATACCTTGTACTGTATCAAAACAGACCAAAAAATAAAAAGCAAAATAGGATTCCTTCTTGCCATCCCCCCTTCCTTCCTTTTTTTGTCCCTTGTTCTTTAACCCTTTTATCTACATGCCCTTCATATGATTTCCTTCCTTCTTTTCTTACTCTACTTTCCACCCCTTCCTCTCCTCTGCCGCCAAAACAGAATAGAAATAAATAAATATATAAAAAGGGAGAATAATCCAAAAAGGGGCTATATTAAAAAACAACAACAACAAAAGAAAAAAGAAAAAAAAATATTATTATTATTATTTGTATATCCATGGATACAAACAAAGAGTGGCGTTGTGCATAAATAAATAAATAAATAAATAACGGAATCTATTGCCGATAATACATATATGTATATTATACTATAAATCATTATTAGCTATTAATACTACTACTACTATTAATATTACTATTACTGGTATTACTATGCTCAAAATATATACATGTATAGGTGTAGGTCAAGGAAGAAAGGGCTTGATTGACCTTAAATCCTGTTACTGCGCACATGCCAACGAAGTCTTTGTTGATTCTGTACTACATCCAGATTTGATCTGTAATGTATGTAATGTAATGTAATGTATAGCAAAAAGAAAAAGGCAAATCAAAGACTATTCGGATACTTCCGATTCAAAATTTATTTATTTTGACAAAAGATTATACATATAAAAAATATATCTTGATTGGAATTGTTTGTGATTGTCTTTATTAATAAACAAATATGTAATTTTGGTGAATGTAATTTTGATCTGATTTGATTTGATTTTCATTGATTTCATTGTTTGTTGTGTTTGAGTACAAAGGGAATGAAAATGATTAAAAGATCGGATTGATTTTCCCGTTTATTTTTTATTTTTTATTATTTGTAATGCCCTAGTGCCACCTTGCGCTTACCATGATCCCAAAAGAAAATAAAATAAAATGAACAGTAACAAGCTCAACAATTATTTAAATAAAATTGTAAATGTAAAATTGTAAATTATAGATTGTAAATTGTAAATATTTTGCAGTATCTGAAACATCTTCTTCCAGTAGAATTCTTTGATTTTATTTGTATTTTTATTTGTATTTTTTATAAATCCTTGGTAATACATACATATCTAATTTAATTATTATTCTTTAATAACAAATCATCCAAAATTGCACTGACAACAGTAACCACAATATATATATATATTATTTTTTTGTTTATTTTATCAAGAAGAAATTAATCAAAGCAATGTATATGTACGTATATGTGTGTGCATTTTAGTATCAAGGGATTCAACTACTGCACATTTCATTCTATCTATCTATCTATCTATCTATATGTATGTATCTATATGTAGAAGTAGATAAATGAGTAATTGTGATTGGAAATATCCTGACGACCAACACAACCATAAATCGATTCACCGTAATAATCAATTAATAATATATCCAATAATTATTACTGATCTTTTGACTGCAAAATAAATAGATTATTATTCAAAGCTTATTGTTTATTGTTATTTTTCTATTCTCTATAGTTTAATCACACGGTTTAAATACAACCCAAAAAATAATAATTTTTTTTTTTAGTGGAATTGTTGTTCTTATTTTGTACATTTTATCCCTTCTCTCTTTATTTATTTATGCATTCATTTTTTGATCAAGAATCTATCAGTGTTAAACCAAGACATTTCTTGTACAACTCATTATTTGATTTGACTTGATTTGATTATAAACAGCAAACAAACAAATAGATAGAATGTCAAAGGAAATTGATAGACAAACAAAAACAAAAATATTTGTATAGAAAAGATGAGAAGTATAAATCCATCTATTCATCATTCTTCCTTTGATTTGTTTCTTTTAAGCCTACATACACATATATTAAATATCATCAATTATTATTATTGACACCAAGTGTTCTGTCCAAGTAACAATCTTTGGATTAAAAGAACGAAATAATGGATGTTTTATATACAAAAGTCTCTTGACTCGTCTAGCTAAAACAAATAGAATAAGGTTGTTTCACAACTTATCCATGCCAAGATTGACTTTATATAATATATAAGAAGGGGGTGTCAATGTTTGTGATTCAATGTAAGAAATATTCTGATCAATTTTTTTTGTTTGTTTGTTTGCTTTGTCTCCCCCTCCAACATCTCCCTTATAAAAAAAATCTCCTAAGAAAAAAAAATAGTTATTGATGATGTAGTTTAAAGTAGCCTTTATTCCCTGAAACCCTCGATAGACCCATAAATATATATATGTACACGCGAAAATCATAATGATCAGCAAAAAAAAGTTAAAAGAAGTTAAAGTCCCAATCTAACAACCACTTTACTCATTCATTTATATTTATATTTATATTTATATATATATATATATGTGTGTGTGTATTTAGAGCAAAACTCTAATAAGTGTACTTACTGTACACTAGCACACCGTATACATCAGGATTATCAACCCCGTGCTCTACCAAACGATTCAAAGTGTATTGCATTTCTATAGACAGCTTGAAGAGATCGTCATCGCTAGTACTATTTGGGCATTTGACTTCAATCAAGAGACAGTCAAGTCGAATGCCATCGATTGTTTTATAGAACTTTGTGTCTGGTCCGAGGCTTGATTCACCTTCCAAAGAAGTGAAATGACTAAAAGACAAACAAACAAACAATAAAAGATATTCATGTTATTCACAAGAAGCTTCTTTTATTATTATCATTTTTTTTAATGTATTTATTTACTTTGTTGATAACGGTTTTATATATATATATATACACTCCCAAAACTGAAATCACCGACAAAATCTTTGATTTCTACCCCCGAATAAACCATACATCAACTTCATTATGCTATATCTTCTCAAGAAGTTGACAAAATAAAACCAAACATTGTGTTGTTATAGAGAAATGTATATATATTATAGAATAAAAATAAAAATAAATGAGGTTTAATATACGGTATGATCACCACGAGCTTTTATGACTGCTTTAACTCTGTCAGGCATACTTGCCACAAGAGTTTGCAGAACTTCAGGGTCAAGCAACTCCCATTCCTGAAGAATACAGGCCTTCAGCTCTTGCACATTGTTAATAGAGGCCTTTCTCTCTTGAACCTTGGCCTTTAGGGCATGCCAGACATGCTCAATTGGGTTCAAATCTGGACTTTGCGACGGCCAGTAGTCAAATCGTTTAATCTCCCAACGGTTTTTCCACCACGTCGTGTAGGACCCAGTATGACAGCTAGCACCATCTTCTTGGAATGTGAACACGGTGTCATGTTCTTCATTCAATTGTTTGTACCAGGGATTGAAGTCCTTAGACAGACAATTGACGTATGCATCTTGGTCTACAGATCCTTCGATAAACGATAATGGCCCAATGCCACCAGCCCAGAAACAACCCCATACCATCACGGAACCTTTTCCATACTTTTCTGTTGTTAGTGTATGGCGTTCCTGGTGCCTCTCCCATCGTTTACGAATTATGGATGGGTCAGAATCATTGCCTTTCACCATGAACCTCGACTCCTCTGACCACACCACTCTGCTCCAGTCTTCGATGCTAAAACTGGCCCTAGCTCTATCCCAACGCAACCGATTCTTTTTCTGCTCACGGGTTAACTTTGGTTTAGATACAGGGGTGTAAGAACCGAAGCCTTTTGCTCGTAGGTATCGGATAACTGTCTGTCTACAGACAATAACGCCAGCAGCTCCCAAATTTGCCTGGTGGTATCCATAACTCTCAAAAGGATTACGTCTCACACTCAAACAAAGACTTTTGGCGTCTGCTACACTAAGTTTCTTTGGTCTCCCAGGTCTGGTATTTGTCTTGGCTGTTCCAGTAGTCTCCCAGCGCTTTATTGTATCGAAAACTGTAGTTCTAGGAATGTTCATACGGTTTGCGATGTCAGTTGGAGTATGATCAGCTTTTGAGAGCCAAACAATGCCTCCACGCTCAAAATCTGACAGCTCGCGTCTGGAGGGAGTAGTTTTAATTCTTTTATTACTTTTCGACATTGGTGGTTAAGTTTGAGGTAAAGGTGTGAGGAAGAGAAAGGTAAAGAATGTTATAAAAAAAGCAGCATGAAAAAGGTGGTTCATCGATGATTTTTATTGTCGGAGTGTATATATATATATGAAATTAGGTATGATATGGTTAATAGGGGTACAGCTTTAGACTCTTGCTGAACTTACTCTCTCCTTGTGCAACTGCAAGTCATCGCAAATATCTTTATAGTCTCTATGAGAGATGACTTGAATTTAGGCATCTTTTGATCAAGAAAGAAATATAGCTATATTTACCTATATGATTTTAGCTTTTATCTTTTTTTTTTTTTCTATTCAGGACAAGATACTCTATTTGTTTGATGCTATCTATATTGGCATAACATTCTTTTCTGTTGGTGTTGTTAGATATTTATTATTCTTATTATGACCTTCTGGCAGAAAGAGTTTGGGTCAAGGAAGGTTTAGAGGAAAAGAGAAAGAAAGAAGAAGTACGAAACAAGAGATATACAAAATTACGTGGCCATTAACTTTGTTTATGTGTATTGATGATTGAAGTGGATAGACAACATTTTAAAGACGTCACTATTCTTTTTTCTTTCTTTAAAAAACTGGACCGCATTAATTTTCCACAATGAAGAAATATTGTTGCCCTGAAATTTTTTATTTTTATTTTATTTTTTTGACCACTATAAGTTTCATGTATAATAAATATAAAGATAGCCTTTAAATCTTTTGGTAGTAGATTTTCCATCCCATCCCATCCCATCCTCCCTCTCTTCCCACCTTGTTCTATGCTATCTATTCAACAAATTGTGGGGCTTAAAATACAATGCACAATATAAATAAATAAGTAAATATTTCTTGTGTGACAGCAAATTTATATATAAATAAATAAAAAGTAAAAGGGCGCCGATGTGTTGGGAGACAAAAAAAAAAGGAAAGTTCTTTGGTAATCAGACAATCTGTTTGGTCGGCTGGCTTCCCTAAACGGGATCTACTCCCGGTAATTCTTTTGAACCGCCAGATTGTATATTTTACTATACTTCTCTTTTAAAAAATAAAATAAAAAAAAAAAAGATCGAAAGAAATGATCTTGTGGGCACCAGTAAGCTTGCGTGTGAAAAAATGAATATCAAAGACAGCCAAATAAAAATAAAAATCGTTTTTATTATATTTTATATACGTTTGTGTGTGGGGTTGATTATTATTTTTTGATGTCACTTCTTTACAATCTCACTAAATAGCCTATTCTCCTTTTATTCTCTTTATTTCAATTTTGTACCCACAGATGGATAAATCTAAAAGGTACATTTTGATATCCTTTTCTCTTCAAATGTGTATTTACACTAAATATACAACCAATTCCTATCGGCTTCTTACCCTAAATTGCCTACAACAAGTATCTTACACATGTACAATCCCAAAAAATAATAACATATATATATTTAAATTTAAATTTAAAGTGTAAGTGTAATGATTGTTAAGTGGGATTTTACTGTCAATTCAAAATAATAAGAAGAAAATATATAAATCACTCTTATCAATCACCGCATCACACAGCACAGCACAGCACAAATATATATATATATATAATTTTAAATCTCATCAACAGGAAAATGGCTTGTGTAATCTCTGAATCTTTGGTTGACTTTCTTTTTTTCTTTTTCTTTTGATGCCTGGAAACCAAGGAAACCAAAGAAATTGAATTGAATAATTGAATGAATGAATTGGTTGATTGACTGATGAGTGGAGTGGGTGGCTTAATTTAATTTAATTTAATTTAATAATTTAATTAAGTGAATCGGTGAGTGATGATTGAATAGACTTGTTATATAAATAAATAAATAAAAGAAATTTTTTTTGGAGTATTATGGAGTAAGAAAAGAGTAACAGCTTGGACAGGCCAACCTCGGTATTTATTACCTGTGGAACATAATTATTTCTATCTCTATTATATATTTACTCCACTTGACTTTAACTAGTCAAGTCAAGTCAAGCCAAGTCTAGTATATTATATGTAGTTGCTTTAAACAATACTTGGCTTATATTCTTCTCTTGGTCACTTACAACACAAAATTCTGTGCTGATTATTAATCAATGTTAAAAAAAAATTTGCAAAACTTTAATAGCAGTAATGATAATATGTTGTGTTTCGCTGATGTTCGTTATGGTATAAGTGTATCACTATGATTTTTGTGTATTTTGTGTATAAGAGAAGAATATGTAGTAAATGTACTTACATAATTCTATATACATATATAAATGTTATCTCGTTGCTTGCTTTCTTTCCTATATTTTGTTGAATGGCTTTTGTACAATTGAGATCAAAAATCAAAATCAAAAAATATACAGTAACAAAAATGATATGTTTATTATTTTCACAGCTGGGCAAATCAAGGAAAAGTCGGGAATCTATACAGAAGAATTTTTGTTTTTCACTCTGTCTGTCTGTCTTTTTCATAGTGTCCATTACATTTATATTATTATAGGTAGAGATAATCTTTCTTTTTTTTTAAGCCATGAGAGAATCCCACGGTGGATAATTTTATATACTTTTTGGACATACAAGTTTCTGTAAAACAAGAATAAAAAATTTATATATTTTATTTTCCAATCTAGCACAAACCAAACCTTGATGTTACTGCTGATGCTACCTGTCTACTGCTGTTGCGGTTGTGATTGATTTTTGGTGAGGCACAAGAAAAAAAAAAGAAAAAAGGATATAAAAGGATAAAAAAAAGAAAAAGGAAAATAGCCATTAGCCAATCAAATTTAGTTTCGCTTTCTAAAATTATCTTTAGGTTTGTTACTCAGCTATAATTTTTTATTTTATTTTTTTTAAAAAATTATATATATATATAAATCTTGCAAATTATATCCTTTTTCTTCAATTTTATTTCTCTTTTTCTTCCTTTTTTTTTTTATACAAATTTTAAAAAAAAATTTAAATTTTTTTTTTTTTTTTTTGAAAATCATACAAAAATATTCTATGGCTTCTCCTGATCAGACCAACCAACGCGATTCTCTCAATGACGTCGAGTCAAAGTACCCAGTCTCCCACTCTCAGCTGCCACAGGCAATCTTTGCCGCACCCACAATTGCCAATCCTGGTCCACTCGGTCTCAGTGCCTTTGCCTTGACCACCTTGGTTCTCTCTCTTCATAATGCAGGCGCCGGAATGCCTGCCTCCTCACCCAGCAATGTAGTCGTCGGCCTTGCTGCATTCTATGGCGGTGTTGTCCAGGTAACTAATTAAAGGATAAAGATGATATCGATGACTGACTAAACTAATCCTTACAATTTTTTTTATGAATTGACAGCTCTTGGCTGGTATGTGGGAATTCAGAACCGGAAATACCTTTGGTGCCACAGCCTTTTCTAGTTATGGTGGTTTCTGGCTCTCTTATGCCGCAATCTTTATTCCTAGCTTTAACATCCTCGGGGCTTACTCTGCAGAGGGTGTTGCTGCAACTGCTCTGAGCCATTCGCTCGGAATTTACCTCATGGCCTGGGCACTTTTCACAGCTCTCATGCTCATCGCTTCCCACAGATCCTCAGTCGGTCTCATGGCCTTGTTCTTCTTCCTCACAATCACTTTCATTCTCCTTTCTGCCAGCGAATTCAATGCCAGTGAACACACAAAGATTGCCGGAGGTGCCTTTGGTGTCATCACTGCTTTCGTAGCCTGGTACAATGCCCTCTCTGGTCTCTTAACCCAAGACTCTTCTTACTTCCTTCTTCCCACCGGTCGTCTTGCATAAACAGAAAATAACAATAGTTCACGCACACACACACACATATATATATATATATACATATAATGAAACAAGAATAATAATAGTAATAATAATTAGTAACAGTAACAGTAACAGTAATAATCATAATTATAATCATTCCCTTCCCCCCTTTTTGTTTATTTACTTTACGTTTTCTCTATCAAAGACCGTCTTAGTGTCTCTTTAATCTTTTTTTATTTATATATATATATTTTTTTGTTTTCCTCTTTATCCCTACAAATTTTGATCGAGTAAAGTAACAGCAGTGCTGTACTTTACAAATCTTATTTGCTATACACATACATATCCCTTCTTCCCACCCCTATCTCTCTTCACTTCTCCCAAACAACCAGTCCAGAATAAATAAATAAAGTAACAAATGAATGACCAAGGAAAATATACAAGATGTCCATATATTGATACATTAATCATCATTAATCGAAAATCAAAAGAGCCTTGTTGAATTTTAAAAGCCTCTCTTCATACTAATATACTTGTTTTGAAATGTATGTAATCATTATCGTCTTAATCAGTAATTGCAACAAATAAAAATAAAAATAAAAAACAGAAGCAGCACAAAACTATAATTCTAAAGAAGCTAAAAAGAAATGTTTATGTACATATATAGTAAAATAAATGTGTATATATGTAAATATTTATATATCAAAGCAGGGCAACACATATACTTTCTTTTTTCTTTTTTGATCTTGTGCACCGTTGAACCATCTCTAATAAGCAATGTAACAGCCAATCAGAATTGATTTCATATCTTCAGAAATAGAAATCATGTTGTCAATATTGGCATTGAAGTAATAATGATATATAAATCGACGAGTTCTAGTCTTCTTCTTCTTCTTCTTTTCTTAATCAATACTTTACAATTTAACATAAGTACAAGTACAATATTCTTATATGAAATATGGGCATGGGAAGGGGTCGCTGATGATAATGGCGACCCTAAGCTTATGCACTTACATTATTGATCAGAATGAATTTGTTGTGGAGCCACTAGGTACACATACCGAGTACTTGAAAGCTATGGTCTCCAATGAATCATCTCTAACTTGCTCAATGTTGATAGAAAAAGACAAAAGACAAGGGGTATCCTTAAAAAGGAAGCACGATTATGTACGTTATACTGTTTTCTTGACGAGTCTACTTTTGATATAAATATTAAACGCTCATAAGCTTGGTCTAGAGAGAGAGAAAAAAAATATAGAAACCTGATAACATGGTTATGCCATTCTGCAAGAATCGTCTACTGAACCTTATGAAAGAAATTGCTACCCATGAAAATCCTTTGGACAACAATTCTTATTCCAAATGATTCCTAAATTGCAATAGATCAATACCAACTAATGCGCAGTGTGTTCCCGCGCCTTGAAAATCATTGTAGCATAAATCAGAACGCTCACAAAATAAATAAATAAATAAATAAATAAATAAATAAATAAATAAATAAATAAATAAATAAATAAATAAATAAATAAATAAAGCAGCGAAAACCTGAACGAAGCTTATGAGTGGTCGATGAACAGCCAAGAGGTAAGATCACTTTACTAAATTTTGGGTTTTCATATTTTAACAATATATTTTGTAGCAGTTGTGATGGATACTCCCGACTCGGTCAAGACATACTGGAAGCATTTACAGCATGGTACCAGATACATAACAATTGGACATGCACGTAAATTGCCAACAGACGGAAACAAAAGAACCACAGATACATTTATTATAGTTAATTGCGAACAAACTGTGCTGTCGAGGAAGGTGCGAAGAAGTATTCTTGAGCCCGATTTGCAAAGCAGACCAACCAATATTAGAAACAAACTCGCCAAAGCAGGATGATTTACTGAAGCACTTAAAAGGATCCCATGGCGATATCCCAGGTACATCAAGGTTCAGCATAATAGTTATAATAACTGAAAATTCCCTGTAGATTTAGTCGCTCGCGTCTATTTTAGCTATAGACCTTCCCACCTTGTCATTATTGACTACACCGGGTTTTCAACGTCTCCAAATGATATTAGGCTTCTTTCTTTCTTTTTTGAAGTAAGTCGAAAAGAATACTGATTGCAGAAAAAAACAAATTATACTAATTGATCTGAATACTAGACAATGCAGCAATCTCAAGGAAGTTGTTGTAGACCATCACTCTGTTTGAGATCTTTTCACATTTTGATCTTTTGAAAAAAATAAAAAATAAATAATGGGCTAGAAAAATTTAAATGTTGACATGGCAACATTAAACGATCAAAGTAATTTCTTCTTCTTCTTTTTTTTTTTTTCGTATTAATGGTTTGTCTAATAAATAAATAAAAAATCAAGTAACCAAAGTGCTTAAACCACAGTAATCCAATTTGATATTGTAATTGTTGTAAAGATGTCTACTTTTTTCTAAAAAAAAATAATCAAGAATTAACTTGGCTAATGCTGTTTTCCAGCATACGAGGGAATTGAAAGCACAATTACTTTACATGGTAATTTATTCAATTCCTTATTGATAAACATAATTATATTTGTAATAATATATATTTGTACTCGTATTGGATATACCCCAAAAGAACTAGCCTGATAATCCAACCATAAAGAAACCAAACCAAAAACCAAAGCCACATTGATATTACACCTATACACTCTTACCATATCAAGATTTATATATATATATATATATATATTTGGTTTTGGTTTCCTGTAGTCGACATCAAAATCTATATATATATATATATATATACATGTTTTTGTAAAAATAGGATTGATTGCCAAGACCTCTTGTCTTAAAGTATAAACCAAAGAAGTAAAACAAGTAAATAAGATTTAGAGCCATTACATATATATATCATATCATATCATATATAATTGGATATATTCATACATACATTTGTGTTACTATTGATGGGCAAAATGTATTTATATTTTAGAAAATAAATAATAGATAGTAAAAACAACAGCTGTAATTATTGCGCAAACACATCACAACCGCATCATATATATATATTTTTCTTTTACTGTAACATAATACAGTTTAATGCAATGCAATGCCATGTCTTGTCATGTCATGTCATGCCAACTTATAAAAGGAAAGGAAATCCACAAGATATTTGTAATAGTAATAATATCAAGACAAGAACAAAGGCTATTTAATTATAGCCAAGCGCATATCTCTATATTTTTATATACCTCTTTATATGTTATATGTATGTATGTTCGTATGTATGTATGTATGTATGTATGTATATATGTATGCATGTATGTATGTTTTTCATTTTTTAATTAATCTGATTCTTCTTCGGATTCATCCTCAAAAAAGGTTTCATTGACCCATTCGACAAAACCGGGATCCAGAACTTCACTCTCATCAGCACCGTTCTGGAATATGGCATGGTTGCCACCATAGTTGATCCACATCTTCATCATCTTGGCTGCCTCTTGCTTCTTGCCCTTTGTGCCCAACCACTCTTCCTGGGCCCAGAGACTGAACACCCAGCCGACCCAGCCGCTAGTCAGGGTCAACTTCTCGGTCTGAACTGCCTGCTTGTAATAGAACTCTGCGTTCTTCAACAGCTGGGCCTTGTTTCTCTCGGCCACAGGTAAATCAAGCCCGGCCCTGGTCATGCACAGATCACCGAGTTTGTTGAGGATGCTCAAGTTCTTTTGCTCGATTGCCAGACCAGCCTGGAAAGACTTTGTTGCCTGGGCAAACAATTGCCAGACCTCCTTTCCGGTCGTCTCGGGCACAAGTTTGTTGTTGTTTCTTTGGGCTGCGTCCACAAGTGCCTGGGCAAACGATGTCAGGATATCTCCGCGGTCACACATGGCCTGCACATTTGTGCTATCAAACCGGTCCACGATCTCGTCAAGGCACTCGACCGCACGGTTGAACAGACTCTGGTCGGGTTTTCCGGTCGCAAGGAACGCACGGTCGGCCATGGCAGAAAAGCACTGGGCTTCCTTGAGGTTGATCTGGATCCGGTTGAGCTTGTACTCCTTTTCGGTCTCCGGAATATCGGACAGCCACTTTTCGGCAAGGGCAAGCTTGGATCGTGCACGGCTAAAAAGATCAGTCGAGGCCTGGAAGGAGGCAAGCATCGAAGCCATACTTGCCATCGTCTCCGAGGTTGAAATGAGAGTGTCGATCAATGAGGTGGTTGTGGTTGCCTCGACCTGAGTCACGGATGTCATTTGTTTAGAGTCAGCATCATTTGGTTCGGCATTATGTTCATGTGCATGTTCATGTGCATGTTCATTTTCATGTTCATGTTTACAGTCAGAGGTATGTACATGCTCTTCAGTAGACGACTCTTCAAGGGACTCGGTTGGTTGGTTTGCTGCCAAACGCGATTCCTTGTAATCCTTTTCTTGCAATTGGTAAACGCTGTCAAACAAAGAAATTGCCTCTTGTAAAGCTAAAGAATAAAGTTTAAGCTTATATTAGTAAAGATGTATATATATATATTGTATGTGTATGTGTATGTGCCTGTAAGCCTGAATCTATTGTTATTATATTTATAATTAATATTACCCATGGCAGATTGACTGTAGGCATTATCGATTTCTGTTGTTTCGTTGAGGGTCTCTGCACGTTGATGAAGAGCCTGGGCAAGGTTGAATTGGGCATCAGACTTGTTCTGTTCAAGCTCAAGAGCTTTTCTAAAGGTCTTTATGGATTCATCAAGCTTTGCAAGCTTCTTCTCGGGTTGAGTATAAGGAGGCATCAGATTAACCAGCAAAAACTGAACACGTCCCCTAAAAAGGTAGTTTATGTGTAAGTATATATATATATATATATATGAGCAATCTTAATGTTCACCTATCTATCTATATACTTTTTTTTTTCTTGGATATTTTATAAATGATTTTTTTTAAAAAGAGTATTGAATTTCTCACCAATTGTATAGACAATCGGCATCAGTTGGGTTGAGTTTGTGGGCCTTTGAATAGTATTCAGCAGCAACTTCATATTTTCGTTGTGCTCGATCACCAGTAGCGTAACGTTCGCCCTGTTCCTCAGCCTCAACACCAGCTTTATATTAATATTAATATTGATATTAATATTATTATTATTTTTAAGAAGAAAAAAAAACAAATAAAGATAAATTATGCAAATATATATATAAAGAAAAATATCGGGTGATACTACTTTTTACTTTTGTATATATTTCTTCATACCTTCCATGACCTCTTCAAATGTCTCGGGCTCTTTGGGCTTTTTAACGGCCTTTGGTTTAGGTGCTCGTTTAGTTTGTGGTCTTGCCATTTCGAATTCAAATGAAGTGATTTGTTGAAACAAAAGCGAACTAAAAAAAAAATGTAATAAAATACAAAAAAAAAAGAGATAGAACAATACAGAATAATAAAAATGGTGGGACGGTTGTCACAAGTGACTGTTTGAATACCTATCAAAAAAAAGAGAGAGAGAGAGAGAGATAAATCCTCTTCCTATCTTCTTCTTTATCTCACTATACTATAGAATTATATTTACTAACCTCTGTTACGCAGAGAAAGAGAAAGAAAGCAAGAGAAGCAATGATACCAGATTTGATTACTTTTACTTATTTATTTATTTTGAATAAAGCTAATCTTTTCAGGATTCTATATTTTAATCAATATAAAGGCTGTTAAGCTATAAATTGCACACAAACTAACTTTGCGTAACACGATTTTTGACTTTCACTAAAGAATGAGGGCAAGAAGAGTATTAGGCATCCAAGCTTGAATGGCATTAGTGTTCAGCCACACACAAACAGAGAAAGAGAAAATGATAGACTTTTCCCATATATCCTTTGAGTTTGAGAAATCATGTAGGTGTGTTGTGCTGTGGCAAAATAAAATCAAATTGCCATAATACCCAAGTAAAGAAATCGCACTTTTAAGTATTCCTAGTGTTTTAAACACCGTATAATGGGAGAGGAATTGTGGCAATTTTAGAATAGAAAAGCACATATGCTGAGATACAAAAAGTTAAACCAAGTAAAACAAATTCGACAAATATAGTAGTGGATATTTTGCCGCAATATAACACCCACTCTGATTTAAGCTTTAGGGTATATGTAAGCTACAAGGGTAAAAAAAATACGATATTGTTTATGTAATTATGATACACATCTATCTATTTATGCTTTGATTACTATATAACTATGATATACTTCTTTTGTCTGTTAATCCAATAGATAAATATAACCAATATATAACATAATTGATATATATAAATATATTTAAGAAGAAAAAATAATGCATTTTAGAAATAACGGTAAAATTCCAGTTCCGGTCCGAAAATCAAATGCATGTCCCTAGGAGAAAATACACATACACACACACCTTTTAGGTCGTGTTTTTTTTTTTCGCTTTTTGGAAAACCAAATTGAATATGAATACTGCATAAAAAAAAAGAATTGCCCAAGGTTATGAAAAAGGTCGAGAAGTGTTGAAATATTAGGCAAAAAAAATGTACACATCAAAGTCGTACTCAAATACAATATGGGATTATTGTGTGTACAATATTGTACAGGCAAGATGCTGGGAAGAGAAATAAAGGGAGAAAGAGGATACAATCGAATTCTGTGAATCTCTCGTAGAAAATTTTCTTTTACTTTCTTTTTCTTTCTGGCAACATGCATACGTTTTTTGAAGCTTTTTTTTTGCTCCAGTGTAATTAGGACAAATCTTTTGCTTTGACATTATTGTTATTATTCAAAGAAGTGTATATTTGTGAGACATATAGCATACATCTGTTTAATACAATTTGCTTTTATTTTTCTCTTTCTAAAGCTGTACACAATTGAACCATGATATATAGAAGATTTTACGCCTTCCTAAAATACAATAGAATACACTACAAGTTATAGTTGGGCGGATCTATATTCATTTCAAAAATTTCTGTTTTGTATTGGCTTTTGAGTTTAGAGTTTTGAGTTTTGTGGATTTCTTTTACCGGGTTTTCACACCAAATTATTACATATGGAAATTTACTATTGTATTATTTGATACATACATATATACATATAAATGTGTATAGATATATATATTCGCCGATATTTACAATACTGATACATACAAAAAAACATAAATCTCTTGTATTGGTGCCTTTTAATGTATAATGTAAAAGATCAAACTGATAGTGTTTTTATTTATTTCATTCACTCATTAATTTTTTGAATATTTTGCATGAAGGCCTTTATTGGATCTATTTGTATCAGATAAGAATCTCTGAAGAACCATCACTATTTTCTTATTCTTATATATCTTTAGTAAATGTCATAAGATCTTCATTATAATGCACCGTAAAACACCTTCTTTTCTTTAAGACCCTCCAAAAAAAAATAGAGTAAAACATATGCACAAACACATACACACACATATATATATATATGAATACATGGTTAAGAGAGTGGGTTATACCAGTGTTTCAAAAGATTATGTTTTAATTATTTTAAATATATATAAAACAAAAGCTTTGCATGAGCAAATAAGATTTGAGTAAAGATGTCTGTGATTCATAGAAACAATGGAACAAATCTTTGGGTTCTTTTTCTGTAAAAGATCGGGCACCCTCAAGGTTACTGAGTACTCACCGGCTGTGACAGACACACAGAAATTTCTCGTGTTGATTGGCTAATATACAAAAACTATTTCTCGATCCAAGTGAGTTCAAAAAAACCGAGTACCTTTTTGGTTACTGGACACACATGAGTAATTTCAAATGAATTTTTCATTTCATTTCATCATTTTTTTAAAGCATTAAAAAAATGTATAAATACAAAGAGTATCTCGCGTTTTATCTCTTTTGTTTTCTTTATCTCAATATTCAATAAAACATCGCACCCACACAATACAGCACAGCAGCATACATATATACATATTATATACATATAGAAAAAATGCTCTCTACAAAGTCGAGTTACCTTTTGGGATTCTTGTTTCTTGCACTAATCAGCCTTGTACAAGCACAACGTAAGTATACCACATAGATTTATACATAAAGATAGAATACCTTGCTAACCTTTAATTTCGCTATTTCTAGACTCTCATGGCGACGATCATGATGAAGAATCTGCTGAGGAAGCCTGTGCTGCTGAACCTCTTGAAGACTATAACTTGTCAATGCGCATCGGAAGCATCTTTATCATTTTAGCAACAAGTGCAGTTGGTGAGTAAATGTTCTCTTCTAATTTTTCTATCCATTATTTAATTATCTATACGTTTCGGCAATCAATGCTCATCATAATCTACGTTTAGGTATCTTTGCTCCAATTATTCTCTTTCGTATCCGTCCTTTCAAAGCTGGTGGAGTTCGTGATCAAATCCTCACCGTTGGAAAATTTTGTAAGTAATTGAATACAAACAAACAAAAAAATTCATTGACTTATTTCATATTATGTACATATAGTTGGTACAGGTGTCATCTTGGCAACCGCTTTCATCCACATGCTACCCGAAGCACTCGAACATTTCGACAGTCCATGTCTCAGTGAAGGATGGAGATCATACCATGCATTTGCAGGTGTCTTTTGTATGCTTGCTTCCTTTGGCCTTCAACTCATCGAACTTGCCGCTCTGTCCAATCTTGATGCACTTGCAAAAAAGAGAGCTCTTGCTGCACAAGCCGACGGCGCAAAGCTTGATATCGAAGGTCTTGCATACTCAAAGGTCGAACCTTCTAAGCTTCAAGAGAGTGTGAGTCCACATGAACATAACCACGATGGTATCTCTACAGATGGTCACGTACACACTGCCGGGTTCCTCGAGAACGATGACAAGGCTATGCAAAACATGGGTACTCTGATACTCGAACTTGGCATCCTGATGCACTCTATCATTATTGGCATTACTCTCGGTACCACAGATAACGATGAGTTCACTACACTTTTGATCACACTTGTCTTTCATCAGGTAAATAATGAGACTAAGACTAAGACTAAAAGTAATTGTAATAAGAGTCAAATATTTACCGACCTAAAAACCTTTTTTTTTCATATATATATTTATAGTTCTTTGAAGGTATTGCACTCGGAACACGTATTAATGATCTTGGCTGCAAGAGCTGGCTCAAACCAACCATTATGGGATCATTTTTCATTATCATGACACCAATCGGCGTTGCTATTGGTATTGGAATCCACAGTGCATTCAGCTCAAACTCTGGTTCATTTGTCCTCGCCCAGGCTATTCTAGACTCTCTTTCGGCCGGAATTCTTCTTTATAGTGCTTATATCTCTCTCATGAGCATCGAAATCAACCACAACGTCGCATTCCGCAAGTCTCCTACTACTCAAAAGGCTATTTGCTTCTTATCGATGTACATTGGCGCTGGATTGATGGCTTTGCTAGGCAAATGGGCATAAAATTTTATATATTTATTTTTCTAATTTTTTCTTCTTATTTAATTATCTCTAGTAATAATAATAATAATAGTAGTTGATATTTTTTGTTACTTATCTATTCATTAGCTACCTATATCATACACATTTACATCCTTTTGGTTACTATTCAACATGCTACACCTTGTAAATCTCTCTATTTATCTCCTTATTTAAAATATATATACATTTATACATATACATTAACATAAAACCACTTATTCTTCTATTGGAAAGAGTTACATATATAATTACTGTAATTATGTATATACTTGGCGTGTTTTCGGTGATTGATAGTATTAGGGATAACAATACCTATTTCAAAAACACGATGTGAATTATAGCAGGAACATGCGGTTTATTATATGTATATGTATGTATGTTTTTTTTATTTTTTGCAAAAAAAATAGGTCAAAGAGCATTACGTCTAATAGCAATAATCTGTATTTCCCAACCACCAAACCAAGGCATGTTCCATAGTCGATGTGCCAAGGTGGAGCCATAATTGGATGTGTAAGAACCGCCTGAAAAGTATTCTGTGTCCAAGGGTGTTTGATCGGATGATCTTACAACTGGTTGGAGCATCAGAAGAGCCAGTACAATAGCGAGACAAATGCACATTGTGAGAATCAATAGCACCTTCTTGACAGATCCAGGTGTTACATCAACAGAAGATAGAGATAACATCTGTATTCTCTCGATGACTCTCTCTTGAGGACTTGGAGTTCTCTCTTGCGCAATTCCCAGATAACCAGATCTGGGATCATGTAATTCACCTGTACGCATACTGTGCTCTCCAGAGTGGACAGTTTCTCTGGTGGTACTTGTCGTTGCCGGGGAGCTTGTCCGAAATGTGAACGGCATGTGTGCACAGAATCCCTTCTCAAACCCATTAATAAATCTGAGTAATTACATGCACATATACCCACACACACACACACATATCCATTTACTTAAAGAGAGAATGCTTTTAAAAGCAAACTTACATTAACTCCAGCTGAAACACCACCAAATGCTGCGGCAACTACACTTCCGCCTACATAGTGTGCCATAGTAAGATCCTTTACTTCACCTGGATCCACAAGATCTTCACTCGAATCTCTAGTGGGGCTGTCATGCAAACCATCCATATCATTGTCTGCGCTGTTTTGACCACCACATCCCAAGTCCTCAATTCCGCTCTCGTGGGATTTGTTGTTACATTTTACTTTAATGTCTGACCCAAGCGTTATTTCCCGTCCGTTAACTAGTATTGTGCCATCCCATTTGTCACTCTCCTCACCGAGCACTGCAGCAACCGTCAATTGGGGGCCTTTCTTTTGCAGATACTCCTCCTTAACAGGCTCGAGGGTTAATACAAAGTTGTAATCTAGCTCTGCCAATTCTTGTACAGTTGGAAGTAATCCTGCTATTTGCATTTTAACAACCAGGGAGTGCTTTTTTGGTATCTTTTTGCCTTCATTCGCAATCAAATGAGATGGCTCAGGGGCAAGCTCAGATACATGGATTGTTAGTCGATCAGATATATCCAAAGGATCATGTTTTGCAGACACACGATTTAAGTGACAAATGATCTCATAACCTTTGGGAAACTTTTGAAGATCCAACACTATGTATGCAAATACTAGTTTAGTATCTGTATGTTTGCGATGGTATAGTGTTGAGTCGGATAAGCTTATTGAACTTGATGAGGTACTTTCGTGGACTTTCTTTTGACCACCAGGAGATATTAATCCAAGTCCAACAACTGAACTATGCCTTTCCATATTCGATTGACTTGGCCTACGATTATCATAAGGGCTAAAGAATGATGACACAGAAAGAGAAGGGGTTGCTGTTGTTGTTGTTGTTGTTGCCTTGCCTGTCTTCTCAGATAAAAGCAACCGTTTTCCGATGCATAGATTACACGATACATTCAGACGACGTGCAGACTCATCAAAAGCAGACTCAATTTTAGTCCATTGCATTTTACTTTGTTCAAGTATAGGATCTAAAGTTTCCACAAGTATATTATTCTCAAATTCAAGCATACTGGATGGCTGAACAAGAAAAGGAGGCGGGCCTTTTTTCTTGAGATATGTCTCGACTGTCTGTATCTGCTTACAGAGTCCAGAGGCCAAGAAATTGCTTATGTAAGAAGGTATAGGAGGGCCAAGGTCCATTGATACCACATAAGTGACGCGAACTGAAGGTATGGGATGGTTTGTTGCGGTCGTATAAGGGTCTATCGGCTCAAGAATCCAGCCAGCTACGAAAATGCGGCCTCTTGGATATTTAGCTTTCTTGAATACTGGGAACTTGACAAGAGAGGTCTCAACATGCAAGATGCGTTTAGAAGAAGGATTTGTAATAGAATTGAGGCTCTCACTGGCTGTACAGGTGCTTAGATACAATTCACGCGATCTATAAATGATGTTTTCGTTAATGCGTTATTATCTTTCTTATGTATATATGTGTATATATATATAACCATCAAGCTTACTTGAAAGGGAATACTGATTTCACAACTTGATAAACGA